GTGTAGTAGTGGAGTTATAAGTTTTTGAAGTTTGTGTGTGGATTTTGAAAAACGGGCGTGGGGTGATGCTGGGCGTTGCCTGAGTCAGCACGGTATTACTGAGGGCGGCACGGACCCTGCCGGTACCCCTTCACCAAATCTTCAGGTTTACTCCGTCCTAAACTCTGACATCCACAGCCATGTTGCTATTCCCGGCTCAAGGCGATTCACCAGCATCTGACAGCCTCGGTTCTGCGATAACTGCGCTCATGTCTTTGCATTGCTGTATTTGATATAACTGGTAAGGGGAGGGGAACCAAGGTATCAGCCAGCCGCCCATTCACATCGCCATTTCGCCAACTGGGACCGCACAGTCCGCCCAACCGTCAGCCAACACAGAAGCCCACTTCTGCACCAACCCATCCTGCTTCTCCCGCTGACAGCGGCCGAGATTTCCCTCCGGCATATCTCCACGCGATTGGTCCATCGAGAGTACAGCAGACGGAGCGGTGCATCCCTAGAACCAAGTATTGTTTGCGCCAAGTACATTGAGGGACTTCAGGGTTCATAAACCGCAATCCCTGCATCCGACCTGAAACCCTCCGGTGACATCATTCTCCGTAGACGGGACCCTGCGGAGTCATATATCCAGGGCGCTTCCCTCCCCTCGACTCAGGACTCCTTGCCAAACTACGGCCCTATCCACTCGTTCCCGGCCGAACGCACGTACTGTGTACGCAAGCAATCAAGCAAACCGTTTCCATATACTCTGTACACGACACACATCTTATCTCAACCCCTATCTATACGCACAGAGGGAGGACACGTCCGCCACCACTACCGAAACCACACCGAATATCTGAGTTACCTCCCAATCCCATCCACGACCACAATGTTCTCCTGCATCAACTACGAGCGAGGCTGCCGAGGCCGCTGCAACGCCCAAGGCGGCCGTTGCGACAACTGCGTGCTCCTAAACCTTCGCACCGCCCGAACCACGAGCTCCAGCTCCGTAAACTCACGGCCTCAACCCACCTACTCCGCCCTGACCAGCTCGTTCGCCTCTCTTTCACAGATCCAGCCAACATCAAACGACGGTCGGTGACGAGTCGGCTCAGACAGTCCGGTCGGCTTGAATCCTAGACACCTTAAATACCACATCTGAGATGATGGAGGGGAAACCCCTGACGACATTACGAATTGCATATGGACTTGGAAATCGGCAGGCTAAACGATGCATCTCAAGATTTATTCATTTTGTTCACATCCGCCGCTCCAACATTTCACTCGAACGAGCGTTCTGGTACCGGAACATTCACGCGCTTTGCAACCTCCCTGGTTCCCTGCATGTCAGGACGGATACTCAATTTTGATACTCTTCTTGTACTGCAGATTCCCTGTTAGCTCTTTTATTGCTTCTCTGATTCTCCTCTTTTGCAGATTTCTCTTTCATCCTACAAGACTTGATTATTTTCAGCGCAGGCGTACGGTGCAGGATACTCTCAAGGGCCTTCAGGACACAGGTGTACGGGTCTCCAGATATCGCTCACCGCTTTATCTTCTTTGATCTTTTAGCAATGCTTTACATTTACTCTATGTTCTTCTTTGTCACAGCGATGACTACATAGAGACTACAATTGGCTCGCCATAAAAGGCACACCAGGATGAAGGATGGAGACGGGAACTTGTTACAGCACCCTCTCCTCCATGACATGATGATAACATCATACATAGGAGGGACGGATACAAATACACACCGCTCTTGCATATGCAACTAACATACTTCCGTTCCAGCCGTGACAGTGTTGCTCCCTCGTTCCCAGTTTCCCAAGCATCCCACCCTGCTTTCCGCCGGAAAGCATCACACCACCGTAATACCGAGATTGAAACAGGCCAGCACCCCAACAAGCCCCGCCCCGACGGTTCATCAATATTTCCACATATCATAGCAGAAAATCAAGGTTCAGAAAATACTGTGCACAATTGCCATGAATCCACGTCCCTCTGCATCCTCCTCATCAATTGCACAATCAACAAATCCCCTCTTCCCTAGGGGATCTTCACGGCGCAAATCCGGCGACGGGTCTAGATTCCGCACATCCCCGTCGCACCGACCAAGTCTCAGTTTCCCGACTGTTCAAAGATTCTAGCCCTCGAAAATCGCTCCCGTAGAGGGATGGATTTTCATGTCGATCGCGCGCTGCTCACATGATCCAGACCATGCCCACAAGCCGGGAGGGACGTCCGGATCGTGATTTTGGCGGGATATCGGGTTCTGAGCGACGGGAACTTCGTGGTCAGGGGGTAGAGACACAGATTGAATTACCATCTGCGGGATGACGTCGATGGCATTTTGGACCGGCGGGTAAGCCTTGGTGGGACAATGGTTCCCGTCAGGTCGCGTGGGGGGTTAAGGGACTTGGTGTTGAGTTCCAGTCCCTGAATTTCTGAGTGAGGCTGGATTGAGTATTATTATTATCATTGTTATTACAAGTATTATCGCAGCGCCTCGCGGTATTCACAATGGCGGTCTGAAAGGCGTCCCGAGGCACTCCGAGGCACAGCAGAAGTTCGACTGCGCTGCAGACACCAAGATTCCAAGGCAAGGAAACTGTACCGTGGTCCGTTGGGATGCCATCGTGGACAGCGCTCTTCAGAGAGCACTGTAGACAAGAGCACGTGTGCGGGTGCATTATCGCCTGCTCAATACGTGCTTATCTCTACTGTGTACAGAGTCTCGGTATTGCCGGGCTCGGATATTCCAGACTTCGACACTTAAGACTAACATTCAAAGAAGATACTCCGTAGTAAGAAAGCGTGACTCTGTACTCCAGTAGATAATAAGGCACGACATCATCTTCGGGTGGACGATTGATTTCCCATGATATGGCCGCCTAGTCACGATGAAACTCGTTCCTCAAGTTCTGGTATAGTAGCTTGTGATCGGTCTGTCTCTTAAATCGTACCAGCAGCGAAGAGATACCCGGCCATATGGACCGGCTGCGATTCTACACCCCCTAAGCAGCTGTTTGATGAGCAGAATGGTCCAGAGGTCGCTTTCAGCCAGGGGGCAGCCCCCAAGTCTACACAGCATGGCCGGCAGCTGGCCGGCTACTAATTTTTGTCTTTGGTACAGATTATCAAGCTCGTAGCCAAGTTGACAGCCACCATGTCGCTAAAGCAATACCACCGATACCGGCGAGAATAGTATTGCCCTCCTTTGTCAATGCAAGGTATGAAAGGATACCAGTCAACACCTCTAGTTGTCTCGCCGCATCCCGCCTCGCTTTCCAACCAGGATTAAGAGGAAAGGGTGGGCTCGGAGGGACATGGTTTTGCATATCGCGCTCGAAGCAGGCTTCATCTATGCTGAGGGATAAAGCAACGGGTCGGTGGTCTGAAGTATGCTGCACAGGCAGTGCGGTATAGTTTCCGAATGAGACGGCGCCATTCGGTGGTGGCAGGTATAATATGCGATCACACCAGCTCGGGAAACGGTGAGCCGCCCACTCCCAGTCCTCATCTGAAGAGACGGTTCCGGGGGATGTTTTCTGTCGCTTTGTATACTTGTACGTGGGCGGAAACCGGACGGGCCGCTCCTGCAGGTGGTGCAGAGTCCGGTTACCCTCCAGTTCGCGTATCAGTTGATCCTCTTGAAAAAGGTCTGAGAAATGCTCAAAATCAGGATCGGTCAGGGTGAGTCGCGGGTACGTCTGATGGCCCACACGGCTTGGCGGTTTATCACGAGTCCTGTAGTTCAAGTCACCTGCAAGAAATATGAAGTGATTGGTGGAGGCGAAGAGACCCTCTCCGTTGGCTGGAGTCTCTGAGGTAGAGGAGAGCAGCGGTGCTTCTTCTGATGAGCTGTAGCCCGAATCATCATCGTTCAGGAATACGAGGTTGCGCACTATGGATTCCCAATCCTTATTCCGTGCTTGAACATTTGCCTCCATCGGAGCCAGATGTGCAGCTACAATAGCCATAACCAGCACACTGTCAGAGTTTGGAGAGGAGATGCCCAGGCGCATGGCCACAGCTCCTTTGTTTCCCATGTTCCACAGGCCAACTCCGACGCCTGCTGGTTGTATCCATTGTATCCTGGTTCTGAGATGCGGTTTCGCAAAGATCATGAGGGCAGTCATGCCTAAGCTTTTGGAAGCGACATGCTCGAGCTGTTCCGTATCATGGCTCCGCAAAGATGCTGCAAGTTGTACTGTAGTTTGTATCCGGTCGAAGTATGGCTTCAAGTACGAGCCTCCTAGGAATGAATATGCGATGGGACTGATTTCCTGCAACGAGATTGCGACAAGATCGGGCACGGATGTTGAAGGCGGGAGGGCATTGAAAAGAACAGGCGCGAGCGTATTCGGATCGACCAAGTTCCTGGCGCAGTTGAAAGTAAGGAGATACAGTTCGAGCATCGCTGGAAATTTGCAAGTGAATGCTACATGGAGTTAGAATACCCTTACCAACAACTGGGCGACAGTACATGGAGCGACGTTGATTCCGTGGAAAGACAGACCAGCACGCCAATACAGGAACAGACTTACGTTAGTCTCAAACTATTAAAACTGCGAAACGAAGTATAGTGCAGCGGATAGGGCCAGCTTGGAGAGATGGCAGAGTATGATGCGTGGATAATTCACCAGAGGATACCCGCCAAGATCGGACTGCGAAGGGCTAACCGTATACGTCATATTTCCTAGATAGGCATCCCGGTGGATGAACCTGTCCCATGCATCAATCCCATTGTCTAGTGCGTTTCGCATGCGGGAGCTCAGGAACCGCAAGTTTCGCATCACGTAGTACGGTCCAAAATCTGCGCTACCAAATAGTATCTGTGACCATTTGTGACTGATCTCGGACTAACCGCTCTTTAGCAGCTCTAGCCTTCCCGAGTGATCCAGACCGCTAGATCGCTCAACTCCTTTAACTTTGCGAACTGCCTGCACCTTCACTTCCTCCCACCCTTCCTGGTTTCACACAAAATGTTGAGGGGACGGTTTCTGCGTCGGGCTCCTCGCTGGTCCCTCACGCACCAGCCGCAAAACACCCAGGCCTTTCCGGATTGCATTAGACGATTCACGAGTTCAGCATCTCGCTTCACTCCTGGATTTTCGTCGTCCAAGAACGTTCAGGATCATGATGCTGCCTCCACCGCGGCAGCCCCAGGAAAGAGCGGGGCCCACGAAGGTCAATATGCGAGGACAGATAACTCCGTTCGAGTCGAGTATCCTGACCAGAAAGAACTTCCACCTTCACGACCCGTGCAAGGACGAGGGGGTCTGCATTACAAGCGGACGCTGGCTTCTTTCTCGCTCGAGGGCCGTGTTGGTGTTGTTACAGGCGGAGCGAGAGGATTGGGTCTCGTCATGGCCCAGGCACTGGTCACAAGCGGTGCGGATGTCGCACTCGTGGATTTGAACAAAGAAGAGGCAGAAAGGTCTGCCCAAGAGCTCGTCAAAAACTTCGAGGCAGAGAATCCGGATTCAGAAAAGTAAGCTATCTTTAACAAGATGGAGATCCATGCTGAGTCTGCTGCAGACTACCAAAAGTAACGGCTCATTATGCCGATGTGTCCGATCCCGCATCAGTTGACCAATCTCTGCAAGAAATCCTGAAAGAGCACGGCAAAGTGGATAACTTGGTGACATCTGCAGGGTTCACTGAGAACTTCGATGCCATATCGTATCCTTACGATCGAATGAAAAAGCTCTGGGGCGTTAACGTTGACGGTACCTATTTGTATGCGGTTGCAGTAGCAAAGCACCTCATGGAGAGGAAAGCACCTGGAAGTATTGTCATGATTGGTAGCAGTATGTTCACAGACCCTGCTCTGATCGGTCGTGTCTCACAACTATACAGTGTCTGGGGCCATTGTCAATGTCCCGCAACCTCAAGCGCCATACAATGCTTCCAAAGCTGCAGTGAGGCATCTTGCCTCCAGCTTAGCAGTGGAATGGGCCAGTGCCGGTATTCGGGTCAACTGCATTTCTCCTGGCTATATGTTAACAGCGCTGTACGTCTTCCGCGAATCTCCTGGATAACTTGCTTACGGTATACAGTACGAAGAAAATCCTCGATGATAATCCTGAGCTCCAGAAGAAGTGGACCTCCTTGATCCCAGTAGGTAAAATGGGGCGTCCGGAAGACCTGATGGGTGCAGTCACTTTCCTCGCTAGTGATGCCAGTCTCTATGTTACGGTAAGATCGCATGTTCCTCCTCAGATTTTTGGCTCACGCGAAGAAAGGGTGCTGATCTCAGAGTCGACGGCGCTTATACTTGCACTTGAAGAGTGAGATTCTGCTGCAGCGTACAACCCGTGGGGCGAAGCGAAGCACCGCCGTGGTCCCCGGTGGTTGACTTTTTGTGGAGAAGTAGGCCAAGTCGTCGTCACCGTGGTTACAGAGAGATGGTCTGCGGGGTGAGCATGGCGTGCTATGGGAACTTACGCTGTTTCTCCTGCCTGAAGAAATATGTCACCCCAGATTCTATTGAAGAGAAGGAATACCTGTTGATTGCAGCGTCCAGTTAAGATGCATGTAGGCATATACCCCTGGGTCACTGTTCAAGTTTCCACATTGTTTTTTGTTTTTTTTTTCTTTTTTTGTAGTGCAGCCGCATATCATTCCGCGCTCATCTGTCAAAGCGTACATTATAAACTTTCTCCGAGCAGAGGTCTGATGAAAAGAATATAGCTGAGCAGCATCGACCCCAAATCATCCGTGGTCTGCGTAGTCCAAAACATAACCGCTCGCAATTCACCCCGCAGACAGAGCGATTACATAAGCTACAAGCTCACGGCCCGTGCGCATGTCCGAGCACCGCATGTGTCTATGAGTTTCGCACTCAATGTACAGCTCCCCCATGATGTGAATCCCTTGTCTCTCGCCGTTCACTGATTATCCAGCAAGCTCTGTGTCGGCGTTATAACGGTTATAACCTCACGAAGCCTATCCCCCGCGATGAGGCCTGCCATACGCCTACTTTCCCAATAGCCCTGCCATAGACCCCTCCGACGAGCGCCCTCATTGCGCCCTCCGCGATGTTTAGCCTTGCCAATCTCGTACAGAAAGCCCAGCAGTTCATCGAACCCGCGCTTCCGATCTCTAATCCTACTTCCTCTGACCACAGACCCTCAAAAGCCACGCTTTTCCGTCACCAGTTCCGTCTACCCGACTCTCAATCGCCGCTACAAGAGATTACAGCCGAGCTCACCCTTTCACCTCACCATTCCACAAGAGGCACCGCTGGCGACCCAACCTCCCAAGAGAAAGAACTCGGAAAGGGAAACCACTATGTGGGGAAGCTGCACTTGAGCGAACAATACCTCTGTTTTTCCACGCAGGCGTCCAGCTTCTTGAACTCGGCCAGCTTGACCTCGTCAAGTAGCTTCACTGGGCAGACTCATGGAGCTGGACCTGCTGGAAACGGATTTACATTGCCACTATGCGCAATACGGAGAGTCGAACGGCTTCACAGCCAAAGTTATATGTTCGCATTAGCTATAACGACCTGGAATGGGAACCCCGATACCAAATCGAAATCAGCGCCGAGCGGTCAGAGGTTGACAATTCAACTAGCTGGGAGCCGCCAGCAGTGTGAGAGATTCTGTGACGCTCTGAAAAAGGGTCTCAGGGAGGGCGTGAAAGACGTGGAGAACCTGCGAACGGTCGTCGGCCAATGCTATTCGGAGTACCTCCTCCTGGACGAGGCGGACGAGGCTTCAAAGCAACGAGAGCATCCGGATACTGGCCTAGGCCTGATTTATAGGTATCCGGGGAATGCTCGTAAACTGAGGGATGCTACAAAGATTCGATTATGGAAAGAGTACCTCAAAGGTGCAAAGCACAGAGCCTCCTGCCTATAAATGCTAACATGGTGCAGAAAATGGTCGGACTGCCACCCTCATCCGCCAGCCAACGTTTCACAAGCTTATACGCGTCGGACTTCCGAATCGATTGCGTGGTGAAATATGGGAGCTCACATCAGGCTCCTTTTTCCTACGTCTCGAGAAACCCAAGCTGTACACTGAAACACTAGCCAAATTCTCTGGAAGAGAATCCCTGGCCATAGACGAGATAGAAAAAGACCTGAACCGTAGCCTTCCGGAATACCCGGGATTCCAAAGTGAAGAAGGTATTGGTCGCCTGCGGCGCGTCCTGACCGCGTACAGCTGGACCAATGAGTCGGTCGGATACTGTCAAGCGATGAACATAGTTGTGGCTGCCCTGCTGATGTATGTTTCCTTCTGTTATAGATGCAACTCTCTGACCCATGCAGTTACATGTCCGAGGAGCAAGCGTTCTTCCTCCTATCAGTTTTGTGCGACCGTCTACTTCCTGGGTATTACTCGACGACCATGTACGGAACCCTTCTTGACCAGAGGGTATTCGAGTCTCTTGTCGAAAAGACAATGCCGATACTCTGGGATCACTTGGTCAAATCAGACGTTCAATTATCCGTTGTGTCCCTGCCCTGGTTCTTGTCGCTCTACATCAACTCAATGCCGCTTATTTTTGCCTTCCGGGTTTTGGATGTATTCTTCCTTGAAGGCCCTAAAGTCTTATTCCAGATCGGTCTGGCTATATTGCGGATCAATGGGGAAGAATTATTGGACGCCACCGATGACGGTACATTCATATCCGTCTTGAAGTCCTATTTTGCCCGATTAGATGAATCAGCACATCCAAAGTCCGAGAACCCTAAGCTGCGAGCCGTTACTAGATTCCAAGAGCTCATGGTCGTTGCTTTCAAAGAGTTTTCGAATATCACCCAGAACACCATTTCGGAGCAACGAGCCAAGCACAAGGATGCGGTCCTCGCTAATATCGAGAGCTTCACAAAACGCACATCCATACGGAATCTGGGACCCGACAGCAAACGATTAAATATCGAAGATCTGGGCTTTCTTTATGACAGGTTCTACGCTGTTCTTTATGAGCGCCAGCAGCGAGCGGAGATCCTGCAGCAAGAGGCCAATAGAAAGGCCAAAGCCGAGAAGTCCAAGGCGGCGACAATCGTGACGGGGTTCTCCGGTGAGAATGTACAGAAGGGCCGTGTTGCGCTCGGTCCTAGTCCCACACAGATGGACTATGATGCATTCCGAGAGTTTTTAGCTGGTAAGATATACCGCTTTCGCTGGACGCAATGTCTGGAATCTGATAGAAGCTGTTCTAATGTGTTCTAGGCATTGCCAAATGGGCGATTACCGATTCCCCAAGTTCTCCCGACACCAACACCCTCCAGACGGCTCATTCATACTTTGGTGGTAGTACCAGGAGTAGACCACCATCGTCACCTTGGGGATCAGGCCCTGAACCTGCAGATCACGAATTCATGAGACGACTGTTCAGACGGTGGGACGTTGATATGGCAGATTCCCTATCTCTCCAGAATGTTGTCAGCGGATTCGCACAAGTGAAAGGTACTAAAGACATCATGGCTAACATCAGCTACTTCTTTGAGCTATACGACGACGACGGCGACGGCAGAGTGGACCGTGAAGGAATCCTCAGAATCTCGGAGGCATTACTGTTCCTATCAAGGCGAGGCTTCGGTGATTCGGCAAGTCCATCGGCGTCAATGACAGATGTACACGGTGGCGAAAGTCCGGAGAGAAGCAACCGAGACGAGCATTTCCTCAGTAGTGTCTCGGCATTCATACGTCGCTGCTTTGAATATGCCGACCCTGACCATCCTTCACATCAAAGCAATCAGGCTTTGAACGAAGCTAATGAAGACTTGGACAATTTCTCGATTGGTGCTGATGATGAAGATGACCTCATCGATCTGAAGTCGGCGCCTCCCAGTCCGACAGTTGCGAAAAGCAGCAAGGAACCGTCTGCTCAGGCGTCGGTACAGAGGTCTGGCCTCGATAGCTCCAACCCTGACTCAAAGCCCGAGAGGAATGGTTCGGAGCCGTCTATCAAGTCCGATAAAGTCAAAGCCGCCAATGCCGCCCTGGATCCCAATAAACCGCTATACATCACGCTGCCCACTTTCCGAATGGTCATACTCGCCGATGAGGTCCTGGAGCAGTTCTTCGAAGTCGGGTTTGCATCCTCCTTCCGGTTAGCCAGTACAACGCATTCTCAGCTGCCTATGTCTTCGAATCTCACTACCTTCTCCAATGCGGGGAAACAAGTCTCAGCCGTCAGCGCTGGACTGGGCGGCGTGGTAGGAGGAGCAGGCGCAGGCGTCGTACCTCCCGGAAAGGGTCTAAGGGGTATGTTGGACAACATTGTCAGTGACGGGATGCGTGTTGCTGCAGAGGTTCGAAGGAGGATGGAAGAAGCCCAGAAGGAGATGGACAAGGAGGCGCGGTATGGCCGAGACGACGAAGACGAAGACGAGGAACCCTCTACTAAGGATGCGGATTTGCTGGAGGGCGCAGAGACGGCCGGTGTGGACACCTCGAAGGATGCGGCTTCGTCGGCTGGTCTGTTGACTCCGGATAGCTCGTTGTCCGGCGAGATCAACCCGAATCGGAATCGCAGTGCAAGCGATGCGAGTAGGAAGGTTGTTGAGTTCGAGCGATAAGCGAGTTCTTTTAGTTCTGTAGTGCGTCATACGGGAGACACAGGTCGTGCTTTGGCTTATGGAGTTTATCGAGAGGATTGGGTCTTTGTGTATTCAAGTCATCAGAGGACTGATATCGTGGTGGATTATTTGCATATGCCCTCGTACGGTCTCGGTGAATCATCAATGGAGAATATGATTAGTGGTCAAATCATTCCATGCTATGAGTATGTGGTGCGTATATGAAGTATTGATGAGCATGCTCTTCGTGCTCCCCCATCCTGAGTTGAAGTTTCGGTACAGCCGCGCTTTCCAACTTACAGACAGAAGACAGCTTTGCAATCGCCATCATTGCACCTACTGCGGAAACAAACCACCGTCCACACCAATAATCTTGTTCGTCACAAACGCAGTCTTCAGCATCCAGAACACCGTCTCGGCAACCTCCTCTGGAGTTCCCAGTCTGCCCATCGGAATTCCTAGAAGATGAGTCAGTCCCATTTCAGGCAGTGGTTATTGAATGCCACATACTCTTCGTCAACTCCATACTTTGCTCCGGAAGCATCTTCGTGCGTTCAATCAAAGCGGGCGCCACTCCATTCACCGTAACGCCCTTATTCGCATAGGCGTTCGCCGTCCAATGCACTAGCCCATGCAGAGCCGACTTTGAACTTGCCTACAATCCTTAAGTCAGCACCATCTCAATAGCTACACAAGCGACTGAAACCCCATCACAACCAAAAAACAATAGCAAGACGTACATAATGCGGACCCATCAACCCCCCCGTGAAACCCGCCACACTGCTGATAAACACGACGCGACCCCAACCCTCGCCCTCCATGGCCGGCATGCAGAGCTGAGTGAGGAGGTACGCGGAGCCGCAGTTGATGCGCCACGTCCGTTCGAACTCTTCGATGGGGATCTCTTCGATGGTGGAGGGGAAGTGGTGGGAGCCCGTGGTGCCGGCATTGTTGATCAGGATGGTTGGGGGGCCGATGGTTTCTATGGTGTGAGTGTGGAGATCGCGGACCTATAAGGGGGAGTTAGTTGATCATCCTTTGAGAGACACGATATTTATGTAAACACGTGACCAAAGCATATAGACCTGGAGTGAAAGTACCCAGGTACCCACCTGATCATAATCCGCCAAATCCGCCTTATACACGCAAAACTTGCTCCCAAACTCCGCCTCATAATCCTGTTTCAGATCCCAGAGCAGTTTGAAAGCGGCCCCTTGGTCGGAATTGTAATGCATCGATACGCTGCAGCCATGGGAAGCCAGTATGTGGCAGATGGCGGTGCCGATGCCGCCGGTCGCGCCGGTGACGAGGGCTATGTGGTTGCTGAGCTCGCCTTTGGTCATTTTGGTGGTACGGTGGCAGTATGGTGAGCTTCGAGGGCTTGGAATGAAGGAATGGTCGGTGCCCAGGTGAGGTAAGGTGAGGGTGGCTAGCTTGGAGATGGGGGTGTTGTCGGCGGTGTTTGAGGAAGGTGCACCCGATGTGGTGCCGCTTCCCCGCTTTGTGAGAGAGGGAGGTAGGAAGGGTGCTGGAGGCGGGGTTGGCACTTACCTACTAAGACCTCTTTTCTTGACAAAGGACTGAACGAGTACGGAAGCCTATTCTCCGGAGGGGTTGGAGATTTACTCTTTAGATGTGTTATGGCGGAGCTTACTTGAGAGTTCAGAGGAGTCGGCGAGAGAAATATAAGCAGGAAGCAACGTAGGAAGACTGCCTGTGAAGTTTTTGATTCTGTATGTGCGGGATTAGAGGAATCTGGATCCGTCTGTACTCGTTGGGTGATGTACTGTCCATTGACACTATACCTTTGCATTTCTCTAATCGTTTATGTCCTCCAGCTGCAATATATAGATGTCTGCACTTGTGCAATGTTATTAGACTAGCTTAGCCTTTTAAGCTTCATTCCAGACCCTTTTATCTAGCTCACAAATATCCAGTGTATTCAACTTCAGAGGCGCATGAGGCTGTGGGACCTACTAACAGCACAAGCGATGGCACAATGATAATCATGTCCCGCGAAGGCGGTTGGAGCATGAGTCGTGCAACTAAAGAGATATCTGATTGTAAGATGCTCCTAAAGGGTATAGGTTAATGTTTGTGTGTGTAGAGAGTATAGGTCGTTGCATCGCATCCAGTCAACTGTATTGACATCTGTAAGATCAATGCCATCATATAACCAGCAGAAAACAGACCAACACCAGATTACGGCCTCCATGACTGAGACGCCATCGAATGGCCTTATTGCATATGCCTCAAGCTCCACGCCCATCCCTGAGGCCGCGTCATTCTCGAAAGAGGTTTAGCAGGCGATAACCTCGCGGACCTGGAACCGTGGATTGCCTAATGACTGAGGGAAAGTGTCGTGCCCACCAAAAGGCTTTCGATTACCTCGGCCTGGGTGTAACAGCATCCTAAAGTCGATAAAAGATCAGGATGGATGAGGTCGAGATGCACTGCCGGGCAGAGATGCCAGGTCTCTCTCGAACATTCCCTAGTATGTACACGAATCTTGCGCATGCGGGAAGCTGATCCTGGTAAAATGCATGATGCCATGACCTGAGTGTCGGGTCTGAGATACGACAGCCTACACGTGGCTACGATGGACGTCGGATTGGAGATCAAACGAGACTTGTTGCGTAGATCATGGACAGTAGTGTTTTCGCCTGCATGAATGTCAACGTGCGGCCGGCTATCAAATACCTTTTCTTCTTACTTTCTACACAGTAGAACTTATTTGGCCATTGCCAAGAGAGAAGCGGGAACTACCATCTAGAACCGCTTAGAACGCCCGTTTGATTTGTTGGGAATGATCTGTTGAGAGTTGGAATAACTTGACAGCTTATACAGGCCTCGACATTGGCCAGTTGTTGATCTGTAGGGCTGCCAGTCTCGTATCGGCAAGCATCAGCACCTCACCTGGACTGCTGCAGGCAGGCACTGGCTCGGAAGCAGTTCCCACGGGACCAACTATAAGACAATCCGTATCAATCTCAACAGCCACGCACGGTAGTCCAAATCGACAAATGAGAGATGGTGAGTTGAGAACACATACGTCCGCGGAGCGCAAAAGGACGTGGCAGGAACATTGGAGAGGTGTCATTGGTTGTTTGGAGCAACGGCGCTAAACTCTTTTTACGACATGGAATTTTGGCCAATTTCCCATGGCGACCTCCAAGGTTTCCCATAACGCCCGGTTCTGCCAACATTCAGGCCAGCCCAGACCAGGCTTACCAAACTGGGGGGTGGGGAAATCGGGATTGGCGCGGAACCCCGCAAGGCATGCTTGATGCGTGTGGTAGCAGTGTGTCTCTTCACTTGATTTTAGTGCCACGAGAACTGCCGTCGCAGCCGCTCCCGGAGGCAGATGGGTATGTCAATGTTCGCTTCCTGCAGTCTGGGAGGTTTATTGTGGTTTTGCTTCTTTCAACAGCCATTTTTTGTGCCCAGGTGGAGTTTAGACGACGGGAACGGATGCAGCACGTGATGGCGAAGCGAACTGCACCTGGACAACCTCAGAACGTTTGGAAGCCCGCGGATGCGAAACGGCTTGGCATGCGTGCCAATGCCATTGCAAGGCCTCGGAACAGAGGACAAATGCAGTTAACTATTGTTAGCACTGCGACGTTGGAGGAACCTCGGGCGCCCCCGCAGGGCTGGACTTGCAATGGCGGTGTTGGACGAAGAATAGTGGTAAAGGGCGACGATTACCCCACAGCGGACTACTATCGCACAAAGGACAGCCCCCAAGCACACATGTCTCGTTCACCGTAAGAGGGATGAACACGTTGAAGGTCGCAAGGCGGGGAACACGTTGGTGCTGCAACGGGAATATACCGGCCGGAGCTCGTTCCAATTGGCGAGCTCTGACTGGCCCTCTCTGCGGGGGTGACGTCATGGCCTCACCCAAACCTCCATCGATCGCAAATGGAAGAAATGCCATGCCCAGCCGCAGAATTCCATCAGCACTAAGAAGAGCCCTGGAGGTTCCCTCTCTCAGTCGCATACGCGGGAACCTGTGTCTGTACATGCTTCCAAGTACCCGCACCATTGCACCTCCACCTGCCACTACTGCCACTACTGCAATAGCGCACCCTTCCCGCCCAGTTCCCGCCCTCCCTTTGTGTTTACCTTCTGTTATAATTGCGAGTCGTCCCCGTCCTTCCGTCCCGCGCATTCCTCATTCCCTCACGCTCTCGACCTCGACTTTAAATCCGCTCTGCAGACCTCATTCCCGCTCCCTCCGTCGTCGATGCAACAAGCAATGGAGGCCAATGCCTATCCTTGGGCCAACGACACCTTCCTGGCCATCAACTCCAGCGATATGAACGATGCCTGCGCACTCAACCCATCTGCAAAGTGGCCTGCCTTCTCGAGCGGGCACGAACACTCGTTCCCTCCTTCCAATTTCACCATGCCCGCTCTGGTCAGCGACTCCACAGTCGAACGATATGGCCAGATTACCCCTCCTGAAGAGCTATCGCCTGCGGTACCCAACTCGGAGCCGCTGCCACCGACCTCCGCATTGCCGGATCACATGCAGGCTGTGCTGGGCTGGGCCAGCCAACAGCAAATGCAGGACCTAGCCAATTACGACCCCTCTGCTCCGCTACAGCACCATCAGCAACAGACAACGCTGGCGCAGACGCCCGACTCAGGCCGCGTCTCCAAACGTCGACGGACAACCACAAAGCAGACCGTAACCAATGAGATTGCCGCAGCCCCCGCCCCGCAGGAGCAGACCGAGATTCCGCAACCGCCCAAGCGAAAGCGGGGACGCCCCAAGTCGAATCCGCAGCCAAAGCAGGATGCCATGTCCACTGAGGATTGTCCCTTCCAAGTTTCCTCCGCACGCCAGTCGCACCTCGAGAAGAACCGCGTCGCTGCACACAAGTGCCGCCAGCGCCGCAAAGAGTACATCCAAGGCCTGGAGAACCGAGCACGGGAGTACACAGAGACGAACAAGGCGCTGAAAGACGAGGTCACAAAGCTCCGCTCAGATGTCTTGGAACTGAAGAATGTGTTGCTGTCGCATGCCGGATGCGGATGCTGGGCCATTGACGAGTACCTCGCACAATGCGCTGGGGACCTCCTTGGCGTCTCAAACCCATTCCTCGCCTCCGGTCACAAAACAAGTCAACAATCCGCAGCTCCCTCGGTGGCCACGGAGCCATCTGCGCGGGAAATGAGCACCGAGACAGCGATCGTGTCCGCGGGAGACCGCGCCAGCTCGCAGGAACAAGACCTCGATGGCTATGGTGGGCTCGAACTGATCAACGATTCGGACGATGGCGACCCTGTCGGCTCATGTGGTTGAACAGAGTCCACTGTTCTCCGCTTTCATTGCGTACTCGTTCACTTGTTTTATCGACTTGCCGACAGGCGGTTTCTCTCGAAACGCGCATCAACAACATGATACCCGTGTCACCCCATCAAAATCCATCCGTCTGTTCGATCCCACCTTTGTGCGATCTTTCTTCCGTGCGAGCGGCCGCTGGATTGGATGGCTTTACCACTCGCTTGATGCGTGTTTCTTTGCGTCAACTGGCAAAGGCGAGGGAGCTGGTTGCGCACGGCCTGATAGCTTCTATGGGCCATGATGTTTGGGACTCTGCACACTGCTCGCTAGCAGGTGGCTATCTACTAGCTATAACAGACTTAAGCCTTTGAGGGCTACAAAATCCCGCTGGAAGTTTTCGGTATGGGCTTATTCCAAGAGGAAATATGGGCATGTGGCCATAGGCAACGTGAGAGGTATTAATTATAAAAAGATTATGAACCTCCAACACCATGCGGCTTTTCGATTGCTCTACGGAGTACTGAGCAAAAGTTTAGCAATAGGAGTGGGCATACAATCCGTTGTGGTCGACTCGTATGAGCAGCGAAGGTCGCTTTGCCTGTATCCGGGTTAATAAGGCGCCTAAAAAACTGACCCCCCTTCACGCGGAGCAGGAAACAATAAACTCCTCTGCCTGCCAGCATCGCTCCTTCCTTTGAATCCTCTCCTATCCTGTTTAACAAGCAGGCGATGCATGTTCTAGACGCATGCATGCAGATCGTCGACGAAGCCACAAGAAGATGCCCAGGTGCGCAGCGGGGTTCTCGGATGATAGCCCCACTAAAAGAGGGGAGAGTGTGACGGATAACCACCTAGGTGGGTGGGCGCATCTAATCCGCCCCGATCTCAAGCTCCCTGGTTGCTACCGTAACCTAGGTAGCATACCGTACATAGCGCATGTGAATTCGCAAGTCTATCTAGAAGTTCATGTGGAAGGGAGGGGCAGGTACTGTGTACGAGGAGGTCTTTGACTGAACAATGGAGCGAATGGGTATCTACCGCAGTACACGAGGGGATGGGGTATACAACAGTACAATCGAATCGCATCCGCTGAAGCTGCAGTTTCCAGTACCTGCATAGTAAACATCTGTGGCGGTAAACCCCAGCCGTGAGGAAAGAAAGGAGTTGATCGAGCGCGGGTCGCGGCGCTGGTACAGTACAGTACCACAGTACAGATGCGGAACCGCCCCTCCAGCACGAAAGGGTTCTTTGAACGGAACGTCGCTTACGCGTGCGGCTTGCAGCATAGATCTACATATGGCGAGAACAGGTCGGAGAATTTACATATGAATCCGAGACTAGTCGGCAAGATCGGAATTGAGGTGGATGACGTTGCAGACGGGACCGTGGTGGGAGTGGTGCGTTCATTGGTGGACGAAGTACGTTGCTGTGATTGGTTGGGCTGGGAAGCCGGCGGGGCAGGGGGTGAGCACTGTGATGGGCGAGGGTTGGGAAGTTCTACCTACACAGTAAGTACTGTAAAGTGTGTAGAGTGTCAGTGGATGGCTAACTGTATACTACATGGTGCCCGCGAGTCAAGGAAATGGTTCGGCTAACGTTGGAGGACGTCACTTGGGTGTGTGTGAGTTCTACTTGTACTGGTACCAGCGCCGTACCTTGGAAGCTGGGTACGGATAATTGAGAGAGGCTGTGGCAGGCATGATTGCAGATCCGCGAGGAAGAGATCCGCATCCAACCTGGGCTCTCATGGCTGCTGTTTCTTCCCGTCGACTTGATGGAACACGGAAGCGGGCACGCGAGAGCAATGGTTCTAGCAATGACAATCTATCTGCGCACAGTCGGCTGAGCGCGGTTCCAAGTTATTCCAGACAGTTTAGGAAGAGGTTCGGGGCGTGTTGGTATGATTATAGGTTGTCATTTTGCGTGTTGCTAATGTCGTGAGTTAAGGAATTTGGTATCATTCAGCTTGACAAAGAGGGAAGTGGATAGCCCCATGGTTCGGAACTGAACCGTTTCCGGTTGAAGAGATACCACAATATGGACCTGCTACTGTGGAAGACGTCATCGCCGCTTGTCGCTGTTTACGTTTCATGTGGAAGTTGGATGGCAGGATCGCCAACTCCACGCTCTCTGCCTTTTCCGAAGTCGATCACTCGGCTTGTTCTGCCGGATCGTCCGGACTCGTATTCTCTCGCGAGGGAAAGCCGGCCGTTTTCAGGTCCGGTACAGCTGTGAAAGGACGAAATCAAGGTCGCTGGTGGGTACCATGACGTCCGTTTGCAGGGGGTTTATATGATTGGCATTGCAGCAGTGCCTGAATTGGGATTACCATAGTATGAAGTGGGCTCGGGGGTATGGGTTTCAAGATTGCGAGCTTGGTAAGAAGACGTGGGGCTGATGTTCCCTATAGCAAACATCCCAACTTATGGAGGATGAAAATGCCTGTGGATTTGATTCACTGTGCCCAATTGCGGTGCGGCCCGGCGCCCGAAGCCCGAGGTTCCAAAAATCGCTGAGGTAATACATGCCAAGACATCAGCTGGCTCGGAATCTAGTTTCACCGTTACCCGACATTGTAGTCCTCCGGAGCTTCCTTTGAACCTCACACCATACAATGATGTACAACGATGCAAGACCCCCTAATTTACATTTCTCCGTCAGAAGTTTGGTATGTATCAGCAATCCTCATCTTCCTATGCACTACTCTGAAGCTCAGTCCAAACTATGGCCCAGGATTCTCCTGTGCCTTGGAAAGGATCGGATGACTAATCACCTTATTCCAACCTCACAAGCATCGAACTGAAATCAGCACCCTTCAACCCTCCTTTGCTTGACAAAGATGGCTCCCAGAACGAAAGCATGTGCCATATGTCGAAAAAAGCGAATCAAATGCGACGCAACGCTTCCCAAATGCCTGATGTGCATCCGGACGGGAAAAGACTGCCCTGGTCCTCTGGAAGGGCCCTTAATAGTTGATATGTCCGCCGTTGCCTCCAGAGGAATGCTGAAGAAGAAGAAGGTCGAGCGTGCAGCACAAGATGAATCTCCAAGTTTAACAATCTATGCTGCTGACGATCAGCTTGTGACGAGAATGCCGCCCCGGATTGATCAGGCCGCTATGGTCACCGAAGCGTTCTTCGCGCATTTCTTAGCGTACTTCACTTCAGACGGCGATTTTCGAGATCTACAGAACGAGAATACATGGATCCATCACCTCCCACGCCTGTCTACCGACGGAACTAACAACGCGCTTAACCTCGCCCTTCGCGCTACGGCCACCGCCTACTGCGCCACGGAAGTCAACAACCCGTCGATCATGCAGCATGCATTTACCCTTTACGGAGAGGCTCTCTTTGCGCATCTGAAGCTGCTGAGTTCGAAGCCGAAAGAGTACACTGTACATATGGTGTCGACGTCTGTACTCCTTTCAATCTTTGAAGCGATGCATGCCACAACAACGGACGGATATTACGAGCATATTAACGGCGCGGTCAAGATGATGGAGCTTGCGGGCCCTAATCAGTGTTACGGTGGAGTGCTATGCCAACTATTTTTCCATATTCGAACACAGATGGCCTTTGTCAATCTCACGAGTCATAAATCAGCGCCTGTACAAGTGCGGAAAATTCTTGTTGAGACGTTGGAGTACCGCCGCCTCCCCGTCATCCAACAATTGATGGATTATATGGCCATACTCACCGAACTTTATATGCGAAGGAGCAACGGTAGAAGCTACGAGCAAGGCATGGATCTTCCCGCTTACATTCACCTTTTGTCATCCGTGAATGCTTTGTGGGCTGAGTATCAAGAGGAAGCGGAGTCTCGTGGACAACCCTTGTGTCGGCTTGACAACGTAACCTTAGACCCAGTTTTCCGCGACGCATTCACTGCGTTGACCATAGCATATTTCTGCGCTGCGCGTGTTCTTCTCGCCATCCTGGATCCTCAGTCGATGACTACTCGGGCTGAACTTACGGGTCATTGCGCCACTATTATCTCGTGCGCACGGTATTTACAAACGGAAAGCATCGGCGTGGTTTATATGCGGATGACGACGCCGCTGTATCTCGTTTGCCTTCATAGCCCCGATCCACTGCTGATAACAGAGACTCTCAGGATGTTCGAGACCTGGAAGGGTGGGGCTATGAAAGGTGTTACTGCTCGGGCATTGGAGAAGATATATGCGCGACGGAATTCCAGGACGGGGGGACATTAAGATTGGAAATCCGCATTGATTTCGAGCGACTTTTGTCGGGGCTCGACTGAAGCCCACATATCCAGTCACGAATGTCTCTTCGCAAGAATTGAGACAGCAGTCGGAAACGCAACATATACATGGTCGGCCCAAGGTCTTTTATTGAGCACCTGGCAATCCCCAATTTCTGAAAAAATCGGAAAGCATCGAGTACCACTCACGGCTGTTTCGTAGGCAGTGCACAACTTCCTTGCACTGCGCCACCTCCGCGACTGCGCCCAAGCCTCAACTCGTATTTGATGGTGGCTGAGCAGACACCCACAGCTTCAGCAGTCTTCGAGAGCAATCCTCGCGATGTTCCCACATCAAAAGGCTATTGAAGATTCTGAAATCTTTTCTATATCTCATAATGGCTTCGAAGCGAACAAGGCGTGCCCGCCGTCAGCATAGATCCACGGGCAACGCGAGTACAGCCAAGTCAACCGCACAGGCATGTTACACATATTCGCCTCTACCGACCGAAACATCGATCCGCCTATTAGAAGTATTACCTTCATCAGACGGTGAAATCAACATCTCGCTAAGAGTATTTGATCTTAAAGATGAACCGGTCTTCGATGCTCTTTCTTACTCGTGGGCGAACCCAGTAACTATCGCCGAAGAGCCCCTACCTCGAGGCCAGGAGCGCACAGAAGTTGTCAGGTCCATTACCGTTTCTCAAAGTCTCCTCACCGCCAGCGGTCAGAACCCCGTAACTCTGGACACTACTCTGCTGTCGTTTCTGAGTGCTCATCCAAGCCTACCTTATGTGGAATATGGAAACCGCCAGGATCACACACATATTGTCAATTGCGATGGGCGGAAGATATCCCTCTCCAAAACGTTGTTTGAGGCCTTGGCATGCCTTCGCTGGATTCTTTCCAGGAAATTAGACGGCGAGGGCCAGGGCATGGTCTACCTGGAGACACTTCCAACATCGCGCTCACGTTATATATGGATTGACGTGATTTGCATAAATGTAAGTCCTATCCGTCTTAGCGCTGGCTACTGACTGAGTTGGGTACTCAAACGCAAGCGGACTTAGAGGAAAGGGCATCACAGGTGCCGTTGATGAACCGGATTTTCGCCTCTGCACAGCACGTCTTCGCTTGGGTGGGAGAGCTTGACACCTTGAGTTACGCGGCCTGGGAAACCATTCCAACGATATGTGATGTGTACCGGTCCGGACAGCCTTGGATCCCAGGCCATGCAACCTTCGAGGACAGAGTGGAGAAGAGGGTCCAGCTTTACACGCTGGCCATGCTTCTATCAAGAAGGTGGTTTCGAAGAGCCTGGGTGGTTCAAGAGGCCGTGTATGCGCGCCGCCTTTATCTGTGGTCTGGACCATTTTTCCTAGATTGGTGGAAACTGCTACCTGCCATCCGTGTCTTCGAGACGGGAGCTCGTATCGATGACACTGTAACACTCATGGGACGCTTGATTCGACGTGAACCAACGTCACTAGTTAAAATGTTTAACCGAGTCCATTCCGGTGGGGTCAGGGAGAAGGTCATCACAGCAGCGGTTACAGATGAGGAGCTATTTGATCTGGTGAAAGCAGCTGTGGGCTTTATCAATGGTGTGGTGGAAATGAAAAGGTCATTGGGACTACCTTACTATGAGCCCCGTGAAGGAGTGCAAACGACATCATTTGCTGGGGAGTGTGGCTCAGTCAAGGAGAACATTGTGTCGCAAACCGCGGCCTTGGACTCTGACCAAGACCTTTCTCTTCCGCCGGTGTTAGGGTAGGATTGCACGTCTGACATGACCCGGCAGACGATAACCCAGGATGATCTGGTGTCCATGTTTGGACCGCTATCAGCACCATTTCGGGAAAGGAAGTCTGGAATCCCCGAGGACCTTCAGTACGGAGGCTTTCGCGTCAATGCGAGGTATGTGCACAACAATGAGCCGTTGACCCAGCCCTCCGGGCATGTGCCAGTTTCGCTCTTCTCCTTGATAACCAGGTTCCGGGACGTCGGTGCTTCAGATCCTCGTGATAAAGTGTTTGCGTTTCTGCACATGGCAACAGAGACGTTGGACTTGAAGGCAAATTACCGTGCAAGTCCACAGTTCATTTACCTAAGAACCGCGCAGCTGCTCTTGAAAAAGGACCTAACCCTCCTATCTCATGTTCAGGATCCGGAAGACACCAAGCTTACTGGTTTGCCCAGCTTGGTGCCAGACTTCAGTGTACCTCTGGGTCGCGTGCCTTTCGCGACTTCGGAACCGTGTGTCTACTCTGCCAGTGGCTCGGGAGGAGCCCAGCCTCTCTTCTTTCGCACGGCAGACCAAGAGACTGGAAAGCTCGAAGTGCTGGTTCTGTGCGGGCGGTACGTGGACACTGTTGCTGGAGTTGCCAGACGTAAAGGGTGCTACTTTACTCGAGTTGGAGAGCTAGCGCTCCAAACGCCGAAGTTTTACAGCAAAGTCACGGGTCTCGAGTACACGCGAAAGAGCAGAAAATATCTGCATTATGCATTTGGTACCGAGGAATACGAGGGCGGACCTGCGCCCCTATGCCGGGTTGAAGCTCTTTGGCGCACCCTCATCGGTGATTACTCTTCCGGCCTATATCCTGCACCAGTGACTACTGGTTTTGGGTTCTCCGAATGGGTAGCCACGCATCTACATCATTCCACACACCTGTCGGCTCTCGCACAAGATCATATCGCTGCTGCTAATCCACAAGCAGTGAGTGCGGTTATAAACGACTTCGATGCCATCCAGAAACGCAAACAAGATGTCTTTACTCGACTGCACCCGGACGAACCAGGCGGCTATCTGTGTTTCGATTGCGCAAACGAGTTTTTCAACGACCGTTTTGCCGACGACGGTGATGCCAAACGCATGCTGGACAAGGTCGGCCTGGTGCCCGCGATGCATCCGGTTCGCTACATGCCAGATGCCGACCGCCTGAGAGCCCTCCAGCCTTGTTTCCCGAATCTCCTTTCCATGACAGCCAAAGAGGACCGACTAGAGTTTGCTCGAGATAGCAGCAAGAAGTGCCCGGACCTTTCCAGGGCCGAAGCCGCACGTCGGTCGGAATTCGAAAATCGCATGCGCGAGGTCAAGAAGGGCCGCAGGATGTTTCGAACCGAGCGAGACCTGTTGGGGATGGGGACCAAGTCCGTCAGAGAAGGTGATGAGGTATGGATTCTGCCGGGGGCGAAGGTACCGTTTGTTTTGAGGCCAGTTAAGGGGAAGACACCGAAGCGGTTTCGGCTGGTTGAGGAGGCGTATTTGCATGGGTATATGGATGGGGAGGTTTTGGGCGAGGGGAGGGAGTTGGAGGCTTTTGGGTTGGTTTGAGTGGTTTTACCATTGTCATTTTCATCGGAGTTTGTTTTTTAGAAAAATCTTACAGCAGGGTCGTCTCATTGTGCAGCGACTCGCTCATGCTATCGTGTTATCCGCCGCCCTCGTGCTTCACCGTATCTCCCTCCTGTCTTATCTTCTCCCCCCACTCCTCAAACCCAAAACTCCAAATCTTTTCCTGCGCACTCAGAGCCGCCTTCCCCTTCTTCCCTTCCTTCCCCCCCTCACTCCCATCCTCCTTGCTACTCCACCTCCCTACATGCTGCACCAAACTCGGCCTAACCACCCACCTCACCTCGTCCCCCTTATCCGCAAACTCCTCGGTCAAGACATCCACAAACCCGACCTTCCTCTCCTCAAACCACTCAATGAGCGGCGCGACCTTGCTGCGCGGGAAAACCAACGCCTGCGAACAGCAGCCATACGCCGGCATCTCATAAACACCATCCGGAAGCGGCATCACCGTAAGACGACCCAGTGCGAACAACACAAGAATCAAACAAACCACAAACAGCGGCACACTGCAGAAGACGAAACGCTGCGACATCATCACCCCCGCCACGCGCTTCATCCTCACATCCCTCGCATCATCCCGCGTGCACCGCCACCACCTCCGCAGTCCCCAGAGCAGCAGCACGGGCAACCCAACCGCCAGCGCAGAATACCCCGCATACGACCTCCAGTCCTCGACGTTCCACCCCAGAAACTCCTCGGTGAAGAAGAGCCGCAGGTACAAAAACTCCTTTGCGTACCGCTCGACAGACAACCGGTGCGCCGTCTCGAGCGCGGCGCGCGCCCTTGCATACCACCCTTGCACAGCGACGACGTCATCTTCGAACACCGCGACATACTCCACCGACTCGAGAGCCGCGCAGCGGCGGAGCAGGAACGAGTAATCGTACAATCCCTTTTCGCGAAACAGGCCGCCTTGGGATTCCATTTCTTGCACGTGATGCAGGTCCGCCGGGGAGAGGGTGGATGGGTAGGTGAGGACTTCGTCGGATAGTGCCCAGAGCCAGGGGGAGGTGTAGAGTGGGTGCGAGGTTGGGTCCGAGTGGGCGATGAAGACGATGAGGTGGATTTGGGCGCGCTCCTGGGGGGTCAGGCCGTGCAGGAGGGAGCCGAGGGTTAGGGGCAGGTAGGAGGCGTGTTTGCGCGAGATGGTGGGGATGGCGACGCAGAGGGTTTTTTCATCTTGGTCTTCTGAAGGTGGGCGTGGGGGATTGGGTTGGGGTTGCGAGGAGGAGGAGTTATTGCTCCCTGCCGTAGAAGCAGAAGCAGAAGCAGCAGCGGCAGCAGCAGAAGCAATAAAATCCTCCGCCTCCTGAGCTCTAATCTTCGAATACCGTGGCTCGTACCCCTTCCTCGTGTCGAAGAAGACGGACGTCGGGTCCCGAGTCGCCGCGGCGTGCAGGCGGAACGCGGTATATACGGTTATCAAAACCAAGCAAGCGACTACGAGACGCGAGGGCGATAAACTGCGGAACGCCATGCGGAAGCGATGCTCATGGGACGATGATGGAAGGGGCGGGAAATCAGGGTATCATGGCAAATAAATAGGAGAAAACGACTCAATGTGCAAAATGCAAAGGTCAGAAGAATATAACAGGAGGAGGAGGAGGCCTGATGGGGGTACCGGTATGGATAATAGGACGCCTAATAGATGGGGCGCAAGCTTACTGATATATCTGCGAGGCACAGCAACGTTAAGATAGAGTTTTTCAAACGGAGGTGCTGATCCGGCGCCAAGACCAAACGGCTAGGAAGAGGAATGTAAGCGGATACGCAGGATTCTTGCAGCAGCATGGATGGAACATGGTTGAAGACAATTGACTTGTTCAATCACTGAGGATTCGTTTACATCATGAAGGAACTGGAAAGAATACGTAAACTTCGTAGTGCCATTATCAGTACATCCCTCGATGCAGAGAAACACGGCGGCGACAATTGAAAGCCATCCGACTCTCACCGAAGGCTCACTGCATGTATACGTATCATCGTCCGAATAGAAACAACACTTTCCCACCCGTCTAGAACCCCGATCCCAATCCGTAAACCGTGGGTATACCCCGAAACCCAAGCAGAAACAACTCGGAAATCAAATACAATAATAAGAAATCAACGAAGAGTAAAAATTTGACGCCCTACTCAACACAGGCAACCAGCGTCTTCTCGTAGTCACCCCTCGTCTCGCCCTTGATCCGCTTGACGAGATCTTTACCGTACCGTCTCTGGTACTCGGAGCGGACGCGCTGCATGTGCTGCTTATCCCAATGTGCGCGAACGACTCGCTGGATGAGGAGGGTATCCTTTGAACAAAGTCAGCTAACCTATACGTCGTGGGGATAATCGTTATCACATACATTTGTACCCAGACCAGCCATGGCATCCTCGAGCTGCTCGGCGTCACTGAGTGCACGATTCTGCGCACGGGCAACAAGCAGAAGCAGAGCCTGCTCCATGTGGCCATCAAAAGTCCGCTTCAGAGTCTTCACGAAAGGCTGGCCGTACTGTTGCTCATATCTCTGAGCAATAGCACGGATCTGTGCGTCACTCCTGCTTGTCAGGATCTGACAGGCCTTGACAGAGTTCTTGGTCATGAAGTTGCCAAAGGCTCCCTGTAGTTCTGCGACGTCGCGCTCGACCTGTTGCGGGTTGACCGGGTCCACCTCTTCGCTTCGCTGGGCAGATACTATCATGATGAACATCTGTTCGGTGGCGGCGGACAGATCGCTCCTGAGATCGCCCTCGAGCGATCTTCCGTGGACTTGCTGATATTCGCGCTTGATGGCGTTGATGTCGGCATTGCTCCTCCCGATCAGGACGTCGTTGAGGACCGATTCCTTTGTACCCATGCCCTTCATGGCTGCCCGGAGGTTCCACACATCGCTGAGAAGGGGCCCGCGTGCGATTTGAACCAGGGCATCCTCGAAATTGCCCGAAGTCTCGCTTTCCAACCGCTTGATCAAATCCTCGTGGTACCTCTGATTGTACTGAGCGCGAACAGCGTTGACCTGGATTGGGTCCAGTTTGGGGAGAATTGCGATAAGCTGTTTCTCATTCGTGCCGAAGCCTTTCATCGCCTTGTACAGCCCCTCAACCTGCGCCGTGACATTGATATTCTGGGGTGCAGGTCCGTAGCCCGGAGATGGTGGGATTGCCTGAGTCGGGTAACCTCCATATTGCCCTGGCGGAGGCGCCCCATAATATTGCTGCTGCTGCTGCTGAGGTGGGTAGCCTTGAGGAGGATACTGGCCCGGGGGAGGTGCTGGAGAACCGTAACCGGCAGGCGGTTGGCCCCACTGTTGCTGAGGGGGAGGGTATTGGCCAGGCGGGGGCGCGCCATATTGGCCTTGAGGTGGGGGATATTGGCCCTGGGGAGGCTGCCCGTAGGGCTGTTGCGGGGGAGGGTACTGTTGCGGCGGGTATCCCTGAGGGGGGTACTGCTGGTTGGGCGGTGCACCCCAGGCCTGCTGCTGAGGAGGATAAGAGGGCGGAGGATATTGGCCTGGCGGGTATTGGCCTGCTGGCGGTTGACCGTAGCCTTGCTGGGGAGGAGGAGCTTCATGGAAGTGTCAGTGAAATTGCGACGACGACGTGTGGATGCGCCTGTGAAGAGACGCTCCTCTTTGAGGACGACTTACGGCCTCCAGGCGCCGGATACTGCTGGTTGTTGGGGTACGACATTATAGTTGATGGTTGTTTTGAGTGAGGTGGACAGACGTAGAAGAAGAATTGTCCGAAAGTGGTCTTCAGTGTTTATAACATGTTGCGGCTGTGTGAGGGTACAGTCTTACGCCACGAGCACAGCCCCTCGTAGTGAACAGGTCCTGGTCAAAGGTGGGGTAGGGATGAGCGGAGGTTGCAGCCCCATTCGTCGCTGCGGTTCGCGCCAACACCGAGGCGTGGCGGTGCCAGACTGTGGCGTCACCCTTCCGAGTAAGGCAGCGTCTGCTGTCCTCCCTCCAGTGTGTAATCTGCAAATCACCGAAGGCTACTCCGTAGTCTCCATAGATTAGTTATCCACATGGGTATGTACAAAATCACCTCCCCATAGCCTTAAGGTGATTGGAGATTGTGTGTTCTCTTCGCCTTCACGCAGGTTGGACGCAATCTCCTGTCTCCAACTTGCGCCATAGTCCCCGCATCCTAACCGCCTTTCTATCCGAAAGGTTTTAACGTAACCCTTTCTCGGATACCTAGGTACACAGTAACAGATGGCGAAGATAGAAATCGATCGAGTAGTCTCTCCACTTTTGCGTAAACCTGCTCGCCCCCTATTGCCCTCCAGGTATACCCAGGTACAAGGTAGACTACATGAACCCTCTCATTCGTTAATTCTTTCAAATATACCGAACATCGAGCACGGGAGGCTGTGCAGTGGCGCATGGCACGGGCAACGGCCAACACCGATGATGCGGTAAGATATAGGTCCATATTTCCTATTGAGCATTTGTGAAGCAGGGGAAAAGGGACACCCGAGCAACGGCATTGATTCCACCCGTCGGATGCGGAAAAGAACTAGTCCATTGGCACCCAAGGAGAACTCGGGCTTTGCACAACATAATAATGATTTTGCATTTCCATCAGCCCCCTTCTTCACACAGCCAACTTTCCAAACAGAGCATCGGACTCGGATTCCTCTAGCCCAGGACCCGAACCCTCAAACCAACACTTGCGAGAACCAACCAACCTACTAACATCAAACCCAACCCATCACGGCGCAGTTGAAATACTGACATCCGTACGCCATGCGATGCGACGATGCGATAAGAGAGCAGACAAAGGAATGGAAAACACGGTATATCACCATCCTATACCGGACGCCGAGACGCCGAAAAGAGACTGCCCTTGGTCTTGAAAACTTCAGCACTTGAAGTGTGTATGAGACCGCGGTGGGAAAAGAAAAAGGGGAAAGAGGAGACGCTGTCCCAAGCCCTGACTTTTATGTTCTCTGGTGTGTTCGCTCGTTCGGCGAATCCGTGACTGAGGCTGCATAGCTCTCACCAGGATGGACAGGCTCTTCTGAGGTTGCCCTTGATGGTCGGGGGAGTACGGGTCTCATGCAACGGTCGCGTCCAGAGCCCAGACTCGACCAGATCCAATAATTATTCCAAACCGTCTATGTGCATTCAATGCGTTGTCGAAGGGAAACCATGTGCAAGAAGAGTAGATGGGGATGAATGCGGAGGACCAGCCGTTTCGTCGTTACACGTCAGGGTGTTTTCAGTTGAAGATTTCACCGATATGACGCTCGTCTTCGGGTTTCCATGTCCCTGGTTATGCGGTTAGCACACAGAGGCGTGGCCCGAATACCATCTTTTGGAGAGATTACGTACCCTCAAAGTTGTGCTTTACAAACGCCATTGGGTCGTCTTCCTCGCCTGCACCCATGGTCTTGATGCCAGGGCTGAAACTGGTGATTGGCAGGATGATGACATCGCCAACCTTCTTGGGGTGCGTCATGCCAGTGAACTGCTGCCATGTGATATTGCCTTTGCTGGTGGACATGTCGAAGTACTCTGGATTGTTGAAGAAGTGGAAAATGGTGTCAGTCCAGAGACCAGGGCCAGTGAACTCAATGATACTCTTGTGGTCCTTGCTCAACCGGCCCTCAGCCTTTCGCTTCAATGCCTCTTGGGTAATGTTTGCTACTACATCGACGAGGATGGGGTGCCCTGGCTTGGATTGAATCGTCCACTGGCAGAACTGTATGCGGCGGGAGTACCATTCAGCCCAATCTGGGCGATCGGGATCAGCCTCGATTCCGATAACCATGCCATATGAATTGATGGGAACGTCTCGAGGAACCCAGTCGGCCGCACTTTTCAATGCTTTTGTATCAATGTCCGAGTAGATTCCTCCGCGAGCCAGCAATATTAGGTAGCGGAAGAAGTCGGCCTTGAGAACGGGAAGCGGGAGCGTGTTGTATGCTTCGATAACCTCTGGCACAGCGGCATAAAGATGACGAATCAGGTGCACGGCGACGTTGTCGGTGATGACCTCGTGCACAAAGTCGGGATGCAGGATGGTCCAACTAGCCTCAGGCTCACGGAATTCGTCGCCGAACTCGCCCTGGGCTGGTGTGTATTTCCAGGTCTGCCATATGTATGCGGGAAACTTAGACTCGACGTCGTAGGGAAACTGGTACTCAAGCTGCTGCTTGAGCGGCTTCCTCCTCAAGTCATCCATGCTTATCTGCGTCTTGGGCCTCTTGACCGGAGCGCTTGGTGCCGTGAAGGATTTGGCCTCACCGTTGCCTACGGAGGGAGTTTGTGTTGTTTCCTGTTTTGCAGGCTGGGTCTTGGGTTGGAGCATTGGGGGCTTTGGGAGGTCGTTCGCATTACGAAAGGACCGGGGCGGGTCGCGGTTGTGATGGGACCGAAATATGAAGAATAAGGATAAGACGGCCATTGCCGCAACGACGGCTTTTCTGAAGGTGAGCATTGTGGCCTCGTTGTGAAGAGAGGAGAAGAAGGGTATGGTTTTCCGAGGTGGGGAGAGGAGGGAAGGAGAGGGTCCCGGGCAGGGTTGGAACGGATCGAGATGCTGACAAGGCGGAAGGACGAAGTCGACGTGTTGCAGTGGCGCCTGCCGTGTGAAAAATGGCGACACGATGCGGAGACTGAAGGGTCGGTGCGGTTGAGAAGGACGGTGGAGAGAGGGTTGTCAATTGCCCGAGGGGACAGAGGCTCTGCCGCTCTTGTGTTCTTATCAACGAACCTGGCCGTTGTACTAAATGATACACGTCGCACACGCCGCCGAGCGGTGCGGAAGAGTTTGTATGGAACAGCGGAGAGAGCAGCTTGTGTCGCCAGAGTGACGAGTCTGCTGAGGTGGGCGGGGGAGGAGGGACACAATAAGAGGACACAGTGGGCAGGCGATGGTCGTTGTTGAGGCTGGTTGCGGCGAAAATACGGAGTTGGGAGGGACGGCTGAGAACAATTGACAGGCCCACAGCGGCGCTGCCCCCGGCGTCGTTTCAGGACACCCGCCAGGATTTCGCCGCGGTCGATCAATCTCTGGGCAGCGCCGGGGCGAAAGCTGACGAGGACTCGATGCTTACTGTATTATATTACTCGGTAAGCGATTCGAACTTGTATCCACGACAGAGTACGGATACTACTCAACAATGGAAAAGCAGGCTGGACAACACTGAGCAAAGCCTGGGACGGAGCTGAGTGTGAAAAGAAGTTGCACAGAGAGAGGGCGATGGTGCGCCGGAAACGACAATTCGTCCCTTTGCTCCCTCAGCTTCCAAAGTTTCAAAGGTTGTCAGAAATACGCGATTGCCGAAGGGGGCCTAGTGTCAGAGGCACCGCGTGTGCAGCTGCGCAGTATTGTACGACATACACTCAGCAACCTGCAACGCCTCTGCACTGCCCTGGACTAAATAAGCCGCCTACGATGGGCGAAGAAGCGCGGCGATAACGTTTCCCTCCACCGGCGCATGTCTGTCGGCTTTTTCTTCGTCGCAGAATACCGTTACATAGTCGACGCAGCAGCAACGCGGCAATGTCGATGAATGGAAGCGATGACGGAGGACACGCGGCAGGCTGAAACAAGCCGCGCCAAGCTTCTGCTACTGCCGCTTTCCGCTAAGCGTCCCGGGCCATTTTTTTAGCAGCTGTCCCACCCGCCACCTCTCATTGGGCGACTGAGGTAGGCGGTGCATTTGCCTCTCCATTCATCCAGCAACACCATCGATACGCCTCTCGTTCAGTCAAGCGTTGTGATTCATGGAACAAAAGAAACACTCAAAATACTGAGAAATGGTTCATGTTCCTCCGTGCAAGCGTCAAACTCCAACAGTGCAAGATCGACATGAGAGAATGCGAGCGAAGATTGCTGCATTGCCAAGGTGCACGTCTTAATCTGTTTGATACAGCCTTTGCGTATCTTCTGCCCTAACCTTCAGGACACGTGCAATCACCTTCTTCCGCGTCCAATTTACGTTGGTAGCATACTAGTATTGAATATCAAACGTCTTGTATGGAGACCGATTTCCCCTCGACGACCGAAAACAGTCCCCTCCCATATCCAGGAAACGGACTATGTACCTAGGTAGGGAAGGAAGCGCTAGTCACCTTGATCATGTTCAAATATCCAACCGTAAAACTGGACATGTTGACTCCGCCTGTGGCTATTTTCAACTTCTCTTCACAGTCATAACCATGTTCGCACGCCTGGGAATAGCGAAAGCTTCCGGTGCCAGACATAGTAATGATCATGACGCCAATGCCTCCCCCATTTGTCTGAAAGACCACAATTCCTCTACCCGTCAAGGCGCTTTATTATTTCGAGAGTATGCATTACATGAGAGATTGGTCCATCAATCACTGGTGGCAGAGCAATAGACCCTGTAACAACAGTCACGTGAGACTGCTACCATTACTAATCAACTTCAAGAACCCAACCTAACCCGTTCGGTGCTCAACGGGACCTTGACTGATGGATGACTCCATTTGAACCTATAGATGCATGAACAAATGTCCGCTTGGTCTACCTATATCATAAGCATCATATCCAGCTCTCTAGATATAGCGGGCTTTTGCTTAACCTTCCGACAGTTTCACCTGCACCTTCCAGAGCACATCTCCTCCCATCCCGCCACCGTGAAGGCAGTCGCCAGCGGAGGGAGAGCGGCAACCGTCCTCAGTTTGTTCTTCTACTCTCCGCTTACCACTCAGCCAGCTCCATTCCTCCGCTAATATCCCAGCACTATCTCTATACGGCGATGCCCAGGAAACGCAGACCACAATACGCCCAGACGAAGCCAACATACGTTCATCCTTCACTCCAGCGCTCAGCGTCCCCGAGCTCATCCACCAATGAATCCACAAACGAACCGACCGTCAACCAACTCATTCACCAACTACGCCGAGAACAAGCGCCTGGTACAACGGTACAAAAGAGGGATGAGGTCACGGACATTGTCAGTCAGCGTACCGTCCCGCCCCATTTGCGACGTATCCTACAGCTACCAGAGGTTGAGCCTCTGCCACCAAAGCCAGGTGGTCGCTCGCGCACCCCACGTTCAGGACCGCGACCGCCGCCAGGTCCCGCTCCACCTACCAGTTGGCTGGCGGGTTTGCATATAAGCGGAGGTGACCCAGAAGGTCCACTCGATATGAATAGGCCCGGACTGGCAAAGCAGCGGCAGCTGTGCCTGCTGGCAAAACTGCACTACGACGAGTTCAAGGTAGGCTTCGCTTCATGAGCGATGCTATACAAGGTCTTCGAAAAGAGGATACTGGTAGCTGGAACGTCAGTATGCGTGGAACGCCCCGTACATCGAACCGGAAAAGTTACACCCAACACCTGTATTGCGATGGTAACAAGCCTTTGTTCCATTCTGCAAGGCTCGATAGCATAACCCCGTCGGACTCTTCACCGCCGCTCATGTCCCTCTTTTCGAAGGCCTTGAGCAAGCTTTCCTCAAGAGCCTCAACCCCGCACAGTTCACTTACATTGCGCAGAGGTTTCCGCGTCCCCATAGTCTTACCGACATGGCAATGAAAGGCTTTATAGAGCATTGGGAGCAGTTGATGTTCGAAGAATACTACAACATCGGCGAGCTGCAAACCCATCTGAAAGAGGCTCTTTTGAGCTATGCGACAATGTACGGCTCCAGAGGCTGTGTCGATCTTCAGTCGCTTCAGGCATTGTTCGGCAGGTCGAGGCTCGAAGGGGAGTATGTACAGCATGCCGATGACATAGCTTTCATGGACCTCACCGGACTGCTTGACGCAAATACTTTGTGGTATCTCTGCAAGTTCCTGCTTGGTCCGGCGATCTCCCATTCGCCAAATGTGCCTCCCGGGGACACTTTGCTGGCCCCAGCCAAAGGGAAGGAGAAGGCTACCACGGATGTCCCTGACTCATGGGAAGACGAGCAGATTCCAACCAGTCCTCATCTGTCAAGAGCAAAGTTGACCAGTCCACCGTTCCCGCACCTCACTCGCCTTGCACTTGGGCATCCCGGCGCAGGGGCCTCCTGGGCCAAACTCATAACGATCACGGATGATCTTAGGGGTTTAACGCATTTGTCGCTGGCTTATTGGCCCCTTCCGGCGTATCCATGGCGTACTGACGATGTCGGCTTCCGCGACTTTTCCGACGACGAGATGAACGATGCAAGCATCACTCTATCACAATTAGCTCGGGATACGCGTGGTCTCAAATGGCTTGACCTGGAAGGCTGCAGCTGGCTCCAAGCTCTTATATGGGAACAGAAATCCACCGATGATGGTCCTGCGCATGGCTCTGGCGATTGGGCCATGTACACGCCATGGAGAAATATCTGCGAAGCGTATTGGGACCAGCTAGAATACATCAACATGTTCGCGGGATGGGTGCCGTCGAGCCGGTCAATCATCGCACGGCCGTCGGGACACCGCCAGATGCGCGTTCTGCAATGGTTGCGGACCCAAGGCCGCAAGGAGGAGCACAAGCACAAGGTTCGCGAAGATCCTAGACCCTGGCAAGTGGTGCAGTGGTTCCAGCGGGATGAGATGGCGCAGATGGTTGCTAGGTCAATCAAGGAGAGCGCGTCGGCTAGAAACCGAGTATGTATATGTGATAACGGGCTCTCGATCACTTAGGTGTCATCGATGGAGGTTGAATGATGGGCGAGAAGCGTTGTAGATGCTGCTGGTTTGGTTATATGATGGCAACAGCAACGTATAGCGTTGCGTGAACTTGAGACACTGAACTTTATCCATACTTGCTAGCTGCCGTTGCAACTGTGCGCTTCTACAGCTACTGCTAGATGAAATTTACGATTCGCAGCCCTCCCACGCATCTTGGCTACATTGTCATTCTGCATAAGGAAACAAGAACCAGGATGCAATGGCACCGAGCGCTGCCTTCTTCACCGAAACCTTACTCTTGGTTAACTAACTAGACTATACATTGGCAGATATTAGACACTGACTTTGCCGTAGCTCGTTTCCAGCTCTGTACCTTTTTTTTATACCCAGAGGGTGATGAGGTAGCTAGCTTTCACAAAGCGAGAAGTGAGTGGTCCATCCCTTGTTTACTTCTTTGCATGCGGGTAACAGCATTATTATTTCTGATATGTACTGTAAGCGCCATCCGAGTAGTGATAATGCGCATTTTTTTCCCTGTTATCGAGCACAAGTCTTCTAGAAATCTGCTAATTCGATAAAGATCTTGCTGCAAGGGCCCTTGTGTGTAGGGTAAGCTAAGGACAGGTATGTAGCTGGAGGTAGGTAGGGGCACTAAGTCTCTAGCGTTCTCCTCTTTAACGATGCTCTAGGTCTACTGGGAGGAAGTCGTAGCACTTGGTTTTTCTAGAGGACGGGATAGATTTTTGTGGCGTGCTGGGTTGTTGGAAAACTGATAGAGCTAGGTGAACTGGAGGTAGATTCTCAATTCGAACCATGTAGGCAAGCATGTTAACATGGCTGCATACGTTCGCTCTACCACCACTGCATGAATCCAACTAGGGCGCAGCAATAGAAAACAATTTCTCAACTCTGATACACTTCACAACATTCCACCAGCAAACTCCCAACCCGACCCAAGCACCCAAGGGCACTCCATCCCCTCCTCACCCCCGCAAATCCACCCCATCCATAACGCTCCCTCCTACCACATCTCCCACACCCCCGCCGGCAAAACCTCCCTCATAATCCTCCAATGACTCACAGCGCCCCTCCGATGCCACCTCTCCAGCTCCCCCACCTCCGCCCTCCCCATGACCTTCCCGCCCCGTTCCTCAGCCAAATACTCGAACCGAATCTCCAACTCCTCCCTCGGCGCTAGGAAATTCCGCCTGGCAATACTGCCCCCGAAGTCCTCCTCCGTCGGTTCGCGAAACCGAATCACATCCTCTTTAGCCGCACCCGGGGGGGAACGCTTGACGCAGAAGACAACCATGTTGATGAAATCCGGTTTCTCGGGCGTCCAGTCCTCGGCGCGGGGGGAGTCGCGGTAGAGGCGGCAGCGGGGGAAGACGGCGTGGATGGTGTTGAGGACGAGGCGGGTGGACGGGAGGGACAAATCGCCGGCGTAGTTGATGGCTACGACGCCGTCGTCCTTTAACAGGCGTTTCAGGCCCGAGAGAAATTCGCGCGTGAAGAGGTGCACGGGTTCGGCGCCGCCGGTGAAGACGTCGTGGATGATGTAGTTGTACGAGGACGGGCGGGCGAGGGACTCGTCGGCGACGTATTGCACGGCGTCGGCGAGGACGGCGTGGTGGTTGGGCGAGAGGTCGAAGTATTTAGAGGCGAAGTGGTGGACTACTGGGTCGAGTTCGACGATGGTCGTGGTGATGTTGTGCGAGATGAGGGCGTTGGGGGCGGTGCCTGCGCCGAGGCCGATGACGAGGGCGGATTTCTCCGAGTCGGGGATGGTGGGTTGCGAGGTGGGAGGGAGGACTAGGCGGATGGCTTCGAGGAGGACGAAGACGGAGAAGATGGGTTCGCGCTGCCGTTGGCCTCTGGCGTAGGCGGCCGGCGTGACCATCCATTCGCCGCCGAGGAGGGAGTGGTCGCAGCGCATCAGGCGGAAGGCGTTGTCGGCGTCGTTCTCGAGCACGGAGACGTAGCCGGTTATGGACTCATGGCGGGCGAGGAGAGTGAAATTGGTGGATGCGTAAAGGGTCGCGTTGGCTCTTTGTAGAGCACTGTCCGAGCCTGCATAGTGAGGGTTGGCGTAGAGCGTGTGCAGGATCGCTGGGAACGCGAGGAGAATAACGCGCGACGGACTCAGAATCGCCGTAATGGAACCGATGAGCGTTTGGAAACCGATCCTTGTGAACCAAACGTGTGTACCAACGTACAGAGGGAGAATGGCTCCGGCAATCTTGGATACCGAGGAGACAGTAGCGTAGGATGCAATAGGTAACACCGCCTCTGCAACAGCTGGGGGAAGTCTGAATTGAGCCGGATCCAGAGAGTCCAATAGGTCCCCGGCCGTATAGCAGCAGAGGAAGAGCAGGGGAAGATATGTCAGAGCCTCAATGATTAACGGTCCATATTCAATGCCCAATTGGCCGCTGTACTGGAAGAGCAGGAACTGGATCACGGGTGTCCAGTACGCAATGACAGCAATGTAATCTTCCACTCTCGAGGGCAATATCTTTTTCAGACCTCCTCTTCCTATGAATGCCAATGCAGCGGTGACCGTGATGGCTCTTTGGTGATGCAGCGACGCGGGAATGGAACCATAGACAGGGGAAAGGCTGAGCTGCGAAACAGGTGACGCAAGTCCAGCAACGATGAGGAAGGCGGCGGCTCGGCCGGCGAGCCTGAGTACGGTAGATGTAGGCAGATCTTTTGATTGTTTTGAAGCTTCTCGCGCCGCCTTGGGCTTCCGCGGCGAAGCTTTCGCTCTCGACGACATGTTTTATAGACAGAATGGTAAGGGAGAAGTGATACGAAACGACTTTAAAAAAGAACAAATAGCTAGACCTGTGGCATATTTGTGTAATTCTAACCCGCCAGAACGGACCGGTACGCCGTTAGACAAACGTTCTAACGAGGGACGAGTTCAATGTGTATCCCGCAGCGCAAAAGGACACATGGTGTGTGGTTTGCGCAAACCTTGGAAACAGCCGGGCCGGCCGAAGAGGGTTAGAGCGCCAAGAAGCGCAATGTTAGAACCATGATCCCTGCGTGGCGGGACGGGAATGCTGTGGCGTCACCGAGAGCTCCCCACTACTCCGTACCTCAACATCCTTTACCTTCACTTCACGTCATCCACTCCGCGACTTGCATTACCAGCTAGCTACTGCAATGCCGTACTTCAACAGCGACTACACCATGACCCAGCTCACACTCCGCCCCGCGAATACCAATCAAGACCCCTCAACCTGCTCCCAACCTGCCAACGAAGACGCCGTCATGCGCGAACTCGACCCCCGAGACGAACACCGCGCGCAGCGCCTCGTAGCCAAGAACCGACGAAAGCGCTACCTCGAGCTGCACCCAGAGTACTTCGAAGACAGCTCCCTGGAGCTAGCCGACCCGCTCCTCTACGACCGCCTCATCCGGCGCTTCCAGACGGCCGCCGAGCGCGAGGCCGAGGCGCAACGGAAAGGTTTCTCCGGGGTCCTGGCTACCGATCTCTGGCGCGCCGAAGCTAAGAAAGACGCGCTCGCGCATCCGAACCCGAATTCATTGTTTTCGTACTCGCGAGGGCCGCGGGGGGAGATCGTGGAGGAGGACAAGGACGAGAGGCCGTTGACGAAGGAGGAAGGGAAGGCGTGGTGGGTGGATGAGATGACGCAACGGTTTCTCAGTGGTGAGGATACGGATTTCGACTACAAAGTTGTGGATGGCAGCGAGAAGTATGATGATCCCGAGGAGGAGCGCGATATCCAGGAGGCTTGGTTTGAGAGCATGGAGTCGGATTTCGATACCGATGGTGAGGGGAAAGAGAAGGTGCTTACGGGGCAGACGGGCATACAAGACTACTGAAGAAATGAGGTTATGCAATGCTTTTACGAAGACATGGAACGACGAGCGAGCCGACCCGCGACTATGGGAATGCATTATCCCCGGACATTCGAATCGCAGAGAGTAACGCGAAGCCACAGCGCGATATCCGGACTCGCTTATCTCCTCAGGAGTAACGCCGTTGTGCTCCTCTCCCACCAGCCGCCGCTCACGCTTCGTCGATGCCCTTATAGTCCAGAACAAGCACCACCAACGAAAGGATACCTCCTCCAATGAAGCCCAGCTCAAAGGCATGGCCAAGGACGAAACGAGGCCTATCATTGGCGCCGTAAAAAACAGAGGCCATTGCACTGATTTGTCAGGCCAAGGCCGCATCATGGACGAAGAATAAAGGTCCCTCCAGAAAGATCACCCACCTGCATCGTAATACAAATCCCGTGACCAGCGGCTCGTATTCCCGGACCCAGAGAGGACCAGACTATACGTTAGTACTAGGCGCGCAATGTCGATGGACATTTACGTACTACTGCTTGTCTAGGTAATGTTTCCCAGGGAAGGCTGGGTATATAGCATGAGCGGCCTATGAAGGTACCGGTGTAGAAGACACGAGGCTTTTGGTTCGTGATATACATGATGGATCTGACTGCTGTGGTTTAGAGGCAGAAGAGGATAAATACTGCCGGCGTCTCTTTTTTCTTGTCTCTCCAGTTTGCAATCCCTATCGCCTGGATGGAGACATTTATGTGCTCCAGTATGCGACCAGTACTGCCAGGATAGACGCAGTAATGCAGATAGACCCCATGAACAGCTCTACCGTTGAAAACAACAGTATCCCAAATTCCACCGCCGAGGGCAGGAAAAAGTTATCCTCCTGCGGTCCTAGAGGCTCCGTCGCAATCGGCAATCGATCGAGAGTTGTATGCAAAAGCTGCTGCGTGCGCAAAGCCGTAGTCCTGGACCTGCAGCTCATGCAGGCATGATAGGCGGTCATGGGTTTATTACTGAGGTTTCATGTTGCTCTTGCTAAAGATTTTGTTTCTATAATTCGGACTCGAAAGGAGGAGAAGAATTTATATGATGTATCTATACATCTAGAGTGTATGCAGAGAGATCAGTAATGCAGGTATATAAGCATCCGTGTAGTCTAGGATAAATCTTCAGAATGTAAATAGTAAAGCTAATTGCTATTCTATGTAATTAGAAGCGACAGACTTCTATTGGAAAGGGGAGTCGTGACTCGTGAAGTGGCATGACGAATTCTCAAAAAGTTGGTAAGAGATAAGCCCTTACGAGGTCTATAACAAGAGCCCAGAGAGAAGAGAAGGGTAAGACACGCTAATGGAAAAGAAGGAATGTGACATAAGGAATTCCCAAAAGAACGAGTGTGGTAAGGGATACATAAGCCCTAAGAGGTCTATAACCGAAGCCGAGGCAGAAGAGAAGGGTAAGAAACGCCAACGAAGAAGCAGAAGGGAAGGGAAGGAAGAAGAGGGGGTATAAAGAGAGACTATAGATGGGAAAGAAGAGAGAGAAGGATAGATAACAGGGAAGTCAATAAGACAGTTGACAGAAGGAACGACAGTAGGAGAGAAAGGCATCGGACCTAAGGGAAATAAGACGAAAAAGACAAGATGGAGAGAGCGACAGGTAAAGAAAGAAATCTGAAAAGAGCTGAAAGAAAGAAAGAAAGTAATGAAATACCGACCCCGTGTCACAAGACGCAATCGGTCAACCACACGCTTCAGAAAGCCCACCTCCTCCGGCCCTTGTGCCGTTAGGACCGAGCCGGACTCGACAGCCCCAGCGCTACTCATCCCAAGACATCGAGCAGCGAGACAAATTGGCAGCCATACGCCCACTCTAACGCCGATAGCCGCATACGGGACAAAAGTCAGGCGTAAGTCCCGAGTTAGCAGCGCGGCAATTTGGGCAGTACCAAGCATCGCTGGGGCGAGGGCGAGGAAGATTGACGTTACCAGTACAAGTGCCAGCTGCAGCGTAGCGATTTCCTGGCGAGGGGAGAAGGGAGCCTAGGTCATGGTCATGGTCAGAGGCGTCGAAACAACCGCGGAGGAAACAGTCGGATGGGATGCTCACCGGCTTCGTAGCAGCAGTCGTCGCGCCAATGGCCGCAGGGGCATTGTCGAGGGTAGTAGTCGGTCCTGTTCGGGCTGTGGCACGAATCGCACACCCAGTATCCTTGGGGAACGCGGGTACCGCTCATGTTGACGATCGTGGGTTGGACTTGGTGCCGGCGATTCTTAAGGTAATGAGGTATCTCGACAGAATGTCGTGCTTGACTTGGTCCTGCGTGTAAGGTGTCTAAGGCTGTGGAAACCGCTGAGAGGTTATTTGGGACAAGGTAGTCCTCCGCGGTAATTCACTTGGTTGGAGACGCAAGAAGGGGAGACAAGAAGAACAGAATCAAAGTCTTCTATGAGGGAGCGGCGCAGTGACGGTAATGGAAGTGCGATATAGAAATGAGCAGTAATGGAAAATGCCTCTGTTGATAGGGAGCGCAGAGAAGTGAATGGGTGAAACAATGTTGATGAACAGTGGAGAAGAGAGAACTGATCTGGCAACAAGAGATAGTGCGAACATTGAAAGAGATTTATATGACGCCCGGAGGCTCAAAAGTCCAGTTCAACAACACTGCCCTATCGTGGACTTCCTCATTTGGACATTCGGTGTGATGCAAAAGAGGCAGAGAGCACGACTGTACAGTGCCCTATGGAACCATCTGACGGAGTCCTTCCTTTGGCAAAGCTGCTTTCCGTGCCACGATGCCTTCAATACCCGGTCGAAGCGTGGAAAAGAAAGGGAGACGATGCTAGTCCGCGTGGAGGAGTCATCAAACCTTCATTGCCGCCCAATGAAGGACGTCTACTAGAAGTACAGCGACGATGTCGGAGCTGTAATGGAGGCATATGGTAACCGAGTGATCACGTTTCCATCAGGCGACGGGCGTTGTATTCTTACTGCAGCCCTAGAAGGTGTGGATGTAGTCGGAGTACAGGGAAGCGTGGGATGCAGTAAAGCTTCACTTTCATTGGCACTTCTCCGTAGCCACAACCGTCGGAACTTTGTCGGTGAGAAATGCTAGTGTGCTGTGAGTGGACCATATACGCAGGCGCCGGTATGCCGGTTGTCGTAGGTCGAGGTAGCGCGTATAATCGCCTTCTAAACGCAGAATTCTCCTTGTTGCATCTACACACTCAACTCTCTCGTCCACCGCCCAAATTCTTCCTCATCCAGGAGCTTCGAACCGCAAAACCGAGGCTCTCATTGCATCGGCGTCCTGGAAAGATCGTCACGAAGGACAACAGCACACTTGGGCTAACAGCTCATAGGCAGTGAAGCCAGAGTCACGCACCGATCAAAGGTGGCTGAGTTGAACCCCACACATGTCCGCCTGAGGGCGTGGCAGTAAGGCTGATCTTGTTGCAAAGCTCCGTGATTCCTAGAAAGGGCAGGTTCAGCCTAGTTTTCTCTTGCCTTTCTAGACGACTTCCTTGGGGCGGGGTCCCAACTTCGGAACATGGCGAAGAAAGCGCCTGTGACGTAAAGCAGCCAGCCTTGTGGAATTCCATGAAGAAAACATGTGCATCCGACATCGGAGACACGTAGAGGCAAGAGATGGCCACGGGACTGCCTCCTGACGAGGACGTATGACTGCGCTTTGGCATCGTGTTGTTGTTATTGTTGTTGTTGTTGGTGATTGCGGTGTTGTCCATCTGGGAAAAGGAACGTGGAAGTCCATCAGGTAGCTTGGCATGCAGTCCCGAAGGGAGGTACTTTCCCATTGGGTACTCCATACGTACGGGTGCAGCATTCGCGGTTCAGAGGGCGTCTAGCACATTATGTTGCTCGGTCAGGATACGGCTATCGACGGGACGGTTGAAGTGAACCAGATACTCGACTGATCACACGTTGTCACGGTGAGGTTGCGTGGTGAGCGAACCATCTATGCACGTGTCCAGTCGATGCACTGCACACTTCAGAGGAAAGCATCGGTCATCCAAACAGAATTGTGAAAAGATGGCATCATCTCATAGCACCGTCTCTATGCATATACCCTCTACTTATCCGACCTTTGTCATCCATCTCTCCATCACTCAAATGCCGACTCAAAAAAGAAGAAAATAAGCACCACTAGAACAGCCACGCAATAAATGTGCGATAGAACCAACTTCCTTTCTTCTTCTCTCCTTCCATGGCCGCCTTGTGTGCCAAGAAAGCCTCCTCCTCGCGGTCGATCTCGTCTTTGCCGGTGTAGAAGTCGGCTTCGTGGGGTTTGACGCCCTTGGTCTTGTGCCAGAATTTGTAGCCGAAGATCATGCTAGTGCAAGGTCAGCATTCGTCCAATACCGATTACCTTGTGAATCGGATTCCTAGGGCGCGCTGGGAACTTACATAAGATATAGGGGAATTCCCAGATAGCCAGTGATGAAGTTCTTGTAGTCCTGAAGGCAAGTTAGCACAGTGTTTTAAAACTAGTCCCAATGGAGACACTTACAAAGTTTCCGTATGTCTTGGGACTACGAGTGAAGACGGCGAAGTTCTTGGTCAGGGAGATCAAGCAGCAGAAGAACAAGGCAATGTACGAGCCGATGAGGCCAAAAGGAGCCACATACGGCATCTTGTCGTCCGTGATTCCCTGTGCTCGGCGAGCCTTGATAAAGTAGATGTGCGTGACAAGCAGCGACACCCAGGTCAACAGACCGAAGATGGAGACGAGGTTGACGAAGTAGCCGAACACGACAGTGGAGTCCTCGGCAACATTCATCATGGCGAGCAAGCAGAAGCATGCAGAGAGAGCCAAGGCGGGGACGGGCACACCGCGCTTGTCGGTCCAGGCGAAGATCTTGGGAGCATGGCTCTGAGTGGCCAGTCCGTACAGCGTACGGGAAGCGATGTAGAGATCCGAGTTGGACGCGCTGAAGGTGAAGAGCAGGATGCAGCCGTTGAGGATACCGGGGAGATGCTTGATGTTCGCGTTCTTGATGGCCACAACGAAGGGAGAAGCGGACGCCTTGGTACCGGCCTTGTTAGCGGCAAGAAGCTTGGCGTCGTTGTAGGGCACGAGCATGCCCAGGAAGAAGACGCTGAGGCAGTAGAAGAACAGGATCCGATAGAAGGTGAGCTTGATTGCTCGGGGAATCGTCTTCCTGGGGTTCTGCGCCTCACCGACCGTTACACCGATGAGTTCGGTACCGAGATAGGCGAAGACGGCGTTGATGAAGGAACTCCAGAATCCGAGGAAGCGACCAGTGCTTCCCTTGTCGATATACTCCTTGAAGCCGCCAGGATTGTTGTAGTATTTGAAACCCGTGGCATCGGTAGGTCCAGCTCCTACAGCAAGAAGGAACGAGAGCAGGATCACGCCAACCTTTTTCACTTCGTTAGCAGGCGCCAGACTGCCCCCTCCTCAGGAAAGAAGAACTTACAATGGTAACCACCTTGACACTGCTTAGCCAGAACTCGATTTCTCCGAAGAACTTGACGCCGAAGTAGTTGATGGATATGATGGCAACCATGAAGACGGCGATGAAGACGCCCGGATTGACGTCCTTGGGACTCTTCCATTCCTGGATAATGAGGGCGCTGGCGGTGAGCTGATTCGGTGTGATGATGATATATTTGAACCAGTAAGTCCATCCGAGGGCGAAACCAAGAGCGGGGTCACAGAAGCGAGTGGCATAGCCTGCAAAACCGTGGCCGGCGGGGATCCATGCTGCCATCTCGCCCAGGGCGCACATGACGACGTAGACGAGGAGGCCAGTGAGGGTGTAGGAGATCAAGATAGAGCCGGGTCTAGAGGAATGAGCGACTGGCAACTTGTGTTAATTTTTTTGAGGCTTAACATACCCTGATTGAGCGAGTGCTTTTCCAGTACCGATGATGAGGCCAGTTCCGATAGCACCACCGATAGCAATCATAGTAATGTGACGCGACTTGAGCCCACGGTGCAGATGCTTGTGATCGGCATATTCGGCTCCTCCATCGGCACCAAGGTGTATGTCTTGAACCTCTCCGCCTGTAGAAGTATATTCTGTCTTGCCATATTCTGCATTTGCGCCATCAGACGAGGAATTCGAGGTCCTGTGAACGACGGCCATGGTTGTTGAGGGTTTGGAAACACTGCCAACGCAGTAAACAAGGCTCAATTAAAGATTCCCCAGTGGTGAGCGCCAGAGAAGCTGTGACGTGGGGGGCTGCGGCTGAGGCGCGGCTTGGGGCGGTAGACAAGATGCGACCAAGGCTTCTCTACTTAGGGGGAGTCGGTGAAATGGGGCCCTTCAAGTATCCAAGCAGCGAGATTCGAGAGTGAAGCAGAACCGCCTCGAGAGCCTCGCTGGGTTTCCCCGGTACTCGTGACCGGTGGCTATCAGACACCAGCCCTGGAGAATACGGTGGTACGCCCAACTGACGTTACACCGTACCACAGCACACAGATCAGGGCCGATCGGCACTAACAGCACTGGCAGGACGTAACCCAAGACGACAACGGCGGGCGCGCGAGCGCGGGGAGAGAAAGGGGAGATATAGGGCGACGGGTTCGAGTGATTCAGTAGTGAATGCACACGAGCAGCTCAGCGCGTCCAGCGGGCTGGGAGGGTTTAAGTAGGCCCAGAGGCCGGGTAACGAGGGGTGGGCCAGCGCTCCTCCAGGATACTGGGTGTTCACATATCAGCTTCCCCATTCGGAAAGACTCCATGTTGAGCATCCGCACAATCCAGACTTGGCGAGGGGTTGGCATTCGTTGGCCGAGACTGGGCAGTGGAGTTGCCAGTAGTTGGGAGGGGTTTTGCCGTGGCTGGGGTTGATGATAGATAAGAGAATGGAAGCTGAACCTGGGCCCTCACTGGCAGACTCCCCCCTTCTAGAAGCCGCAAGGGAAAGCACTCTGCATAACTGCGGCTCTCAGTGACACCCATCGGCATTCTTGAGAGATCGACAAGGGAAGCCCCAGTTTGCTTGCTACCAGTCCGTATTTCGTATTTGCTGGTCGTGTGCCCGCTGATGGGCGGATTCTTGCATGGTGTTGCAAAAAGTGGTTCTGGTCTAGCGCTATCTCGAGGGCCGACGATGGCCGCTCGTGTCTGCCGCGGGCGGGCCAACGGGCAGACCGAGCAGATGAGGTAGGCAACGGTGGAGCCATGCGCATCCGGGCCACGCTGCGGTATGTGAGAGGTGTGTGGCGTAGTCCGGGGAACTCCAACCAGCCGTGGTGATTGGGTGCCGTTGCTGACTGGTGAAGAGGCCTCGTTTCGAGCCTCAAGGTACGCCGTGCTACCTCGTACTCTCAAATATAACTCCAGAGTCTGTTAGGGCTTACATACTTTCCAGAGATAGGACGATACATATGTACTCCGTACAGTAGGTTCTCCTTATCGCTTTGTGCGACAAGTGGGACCACTACTAGTGCAGGCTTCAAATTGGCAAGTAGGGTACGGGTTATTAGCACTTCCAACGTCGTCTCGAATAGCCACCAACAAGCGAAGAAGCAGCCGACTTATCAAAAATCTTACACAAGGATTTCCCTGTCCGCCTCGCGACAGGAAGAAGTGCTCGTGGAGGATTTTCAGGGAGCAATTTCCGAGACGACTACCAACGCCCGTCTTATCTTAGTGCCAACATACGCGCGCCAGCCGTGAGGTACAAGCGCCCCTAGAACTCCACAGTGGGACCACATCTTCAACAAATTCTGCTGTGTGGAGAAGAAAAAATGGGAACAAGCGTACTACCAATGTAATAACCTGGGAGTTTCCTGGTCGAGCGACTTATCAGTGGATCTCCCTTATACGAGCCCAGTGGCCCATCATCCAGCCCGGACGATACTATGAGCCGCAGAAACTTATTTTGAAGTGATTTGGGAACGTCAAGAGGCCGACGCTGAGATACAAAGTGACTTTCTCTTCGCTAACTTACAACTACCTTATATCTTTCTTGCCGTGCGAGAATGGAAATGGAACCGTGGAAAACTTGCCCTGAAGAAACCTGTTGCGCAAACCAAAACATCAAAGTTATGGCTCTTGCCCGGGGACAAACTTGAGATGAAAAGGAGAGAGGGGATATGTGAGCAAACAGTGTCATATATCAAAACTGACTCGAAATAGAGGTATAAGCATCAGTTGAGATCGGATGTACGGAGTACAGATGAGGAGATGTTGAAGGCCCCTTATTAGGCATCGCCAAACAGCACCCGATGCCATCCTGCACCTTTACTGCATAGATGTAGAGTGCGGGGTGTTTGGGATGAGTGCTAAGCGGAGAGGATATGTCAACGAAGGTAGACCTGCGGTTCATACGGAGTACAACACTGGTGTTTGAGGAATTGAGTGTAGGTGAGATGGGTCTTTGATTGAGAAGTCCAGCAGTACCTATATGCATCGCCCCCAGACGGAAGTAAGCTAACTGTGTATGGAAACGCGGAGGTTTCCTCCTCCACAGCTGGAGGTACACATCGCAAGGCGTGCATTTGTTGTGTTTCCATAGGTAGTGTGACTGTGGATGTGGAATGTCCCCGCCCTGCCACCGCGACCATGAAGGTGAGTAAATAAATAGGCGAAGGATATCGCCCTGTAGCCTCACCCCAAATATGCCCTTGAGACCCTGAGTGATGCTGCACACCCTGGTGAGACGGTGTATCTGTAGTACCAGCTCTCGCCATATGCGGTAGATCCAACCGTTCGGGCTGAGGAGTATGCTGTGTCTCAAGGCGAAGCACTGCTGCACAGCCAACCCCTCCGGCAGTGGCAACAAAGTCAAGCCAAACCGTGATCGACTGTTATCCATTCGTGCACCCTACCTAACAAACTGTTCTTTATTTGTTCCAGCAGCCAACACCGTGTTGCATGCCTCTAGGTACTTCAACACCTTCCATCAACTGAAACGGCGCCAAGATCTTCTCTGGGCACCAGGCGAGACCGAGCCCATTGCTGCCCGCATCTCCACCACCAGTGACTTTTCTTTCCCGTGATTCACACGCAGTCCCGAGAGACGTCGCCGACGACCCCGCTGCCCACCGACGAGGCACCCAGCGAGGCAGATGTGGACGGCGACAAAGGCTCGCAAACGTCCTGCGCTCCGAATAGATGCCGCTTGCGCGACCGCTCCCGAACAGCCTCGTGGATGAGAACATAGCACACAGCCGACGATTACGGCGCGCCCCAACGAGTCCCTTCGAACAGCCCTTACCAAAGTGACCGGCCAGATCGCCGCGAGAAAGAGACACAATGTCGTACTACGGAAATGGGAACAACTACTATAATCCCAACATCCCACCCTCCCATACATATCAGACGTCCTACAATCCCGCCGAGCCGACCGCCGACAATAGTGAGAACACCGCCGACGGAAGATCCAGCTATGCATACACTGGCGCAACGCCCAGGCGCAATAGCGTAGCAATGCGCCAGAGTGATGAGCTGTTCATGGGAGGGACAACGGCTGGGGCCCCAGGGCAGAGCAGCGGATATCAATACCCACCACAGCCTCAACACCAGCACCAGCAGCAATATAATCCGCAGCATTACAGTTCGCCTGTCGTAGCGCAACCGAATCCCCAGGCGTTCGGCGGCGTTAACACAACCTTTCCTCCTTTGACCCACCAGCCCTACAACCCCGCCCTCTACGCAGACAGCACACTCACCAGAACCAGCACCGTCAGTCATTCGTATGGCTTCTCCCCAGCGTCGCCCGCAGTATCCACCTCCTCGTATCATTCTCCTACCTTCCAGCAACATTCTCAGTTCGGCCGGACCGCTTCCGTTCAAAGCGCACGGCCGACTTATGCACCGCCAGCACCACCACCTTTGCCAGTACCCCCTGGAAGCGCACAATCGCCGGCGGAGGACTGGGGGACATATCCCACATGGCAACCCTCTGTAGCTTCTCCGACTCACGGGTACCATCGCTCTTCCGACACTTCGCATGCCCCGCTACCTTCTCCGCCAACCCATGATCCCCGATACACATCTCTTGAAGCTATTAACTCGCATGTGGCCCCGGCAGATTACTCCAATCGTCTTCCGCAAACACCACCCGCGCCTCAAGCTCCTCCGCATCGGTCACCACAAAGACAGGACACTCTTGGTCATCGGCCACTCCCTCCTCCTCCCCCACCGAATGAATCGGACAGTGACGGCTATTATGGAGATCAGAATGGGGATGCTTATCAGCAGGAAGACCTTTTCAATCAGGTAGAAGCTCTGGCTTCCGGAGCGACTTCTGGTTATCAAGCGCCTGTTCAGATCCAGTACCCGGATAGTGGCCAATACTATGACCAACCAGAACAATCCTATCCTGCGCGCAATGGGGCACCCATCAATGGACAACACCTGGCACCATATCCCGTGCAGGACGTGTATCCCACGAGCGACGAGAGCGATGTGGAGGCAGCGGCCGGTTTGGCTGCTCTTCGTATGGCCGAGGAACAGGAAGAGGCCGAGGAAGCTCGCAGACGCACTGGCAGCGCCGGACTGTTCAGTACATATACGTCTATGCCAACTCCTCATGTGCCAACCGCAAATCAGCCAACAGTGCCGGAGGAGGCGAGTGATAGCGATGTTGTACCCTATGATGTGGGATCCATGGGTGGAAATGTTCTTCCGCATATCACCTATGGTGGAGATCCGAATCAGCTGGCTTCCGGTCCTCCCAACCATTACGATTCCCAAAGCCATACGCTCTCCACGTCTGGCTCACTACGGCGATCCGAGGCGGCGCACGATGGTTACGATCCTACCCACCCGTTCCCGTCCTACTCGACGAATGCACGTGTGGATACGTTCGGTACCGGCGGACTGGAGGAACCCAGTGATCGACGAAGAAGCTACGACGAAGGGGACGAGGTTGGCCTTATGGATTATTCTACAGCAGCTGCAGGCGAACCACCTGACATGTTTTACCATCCGGGCATGTCTACAAGACGCCCACTCCCGCCTCCACCAGCGTCCAGTGAGTCTCGGACGACATATAATCATCAGAGCACAAGTTCGACCGGGTCCTATGAGTACTGGCGCAACTCGCGGGCGTCCGAAAGTACGTATGCCGAGTCCGTCGGGCTGCAATCACCCACCGGGACGCTTGTCCCTCGGTCAACTTCTCTCCTCCAGCATAACCACACTCCCCAGGCGATCCCCTTGCCAAGGTCAAAGACGGACGCCGAACAGAATCACCGAGCACGGCAAGCAAATAGAAGTACGTACTATGGGACGGCCGGCGAGAGCGATGGTAACACCTTGACGCCGGGAAGTGCAGAGGCTGTCGCCATTGATTTGCCCACCCTCCCTGCAGGGAAGCGCTTCAACCCCTCCAAATTGTCTAGCAGAGACTTCGACAGATGCACAGAACCATGGGCGCTCAGCTCGATAATATCTTGGCTGAAAACAATGACAGAAGGGGAGCAAGACCTGAAAGAGGGTCCAATCACAGAGGGCTTGATTGCTCTATTCACCCATAAAGTTCCTACAATGAACATTGCGGATGCGGAAACACTCAGTAGCAGGGTGGTGGCGGGCATGTACAAAGCTGGAGTTCTTGTGCATGAGGAGGAGTGGCTCAAGTTCTCGACAGAGACCATGACCGGCGTCATCTTCCAGCTCACGGGTGCAGGCTGTTATGCACCCTTTCTGCACGAGACGCCCACGCCAGGACGGTGTTACTCGCACCACTGCCAAAGAACGCTCAAGAAGCTTGATCTCCAACAGGCCGGCGCCACGCCGCAGTCTGATGATTGGGCGACCTTCTACAAGTTGAAGAAGGAAGATGTTGAAAAGGTGGACAAGAAAGAGGTGGAGCGTCAGAACATCCTACACGAGATTGTTCAGGGTGAGGACAACTACATACAGCGGCTCGATGTCCTGCGAACTCTCTACCGCGACAGACTCGCATCTGCCTCGCCGCCCGTCATCCCTCCGAAGAAACTCAACAAGTTCTTGAAGGATGTTTTCGGGAAGATCGATGCTGTCAGAGCGGCGAATGCAGAACACTTGCTACCACAGATGAAATATCGGCAGCATGAGCAAGGGCCATGGTTGGTCGGATTCAGTGACATTTTCCGTGAATGGATCAGAAAAGCGAAGGCTGCGTATATTGAATACGCGGCCGCCTTCCCATACGCGACGTTTCTTGTCAGACAAGAGGCAGACAGGAATATTCTTTTCCGGACATTCTTGGACGAGGCTCGCGCTCACAAGCTGTCTAATAAGCTAAGTTGGGATACGTACCTCAAGGGACCGATTACTCGACTACAGCACTACGGGCTGTTGCTGAGCACTGTGCTGAAGAAATCTACGGTCGACAACGAGGAGAAGCGGAACTTGCAGATCGCAATGGAGGAGATCAAGGCTGTTACAATTGAATGTGACAACCGTGTTGCAGAGATGTCCCGCAAGGTTGACCTGACTGACCTCCAAGCCAAGCTGATCCTGCGGCCTGGTATGCAACGGGTCGAGCTGAACCTCGACCATCTTGGACGAGAACTTATCTTCAAGGGCGACCTTCAGAGAATGGGCGGCAATCGGTTTACGTGGTTAGAGACTCACGCCCTGCTGTTCGATCACTATCTCGTCTTAGCAAAGACGGTGACTTATCGAGAAGCAGACGGGGTTACGAAGTCGGAGAAATACGACGTCTCAAGATTGGTGAGTGCTGTTGGAGTGCGTATGCCAGCCATTACTTGAACTAACACCCTCTAGCCCATTCCCATGGACCTCCTCGTCCTCGAAAGTGAAGACGACGATCCTGTCATCAAATCCGCCGTCAAAGGTATCGCCGCCGTCAGCACAGTTGCAGGCAAATCCTCCGCATCCGAAGCACGGCTTGGGCGCGTAACAACCGGCACTCCCGCCCCAGGCAGTCTCCAGCACACAAACACCTCAACGTCGGTAGGCTCCAACAATACGAGTAATTCTGGCAAGACGGGAGGTTCCGCATCTACCATTGACGCCAGCAAGGACGAGAAGATCATGTACCCGTTCCGAATCAAGCATCTCGGAAAGGAGACGTATACGCTCTTCGCGCCCACTGCACAGAACAGAGCCGAGTGGTGCGACAAGATCATCATCGCCAAAACCAGGCATGCAGCGGCCCTCTTTGCGCAAAACGCAGAGCCCTTCCGATTACGAGTCATGGCGGACGCCGCCTTTGCGTATGAGAGCGCGATGCCGGCTCAGAAGAGCATCACCATCAAGGGAACGCCGCTTGACCGCTCGATCGAGGAGGTGGAGAAGCTGTTCGCCAACTCTGGCCGACCTGTCCCCATCTGCAGGGCGCGGGTGAATTGCGCGACGGCGTTCCAGCAGCCGTATGGAAAGGCCATGGTAGCTGTGGGTACCGACATAGGCGTATACATATCCGAGTACAACAACCCTCGAGGCTGGACCAAGGTGAGCTACTCGTCTTCCTTCTGCGTTCGCCGAAACTAGTGCGGCCCGGCTAACAGAGTTGCCATTTCCAGGCCATACAAATCCCCAAAGTGACGCAACTCGCCGTCCTCGAGCAATTCTCCCTCATGCTCCTCATCTCGGACAAATCGCTCATCGCCTACCACCTCGACGCCGTGTGCCCGGCCAACGGCGGCCCCGCCGGCTCGTCGGACTCGCACCGGCGGGCGCCGCAGAAACTGTCGGGCGCGCGCGACGTGGGCTTCTTCGCGACGGGCGTCATGAAGGAGCGGACGCTGGTGTTTTACAAGAAGCGCGAGGGGCTCAGCTCGACGTTCAAGGTGCTCGAGCCCGTGTACCAGAAGAGCACGGAGAAGAAGTCGCGGTGGCTGAAATCGGGGCGGACCGAGTTTTTCCGCGAGTACGACGAGTTCTACATCCCCGCCGACTGCTACAGCATCAACCTGTTCCACAGCTCGCTGGCCATATCGACGGCCAAGGGGTTCGAGGTCCTCACGCTCGACAAGAAGCAGCCGTGGTCGGTGCCCGATCTCAAGGCGCCGCACGTGGCGACCATAGCGAGCCGGTTGGCGGGCCAGGATCCCCTGGGTATGTTTCGGCTTAGCGATCAGGAGTTTTTGCTGTGCTATGAAGAGTGTGCCGTGTATGTGAATAAGCACGGGGATATTTCGAGGTCAGTGATTATGGAGTTTGTCGGCAAGGCCAAGAGCGCGGCGCTGTACGGGCCGTATGTGTTGCTGTTTGACCCGGATTTCGTCGAGATACGGAATGCGCAGAATGGAAGGTTGAGGCAGGTGATTGCGGGGAGGGAGGTTAAGTGTCTTGATGATGGGGGTGGTGGTGCGGGTGCGGGTGGCGCGGGGATGAAGAGGACGGTCAAGTTGTGTTTGCAGCATCCTGGCGTGGAGAAGTGTCAGATTGTGGTCGAGTTGGTGCTGAATGAGGGGTTGAAGGAGTAGGGCTCCTGGGCTACGTGTGCGAGTTGCTGAGGCAGCTTGAAGGGGAAAGGGGTGGGGAGGGAAGGGATGGGGTAAGGCATTCATTCATCCATTGATTCGGTGGCTCATGTCGATGAATTACGCTGTCTGTTAATGATGAGCGAGGGAGGGGAAGCCAGGAGGGTGAAGGGACGCATGCCCTTCTTTTTCTCTTGTCTATTTTATGTCAGCTTTCTTTCTGGATGGATGGTGTTGGGGGGTCCCGCTTGCTTGATTGTTTTCTTCATTTCTCTTCCTGGCTTTCTTCGTTTACGTGCGTGCCTGGATCCAAGATTCCAGAGCCCTCTATCTACTTCCTCCTCCTTCTACTTCTTCTTGCATATACCGATCCATCACGCGGTTGTTTCTTTCGAATCGGTAGTAATAGATAGATGGGCTGTCGAGGGGGGGGGAATATGATATGGATGGATGCGTTTTCCTGCTATGCTGTGCTATGCTTCTACTATTGCTCTTCTCTCTCTCTCCCTCCCTCCCCCGTCTCGCCCTCCTCCGGCTGTCTGCTCTATGCTCTCGATAGTATACATTCCCATCATCATCATCACAACTCCCCCCAAAACCAGATCAGGCCATCCATCCTTCCTTCCTTCTTCCCCTCCCCGCCCTCCTCGCCATACCATATATGCAAACCAGAGCTCAAGGGACGGACGATGGACTTATTCGTCAATGTCTGCCAGAACTCCACGCACTATACTGGATCAAAAGTGTTACAAACGGAAAGGGAAAAACCTCAATGCAATGTAAAGCCACGCTCTCAATAAAAGGGAATCAATCCATCATCATCATCCTCGACGTCTTCTCCCACGACCACGAGGTCCACCATGCACTACCATGCACACACAAACGCCAAAACACGAAAAAAATATAGGGGGAAGCAAAGAGCGGGAAAAAAACGTTGACAAGCGGTTTGCCAAAGTCGCCATCCATCAATCATGATTCCATGCATCCAAACCTACTGGACAGGACAAAAAGCCCCAGCACACCCATTCTTCAATCGCCTTCCCCAAAATGCTTGCTTTTGAAAACCCCAGCAAGACGCCAACCCCCCATCTCCCCCAAAAACGCCATCACGCCCCAGACTCCCTCCCTCATACATACCCTCTCCCCCTTCGTCACCTCACCTCACCTCCCCTCATCACTACTCCACCCCCCAACCCCCCCATCCCCCTCCCCATCCCCCTCCCCCTCCAGGTCCTCCTCATCCTCATCCCACGCCTCCATCACTTCACCAATATACTGCTGCGCCTTCGGATCCAGATTAATCGCAACCGTGAAATGCCGTACCGCGTGGCTCCGCTCCCCGAGCATCTTGTACGTCCTTCCGAGCAGGAAATGCACATTGGCGTCGTCCGACGCCGTGTCGCGCAGGTGAATAAGATCGAGCAGCGCGTCCTCGGGCCGGTGCAGCTTGAGGTGCGCTTGTGCCTTGCGGAATCGCGCCAGGTTGGACCGCGGGTCCAGCGACACGGCGTTGCGGTATTGCTGGAGCGCGGCTTCGGTTTTGCCTTGGCGGTCCATGACCTGGGAGGGAGAAATCGTCAGTGTTGAAGCTACAAAAAAAGAAGAAGAGAAGAAGTGAGCGCTTCTACTTACAAAGCCAATCTTGACGGCCAGGATCGCGTTGGTAGGATTGATGTTGGCGGCCGCCCGGTAGTGCTGCTCGGCAATGTCGTATTTGCCCAGCTTGTCATAAACCTGTCCGAGTCCATACCATCCATTGTAATGCCTCTTGTCCGCGGTAATCGCACACCGATACGCCATCATCGCTTTATCGTATTCCTCATTGGCAATGTGCTCATGGCCCTGCAGAGTGAACCCGTAGGCAAAATACGGGTCCAACTGCGTGGCGCGAGTGAAGGATTTGATGGCCTGATCATGCTCCCGTTGCATGGAGAAGGCATTGCCGGTGACGCACCATGCCTGCGGCGAGAGACGGTCCTGATCCATCAACTCGTGAGCGAGATGCGCAAGCTCCGTCTCCTTTCCCATCTGCCAGAGTGCGTTGGAATAGACCTCCATATCGTCCAGATGCGAGGGGAACTTCTCCCGGATCCTCGAGAAGACATTCTCTGCGTCGGGGTATTGCGACCGTTCATAGTACGCCTTGCCAACCTGCGAGAGAACCCAAGGCGTGTCCCTTTGCGGTTGGGGTATCGATTGAAACGTTTCCAGGGCCTCGGCGCAACTATACCGAGAGAGCTGAGCGTACCCCGTAGCCAACTTCCGCAAGAGGCCCAGCAGCCACTCCAAGGACTCCATGACCTCGCGAATGTTACTCTGAGGCGCCATTCTCGGCGGAGGAGCAGCAACTGGAGCGGTAATGCTCACAGGCCTGGGGTCGGGCTTACTAGGAGCCTCCGGAATCTCGACGGGCGTCTTGCGATTACCACTGATCACTCTTCCAACCTGCGGTATGGACCCGGTCTTACCCCTGGTCCCTGTCGCTCTCACTTTGCGCAATTCCCGTTTCTCCTTCCCATCCGGTTCCTTGCTGGGAGCCGTGGCAAGCCTGTTGCTTGACGGCCGTATCGAGTTCAATGAGTTCAACAGTCTCACGCTTCTACGGGGCGGTGCCGCTGCAGGGTCCGCCGACGGAGCGGTCTGCCCTTGATGCGTCGAGTGGCCGGATACTGTCCTCTTGTGGCCATTCTGGCCAATTGGCCTTGCTATCTCTGTGGTTTCGGCTTCAGAGCCCATTCTCGCTTTGACCCTCGATGTCATCGAGCGCATTTTCGGGGGCTCATCATTGGTACCCATGGGTTGTAACCTCGTTTTCCGGAGTGGTGCTTGTGGTATGTCTGAAGTGTTCCCATAATTCGGGTCATTTATTGAGCCCAGCGGTAGGTCCTCGTCGTGTATGTTTTGATTGGATGATGATGTGGGTGTTTCTACTTCCTTGTACGTCGCGACCGTAGTACGGCCAGGTCCCGCTGCTATCCCGTTCAATCGGGAGAAAAGATTAGACCCACCGAGGTTCAATCCCACGTCTGCTCCATTTCGTGTTGAGGAGCTAAACGGGTCGACCTCGGGAGTGGATACAAAGGGATTCTTGGTTTCAGAATTCTCTTGAGAGGCAAATTGCGGAGGCAACATGCCATTAGACGTCGAATGTGACAAGACGGCGAGCATCTCCGGCGTGATCTTAAATATGTTCCCCGGCCGGACAAATGAGCCCAAATGGCAGAGCTCGGTGAACGCATCCCACATGAAGGGATTTACCTTGAGGGCTTCCGTAAAGCACTCATTCGCCTTCTTTGCGTTGCCATGCGCGTTGTACAGCTTCCCAAGGAGGGTGTAGCAGGCAGCCGCATCCGGGATGTGCCGTCTCGAAGTCTCAGAGTGTTTGTCTGCACAAGATATAAGCATTCATCCCCGAAAATGACATAGGGACAATCTCACTCCAATGATTTCTCCCCGCCCACTGGCTCCGAACCTTCAACAGCGCCTGCGCTCCCTGATCGTAACGCCCCAGAGCCAAACAAGCCTGGGCAAAGACGTACATGCATGCTAAATGGTTAGGTTGGTGGAGTTTCGGTTTCGTGAGGTCAAACACGGCTTTGTATCGGCACAGCCGAAGATTGCAGAGGGCGAGGAGGTGTACGTAGTCTGGGTTTCGGGTATCAAGTGCGTATAGGCGCCCCGCCAGGAAGAAAGCGTTTTGGTAGAAGCCGTTGTCAAGGTGGTAGTATATTAACTGCCGCAGCTGGATAGACACGCCCGAGGGGTGCATGGCGGATCCCGAAGGCATGTTGGTTCCCTCTGTGAGGTTTCCTAGGGGAACGCAAGGTGCGGCGGAGATGTGTGGATAAGACGCCCAAGTCTAGAACGTCAACAGGGAGGTATTTGCGCCGTGAGCGCGTGTCCAAACTGAGAGAAGAGGGCGGAAGGCGGTGTAGTCATGAATGCGGTCGCAGGTGATAGAGATGGCGGTTGGCGTTTGAGCTTTTGTTGTTGTTTTTTGTTTGGTTTTGCGGTTGCTGCCGGTGACGCTTTCGGGGTGAGGCTCGACAAAGCTAATTGGCAAGCAGCGGCGACATCAGGAACGCGCGCGATAGAGGAGGCGACGGCGTGTCTTCGAGAGGGGGAGCGCAGCGGCGGATACTGGTGAGAGGAGAGGTGCACGAGGACTGAGCTGCAGGGGAGCGGAGGAGGCAGCTTTGGATGGCTGCCGTGGGCGTCGTGAGCTCGCGCCTGCATGTTGTGAACCGCCAGTCGCCGCACGGGCCACCGCCGCCGCCTCACAACGACTTGTCAACCGCCATCTATAGATAAAATATCCATCCCCGCCAGCACAAACACGATCGGGTCATTCAACTCACTTGCTGGATTGCGTCGACGTGTCAATTCACGCCAGCAAACCCCAATTCCCACCGTCACAATGGCGCAGGTACACCCTTCCCACCCTTCCATCCCATCTCCAACCTCCAATCGCTAACATCATCCCTCCCCCCTCCCAGAAAGCCGCCAAAACCCTCGCAGCACGCAACACCTCGCGCCTCAACCAGACGCTGGCCGCCACCCTCCTCATCCACGGCTTCTTCCTCCTCCTCCGCGCCCTCGTCTTCCGCAGCTCCTTCACGCGCAAATCCCTCGTGCTGTACCTCCTCTTCAGCGCGCCGCAGTGGTTCATCAACCTGCAGTTCGAAAGGCTGGGTAGGCCGAAGGTGAACCCGGATGGAAGCATCAGGCGGTCCGGCGAGGACCTCGAGGCCAAGGGCTTGACCGAGTACATGTGGGATGTCACGTACTGGACCTACGGCTGCGTCTTCTTCGCTGCTACCGTGGGAGATCGCGCGTGGTGGTTGTGGGGGATCATTCCGCTGTACTCGGTTTACCTGGCATATACCACTTTTATGGGGGTGAGGCAAGGGTACACGGACGCGGCCGGTGTGCCTCAGCCACAGGCGGCGACGAGCAAGAGGCAACAAAAGTTGGAGAAGAGAGGCGGTCAGAAGATCTCGTATCGGTGATTTGTGGATTACAGAGAGATATGGACCGACTTCTTGATGGCGGGCGTGAACAGATCCTACGCCGGCGCGATACCCAAACGGTAATCAACGTGCGCTCTGCGCACGCCACATGTACATATACAGGGTGATACATATCGTACAAACAATGGTCTTACGCTTCCACCTTTGTGGGTATCTTGACCTGTCCCTTCTTACGATCCTCATGTGGGAATCCGTACCTCCAGCCAACCCCCTTGGGTCCGCGGCCATCTTTGCCGGCATGCTCAACGCTGATATCTTGGAACACAAAGTCCCACCTCCTCTTAGGTACCGTCTTGAGTTTCGCCAGCTCGGCCTGCTTCCGCTCTTCCTCCGCCTTCTTCTTCGCCTGCTCCTTCGCCAGGCGCTCTTCGGCTAACCGTCTGCGCTCCTCGAAGCTGAGGCCGGCAGCTAGCTCGCGCTCAGCCAGCACAAGCTCGGGGTGCGGAATGCGCTCATCTGCAGGGAGGAGGTTGTTATCAAATGCCTTTCCGGCGTCTACACGCGTAAATTGCCGGGACTCTGCGACAGGAACGAACAGTTGCTGGCGAGTAGCTGGGTGTACGATGAGATCGTTGATGGGTTCGTGGGGAATAGGTCTCTTTCCACGGTTCTCGGGAAGTGATGGGTCAACGTAAGGCGTCGTGGGAAGCATATCCAGCACAGCCTTGGCATAAGGAAGTGCCAGCTTCTTACCCTGTTCTGGGATTAGCAATGTATTGCTGGTGATTGTGACAAAAAAGGAGGAGAGAGACGCCATGTCAGGTTCGGAATGAGCAAAGTATGCTTTAACCATGTGGGTTGTCTTCAAGACTAATCGAATTTTTGTTGTTCATCATGTAAAACGCAGAGAGACAAGGAGAAGAGGAAGAACCAACCTGCGCGATCCACTCCTTCTCCATCTGCTTTAACCGAACCACGGCTCCAACTCGTTCGTTGCTCACGCCAAACTCGACGCTTGCAAGCGATACCGTTGTGCCATCTCGCGTGACTCTCTGGTATATCGCCTCTCTCAATTCCTCACTCAAGACTGGTTGACTCCGGAAGTATCTGTTGAGCGGAAATGGCCTCAGGTCTTCCTCTGTCTCTGGTGGGAGTTTGTCCGGATCCTTGCTGTCCGCGTCTCTCCGAGCCGCCATGTCCAACTCGTCAACATTGTCCTGACCGCCAGGAATTTTCTCCTTTTCCTCCGACTCCTTCTCTGCTCCCTCCTCTTGCGCTTTGGCAGCCTGATCGCGAGATGGCCTCTGGTATCCCGGACGCGCTCGTATAAGGTTACCGTACCTGTCGTACGCACCTAGGTAGTTTGTTGAGCCTGGGAGTGGGTCCTTCAGTTGTCTGCCGGGGCCATTGAGCCATTCATAGAATTTCCGCCGCCTGGCTGTGACCTGCCGCGACGTTGTCTGAGAGAAAGCCCTGGAGGTGCAGGCGGGGACCGAGATACACTGCGGTACGGACGAAGAACAGGGGGAGACGGAGGAGGGCAGGCGAGAAGTTCGTAAACGCGGCGCCATGATGATATCAGGTCTATATTAAAGGCATTTGAGGCAGTCTGAAAAGCGAAGGAATGACTGGAGATGACCCGAGAACAGGGCTAATGAGGTGCTGGATGATGGCCAGAGGCACTCAAATCAACGAGTTCGAGAAGAAAAATGATGCCAAGCGGAGCCGAATGGGATCGGGATATCCCGACACCAGGCACGTGCATACTGAATCACATGACCAGTATCAAGATGGCCAATCAGGGCCTGAACCCCCGCATTGCAAAGTGCTGGCGAAAGTTCGTTTTCTAGAACATCACGATCCGCAGTGCGTTCCTGCTTCTCACCCAGAAATAGAGTGCATGCAGCTCGGTTAGTCAGGAACGGTGGCTGGGGTGGAATCTGCGTCACCGTTCACATTCACTCGGGCACGTCACGTCTTGGCAGCTATGTTGGGTACGGTATACATTAGACGGCCGTGAGGGAACCCCTTCTCTCTAGAACGCCAGGACGCAATGCTCGCTTCCATCATGTCAATCTTGCATGCATGATGTTTCCCCTCCTTGACTGGACAACAGACTATGGATTCGAGAAACGAACGAGCCTGGACTACCAACAAATAAACTCCAAACCAAATGCTGTAAACAATACCATTCCACTGTAGGGACAGGATATCGGGAAAGAGAATAAAACCTGAACAAAATGGCCCAAAACAATTCAAAGAAGGGATAACGGTGAAGGCAAGTCACCTCGATCAAAGCTCCCATGCTGAAATGGCGCCCAACAACATGAATCTTGCTCCAGCCAATGCAGCCAACCAGGCCCATGCCAATCCGCAAGGCCAATGATCCCGCAACTCCGTCGCAATGTATAAGAGACGGCAAAGATGATCGGCTGTGCCGCCAACATGGCCATGTAGAATCGAAACCGCAGTGGCCAAAAACCCATGCATTCCACCCATGCCCATCCAATGGTCATCCTTGGGAAGGTCCTGTAAACACTGCTTTTCCGACGTCCTGACAAGGAACAAGAGTGCCAGAGAGGGATGAATGCGGCCTCGGGTGCCAATGGAACGACAGAATGCCCGAAAGTAAAAGGACGCCTTCCCCCTGGACGCCCGCTCTGCGCAAAAACATGTGAACGAAGCAACGCACAAAGGGGGAATCACAAAGACGAAAAGTCGCGGTAAGCATGAAAGGATGCCGACTTCAACGGAGAAATCGGCCCTGAAGAGAGTTCCCACCGATACCCATGCTCTTGATAGTGTGAGGAATGAACCCTACCCAAAACCAAATGGAACACCACGCAATGACAGAAGTGACTGATTAAATGCAAAAAGCGAACAACATGGCAACACAATCGACCCATAGCCCACCACTCTCGATGCACATGACCATGCTGTGCAGCGATGTTAGCGACTTTGGTATGCATAGTTGCTGTTCAGACCGCCAAACGTGCTCGCGGAGAAGTGTGCTCCGGACATGGGCTGCGTACGAGTCGGACCCGCCATATCGTTCGGTCCCATGCCCATTGCACCGTTTGAATACATGCCGAAACCCGAAGAGCCGTTGGAGTAGCCGGGAGTTAAGCCTGGTGGTGTCGAGAGGCCCGGGGGTGGGCCCGTGGCTGCCGAAAAGCCTGGGGGTACCGGCACATTATTGCCCAGGCCATGCATCGTATTCGTGGGCGGAGTAGCAGATGGTGGTACCACATTGGCAAGATGATTGCTGCGAACACCCAAGGGATTCTTGGAGAAACTCAACCGAATGCCTCCTTTTACACTGTTGCTCAACATGTAGCCATATAGGTTAAACAGGGCCTTGGTGGCACTGGTGATGTCCTCGAACTCGACAAAGCACATTGGGCCCTGTTGTTTTGTGCGGAAACACAGCCTCTTGTACCCACGCACCTTGGAGAAGACGGCTTTGAGCTCATCCTCGGAGGTCTCCATGGGCAGGTTCCCAACATAGAGCGTGTTGCAGGGCGGGTTATGGTCCGCAGGATTGGCCGGAGGATAGTTCATCCGCGCATACGGAGGCATGGGTGCGTAAGGGGTGCCCGGATGACCATTCATGTTCGCAGACATGGGGTTCGGCGACATGGCAGACATGGAAGACATGGCAGACATGGCCGATGCTGGCGACTGAACGGACTGGATGGGGGCACCAGAGCGAGGGGAGGAAAAGCTCGTAAGGGGTGGCGATCCCATTCCATTGAGATTGGTCTTCAGCGACAGCGCATTGAACTGGGAGACGGGAACGGAGGGGTTGGTGGTTCTCCGGGGGATGTTCTGGACGGCGGGGCTGCCAGTGGCATATCCGATTGTTTCGTTCAATAGGACATCTTCATCGTCCGCCGCATCATTGTTGATCAGCGATTTGCCCAAGTTGCGATTGGCGAAGGTTGCCTTCATGGGCGATGTTGGTGAGGAGAAGACGTTCTGGCCGGAGAAATCGCCGTTCCCGAGGGCTGGGGTGGCGTTCGGCGGAGACATCTTCTCGAGATGTTGAAAGGTACCGTTGTATCGTGATTGACGGCCGTTCGTTAGGGTACCTGCGATGCCACCTGCGGATATCGACCCTTGCCTTGCTTGCGCGCTGTCAGCCGTATTTCGCCTCGAGCCGATGGCGCCGAGCTCGGGAACCAGTTCAACGATGATGGTGGCGTCCTTTGCTGCGTTCCACTTGCCGTTCAGTTTGTCCCGTGCGGATTCGGCACCTTTCAAAGTGGTGAAGCGTACGAGGGCAGACACGAAACCCTTGTCCTCTGGGTAGGGCGAAGTGACCAGCTCGCAATCATGATAGTCCTGGGCCAGGAGAAAAATATCCTTTACGGTTTCGAGGTCGCTTCCTTTGGGCAGCTTTCGCAGCAGAATGGTAGGGAGGGGGGATTTTGTCTCGACATTGGGCTCCTTGTCGCTGAGCGCGAAGCGAGACATGTTGGTCTTTTCCAGTGGACGGCGATCCCCGATGGGCGCTTGCAAGGTGCTGAAGGCATGCGAGGCATGCGAGGTCGGGAAGACTTCAGCAGCCATGGAGTTCTGAGGGGCGAAGGACGGCTTCGGGGGCGAGGAGGCAGTAGAGGTGAACTTGGCGTTGGCAAAAGGGCCGCTAGAGAGGGTGGAAGGACTCGTGTTCGTCGGACTCGGCCCACCGGCCATAGTTCCTTTGTCTCACGGTTATGTCGGCGGCCGTCGTGGAGACAAAGAGAGGCGATCGAGGCAGATGGCGGCGAGCGAAGCGAACAAAATGCGCGGATCAAGGCGTGGCGGACCACGGGAGGGGTGTTTCGGAGACGGACGGGAATTCGGTCGCGCAAAGAAGTGGGCGTTGGGAGGTAAAACGGGTGCGAAACGCGGTTCTGGGGGCTGCAGCGCGTGTGCGTTGACTCGGTGGGCCGCAGAGGGTGCGATGCGACGAGTGCGACGACGGTTGGCGCACAAGCGCAAGTCGTGGCGGAGAGCGAAGAGGTGGCAGCGATGGTGTAGAGTGGTGGCAACAGTGAAGAGGTAGGCGGCGCAGCAGAGGATGGATGATTAGGTGAGAGAGGAGGAGAAACCGGCGCAGGCAGGCAGCGGTTGGCCTTGACCTGATATGATGCGACCGAAGAGAAGCACCCAGGGTGTGAGCAGGAAGGAAGCAGCTGCTTTCGGGGCGACGAGAGCAGGGCCGGGAAGTCTCCAGGTGGGCGCTAGGCCAGGAGCGGGTGGAGGCAGTGGGAGTCGGGCAGAGACATGCGATGATTGCTGGCGTGCGACGGATTTATGGGAGAAAATTGGGCAACAAAGCCAATGGCGAGAGGGGGAGGGAGGGAAATTTGGGGGGAGCAGAGCTCTGGGGGCGGTTGGGTGGTGGTGGGTGGGTGGGCGCGACAAATGGACTCGAGGAGAGAGGGTCGAGGGTCGCCCTCTTGGCTGGGACAGCTGGGACGCTTCCGGGGGCCTGGCTGGGCGCGTGTTTCGAGCAAAGGACCGAGCGGCGGCGGTGCGGGACGGAGGCAGTCGGGCCAATGATACAACGCGGATGAGGGGTGCCAGGTAAGTTGTGCGTGTCGGTGGTGGAGTGGAGGGATCGGGACTCGAGGCGCGGGCGGGCGAGGTCGTGATGATGATATGGTGTCGCGCCTTGTTGGTGTCGTGCAGAACTCTCTCTCACACGGTGCCTGAACAAAGGCCTCGGACGAAGAGCGAGCGAGGAGAGGAAAACGAACTGTGAAATGTGCAGAGGAAGCCCAGGCAGCGGAATTCGGATCGTGTGCCGTGTGGGTGTCGCAGGTAGATGGAAGGAGGAGAAGTGTATTGTAAGAGTGAGGGAGGGAGGGAAGGAGGTGGGGGAGGTGGGAGATTTCCAAAATGTGTGCTTTGTGGGTGATAAGGGCAGGAGCTCAAGCGCCTCGTTGTTGACCTCATCGTCAGAAGCTCATCAGCGTTTTCCCCCCTCAGGTTCGCCGCGTCGTTCTCGACCTCGATGCAAGCTCTCTCATTGTACATTCACGATCCGACGCTGCTTGCCCTGTTCCCCTGCTCCTCTCCCTGCTCCCCTGCTCCCCTGCTCCCATCTGCACGACGCTCGAAGTGCTGCTGTCTCGTGTGGCGCACGAGGGCTGCCGGGCGGGTGCGGGCAGTTCTCATCATTGATTGCTGCTCGGGTTGCCGAGCACATGTCTCGTCCCTCTTGTCCTCTCCCGCCCCAGTACTTCCGGAGTTGGTGAGTGGTGAGTGGAGTGTGAAGGCCGGCCACGTCGCAGGCCCGGGGCTAGCTTCTGCTTTCCAGTAGTCTAGGGGCGTCTCACCACCTGCACCGTTATTCGGCCTCTGATATCCGCGCCAGTGTACTTGTGTACTGCGTATTATCAGGATTGCTGTAGCCTGGCCCGGCCTATTATTTGCGAAGCACTCCCCATCCGCCTTGTTGCACCTACAAGTTTGGATTGGGAAGTCAGAAACGTAGCCTCTATTGCACTCAAACAACATACAGTACTATGGTACTCCGTGCTCACACAGGACAATACATAATGGCGACCGATGTGCATTATTATTGGGCATCTGGAAAAACGCAGCCCTATCCGCGAACGGACTAGGCGATTCAGACGATCACCGTCCCAGGCCCACATGGTGACCAGAACACCCGTTCGACGCGGCCTTCCGATGAGCTTCAATCATCCAACCTCCCCCATCCATGGATCCCCTTCGACTTTCGCCACCTTCCACTCCCCTTCCAAGCCGTGCCCCCGCCCCCGCCGCACCCAATCACGGCACAACGTAGCTGGGCTTTGTGACGGCCCTAGCCGTACTGTACTAGTACTAGCCATCACTTCCAAAAAGTCGCACCTGCAACCAAGGACGCATCGGAGCGTATGAATGCAGCCTTCTTTGTTCACACCAACGAGTCGCCGCCCGCACTTTTACCCATCGACCATGCCCATGACACCTTTTTTTTGTGCCAGCGTGCAGAGCAACCCCAGAATCTGATTGGCTGCTTCCCCTCTGTCGCTGTACCCTCTTTTTTGGCCTACTAGCCGGCAATCCGCCGGTAACCGTACATCAACACCAACCCTTTCTCCAATGGCTTCACTAGTAGCTATCTCGTATTGGGCATTGCACAAGCACACCATGATAATCTGCCGAAGAAAAAGGCCCGTTTCGACACAGCCCGACTCCAAGGGTTGCAACTTCTCAACAACTCCGTCATATGCATCAATCAACTCTTGCCTCGTGGGTAAACTGCACTCAGCCGCTTCATCCATCTCGAAACCTTAGCCTAAGCTGCCGCAGCCAAGGTTGACAAAGGCCCGTCAACTTGTCCCGTTCGCTACAGCCAATCACTGCAAGCTGCTGGAGTGCATACTGGTGTGCGACTAGGCATCTGATCCTGGCTGTAGCGCCAGTCCCGATCGTTACAGAACGCGCTACACGCCTGGTCTCCACACCACCGATCTTGTCGTCGTACGTCTACTATTGTGTATGTAGACAGTCTTCGGCTACTTCGATTCCCTTGGATTCTAGAGGTGCCCCTTGTTCTCAACCACTTCCGGATACGGACATGGCGCCGACCCCTCAGTCTCTCTCACCGACCCCACCCTACTTGTACTGTGATAATCAGAACAACAAAGCCCCGAGCTAATAACGCCGTGAGCTTGGCCACACTGCTAATGATGTTGTGCGTGGATTCTTGACGAGGGACTCATGGGATCGAGTTAGCATGAACGGACGATATCTCGATGAGTGGATCTATAAGCATCACCATAGCGGACCTTCCAACGGCTTCGTCTCCGGCGGACCCACTCGCGATCATGCCGATGGAGAGGAACATACAATTCACATCTGCTCGGATGAGCCCCCAACGCTAGCTCCCTTCACATGGAAATTTCACACAGCTCTTCGCCCGTCTCCATATCCTCGGGTATATATGCTTACCAATTGCAATCGACGGACCATCACAAGAACTCGGACAAGAACACATGAGCATTCGGATATCCTACCAGATCATAATGTACCCGCATCACCCTTCCAAGAGTACTTCCCGGACAGGATGCAGATACGTTAGAGGTGCCAAGTACATCCCTTCATGGGCAAGGAACTCTGCAACATGTCGACAAACCACAAGTCACTAACATCTCCTCACAGCCACCCCTTATACCCCCAACCCACCCACATACTCCTCCCATGCCTTGTCCTCGCTCGATGAACTACCCCAATCACTCGGCGTGAAGAGAGTCCACGGCTTCTTTCCCTTATCTCCCTCCTTGTCCTTCTTAGCTACCTCAACGCACGGATTCGCAACCGTGTACCCCAATCTTCTTATCCTCTCGTCGCTACTCTTCCTCCATCGCTCCAGCATCTCATCTACTCTCTTTTCCAATATACGTCTCTCATTTCCAAGCACCGTGACCCCCCAATTCCACCGAACAACCTTCAACAACTCGGCCGCCAACTCCACAAGCAAAGCCTGCTTTAGTCGCACCAGGACCTGCTCCTTCGCATTAGAGTCACCACCACTCTCCGCCGAAACCGCAGTCTCCGCGCCAGGAATTTCATGCCTGCCCAACCAGAGCGAAACGTAGATGCGTTCCACGCCCATCATGTACGCAAAGCATTTCTTCACCTCGGTCAATTTCCCGTGATAGGGTATTCCAGCGCTGGACACCGCATCGATCATGTCGTCCACCACAGCGGCGATCTGGCCCGCGAAGAGGTGGCAGGCGTCGTCTCGGCTGCGTAGCTTTATTGCGTCCTTGTTTGAGAGGGTTGCGGTTTCGTCTGAGTTGTGGCCTTCCTTCACTTTGTCTTTCTCTCTCCCTTCATCATCCTTATTCTGCTCATTTCCCTTCTTCTCCCCCTGCTCCTCGTCCTCGTCCTCCTCATCCTCCGTCGGATACGACAACAACGCCAAACGCAGGGCATGCGTATCCGGCACTATCGGTACTCCTCCCCCCTTATCCCCTCGTTCAAAATCCTCCACACACCGAATAACCTCCTCCACAACCTCCCTCGATGCCTTCCATCTCACCCCGGATCCATAATGATACCTCGTCGGACCAAACTCCTGCAGGAGATGCGCAACGTAGGCATAATGCGGGGAGTCCGCGCGTAGGGTTGCCGCGAAGAGTGTAAGGATCGAGGACTTTATCGAGGACGCTGTGATGAGTATGCGTGCCTCTCCAGAGGATGCATCTGCAGACTGATTCGACCTCTGCGTAGCCCAGCCGTTCTCGTCCAAATCAAAGAGATAGTGGAATGCAGACTGTGCTTTGACGATTTCAATGCCCCGGTTATACAACGACAGCCACGTCTGCACATGCGGCTTAGCCTTGAAATTCGGATCCGCCTTCATCAAGCGCTCGTTCAGCGCCACGACAGCGGGACTTGGCGAAATGCAGAAAAGCAAGTAGCCGACATACTCATCTAGCACAGCCTGCGGTACCGTGGTGCCCGACTCCCGGAATAGCTTGACCCACACGTCGAGGCTGCGCGGTACGAGTGGTAGGTGGGGAAGTACGTCCTCTGTCCGCGCCGACACGGATGCAAGGAAGATGGTTAGCCAACGCTTCATTTCCTGCTTCAGGCCGTCCAAAATCGGGAACACGATGCGCTCGAGGAAGGGTTTCTGTCGGGGGTAGTCATACTCCACGCTGCCCAGGAAACCCAGCACGGCCGTGAGCATAGGCGTGGTCTCCGCCGACGTCAGGTCCACTTCCGGAGGCGTCAAGGTGGCTTCTGCCGCCGTCCAGGCTTCTTCGGTGATCGGTCTGCGCTCGTCGAGGGTTCCGATCAAGGGGATGAAGTGCTCTTCGAGTGCGACGAGGATACCCTTAGCAAGAGACGGCGAGGCGTCCTTGTAGATTTGCAGTAGGCTGGACAGGATGGCCTGTTTGATGTCGACGTGAGACGCCTTTTGCGCCAGGCGAGTCAACACGTCGATGGCGAAGTCCTCAGGGACGAACCGTGACCCTTGCAGCAGCTGGGCGAGGAACTTGACCGTCGTGACTTTGACGTAGGGTTCTTGCTGTTGCTGCTGTTCGGATTTCGTATCCGGCGTTGGCTCCTTCTCCTCGTCGTCCAGTGTTGCTTTCGCCTTCTTTGCTTGGGCTTGCTCGTCAAGTTTGGCGATGATGGCATTTTCGAAAGCGACGAAGCACTGGCGACTCTCCGATGCGGAAAGCCTTCGGAAGATCCTAGGGCTGAGGAGACTCCTGTGCCAGGAACTGGCTTCTGGACGTTGCAAGATTGTCTCCACGGCCATGTCCGTAGCCAGGCCTGGTCTATCGCTCTTAGAGAGGAGGGCGAGGAGGGTAAACGCCTTGTTTTCGAGGTTGATGAAGCCAGCTTGCTCGGGGTCCGATTGGGACAGCGTATCTAGCGTGTTCCGCGCGACCTGTGCCAGCAGGGTGGGAGGGACGTGCTGGAGGTGATGCTCTATCACGTCCATCGTGCCTTCATGTTCTCTCGACAAGAAGGCGGCGTCGAGGTAGAGAGCGGGAAATCGGACGTCGCGTTCCGAGGGGAAAGGCGAGGCCAGAATACGAGTGCTCGACGCGTTGCGTGCGTCCAGGTAGAGCAGATTGGACAGGATCAGGCCTTCACGGACCGCAGGGACTTTCTTTGCTCGTTCGTTCCTCTGCCACGACCAGATGGATGGTCCTTGAAGGAATGGGCGGGTATGGAGGGCAGGAAGTATGAGCGGTGGTCGGTGATGCGTGACGAATGTGCGCTGAACCTGCTGATGTCCTTCGACATATCCAGATATGTTACTTCTTCCAACTTCCGTTCCTTGAGATCTGGTCGAGTGGGAGGAGGTAGAGGATTCCACTCTTCCGGGATCGATGGTTCCTCCACCGTAGGAACAACGGGGACGTCTGCGAAGTGCTTATACGGGTCGGGCAGAGAAGGCCACAGGTCTTTCAGGTCATCGTCGAAAATGCCGGGGAGATCTCGCCAATACCGTACTGTTTCCTCCTCAGACATGCGTGAGCGAGAGAAGATACATATATGGCGCCAGATTCTCTCAATCCTTCGCTTCTTCTCTTCCACATCCAGCTCCTTGGGTACCAACATGCGCACTGCTGAACCATAGCTGTCGATAAAATTTCCAATGGCTGCCCGGCCCTCGTCGTCCTGCGGGAAGGGCACTGCGGCTTGTGCTTGGTTAAGAAATACAGCGGCATTGGCCCTCCTCGCAATGTAGGGAGCTACTTCATCGAGATTCGATACCGTGATCTCATAAGGCGTCGTCAGGACTTGAATTGGGAGTCCTCGCAGATACGGTTCCGGTAACGATGCAGCGGCCGGATAGATCCTAGGGCGTACCTCACGCCAGAGCTCATCGCGCGCTCTCGCCAATTCATCCAGAAAGCGATACGTACACGGCGACTCTACATCCTCGCGGAGTTGTTTCTTCCCCCCAAACGTCTGGAACGAAAGGATGCCGCCCATGCAATTCAATTCGAGCCTCTCGTACCCTGCCGTGAGCCCTAGTTTCTCAACATCGATAAGCAGCCGCACAGTGTCTTCCCACACGGCGCGATACAGTTCATCGCTGTCGATGATGCCCTTCGCACGCCTCAGCCGCATTATCCGTCTGTGAACAATCTTCCTGAAGAGCTTCAACGTCGGGCTCCACGTCTGGAAAGCAAAAGACGGTTCGCGCAATCCAAGACACGCCGTGTTGAATAAGAGGCGAAGTACAGCGTTTGCTTCTGCGATCTCGGCCTTCAAGCGCGCCAGGTCAACGCCATCCCATCTTTGAGGCACGCCGCAGATGAGATCCTTGAACTCCCGCGTGTACTGGCCGTACAGCGTCGCACATGTGAGGGGATCGCGCACAAAGCGGTGAGCCCAAGCATATATCTCATTGACACAATCTCGCGATCCGCTAGCCGTGGCATAATGGATGGCGGAGCGCGCATACCACGCGCGCTGCTGCTGGTCGGAACTGCTTGCGGCTTTCTTCCGTCGCTCCTGGATCTGTGCTCGCGCGAGGGCTTCGGCTTCCATGAACTCGCCATTCCGGGTCAACAGGGTGATGTATGTTAGACATGCGTCTCCCTGGCCTGACGATGCGTATGTGGCCGATGTGCATAGTACGGATTTATATGGGCCGGTGTCGATGAGACCTACGTCTCCTCTTGCTGCGCGTAGACGTTGGAATAGGGACACGGCTTGTGAAGTGTCTAAATCTTGCAAGAGTGTATAAGATAGCCATGAGATGTCCATATCCTTCAGATCCGACTCCGACTCGATGTCCCGCGAGGCGACGAGGCGGAAACAAGAGCGAAGATAGTCATATCGCATGTGCCTCTCCATGCCCTCCAGAAGCCGCACAAACGCAGATAGCGACACGTCTTTGCCCTGAGAGCATAGCATAGACAACAGCTCCGCGAGCGGGCCGTCAAAAGTCTCGAGTCCGCGCGACCAGCGAATCGAGACTAAGTGCACGAGACCGTAACGTGCAAGCAGCTCTCCCGGCGTTGCGGCCTTGGGATTTCGTCGCAGATAGGCCACTGCCAAATCGATGGCTTCTCTTTCCAGTTCTGCGTTAGGCTTGCCCTTGAGCACTCGCCGCCGTGTTAGCCGTCTTACCACGTTCTCAAGGAAGAAGTGACGGATTCCTCCCTCGGGTTTCAGATTCCTATCAACCAGCAACCTCATAACCTCCATGGAGAAGCCCATTGACCAAGGAAGACACGACAGCGACTCTTTCCCCGGCGAACTCTCCCAAAACCAGCGCGAAAGCCACGCAGGCACCTTCGTGCCCTTCAGCAGCGATTTTACGATGAGCTTCTTCACCGTATCCATCTGAAGCCGCAAGATACTCCCCTCACGGACATCATCCCAATCCCCGCCCTTTGCAGACCCGTCCAACAATACACCCATGACGACCTCCTGGCTGCATGCCGGCAGCAGCCGTCGGTAGTATTTCGCCAACGGACGCGGATCCGGGGTGCGAATCTGCGTCTCGGGAAACACGTCTGGCAAGAGCGCTTTTAGTAATGCAGTCATTTCTTCCCTCCTCTCCTCCAATTGCTCATCCCCGGCGCCGTCGCGCCTAGCAGACGATGACGATGATGATGATGACGATGATGCCTTAGCAGCTCTAACAATAGCCACACACACCCTCCCTAGCTCCCGCACCGAAAACCCATTCAACAGCTCCACGACTCCCCTCACCCCGCCGAGTGCATCCCAGACGTACCTCCATCGCGATGCGTCGCGCAAGGCCCGGCCGAACGCGACGATGCCTGCGTTGCGCACGGCGAGAGAGAAGCGCTGGGTGAGTGATAAGTGGATGGAGTGCGGGTCCGGCGAGATGCAGAGCCAGATGTGGATGATGCAGGGGGGGAGGGAGCCGGTTTGGATGGCTGATAGGAGGGTTTGTGTGATTGCTTTGGCTTTGTCTGGGGAGGAGGAGGGGGAGGGGGATGTGGAGGACGATGGGGAGGACGATGGGGAGGTTGGGGAGGAGGATTTAGAGAGGGCTGTTCGGAGGATTTGGACTTGGGACTGGGGGTTGGAGAGGCGGAGAGTGGGGATGTCAATGTCGATATGGGGGATCTGATCCATTGTGGGAGTTCTTGGAGTGAGTGGCTGGGTTGTGGATAGTCGTATGAGTTGGAGGAAAGACTAGGGATCACTGGCTTGAAATCCCCAGGCGCACTTGATATTTACCTAGGTAGCCATCTATCGCGGAGTCAGCCGACCGTCTTGGCGTGAAGACTAACCTACACAGCTTCCGCAGTAGTCTCACCATCTGGCGCAGTAGACCCCATCCTTCGTTATTTGCTTTGCTTTCATTTCATTCTGCCACATCATGGTTTGAATTTTGGCTGCTACTTTTAAAACTTCGCAATAGTTAATAGAAGCCTAAAGTTTGTCTTTCAAAGCTTAAGTTATACTAAGCGGAGACTCTTGCAAGCCTATGAACTATTCCTATCCTTATTTTGGTTGATCCTTCGCCTTAATCGCTAATTTCATGGCCTTGAGCTCTTCCTCCTGCATCTTCTGTTCCGTTGGACCACATCATTGTTAGCATTGCCTTTTAGTGTTACGGTAGAACGCACTCACTCACATCTGCGTTTGGCTGCGTCGCTGGCTGATCGTTTCCCGTATTGCGTATTTAGATGAAGTTGGATGAACGGATACAGATGCAGCGATGTAGTCATAGTGGCGAACGGAAGAAGAAGGAGGATCTTATAGTTACGGCATATATAAGATCAAAGCAAGCCAACCTAGAAACAGGAGTTGTGTTACGCATTTATCCTAGTTCAGCAGCAGGCCATAATCTAGAAGCAGGCTAGGGTAGTCTTACAGGCACGTAATCGGTGAAAGGACTCAGCTTCGTTAGGGCAGGACATGCATGGGATGGAATTCGCATACCCGCCAAGGACAAGCGCTTCTACTATACCGAATTCGCGGTGCTATATTCATGTTAGGCTAAACGGTGCAGCTCGAAGTGAGACTAGTGCGGCGTCAAAGGACACTACCCCACTTTTCTCTAGCTTATAGGGCTGAGTTCCTCTCACCATAGTAATAGCACCTCTTCGATTTTGTAACATGCAATCTATCCAGCCACCCCCATCCCTCGGACCCTCACCCCCCTACTATGCAAAGCCCAGGCCTGAACAAGTAGGTATCTGCTATCGCGCTGCCTGCGATGGAGACCTTGATACTCTTAACAGGCCTGGCAGCTTCTCCACAACCCTGAGGCGGCATTTGATGAGCAACCACATCCAACGTGGCTATATCGTTCTTTAGCTGAAGCAATTCGGCAACAGAACATAGAAATGGTTCAGTTTCTGCTCGACGAGAACGTCGCGAACGGTGATCTTCCAGTTGAGGTTGCTGTGCGTAGTCGGGCGTTTAAGGTACTAGAGTTGTTCCTCAGGTATGGATGGGATATCAACCGGCCCATGGGCCGAAATGAGCCTTCCGTGTTGAGGTATTATTACCAGTGTTGTATAGTCTTAACCTTAACTTACACATTCAGTATCCCTCTGTGTACCTCTGATAAGGAGATGGTTCTGTGGTTGCTTGACCATGGTGCCAATCCACACAGCCGCTGCGATTGGGACTTTACACCAACATCATACGCCATGCTTGCCGCTCCTCTCGAAACCATCGACACTCTTTTCGAACGAGGAGCAAACCCACTTTGTGGACAACTCCTCCATTATGCTGTTCTAAGGGATAAACCTGATGCTCTAGAGGTAGTCCGCAAGATCATAGAGAAAGGTGCACCAATCAATGAGGTCAAATACGAAAAGGAGCTAAAGACATATATCGAGCGCAAGCCATTTGGCCTTGGAACACCACTCCATCGAGCTGCAGAGTTTGGTAAGATGGACGTTGTTGAGTACTTGTTGAAGATGGGCGCCGACCCCCTGAAGCTGGACAGCAAAGGTCGAACGCCACGTTACTGGGCGGAAAAGGAGGGCTTCGCAGACGTAGCTCGTGTTCTCGAGGAGGCAGAGGGTAAACAGGCAAACATTGAGTCTATGTAAATCTTTCGGGCGCTGATACAAGACATAATATGAAGAACAAGAATCATCTGTCGAAGCTTTCAAACCCATCTCCTTTCTATTAACGGCAGTCAATTGGCGGACTGGGTTCGTTCTGGGCTCCACCATTGGCACGGTTGATTTCTCCGTCATTCTCAGAATTGCTGAACTCCTGCTAGAACGTTCTCCACCACAGCGCGTGTTGCCACCATCACGGGGCATTTCCACAAGAGGCCGTTGACTGACTGCTGCTAGTGGCCAACACGCATTTCCTTGGTCTTCAGTCAAAGGTGACATGGCAAAGAGAACGCGTTTTATCAAACGGAGTCCATCGCCTCGGACCGACCCGTGCGCTATGTACCTAAATCATTGTCTTCGCAATATACATCCAGCCCTCTCACGCTATGCCCCTAACCAACCATGATCTACCTACCGCGTACATGCTGCTCGAGTACATAGGCTCTGACACCGGCCAGATGCTCTCACATACATGGGACAAGCAACGAGACGACCCAATCCGTAGGCAGAGGCTGTTCCAAGGCATGGCTCATCTGATCCTCTCTCTGGCTCGTATTCCTCAGCCAAGAATAGGCTCATTCCAGTTCCAGGACGACTGCACTGTAACACTGACGAACCGGCCACTCACCTGCTCGATTATGATACTGGAAAATGACGGGGCGCATCGCTTTTCACCTTCCCGCTATCAGGTTTGCTCCTTATTGCCCTCCCTCTCGTCTCTCTCGTTCTACTCCCTCGTCGCCTTCTCTCTTCTCACTTTTCTCTCATCCCTGTCTTTTTTTGGCGCTGTTCCCAGAGGGATTTACAGTCGCCAAATCACCTGCCTTGCGACTCATGCTAATAGTCGCCTCCTCGACAACACCGCTATACTGCTACAGCCTCACCATCTCAACATATATGAGTGGGCAGGCTTTTACTGCTTAGGCTGTTCTCAACATGAATAACCTGCCCCTAGAGTCCATCGTGGTAGCAGTTGGGGCACGTGACTCTACCATTCACTGGAAGCACTAGTGTGCATATCCACGGTAAGTCCTCGCCTGGCAGCGTCAAGGCTGACAAGATAGGAACGAGCGAAATGATTCCTATGCTGAAGTACCTCTCTTGCGCGTTTCAGTGTTTAAAAGATTCCGCAATTGCAATCCGACCAAAGATACCCTAATTGCAATCCATTGCGATTCCTTCGCAAGTCCGCTCGCCAATTTGTATGTGTGTGTGTTGGAATGCTAGGGATTCCATCTTTACTTTACTGCTCATCACCTACAAGAGCCAATCACCTTGAGTCATATCCTCCCCTTAGCCAAAAACCGCAGCGGCACATCGACTTCCCTCGCCCTTAGATACTCGGCACAATTCTTGCCCAGGAAATCCACACTCAACGTGCAACTCACGCCTCGATCCAGATGATCCTTGAGCAGGAAATGCACGGCTCTGAGGCCCGGAAACTCGCACCTCTCGATCCTCCTCCCACGCTTGTACTCTTCGTCCAGCAGCTCCTTGATAAAGTCGACAGACAGTAGGTCCCGCAGCCAGGCATACTCGTCCTGATGACGGACCCAGAATCCGACATTGCAGTCCGACCCCTTGTCTCCCGATCGACCGTGCACTATGGTGCCTAGAGGCGCGCGTACAGTCTCGCCAAACGAGGAGAGTTTGACGATATCCGACGTTGTATCTTGAGAAGGTTGCTGCTTTGGATACGTCTTCGTAACGCTTGGTGGCGGGATATCAATGACCTCGCCGCTGGCCAGATGAGCGCGGTGTCGAATAGTTGCTTGAGGGAGGAGAGTGACATAGTACTCGAACACCTCCTTGGGAAACGCCTGCCGCAGATCGAGGTGAGGCGTCGCGCCGGGATAGGCGCACATGATGGGATCGATGCATGCTCGTGCGAACTTGGCTCCGGCAAGGTCGGATGCCTTTCGCGCTTGAGCGACGACGCGGAGGTCGACGGTGGCGGCGTTCTGGTTCTTGGGGTTACGTGGTACGGAGCCGATGGTCTGGAAGGAGAGGTGCTCGAGGTTGGAGACGTGGGAGCCCATTTGGGTCCTGATCAGCTTCTCGATCATGCGCGCTTTGGCGTCTATGTCTAACCCGGTGAGGAACCAGTGCATCTCGGCTTGATACATTGGCTTCGCCGTGATTCCAACTTTCGTAGTCGGCGGCGGCGGAGCGCCTTTCACACCGCGAAGTGCGACCCGGTTGGTCGATATATAATCGAATTTGATATCGTCCAGGACGGCCGTGACATCCGAGTTATAATACCACGGCCCCTGGATCTCGTACAGAAACTGCGACGTGAGCGTGTTCACCGAGACTTCGCCGGCGGAACCTAGATTCTTCGTCACGACGACGTCGCCCGAGTGCGCAATCTCGACGATGGGGTACCCGATGTTGTCCCATCCGAGACTCTCGAGGTCCTTGAAGCCCGTGTAGTTGCCCCCCGTGCTGTACGAGCTGCACTCCACGAGATGCCCTGCGACGAACGCGTTGGCCAGTTCATCCAGGTCGCATCGCCGCCACTTGTGCCACCAGTACGCCGCGCCGATCACAGGACTGGCATCCGAGACGCGTCCACAAACCACGATATCAGCCCCCCTCTCAAATGCCTTTGCGATGCCCAACCCGCCTAGGTACGCCTGCGCATACATGGGCTCGAATTCCCACTCTTCCAACCTCTCCCCAGTGCATATGTTCTCGAAAGCCGACTCGCCCCTTTTCTTTGCCTCGAGGAGCTGCGGCAGAACCTCATCTCCGGATATCCACGCCACAGACAGATCCAGCCCTTTCTCCTTGACCATCTCCGTCACCACCGCGTGCAACTTCTCCGTATCCGCAGCCCCCGCATTCACGGCAACCTTGATGCGATACTTTGCGATATCCCGGAGAGCGGGTTCGAGAGCTTCGAGGAACGTGGGTTCGTAGGCTTCCTGATTGCCTTGAGTCGCATCATATAAGCCTCAGTGTCTTAAGGATTTATTCGCAATATCCCTCACCGCTCATTTTGCTTCCTGCCCGGACCGTCATGTTCCCCTCGCTCATCCAGTCTCCCGTAAATACATCGATGGGGTCGTTTTCATAGTTGGCTGCCAGCAGGGCCATTGCATTGCGGCGGTCCGTCGTGGAGCCCGAAACACCTATTCGATGCCGTCAGCCACCTGAGAGATCATGCAAGTTCAATAGTGAATATATAAGGGAAAGGAAAGTGAGCAGTACCAGCAATGCGGATTGGACGTGTGATTGTCATGGCGGAAGCTCACGGTGGTATATTCTCGGCAGCTAGATGGACGTGCCCGTCAAGAAGAAACATAGGGAGCAGCATGATGTCCAGATATCCCATGCCTCCTCACACGGTACCTCGGTGAGTGGAGGTAAATCGCGACATAGAGTCGCAGGGTAGCTGTCAGACGTCCTCCCGACCAAAACGCGGGGAAAGAAGCCTAATCCGAATCTAGTGTTAGCGTTCACCGTCGCTCGGCTATGCTGAACAATCTATCAAGGGTCATCTAAGGATTATTAAGTTAACACAAGACACTCTCAGCAATTACAACAATGCCACTTTCTTCATTCCCTAAAAAGAACAATATAAGCTGTATTTCTCAGGAGGATATTCGGGTTCCTGCTCGTCTTGCGAGCTTGGAATCTGAGCCCCTAGACTCCCTCACACTTGAACCGGTTTCAATCCGTAAAGACAGTCGACCATACCTATTTCATGCCTGCTTTCGACGTCTGAAGTGCTCAAATGCACATATTCCAGCTTCCCTTCTCCGAACCACTTCGCTATCCTCCTCTATGCGCACACTGTACAAGCATCGGTTACCGTTCACTTGTACCTACGGCGACACACGGAGGGTATAGCCGACATGTATACGGAAACTTACATGTCGAAAAACGGCTGCAGGACGGCAGCTCCACCTTGACCCGGCAGCCGAATTAGACCTCCCGCACACCTTCCTGTGAGTGACGGATGCTGAGAGATCTTCTTCGCTCCTGTAGTTTCTCAATTGCGGCTTCGGTTTGCCGTAAACTCCCAAGTCTGGAACCCGGCAAGGAGAGGCCCAACTGAACTGAGGCGCGTCGTGACCCGTAAATGTTTGGAAGGGCACCAATGTTCCTTCCGCCCGTCTCTTCTCTGACTTTTGCCAGCTTTTGGGCAAACGGCGACCTCTCGCGTAAAAGTGGTCCCTTCCAGTAGATGACATACACGGCTCCCACCAAGAGTATGGAGATGCCGAAAAGGATCGTGGACGCGTACGCAACGTGTTTGGGATCTGAAGAGCTGGGAATGTTCTGGTAAAAAGGAGTGGCGGGGAGCGTCAGGACGCCTGCCAGTATGTCGCGAGACCAGCCGTTCCCTCCGGTTGCTGATGCGGAATAAGGACCATAGGCACAGATCATGTAGTCGATCGTCGCCATGTAAATGGCATAATTGGCAATTCCGATAAGAGCAGATGCAACCATGGATCCTACCCAGTGGATCGGTGGACCCGTCGACGTCCAAGCAAATATGATGAGGCCGACTGGCAAACAGGGAACGGTGTAGAGGAGCCACCAAAGCCGATTCTCATACTGCGCGCGTTCGTCGTTTGGCCGAGCAGCGCGAACCTTCATATTGTGCTTAATAGCCGGAAGGAAAGATAACCATGCGAGAAGGTAGCCTATGCCGATGGGGATAAACGAGAGGCCGATAGCGATTGGGGTGAAGTTCCATTGCCTGTACACCAGGCCATACGACTGTAAGAACATGAAGATAATGGCGTCGGAGAAACCGGAAAGTAGGCTGAGGCATAGGACAATTGGCTCAGTGAGGAACATGCGGAAGGGGCGAATCCACGTAACGAGAATCTCTCTCATCGAAAACCGGTCTTTGCATGGCGTCAGCTCGTTGGGACCCCATATATTCACCGGCACACCGTTCTGATCGCCTTCTTGGCGGCGTCTTCGGGCGATTCTGTCCATTAGTATGGTTGATCGGGTCTCCGGAACGAGGGAAAGGTGAAGCAGCTGCACGAAGCCTCCGAAAATGAGCTGGATCCAGATAGTCCAACGCCAGTGTAGATGTTCCTCGACAAAGCCGCCGACAATAGGGCCAAGTACAGACCCTCCAACAGACGAGAAGACGATGTATGCCTAGAATCGAAGCATATGAGACAGAGATTCTCCTGAGTGGAACCATCAAACTCACCACCGCATACTGTTGCGCATCGGCTTCCCACATATCAGCAACCATGGCCAGTGTCACACTGCCTCCTCCAGTGGAAAGACCTCCCAACGCGCGGCCAGCAAGGATAGTCCCAAAGTTCGGAGCCAAGGCGACCGGTATTTGCCATATGTTGACGAGAAACAACGATAGCTGGAGGACGGGGAATCTGCCCAGTTCCTCAGACCAGGGAGCCCAGAGTTCACATCCAAAGGCATAGAATATCAAGAAGAGCGCAGCGCCCAGACGAGCGGCCTGATGGCTAACACCAAACTCGGCGGATATCCCGGTTATTCCGTTCGAGTACAGCGCGGTGTTGAAGTTCATTGAGACTTGGACAAGAAAAACGATGGTGAGGATGCCCCATTTCTTCCAGGTTGGCCATGAATATCCCAGTTCCTCATAACAATCGTCTTCCGTGATAATGTAGCGATCGTAAGTGCCATGCCTCTTATGGGATTCCCTATCCTCGACGTTCGCACCCTTTTCTTTATCCCTCTCCGTGTTGCGGGTGTTTGTGTTCGGAACAAGGCCGTTCGAACCCTCCGATGCGCTCGCCTTCGCTTCTTTCCTGGTATCGCTGTCGGCATTACTGGTAACAATGCCGGCCATGTCCAGATATGTCGCTGAGTCTACCTCCTCATGTATAGTACACACAAAAATGAACGGTCGTGATGTTGGTATATGATAGAAAAGAATGTGAAAAGCTCCATGGAGTCTCACGATGAATAGAAGAAGGGAGTCCTTAACTACGCAGGTGCATGACGACGACGGCGCTTAATCAGCATGGCATGCTCCTTCTTGAGAAGCAATGGCGATGAGCTCCTGCTCCAAGCTGGCGGTGAGGCAGGCACTTTCTGTAACGAATCGGACTGGCAGGCGTAACCCCGTATCCAAGTGTTGACTGATGAATTTGGACCCTTTGAAATAGGCGCAAACTGCTTCACGCTCCTCTACAAACGTAGTCGGACGTATACGCGACGATGAAACACTTCTTCAATCGGGAATACTGTGGAAGATCCTGGAGGGGTGCTCAGCCTGAGATTAGCTCGAGCAACGCGTCCGGGGCTTGCTAGTTACGATGAAACCTGAGCATTGGAGGCAATTTTATGAGGTGTTGATGATCGTATATTTGTGGCGGTACGGCCATACCATAGGCGCGGCGGGTTGGTCGATGTACCGGTTTCGGATCTTAGGTCCAATGGCCGGTTGAGTATACCTACGACCTGGATTCGTATTCGTTTACAACATGTACCTAGGTAGCTAATTCAAAGCTCTCGACTTCAACCATGTCTTCGGTCTTCATGCCTTCGGATCGTGAATCAATGAATGAGTCACGTGACCCATCATTAACTGAGTAACTTCACCTACTCTGTCATGAGAACATGGCCTTTATTCCCTTTAGAGACTTTACAACTGCGCCAACGCAAGCTTCACGGTTTCGAATTGCGCAAAAACCTGCCTAGCAAATCATCACATCGACCACTGTCATAGAACCCACGTTGACAGACCCAACTTCACTTGCTACCTGTCACCCGCCCGTTACACCAGCGATCACATATACTCCATGATATAAACCCCCAACTCGTTTTTCCGATCCCTTTGTTCGTACCAAGTAATCCACCACGTTCCCGTTTCCTCAGCTACAATATCTGTCAAGCACCTACGAATCTCGACCCAAGAGAGATGTACTTCTTGAAATTGTTTCCACTACTCTCGCTCGCCGCTGCGCGAGTGGCTTCACCAATAACATACAAGTCCGATTTAGGCAAAGACACGGACACCTGCGAACCGCAACCTCACGCGATGGCTGGATCTAGGACGGCCACAATAGCTGTGCAGAAGCGCGAAGGGGTTCCGAATTTGAAAGCCATTATAGGAAGTGTAAGTCTGCTCAAACAAATCTCATCCAGATGCACAAGCTATTCTTGTGACTCTGATGACCAAGACTTATCTCTAACACTATCCAGCTTACAATTTGCATCGACGACGAAGACCACAGTTGCACTACGCTCGACGCCTTGGACAAATGCGTTAATCTCAATGGAGACAATGGGAATCTGTAAGCATATCATAATAGGCTACAATCCTTCTCAGATATGCTTATACTACGATGCAGCGCACACAAGATCTCGTCTCTCGAGACTGCCGAGCATACCGCATGTCTCCTCTACCGGTAAGCACTCGAGAACCACAGTTTGGAAAGCATCGTACCTAGCTAATCATACAAAGTGACTTCGACTGTACCAACCCCTTGGCCGGCGGTCGCGCCATCGACAACACCTACATTCCCCAGCTCAAGGCTCTCAATCCCGACGAGAGAATCCGCAGCGTCACCTGCTGGGAGCAACACTCGCTATCCACCCCCGCTCCTCAGCATTCCAAACGCGCCCGTACTCGATTCTACAAAGGACCTATTGGAATGGTACATCCCCTTTTCCTAAGACTTGCATAATCATCTTTACTTGGTTCTGGCATACTTAGCTAATACCTGACACAGCTCCAACTCTGCCTAGACACAAACCTGCAGAGCTGCGTCGCAATATCCGCACTCCAATGTATCAGCCTTCGAAATGTTTTCCAGGATCTGTAAGTGTTGAGACGTGCCTACCCTATCAAGTAGGTCACCGGAGACTGACGCGATGACCCAGGCAAGGCAAGATTAACTCCGTCTCGCCCACCGTCGGCACAAGGTGCACGCTGTATACGTAAGTGAAATGCTATCTAGACCGCCGGTTCCCTTAGGGCTTCACGTACTAACACGCAGTAGCGACTTATATTGCAAAGGCAATACTCTACAATTGGACAGGCCCTTACTAAATCTCGGTCCTCTTGGCTGGGCCGGTGCGACGAAGAGTTTCATCTGTGCTGATCACCGCTATGATAAACGGAATGAGGGAGAGGAGGGTATGCTGGAGCGTAAGTATAGGTTCGATTGGATCGAGGAGCCGGCAACGGTGGGGTAAGCGTCGAGCGATGGATGATCTCCAGATTGAACTGTGGGGTCGTTGTTATCGCCGGGCGACATGGCATTGTCTTCGAAGACTGTGGGTTGGATAGGGTAATAGGTGCATACGCTCTTCTTCATGTAAACATCTCACCCATCTTCAAAGGTGTTGAGCGACTTCAGCTTTTCAGTCTTTCACAGCTTCTAGCAATATACGCACATCACAATTCCTTTCCCTTTCCCCCTGAAATTAGTCCAATTCAAAAAGACATCTATATGTCAAAGTAACCCTCCACCCCACAACTTCCCTCGCTCTAGCTCCCCGTCCACCTAAATCCCGACAGCGGTGCCCTGCGCCTTGCCAGCTATACCTCCCACAGGACAATATACAGGCGAGGTCGCTGGCTGGTGCTACATGAGTCCCATCAAGGCATTCACTTACCTTGTCTACGCGTGCATCATCTATCATATGCTTTCCTCGGCAGCGCCTTTGCCTATTTCTTCCTGCCTGAGAGAATAGCGGCATGTCGTCTGAAACGCCGACGACAACACGCATGAGCTGGTCGTCGGCGGGGAAAACCATGTTGCCACACATCAAAACATCACTCCGGAAATCCCAAAGGCAATCCACGAGCATCACGACAAAACCAACGATGCTTCAATCCGCCAGAATAACGAAACCGGGAGACCAGCAGTGCACAAGCACGTCCGGAATGCCAATCAGCCTTCCCACATCCCCGTAGAAAACGAACAATCCCAACACATTTCCAAAGAAGCCGACTCGGTGAAAAAAGAAAGACCAGTCAGGAGCAGACATACGAGATACATTTGCGAAACTGCAGACTTTATGCCGTGGGTATAAAACCTTAAAGTACCCCCCAGAGATACACAAAACCGTGACACACCAAACCACGAGATCCAAAACAGCAAACCCCCCCTTCCCTCTTCCTTTACCTGTCAGCACTACCTGTAGCACAATTGGGCTCTTGTTAGCCATGGCCTCCCCCGTGAAAAGATTGGGGAAAAGGTCTTGCTCGACTCACGAGCCCCTCGGGCTACTAGTCAGCGTCGAGCTCTTGTTGATCAATCCCGCGAAGAACGACGCCAACTTGTCATTCTCCATCTTCGTATCCTGTCCCGATGGCGGTGTCGTCGGCTCCTCAGGCGAAGCCGCACGATTGGCTTCTCGGTCCTTCTCAAGTCAGCACATCGCGCCCATCGAAAGCACTAAATATGCGCGTTGTCTCACCTGAAGCCGCTTAACCATCTCGTCGGCATTGACATGTATACCGCCCATATTAAACTGCACAGGCCCAATATGCTCTTCCACCACACCGCTGACATCGTCCGCCCACGTCCTGTACGTAGGATCCTCCTTCTTCCTCGCCGCCTTGATCCGTTGCTCGTTTTCGTCCTCGCGCCGTAGTACTTCTAGCGTCTGCAGCTGTTCGGTAAGGAAGGCCTGTGCATCCTTCGTCGTCACTTCAATGCCGTTGGCCTGCTTCGTATGAAGTGCCGAAAGAGGGAAGTCCTGTTCGGGGTTCCGTATCGTCTCTTCATAGATCGATGTTGCAGATGGGCCCTCGCTTTCTAATTCAGGTTTCTCCTCGTTTGCGGTAGTTTCCCCTTCTGCAGGAGCATCGCCGTTGTGCACCGCTCTGAGTTGGCTAGGGATATCAATGTCAACGGACCACTTCTCACTGACGCCCTCCACATCGAACCCCTCCCTTAGAATGCGAATCTTCCCCCAGGAGTCCCAATTCGGCGGCACCAGTACCCGATCGCGATCGATGACATTAGCTTTCAGTTGTTTCTGCTTCACCAGCGACTTGATCCCCAGGTGCGAATGTATCAGAGTCTGCAGAGAGCCCGGCGCCGACGGCATCGTGTAAACCAGGCTTGCGCCATGCTTGAGCAAAATGGTCCGGATATACTGTAGAATGAAATCGAACTCCTCTTCTTTCCACCCGCGCTCTTTCTCCAGCGCCTCGATCTTGTCTGCGTTTTGGCAGACCACGCACAGGGGAATCCCAAGCGGCTCATCCCATTCTCCAGGCCCGAGGGGGATCTTGACGGCTTCCGCTGCGCTGGAAGTCTCTGTACCGCCTCCACCACGGCCTTTGTCCTGCAATGCCGATATGTTTTCCTCCAGCACTTCCTTCGATGCGTCATCCAGCGACAAGATGAGGGACCGTAGGACGCGAATCCAGTCCCGTAATTGGCGGACCCATAGCCAAGGGTGGTTCCAGTCCAGGAGAATCACTACGAGCATGTGAGGGAGCGTGCGAGGGTTGAGATACGGCTTAATCAGGGGTGCGAACGAGGGCGAGGGGTTCGCAAGAAGGTAGAGGGAGAGTCGAGCGAGCGTATCTATTTGCATTAATCCTTGAGTCCCGGAAGATGCTGGGGCTTGCAGGTGGTCCTACCTTCGTGGTCTGTGTCGAGGACGTCCTGGTACGTATACCCCAACGCAAATTGATTCGCGATGGGCGGTTTCCTTCCGCGATCCGGAGGTCTCCGACCGCTCGACGACTCCGTAGACACGGATTCAAGGAATTCTCTCTGCGTTTCTGGGGTACCGCCTGCAGCGCCAATTAACATGTGGACTCGAAGGGGCCTAGTGTCTCAGTCCGCACCTAATACCAAAAGACTCTTTTCAGGTAACCTCTTCCCGCTCGATATATTATCCAGCATAGGTTTCCATATCTCTTCCTTTTCCTGGTCTCTGCTCCCGGGGCGCTGAAAAGCCCCAGATGTCCTACTGGGGAAACGACGCGAGGGGGTCGCCATGGCGGAGGACGTCGGAGGTTCTGCGAGGCGCAAAGCACGAGAGAAGCACAGCTAAGGTCTGTATAAAGGTCTATCAAACACAACGCTAGTTGTCGATAGGAGAGATTGCAGAAAACGGCGCAATGTACGGCGAGAACGAATGTTTACAAAATGTCGCTTTCTTTCAGTCGCGTTGCAATGTCCAGGGCAGCTTCGAGGCAGGGGTCCCTGCCAAGACCTCCGCTCCGACCGAACAATTTCCCAGCTAAATAACTACATCTGACCTCACCACCTAGCCACCGCTACCCTCTATGCTAAATCTTCCTCACTACAGCCATGAACACCATCCGCGCCATCCAAAGACTCAACAAACGCGAACTCGAAGCCGGCATCAACCCCGAAGGCTCCTGGCACACCGACTACCGCGACACGGCCTTCATCTACGTAGGCGACCTCCCCTTCGACCTCTCCGAAGGCGACATCATCACCATCTTCTCGCAGTATGGCGAACCCGTCTGGATCAAGCTTGCTCGGGACAAGGAGACGGGCAAGTCGAGGGGTTTCTGCTGGCTAAAGTATGAGGATCAGAGGAGTACGGATTTGGCGGTGGATAATCTGGGGGGTGCGCAGGTGTTGGGGAGGACGTTGAGGGTGGATCATGCGAGGTATAAGCCTAGGGATGATGAGGATATGAGGGATAATACTATGGGGGATGTTGTGGAGGAGGAACCGGAAAAGAAGAGGAGAAGGAGAGGGGCGAGCGAGACGGAGACGGAGACGGAGAGCGAGGAGGAGAGGCCGCTTCTAAAGGAGGAGCTTGAGTTGCGGAAGCTGATAAGGGAGCTAGATGATGATGATCCCATGAAGGGAGCGCTGGTGAAGAGGAAGCGGGAGGAGGCGGAGTCAGCGGTCGCGAAGTATGAGAAGGCGAGAAGGAAGGAGAAGGAGCGCGCTAGGCGTCACGACAGGCGTCGGGACCGATCGAAGGATCGTCGACGCGACAAGTCAAAAGATCGCGAGTACCGTCCCCGGAGCAGGTCAAGAGACAGCGATAGTGGACATCGAGACAGGTCAAGCGACCGCAATGACCGCCGCCGGAACAGATCGAGAGACCGCTATGAATATCCCCGAAACAGGTCAAAGGACCGTAGCGAGCGCCGCCGGAGCAGTTCAAGAGACCGTTACAACGACCGCAGACATCGTGACAGAGACTAAGACCCTGGACTCGTACGCGACATTTATTGAACATTCTTTCACTTCCCTTCTAGCAGAGATACCCAAGCCTAGAACAATTCAATGATACCCTTTCTTCACCACTCCTCGTAATCCAAACAAATATTATCCGGCACTATGTTTGGATTCGTCTGCCTATCAAAGCAGAAGAATTTGTACCTTTCGATGCTGTCCTTGCGCGTACAGGTCGTCACCCTAGCGGTAGGGTATGCAGGACCAGAAGTGTGGCAGAGGGTACGCTGGTTGCTGAATCTTGATTCTGGTATTCATCTACAACGTCTATCGTTACTTTCCTAAAATGACTTCATGCCGTCTAATTATAGCACCAGGAAAGATACTGAAAAAGCACGGCACTTCTCAAAACCTCTACTCCAACTACTCTCCTCCTCCCATTTGCACACTCCTCCTTATCAGCTCCTCACCCCTCCAGAAACTCCTTCACAAACCTCGCCACCTCCTCCGGCCTCTCGACCATAGGCAAATGTCCCGCACCCGCCACAACCTCCAACCTCACACCGCCCTCCCCCAAACTCTTCGCCATCTCCTTCATCGTCTTGGGTAAAACCCCATCGCCCTCGCCCACCAAAAATGCACCCTTGCCCTTGAACGCCGGCATCCGATCACGCACATCATACGCATACAGCGCATTGACGCTCCTCCTGAACCCATCCAGACTATTCGTCTCGACCATCTTCTTGACTGCTTCCAGACGAGGGACGAGTTCGGAGTTGTCGTAGGATTGCGGCACGAACCATCGACGGACGGTCAATTCGGCGAGCTCGTCGCCGACAATGGGTTCGCCGCTTCCAGATGAGGAAGAGCTCACAGCACCCTGCTTCTCGGCGATGGCGATGCGGTCGGACCAGGCTTTGGGGTTGCTGGGTGGGGCCACGGCGTTCGTGTCGCAGGCGATGAAGGCGGAGATGCGGGAGGGGTGGGTGAGGGCGGTGTTGAGGGCTGTGGCGCCGCCAAGGGAGACGCCGATGAGGGACGCGGATTTGACGCGCAGGGCGTCGAGGAGGGTGATGATGTCCTGGGTTAGGGTGTCGAGGGTGATGGGGGAGGTGGAGGAAGGAGGTAAGGTCGAGCGGCCGCGCGTGTCGAAGCGGAGGATGCGGTATTTCGTATTGGTGAGGGTGAGGAAGGCCGGGGCAAAGGCGTCCCAGATGTGGTAGTTGACGAGGATGCTGTTGATGCAGAGGAGGAGCGGGCTGTTGGGGTCGGGCGAGCCTTCGAGGCGGTAGGGGAGGCGGACGCCGTCCGGGGTCGTGATGTAGGATTCTATGGCTGGGTAGGTTGGGTTTGATGATGGTGACGATGGAAACGTCCTTGTGAGGCCGTCGGTGGATTCGGCCGGTTTGGTCGAGGGGTCGGAGAGGGATGCTAGGTCTCGTGGTGCGGGGCCGAAGGTGTAGTATACATCATACGTTCTCCTTCTCCTTTCCTTGACAAACGATTTGGATATTTCGTTGGTCCATGGCGTCGACACGGCGGCGGTGAACTCTGGTCCCCCCAGACCATTCTCCGGGGCGTATTCGTGTAGGTTGAGGAATTCCTTTGCCTTGCCATCCTTCAAGTCCAGGTAGCTCGTGACGAATCTTCTGGTGCGTCTCCAGCCCGGGACTTTCTGCAGCATGGGCACATGCTCCTGCTCAGTCCACTTTTCCACCTCCTTCTCCTTATCCTCACCCTCATACAGCGTCACGCTAACAGCAACCAATACATTCTTCTCTCCCTCATTCTCTACATCCTCCAGCTTCTTGAAGTCCTCACTCTTCCACTCCTTGACCAAATCATAGAACCTCCGATCCACCACGATCTCCTTCATCGTGTCCCTCTCTCTCTGACTCTGCACCGGCGCCTTCCTCAATCTCGTATACACATCCTTGGTCAACCACTCCATATCCTCGATATCGTACACGGCCATGAACTCGGGCTTCGCAGCCGAGAAATCCGGGCCATCGTTGGCGCGGTAGCGGAATCCGTTCCGGCACCAGGGCAGACGCAGACGCGTCGGACCGTGTTCGTTGTTGTACCAGTCGTGGAACTGGGCATGGGGTAAGGACGGATTGGGCTGCATGGTTACGTAGAGGATACCTGGGGTAGGCGCCATGTCGGTTGGTGGGGGCAATGGGTGGTTGTGAGTACGAGTCCAGAGGGAGGTTTGTGTTTCTTCGGTGAGAGGAGGGTGGAGAAGTGTCTATGGAGCGACATGGAAATTGATGCGATCTTGGAAAGATATCGGGATTGGCGAGCTTGGGAAAGGTGGATGTGCGCTTCTCCGAGAGCATCTGCCGGCAGAAGATAGACGCGGAGGGGTCCGCGCTAGGAACGCTAGGAACGGCCTCATTCCGAGAGTCGGAAAGGGCGGGGTAGGAAGTTCGGAAGTCCGAGCCATGTCCACGAAGAATATGTGGTGTGATGTGAATCTGAAAGCCAACGGCTTCCATTCGTACGAAGGATTCTCCATATGATGGTGGAGAAGTATGGAATGATGTTAGTTATTTCAGACGGTAAATGCTAGAGGCAAGCCGCTGGCTTCCTATGCAAAATGACGCAGTCGGAAATGGGTCAGTGTTGAGTATAGATTGTCTTGTAGTATTATGCGTACAGTTTGATGTCTCTACTGTAGCTCGCAATTCTACTATGATTGTACCCATCTAGTCGTACCATATAGCATTCATACCAAAACCCTTCTCATTAATCTCCAGCCTTGCCACCCTTGCCAGGAATTCCTTGTGCCATCTATAAATCTCAATGCCGCCCTTCTCATCGTCCGTCAAGGCCAGCCACTCATCCGACCATGGGCACGGGCTCACAGCGTTCGAATGCCCTCCACTCGTCGGTGTTGGATTCAGGCAGATCTGGCGCTCGATAGCTCCACTCTCGCTGATCTTGAAGGCCGCGATGTAACCTGTGAGATCGAAGGAGTTGGCACGGGAGGTCGCGAATAGATATTCCGAGGACTGGGTTAGGAAGACGACGTCGGAGCGGTACATGGTCGGGTTGGGAATGTCTGCATGGTATTGTCAGCTTCAATACCCCTCGGAAGACAAGAACACATACCTGGAGGTATGAGGGGAAACCACTTGTGGGTATAAACCGGCATATGCGTCTGAGGATCAATCACGTATTCACACACGCGATTCCCTGCCTCCATCAGCGCATAGAGGTACTGCCCGCTCTTATGCATCTCGACCCAACGAGGGTGATCCTTCTCTCCTGGCGCATCCACATATCCCACCAGCTCTACTGTCCCATCGTCCCGCTTCTTGTGACACCATATCCGATTTGCCCACATGTCGGCGGAATAGAGATAACTCTCGGTGGGATCAAAGACCATGCCGTGGATGGCCGTCTGGGGGCAGTACTCGTAGTTTTGGATGTTCTCCTTGATACTTCCGTCGTCGTTGACGGAGAAGACGTTGCCGTAGCCTGCGTAGTCGTAGAAGGGATTGCCGTAGACGCAATAAGGAGGCTTCTTTGCTGCTAGAACGAAAATGGCACGCGTGCGAGTGTCTGCCTCTGCAGCCTTGGCTGTGAAATGTCCGTCAATGTCATGTTTCCCAGTTGGATCTGCACGACATACGGTGACCACCCAGGGGATGGGAGGAGCTATGCACAATCTCGCTGGGGCTCTTGACTGCATGGCTGGACCATTTCTTCATGGATGCGCCGTAGATGTTCTTCCTCTTATGCTGTGACAAGCCGTGAGCTTCTGCCAAGTCGATTGAGGAAATGGATTCTCACATCGAAAGTCATCCACGATATAGGCTCATCCTCCGGAATCTCCGTCTTCTTGACCAGCTTCAAGCTCAGTGCTTCGTCGTCGAATTCGACAGTGATGATGACGCCTGGCGGTGTCCATGTTCCGATCATGAGATGGTGCTTCATGGTGTCTCAGGAGTTCGATTAACTTCCTCTGGGTGCATGGAGACGTCGAAAAGGAACATCATCTTCTCCAGATTCCACCTCCAGAGCCATCCTTTGCGACCCACATGTCCAGCTCCCATGCTTCGTCTCCGAACCCCAGCGCGGGCTAGGGCGGGGGAAGACGGGGGGAGAGCTCGGTGATAAAAGCCGGGTAAGTGTTTACCCGCAATTCTAGACCGCTGATTGGCCGCGCATTGCGGGGCACTCTTCGCCGTCGTCGGCACTGTGAATCTCTCACCACCCATCACCCACAAGCCGAAGGGGGTTGCCGTACGGGGAGCGCATTGCTGGAAGGCGACGGGCAGCGGACAATGGCGAGCATGGCATCGCGCTAAAGGGAGCCTTCTGGATTGTATATAAGGGATAGACCCAGCCCCAGCTCTGCCTGCAATTCATCCACTTCTCCTTTCCAGACTTCTCCCTCTGTTAACCGTTTCCCTTTCACATCTTCACATTCTCTACCATCTTTTGCAAGGGAAAAAGGAACAACACTGCCAAAATGTCTTCGAATCAGCAAACCTCTCCCCCCCACCGCTTCGATCCCAACTTCACAGACTCGGTCATCAATGCCATTGGACCCAACTGTGACCCCCGCCTACGCTTCGTCATGTCCTCGCTGATCCGCCACCTCCACGACTTCACACGCGAGGTCGAGCTCACGGTGGACGAATGGATGGCCGGCGTCAAGTTCATCAACCTGATCGGCCAGACCTCGACTCCCACACGCAACGAGGCGCACCGCATGTCGGATATCCTGGGTCTTGAATCGTGCGTAGCATTCAATAACCAAACGACCTGACCCCCCCCCTCTAACAATCCAACAGCCTCGTCGACGAGATTGCACACAAGCACGTCAACGAGTCGGGCGAGGAGCCCACCTCGTCCTCCATCCTGGGCCCCTTCTGGTCGCCCAACGCCCCCTTCCGCGAGAACGGCGACTCCATCATCCAGGACCCGCACAACGGCCAGGTCGCCCTCATGCACGGCGTGATCCGCGACCTCGACACCAAGAAGCCCATTCCGGGTGCCGTCATCGACATCTGGCAGGCCTCCAGCAACGGCCGCTACGACTTCCAGGACCCGGAGAACCAGACGCCCAACAACCTCCGCGGCAAGTTCAGGTGCAACGACAAGGGCGAGTACTGGTTCTACTGCCTCAAGCCTACCGCTTACTCCCTGCCGACAGATGGTGAGTATCATGAAGTGAAAAATATGAACGTCGACGATGCTAATCAGGAGCAGGTGCTGCCGGAGTGTTCTTCAAGGCCCTCGATCGCCACCCGATGCGGCCCGCACACATCCACCTCATGATCACGGCCGACGGCTACAAGCCCGTCACCACCCAGCTCTACCCCAGAGATGACCCCTACGTTACCAATGATACCGTCTTCGCTGTCAAGGACGATCTGCTCATTGACTTCAAGCCCCGCGAGGGCGACGCCAAGGCCACGCTGGACCTGGAGTACAACGTGACACTGGCACCCAAGCAGGGGAAGACGGCCTCGGTGTTGTAAAACGTCTTGTTAGGAGTAAATGGGGAGGGCATGTTGCATATACCTTGTTTTAGCATTGCGAGTTCTGTTTTTCCGAGCGCATATATAGCGGGGTTTGCCTGTATGAAAGCTGCATAGATGATTCCCATTAGTTCTCTGTAGATATTCAATTCACTGAAGCTCTTTCAATTGCGGTATCGCGTGAGCTGCAAGCCGCTATTTCACCTGTGAACATTGCCCGATTTACCGAGACTAGATTCCGATAGCGGTCCTGGGAGCTTATTATGTTAGCAATCTTCTCCGTCACTGATATATAACTTCCCCATCCCCCCTCCCTGCCTCTCTACCCTCAACCCCAAAACACAACCTTCTCCCAACCCTCCTACCACACCCAAAAAATGCGCGTCCCCTACGCCCCCTCCACCGCCCCGGACCCCTCCTCAGAACCCATCTACGCCCGCATCGCCGCCCGCCGCGCCCCCCGGCCCCTCATCCCCCTCGACCTCGCCCTCCTGCACAACCCCGCCATCGCCGACGGCTGGAACTCGTTCATCGGCGCCATCCGCACGCAAACGACGCTCTCGGCCGCCATCAAGGAACTCGCCATATCGCGCATCGCGGTGCTGAACCATGCCGTGCACGAGTGGGACGTGCATGCCGCGCTGGCGCTGAAGGCGGGCGTCACGAGGGAGGGGTTGCGGACGGTGTTTACGGCGGAGGTGATTCAGCGGGGGGAGAAGATGAGAGAGGAGAAAGAAGAAGGGGGGTTGAGTAGGGAGCAGTGGGTGCTGTTGGCGTATACGGATCAGATGACGAGGGGGGTCGAGGTGGATGATGGGGTCGTGGAGGCGCTGAAGGGGTTTCTGAGCGAGAGGGAGGTGGTCGAGTTGACGGCGACCGTGGCCGCGTATAATTGCGTCAGTCGGTTCTTGGTCGCGCTGGATGTGGGCGAGTGTAACGGGAGGGCGATGAAGGCGGTGGAGGATTTGTAGGGGTGGTCAATATATGGACACTACTCCGTTTGTGTCCATCTGAGGTTTGTGGTACTGTGTAACACAGTCGAAAAAAAGCCAATTCAATATTCTTCTTGCATCACATTCACCAGGAAGGAAAAGTCCAAGCTCTGCTCCCGGGCCCAACCCCAGTATAACCCCAGATTCTTCAGCCGCGTCTACCCGAGCCGCGGCTCTCCACAACCTACCAAACGACCTGCCATAACACAAAGCTACTCCAACCCTCCAATTCCTCCCAACACCACAGAAAAAAATACCATATCATAGAAAATGGCAGCAGTGCTCCCCCCCCGCCTGCTCTCCCGCAGCATCCGCCAGCTCTGCAAACAGCCGCATCCCAAACCCGTCTTCTGGCTCGCCGCCGGCCGCCGGCATGCCTCGACCAAACATCCCAAGGGCTTCGTGCCGCCGACCCAGGCGGAACTGCAGGAGTTGCGGGAGAGCGTGCAGGATTTTACTCGTACGTGATATCTCGTCAATAACATGGCCATTTTCTTTTCTGGAATCACGATAGGAGCATTGCTTTCTAACAAGGAAGTGTTCAGGTCGCGAAATCAGGCCAGAGGTAGCCGCGAGAACAGATGCCGAGAACGCGTTCCCCAACGACATGTGGAAGAAGCTGGGCGACGCGGGGTTCCTGGGTATAACTGCGGATGAGGAGTACGGAGGTCTGGGGATGGGGTATCAGGCTCATTGTGTGGTGATGGAGGAGATATCAAGGGCGAGCGGTACGTCCTCCGTTGCCTCTCCTCCCGCTCTCTCCCAAACGCAAGACAATGGATGTAATGCTAATTCAATCTCTATGAAGGTAGCATAGGACTCTCATACGCAGCCCACTCGCAGCTCTGCGTCAACCAGCTCATGCTGAACGGGACACCGGAGCAGAAGAAGAAGTTCCTCCCCGGACTGATATCCGGCGAGGAGATAGGCGCGCTCGCCATGTCGGAGCATTCGGCCGGGTCGGACGTGGTGAGCATGAAGATGACGGCCAAGGAGGTTGATGGCGGATACGTGCTCGACGGCACCAAGATGTGGATCACCAATGTACGTTGCATCTAATTTCTCCTACTCTTTCGCCATATCCCCTCAGAGCTCCTTCCCACAGCAAGCTCAACCATTCAACCTAGACTAGATGAGTGACTAACTAAATATCCCCCAGGGCCCAGACGCACACACCATAATCGTCTACGCCAAAACCCTCCCGCAAGCCGGAAGCAAAGGCATAACGGCCTTCATCGTCCCGACCACTACCTCCCCCGGCTTCTCCTGCGCCCGCAAACTCGACAAACTCGGCATGCGCGGCTCCAACACAGGCGAACTCATCTTCGACTCCGTCTTCGTGCCGCACGCCCACGTCCTGGGCCCCATCAACCGCGGCGTCCACGTCCTCATGGAAGGCCTCGACCTTGAGCGCCTCGTCCTCAGCGCCGGTCCCTTAGGTCTGATGCAAGCCTGCCTCGACACCGTCCTACCCTACGTCCACCAACGGAAACAATTCGGCGCTCCCATCGCGCATAATCAACTCGTCCAGGGGAAACTCGCGGACATGTACACCAAGATGCGGGCGTCGAGCAGCTTCACCTACGCCGTGGCGCGCGCCGTCGACGAGAGTTACCAGGAGCCCCAGATACGCACGCAGGATTGCGCGGGCGCGATCCTGTACGCGGCCGAGCGCGCGACCGAGTGCGCCCTCGATGCCGTGCAGTTGATGGGTGGGATGGGGTATATGAATGAGGTCCCCGTGGGCAGGATCTTGCGCGATGCAAAGTTGTATGAGATTGGGGCGGGGACGAGCGAGGTGAGGAGGATGGTCATTGGGAGGGCGTTTAATCGTGAGTTTGCGCAGTGAGGGGGTTGGGGGGGAGAGTGAATAGGGTCTCGGAGGCCAGAGGATCCAGTGGATCTGGGCACGGGCTTCTGAAAAGAGATACAATTGACCTTGAGCGGCGAGTGCGGGCTTCTTGGGTTGCGTGTTCTATTACCTCTTCGCATCTGTAGATGAGTTGTGCTTGTCCGTGTGCGTCTGGCGCCCTTAACTCACGCCCAAACTTGTAACCACAACTTGCCCTCAGGCAAACCCCATGTACGAGATACGCTTCCGATACAAATCACCAAAAGCAAAGTAGAGCAAAGCAAAGCATATCCTTAACGATCCCCCAATTCTAGTGAAAATTGCGCCACTAATGAAAAGATCGCTAATCGCAGTATTCATTAACCATCACAATCACAACGGAAAAAAGTTTCCTACCTACACAACAATGGAAAAAGTACATTTGACCATCTCTAGCCCCTAAACGAGCCTTCAATCAAATATTCCACTTGCTCGCTTCTTTCTCCCGTTACCAAACCCACCCTTTACCTCTTCCCTCTGGTCAACCCCAATCCACTCCAACTACATCCTAAACACCCCCCACCGACTCTCCACCTCCCTCTCCGCCCTCCCCTTATCCCCTCCCAACGCCGCCCTCAGCCCCAGCCCCAGCACCCTCCGCGTATGGCTCGGCGGAATCACGCCATCGTCCCACAACCGCGCGCTGCCAAACGTGGCCTCGCTCTCGCGCTCAATGCGCGCCTTCAGCTCCGGATCCGCCTGGCGCCCGACGGCCTCCATGACGGCGCTGAGCTGCTCGGCGCCCATGACCGAGGTACGGGCATTGGGCCAGGTGAAGAGGAGGCGCGGGGAGTATGCGCGGCCGCTGGAGTAACCGTCAGTACCATACTTCCGAGTTCGATGAATCATCCCGTGGATATAGGACAAGTAGGAAGTTAGTTATAAAAGTGAAATAAACTCACCACATCCCATAATTCCCCGCCCCCGCCGAACTCCCAAACACAACCGTAAACTTGGGCACCTCGACACAACTCACCGCCGTCACGAGTTTCGCTCCATTCTTCGCGATGCCCCCTTTTTCCGCATCCTGGCCGACCATAAAGCCCGAGATGTTCTGCAGGAACACGAGGGGGATGTGGCGTTTCCCGCACAGCTGGACAAAGTGCGCGCCCTTGAGCGACGACTCGGAGAAGAGGATGCCGTTGTTGGCCACGATGCCGACGGGTTGGCCGTAGATCCTTGCGAAGCCCGTCACGAGCGTCGTGCCGTACGAGGGCTTGAATTCGGCGAAGGAGGAGCCGTCGACGATGCGCGCGATGACTTCGTGCGCGGGGATCTGTCGGCGGAGAGAGGTCCCTACGATACCCGAGAGTTCTTCTGGGTCATAGAGGGGTTCTTTGAAGGCGCTGTTGGTGGTGAGGGCTGAGGAGGTCAGGGGCGGGTTGTTCCGGTGCCAGTTTAGATTACTGATGCTGCGTCTCGCGAGAACAAGGGCGTGGGCGTCGTCCACGGCGAGGTAGTCCGTCACACCCGAGATTTCGCTGTGGAGACGACCGCCTCCGAGTTCCTCGGCGGAAACGACTTCGCCCGTTGCGGCTTTCACGAGGGGCGGGCCGGCGAGGAAGACGGTGCCTTGGTTCTCGACAATGATGCTCTCGTCACACATGCTGGGCACGTAGGCGCCCCCCGCGGTACATGGGCCCATTACCACGCTGATTTGGGGGATACCGGCGGCGCTCATGCGAGCCTGGTTGTAGAAGATGCGGCCAAAGTGCTCCTTGTCGGGGAAGACGTCGGCTTGGTGGGGGAGATTGGCACCTCCGGAGTCGACGAGGTACAGACACGGAAGTCTGTTCTCCATGGCAATGGCCTGGGCTCGGAGATGCTTCTTGACAGTAATGGGATAATACGTGCCACCCTTGACGGTGCTGTCATTGGCAACAATAACGCAATCGACTCCCGAAACCGTGCCGATTCCCGTTATAATACCACCAGCGGGTACGTCCTCGCCGGGATACAACTGATAACCCGCCAGTTGGGACAGCTCCAGGAACGTCGTGCCCGGATCAATCAGCGCCGTGATCCTGTCCCGTACCAGCATCTTTCCCCTCTGGACATGCTTCTCCCTGGCTTTTGGCGGCCCGCCCTGGGCAATCTTGGAGTGCAGCTCCGCCATACGTGCAATGGCTTCGTCCATTTGGGCCTTGTTCTCTTTGAACTCCGGCGAGCTCGTGTCGACTTTTGTGGGTATGACGGATACGGCTTCGGCATGGTGCGAGTGTGTGAAGGTAGCTATGCGGCGCGAACGCTGGCGGAGTGAGTGCGCAAGAAAACAGTTACGGTGAGGGCGGAAGGAAGGGCGGACTGTGTGTCGCAGGAGGACAAGAGCCTCGCGAGAGGGAGCTATGGGAGGCATAATGTCGGCGTGAGAGAAATTGTAGAAGAGGTGTTCTGTGAGCGGGAGAGAGGTATTGACGTCTCTTGCAAGCTGCTGTGTCGTTGAGCTTGGACTCCAGCCTGACCCGATAGTAGCCGCGTGTGGGGAAGCGAGCAGCCTCGGTCCCCAAATAGGGCAGGTGCGGGACGACCCGACAGGGGTGTCTGCTGGTCGGGCACGTGAGATGGTACCTAATTACCTATTTCACAGTACGAAAGACAGATGGTAGTCCGCGCTCTAGGGAGGTAAGAACGCGTCAAAAAAGAAAGTCCCTTAAGAGAACCCAGCCCACGTCTAAAAGCTTCTCCTAGGTTGAGAATCACACCATCTACTCTACAACAACTTTCACCATGTCCAAATAGATAAAACTTTCAGTTACACTCCTTTAAGACAGTAGGAGCATCTATTATATAAATTGTAGGATCCAAATCATACTCATTATTAACTAGCAAAAATGCAGAAAGAACTTGTTATCCTAACTCTATTGCCCATGGGTATGTCACAAGAAAATGGTGTTCCACCGTCTATCGGACAAGGTCGTCACCCGTCCTCGCATTAAATACTTTTAGAGAAAAGCAGAGAAAACCAGAGACCACTCAAAGCATCCGCATCAGGTAGGCTTATCACACCCAATGCGGCCCAGAAGCTCTTTCCTGTCTCCATGACCCGGAATACTGATCGCAGAAGTCCTGGTTGCAGTGGTACGGTTCGCGCTGCGCTTGTAGCTCCTCACGCCGGTGCTACTTCTCCGCGAAATATTGATGGCATCTATGCCGACTTCCTCCTCGACAGGGGCCCAGTCATGGCTGGACTTTATGCTACCGATAGGACGGGTGACATTCGACATCTCGTCCTCCATTCCCGACTCCTCGCCTTCGTCTTCCGAGCGCGCGTCTTCTGCGTTTTGCCCGCTAACGACCTTCCAAATGACCTTGCAAATGGTAGCGGACCAGAGGCATATTATTCCCTGGAGCGCGAGAAGAAGTCCCAGGAAGCTGTAACGAATGGTTGGATTCCAGCAAACAGGCCCCGTCCGGTCGGTGTATGCTTTGAGGATGTTGGCCCAAATCAGGTTGCCGCCGAGGGAATCGTATCTGGCCGTATCAGACGCCGGGACCATGGAGCCATCCGCGAGGTAACAGCCAGGAGCCATAGCGGTTGGTGTGTGTGCGTAGATGGACCAGATGACCATGCCGAAAAAGATGTGGCGGGTGACGAACCACGTCACAGCAAAGAGGTTAAATGTGAAGTCGCATGCTCTCGGGTAGCCGGAATACTTCAGTAATTTGGCAGTCTGGATACTAGTTAGTACGGACATGGGCATTGACACCGTACCGCAAAACTTACAGGAAGAATTATATCGATCAAATCCATGATGCATAGGATGATAGTGCCAACCCTGATATGGTAATAGCCATAGCTGAGGAAAATCAGAGAACAGGTGAAGATATGGTGCGTGAACATCTGTGCATAGTCTTTCCGCTTCTCCTCGATGTTGACCACAATGATCTGCTGAATGTAGAACGCCCACTGGAGGAGATAGTACACTTTGTGAAGGCTGGTAACTTCACGGAAGGGCCATCCCTTCCATAGGCCATTGAGGTTGAACCAGAACTCGGAATGGTACATGAGGTACTGGGCCACAATCAGCATCCTTCTGTTCCTAGCTCGGCTTTTACAAGGTAATCGCATACGTACCATTCCCAGCGACCAGGAGCAGGTACAGTACATGACCAACCAGGCCTGCTCCTTGAATCTAACCAAGCCCTTCTTGGTCTTGACCCCGTTGTAGCGCGCAAAGGGGTCGAGTAGGTATTCCATTACGAAAACACGCAGGGCAGTGAATATGACGATCCATAGCAGTACGAACGGGAGATCGTCCATCCCGCAGCCGTACAGCTGGGTGTCGGGGTTATAGTAGGAAAGGCGGAAGAATTTCGAGGTGCGCCGTCGAACGCGGGGAAAGAAGATATGTGTCATTACAAGAAGTAGGAGGAGGTTTACGGAGATTCCTGTTCAAATGTTAAGATTGGGTGCCAGAGATCGGAGAGGAGTGCTTCTTCTACCTATCTGGTTGTTGCATATGGTATTGCACAGAGTCCCGAAAAGGGTCTCATCTTCGACTCTGCTCTTGCTAGTCTTTTGCTTTTTTACAGGCTTTCCCACATTTTTGAGACTGCCGATCGAACCGTTCTGCCATCTGGCCCCATTGGCGCACTCGGAGTGGGCGATACCGTTCGGCATGGGTCGCGGCGACGCAGCCGGCGTTGACATGGTTGCGGTCGAGAAAGCGTGATGGAATTCAGAACAACGGTGACATTGGTGGAGGTGACAGCCTGGAGGGAAAGTTTTGTACGAAGACGAGTCTGTGTCGTGCGTCCGTAGCGGCGGGCGGGTGTTTTGCCTTGAAGGTCAAGGTGTGGTTTGGGTTGCAGCAGCGCCAATCCGTGGCCGCAGCGGTTACCCAGAGCTCACAAGAACGCAACGCTCGGAAATCGGTCCTGGAATCCTGAGGGAATGAATGGATGATCCGGAAATGGAGGGCAGAAGCTCGCAGAGGCGGATCAGAAGCGAGCGTTGAGTCGCAAAACGTTCTATATGACAATACGGAAGCTTGCCAATGAGTGCGGGAGCCAGGTGCGGAAGGGGGGTATTTTAGCTGTCGAGCGAGAAGCAAACACGATACCTAGGCGCGTACCGATGGATTTTTAGGGGCCCAATTATTGCCGGAGTCTCCGCGACAGGCGACAAGCAGCCTTTCTTCTCCTCCAGCAGTCTTGAGCGAGAGTTGTTGGGCGAACGGCGAGCGAGGGAAAGGCCATGGGGTAGTCGACTTTCTCCTGTCCAGGGTCTTTCTCCTGGCGCGCCAAGGCCCGAGCACGGTTTCCTCTCCGCGCTATTCATTCGCCTGGGCTGGCGGGGGTCTGGGCGGGGCTCCTCCGTGGACATGGGCGGCGAGACAAGCAGAGAGATGTGAGAGAGAGGGACGTGATTTGTGAAGGTTAAGGAAACTATTGATAGGTTACGCAAAAACTACAGGAGGTGGTGAAGCCCAGCTCTGTGGCCTGGTGCAACACTGCACATGGACAATCCGAATGAATGAAGACGCCAACAAAAAGAACCCCCGAACTCCATGCCCCTCGGCATATGTGCATATCCTTCCATCTCGGCCATGTCACCCAGCCGCTTAGTTGTTGTTCTGGGAGTTGAGGATTCTCAAGATGGCGAGGAACAAGTTGATGATGTCCAGATACAAAGAGATGGCCGCCGCAATCTCCTCCTCGACGTGGTAGTGACGCATGATCAACTGCGTATCGACCAGAATGTATCCGCTAAAGATAAGCGCCGTGATGATGCCGTAGCCCAACTCGACCTTGCTGTTGTACGGGAACCACATAGCCATGAAGCCGAAGAGAATAAGGACCCAGAGTCCGCCGAAGAGATACGGCATCCACGAAGTAAAGTCATACTTCGACTGGCAGGCGAAGAGACTGAGAGCGACGAAGATGCCGAAGGTAAAGATAACGGCTTCCAGCACAATCCGCGACTTGGTGAAGGAGACAATGACTGAGATAGCGTAGGCTTCGAGGGCGGTAAACCCCGAGAGAAACAGTAGGTTCGTGGGGTACGACTTGCGCTTCCAGAAAGTGAGGCCCAGAAAGACGAAGGTCCCTATCAGAGAAATCCACATCATCCACTGGTGGGTCTGTATCCATTTTCTATACGTGTCGCTCGCCATCGAAATGCCGCTGACCACCGCCGTAGCCAACAGCTGGACAGTCCTGGGACCTGGTCAGCGTGCTTCGCGACACAAAGCTCACATGTCCCTACAGAATAGCATAGACCTTGCGAATGAAGGCCATCCTGATATCCAACGTCGCCTCGGCCACGACACCACCAAACTTGAAATCATCAGGGAGATTATCGGCCTCGCCGCGTGGCACTCCACCCAGCAGAGCAGCTTGTGCTGGGTCCTCGGCATCTTGATATGAGGGCGGAGCCTGTGAATAGGATGGTTGATCGAGCGAGTCCCGCTGGGGAACATTCTGATATTTTGGCCCTGCCATGGCGGACGGAGTCGACAGTAATGAAGAACGTGCAGTGGGGCGGTGGGAGTTGTGTGGGTGAGGAAGTGTGAAGGTGGAGGAGTGAGTGAGGCTGTGGATGTGGAGAGGCAACCGCGACGCTTCCGTGCCGCATGACCTCACGATCGCTGATATAAGCATAGACCACGTGATGGGTACCATTGTTGCTTGTAGAAGACTCTCGATAGCTCTTTTTCAAGATTTGAGCATTCCCGCAAGATCGGAAGCAAGTTAGGAAATCGAAATTCTCTCGCCCAGGTGGTCGTAGTACCTTATTCCTACGTTACGTTGTCCGTCCTCGTTACTTACACCGCCGTCGATTCGACCTAGTCCGAGCATGAGAATGTTGTCTTCTCATCCCAAATTACCACAGCTGACATACATTCATGTGTGTACACAAACAAGGTAAACACTAAATATTTTGATTCAACGGTCGCCACACTACACCATCCCTCCTGCGCTGCTCTCTCTTTTCATATTCAGCTCAGGCAAAAGTACATCCCAGTCAAACCCCAAGCGCATTCCTCACCTAAAGACCAAAGAAACAATGCGTCCGATGTGGACTGTGATTCCTAGAAATCCTATTCGAAATAGCAGCAGCGACAAATCCAAGCGACAAATAAAACAGAGACTAGGGAAGGAGAAGACCACCGCAAAACTCCATGTTGAACCCCTATAGTGTACAGATGGGCGCGCAGACCCTAGAAAACGCGGTGGTAGGAGGGTGGATATGGCTGCTCATGTCGACTCCAAGTACGTGGTGATCGGAGAAGAAGCGATCCGGAGACGAGGATGGATGGAGGTGGAGGAAGTTAGAATTATATATGACAGAGCAAACAGTCCGGGTATCGTCCGACAAATCGCGGCGCTTAGGGTTTCGAAGATACTGTCACCAGCGCCCTAGGGCCGTATGAGTACCAACGTAGATCCTAAAGCAGGAGGAAAGGTGGAAAAAGAGTCCGATTTCGAAACGGTCGTCGAGCCTTTGAGTGCCGACTGGCCATTAAAGGGAGGAAGTAAAGAGAATTAAGAGATTCGTCAGAGTAGGTTCATGACAAGAAGATCCAGTCTTCATCTTATAACAGGATGAGGTAGTTGCTGGGCGCAATACCCGTCTCGCCATTGGGCTTTTTAGCCTGCCACCATCTGCCGCTGACATCCGAAACTTCGAGAATGTCGTGTTTCTGGAAACTTATCTCGTTGGCGTCGTCGGGATTGGCCTCGTAACTGTAGATAGCCTTTGCCCTATAGGGGTACTCGACTTGAGCATCTTGTTGAGTATCTTCAACGCCATTCGTCGGTGTCTGGATCTGAGACGTGTTGGCCATGCCGCCGAAGCGGGGTTGCGACGAGCCCCTGGCATCAACGCCAACGGGACCACCTGGATAGCCTGTAACAGGGGACGAGGTCTCGAATCCGCTTAGCTGGGCAGAGGTGTACATCTGAGGCGCCTGGTTTGCAGCAGCTGAGGTTTCCGGACGGGTACCATACGTGTTGGACATCTGGCGAGAGGTACGGGATCCTGGTTGCTCCTTGTGCAGGGCGTACGAGTCAACAAACGCGCGATGGGCAGCCTGAGGTTGGGATCCATAGTAGAAGATCCAAACAATCTGCGTGAACATATCAGCATGTGTTCCGAGAAAGGATGCCAAGCCACGTACCGCGATCATGGAGAGCAGAATGTAGCCCGCCGCAGCGGCTTCGAAAGCAGGAACGGGTGAGTAAACGAGCGAGTTGACCGATGAGGTCGTGAATACAAGGCCGGCCGCAAGGTAGCTCGTGATCTGGCAGAGATTAGACAGGTTGTGCATGTACGTGTATCGAATTCCTTACAGCGACATGGTAGGTTCGCTCAGAGTCAGAAGCAACAGTGACTATGACGCCAACGATGCAGAAGAGCATGTACACGAGCGTCCACCAAGCAAAGTTAGGGAAACCGCCTTTGACGGCAGATAATATGGAGCTGACGAAGGCGATAATCCAAGCGAGCTGGCATCCACGTTGTTAGCAGCCGGGCCTGACAGGTGGCATGCAGGGGACTCACCATGCCAATGGAAATGGTCGCCAGAGCGAAAGGATCCCCTATGATGCGGCCGGCGCTGAAGGATGACCGACCTCCTTGATTGTATCCGTTTTCCATTTTGCGCAACGAGGGAGAGGCTCCGTAAGAGGGCATAGGGCAGGGCGTGCGGCCGAGGAAAGCGGATGTGGAGTCGGTAGACAAAGGCGGACGATGGATGCAGAGAAGTGTGAAGGAGCGTTGTGCCTCTTAAGGCCCCGCGTTTGGCTCAGCACGCAGACGCTCGATGCGCGAAAGTGGTGTGGTGGTGCAAGCGACGGGCGTCTGGCCGGAGACGCTGGTGGAGTAGTGGAGTAATAGGGGAGCGCGGCGACGAGCGGATACGGTGTGAGCGAAAGGCGTGCAAAGGGCGAGGGACAAGCAGACGACCAGGAGCCACAGAAAGCAGCACAGTGGAGGGTTGTCGCGACGGCGGGCGGCTGCAAGTCGAGAGCGAGGGTGAGTGAATGGGTCGGGAGAGGGTCTTTTTGGAGGGAGTGAGCAGTACAGAATGGGACAGGCTTCCAAGCGTTTCACCTGGGGCTGGGTCCCGCGAACGATTGGCCAGGCCGCCGGGAAATGGGTCCAACCCGCAGGACAGGATTACTGTAAAATCAAATAGTAGAATAAATGGGCGAGGGACGATGTCAACTGTTGGCGTGCCCGAGGTCGCGCACTTGGTAGATAATAAAGAGCAAGTTGCAAGAAGCAGGCGAGGTGTTGGCGCAGGTGCTGGTGGTGAGGAGTTGGGAAGAGCGGACAAGGAGAATCAGACGAGTGATGTGGCGGTCGCAGAGGCGCACCACCATGACACTCAAAGAAACCGTCACTACTGCGAACCCCGGATAATGATGTGTCGCAGGAAGAGGAGCGCATACGTAGAAGCAATCAACGAAAATGCGCCATGACGGTTGTGATTCGTTGTTCTGCTCGGCCCGTCTCTGCGCAATTTGTCCTTGCGATTATGGCTCCCCATTATCCATGGATGGCATCACGAAACCATGGAGGTGGGTATATTGTATATACTCTGTACACAGCACCAAGCCGTATTGCGCCCCTCTCTGCCTCCTCTGCCTCCTCTTTATCTGCCGTGGTGACACCTTGATTGGCCCTTTCCTCTTCTCCTGGACCTTATTTTCCCTCTCCGCAACGCCTATCTATGATTCGCTCACCTCCCCTTTCTCCTACAGCCGCCAGTGCACCACTGCCCACGCTCCCTCTCCGGTACCGAGTTGGCTCGCCAGCGCACACATGCATGCATACAGACACACCCACGCCTGCACGTGGTGTCCCTTCAGAAACGGGCAGTGGCTGTCCGAATGCAGCCGGAGGTCCGTCTTCACGTCCCGGGGACCTCATCGACCTGTCTGAGACGGTCCTGAAACGGCCGTCGTACACTGAAAAGCGGCTTGGTCAAGCTCCGCATCGACTTCACGCCATCGCAAACTCTATCCGCGCAGACTGACTTGTTATCGGCCCTATAGAGCTCTCTACCCAGTTGACAAAGATTTGATTTCTAGCTTTTCAAGACCCGCTTCATGGTGAAGGCTCGTGTTCCAGGATCAATCGCCATAACCGGACGATGAAGGCGTTTCACAACCGCTTGTAGAGGCCTCAAGTTCTTTCGTATGCCTCTTACCCGTCTGTTGCCATGACCGCCAGTGCTGTGCTTGCTATTGTTGCTATAACAATGGCAAGAGTGCGGCGATTCTCGGCCGGAAGACCGAGGGGTCAAGCAGGTTGAACGCATGACAAACCTGCATTTTCGTCTAGGCAAGCTGTGAGAAGAGAAGCACCACTGGCACTGCGGACCTCTTGCACTTGGTCGAGACTTGGCTCATAGCGTTTCCAACTGCCAGCCCTTCCGTCATGCCTCCTTTAGGCAAGACCAGCCCAGGCTCACTTCGTAATATCTGACTGCAATTAGAGGCGAATCTCTCATTGCCGTTGACCGTTTGATCTCAGCCCTCCTCTTCTAGCTGCTTATGCTTGAACTCGGTTCGCGTCACGGTTCTTTCAGCGTTCACAAGGCGCTTGTGCCATTCTACCCAACAGCGTCCCTGGCCCAGGAGATGTATGTGCTTGATTTTCGAACAGAGCAACCCATTTCTCCTCCGGAGCAACGAGATTTCGAGAGCCTGTTGGAGATGGCGCGCCTCAGCCTCTGCGATCCTGGGACGAAGCTTAACCAACTTCGTGAATCCTTCTGTTTCCGGAATCCGTTGGTCATCCAGAGCTTTAAGCTGGGAAGCGGTCGTCGCGAATGCGGGTGCGCGTTCCAGAACTAGAGCTGCCTTCTCTTGAACGCTGAGGCCTGCATCATTCCTATCATTGGTCGCTTTACTATCCCGAAGAAGACCAGAATGCTTTGATGCTAGAAATGACTTTAGCAGCCACTCCCTCCCAGTTCCAATGACATCAGTATAACGTACTCAGCTCTCGTACTTCATTCAGCAGAGCAGTCTTCGCGGAGAGCTCCTGCAGCAAACGCTCGATACGCTTGACACGCTCTTGTAATGTCCTCGGTTTCTCTTCATCCTGTTGATTTGCTCCGCTCAGAACATATTCAAGCCGGTCAAGTCGCGATTCCAGGAGCGTGATTGTGAAGAGTACGGCCTCCTCATAGTCGTCCATGTCGGTGATGTTTGCCGACGCGTGTGGTCCAGGTCGAGATCGATAAATATATCCTCTGCACGGACATCCGGCTCGGGATGAGTGGCTTGGCAGTGGCTCAACTTCAACGTCTTCAACGTCAGCTCGTTTCCTATGGTCGCATCCGCCATCCGATTTTGGGATTCCACTCGCTTTTATGCTTTTATCTTGCCCTCTGTGGCATGACTCCGTCGTGTGCGAGGCCGCAGAACTTGTACTGTGGTGAAAATGGCTAGTTACGCCGCGATAGGATCCGAGCCAGATAGTGCGGACCCAATGTCCTCGAGTACTGGCTCGCTCCGTGGTAGAAGGTACAAACATGTGTGAATACTTCATGGGTTGATTTTCTGACAGTACTGTGAGCAGGCGCGGAAGAGGGAAGAAGGATATCGGTCATGTAGGCCAGGCATCATGGATCTCCAGCGTCATCAACCTGCTCAACACCAGTACGCATCCTTTCTGGAGGAATATCGCTCCTGGCTAACTCTTCCTAGTTCTAGGGGCTGGACTCCTTGCTATGCCGTCGGCGCTCTCGAAAATGGGCATCTTCTTAGGCATCCTTGTCATTGCTTGGGCCGGTTTGACCGCTGGATTCGGCCTGTACCTCCAGACCCGATGCGCCAGATATGTCGATCGCGGCCACGTCTCTTTTGCGGCCTTGTCACAACTCACATACCCAAATCTCTCCATCATATTCGACTCCGCGATTGCAATCAAATGCTTTGGGGTGGCCGTGAGCTATCTGATCATTATTGGAGACCTGATGCCGGGAGTTGTCAGGGGTTTCGCGCCAGGAGCAGCGGAGATCGCGTTCCTTGTAGACCGGCAGTTCTGGATCACTGCATTCATGTAGGGTACCGCCGCCCTCTATGCTTCTTTAGCTGACCATTCTAGGTTGATCGTCATACCCCTATCCTTCCTGCGACGACTTGATTCTCTGAAGTACACAAGCGTCATTGCACTCTGCTCCATCGCATATCTTGTTGTCCTAGTATTCGCACACTGGGTCATGGGGGACACCCTTGAGGACAAAGGTGAAGTGCGCGTCTTCAGGTGGTCTGGTCCTGTGTCCGCACTTGCCGCATTTCCCGTCATCGTGTTTGCGTACACCTGTCATCAGAACGTAAGGGCTATCGAGTTCGAAGACCGTCTAGGGGTGCTAATCGCTGGAACAGATGTTCTCCATCCTAAACGAGATTCTGGATAACTCCCATTTCCGCACTACGAGCGTGATATTTGCCAGCATTGGCTCGGCGTGTGCACTTTACATTCTTACTGGCATTACCGGCTACCTTTCCTACGGTGACAATATCAAGGGCAATATTGTCAGCATGTACCCCGAGACAACCTTTTCCACCATTGGGCGCCTAGCGATAGTCGTCCTCGTCATGTTCTCGTACCCGCTCCAGATTCATCCCTGCAGAGCTTCCATCGACGCGTGCCTAAAGTGGAAGCCTCGTCGGCGCAGCACTCAGAACGAGGTCTCCCCATCTCGCACCACCCTGTTGAATACGCCCAAGGCGACCAAGCCTCACGAAATGGGCGACGTGCGCTTCGCCATCATATCGACGGCCCTCATCGTTCTATCCTTCATCATGGCCATGACCGTATCTTCACTCGAGAAGGTGTTGGCATACGTCGGCAGCACCGGATCCACCACCATATCGTTCATCCTGCCGGGGCTCTTCTATTACAAGATCTCCGATCCCGATTCGGACCACCACCAGCGGCTTATCAAAGACGAGGATGACCAGGACGAATTCAGCAGCGCTGATGCTGAAGGCTATCTCATGAGCGATGCGCACAAGAATCGAGATTGGCGACGACGGCTACTAAGGTCCTTGAGTTTGGCACTTGCTATCTATGGCGGGTGTGTTATGGTGACTTGTTTGGTTATCAACATTTTCCTAGTGGCTTCTCATTGATTGATGATTATTTTTTTTTTTTTTTTTTTTTGAGCGGAACCTTGCATGTTTGCATTGCCATGGCGTCAGGTATGGAGATGAAGTCGGGCGTTGATACGAGGTACTATATATCAAGATCTCGGTCATGATCTACCAAACGTTTCTCTATAGACAATATCCATACCTCTACCATTTACACGTCCCCTTAGGGACCGCTAGTGTACAGAAACAAGCCAAATTGGTCTTCCTCTTAACGCCGGTATATGCTACAATGCTCCACTCGCGGCTCCTCACGCATCTGCTCTGCCCATTGTACGACTGCTCATGATTGCGTCTGCTCCGTCGTTGTCTGTGCCTCGTCGGTGGGCTCTGTCGCCGGCTTTTCGGGTATCAATGATTTGAATGCTGAGTCCGCCTTGATGACCTGGCCCTGTATCTTGCCTATGCGGTATTTGGGCTCGAGAATGCCGACCTGTGAGGGAGGTTAGCTTGGAAAGTCCAATCCCCAAGAGCTCTTAACAGCGCCATCCCAGAACCCACGCCATCTCGCTTTTCCAGCTCCGCCGACAACCCAATCCTCTTTTCTGATCCCCGCGTTTCCCACCAACCCAACTCCCAATCTTCCGCTAATCCGACAGAAAAAGAAATAGCACCACTACCACATACCATACTCAACAACCTCCACGCCGTATCGCTCGGCTGCGCCCCGACACCAATCCAATACCTCGCCCGACTGATATCCAGCTTGATGTCCTTCCACGGCCGACCGTGCGTGTCTCCCGGCCGCGGCGGTTTTGGGATCGGATCGTAGGTGCCGAGGACTTCGAGGGGGAGGGAGTTGCGGGCTGTCCTGTGGGTGGGAATTAGTATGTCGCGCAATTGATCTGGGGTCATGGTTTCGCGGTGCGTGGTGTTGAACGAGAGTGCGAACGACGAGTGAGGCAATCGGGAGCGGGGAGATCGTACCGCGCGTGTGCGACGACTATGTTGTAGAAGGGGGCGTGCTTCTTGCCGAAGCGGGCGAGGCGGATTCGGACGACCATTGCGCTGTGAGGGGTCGCGGCGCTGGATGTGAGGGTCGGTGGTGAAGGGTTTCTGGGGATTCTTTTGGAGGGTTTTGCCGGGGTTTTGCCGGCACGTGATGCGCTTGTGTTAAGGTGATGTTCAAGTCCATATGTCGAGGGAATGAAAGAATGAAAATGATTGGACCTCGTTCTGTGGGAAATTTCCGATTGTCTCGTGGTGTTGTTGTTGTGCTTTGTATTCATCTTTATACTCTCTGTCAACTAGTACCTTGCCTGTGTAGTGAAGTGATGTAATCGCAGTACAACTACATACGCTGCATCAACAAACATTCTTAACACGTCCGCATTCGAACCAGCCTTTACTGCTGAAAATTCATCTTCATACACAAAATGGCTCTCAGAGTAGGCATACACTTACAAAAATCATAACCTCCGGGCCCTAATCCAAGTTAGACCCTCTCCGCCAAAGCCGCCGCCGCGCTAGACCAAGAGCTCATGTCCACGGGCGCCTTTTCCATTGATCAATTAATGGAATTAGCAGGCCTCTCGGTCTCACAAGCCTGTAAGAATCCTCTAGCACAAATCGATTAAGAAATTGTTGATTGATCATGAGTATCATATAGTGTACAAGCTGCAGCCTCTCCACAAAGGCAAGAGAATCTTGGTTGCATGCGGGCCTGGAAATAATGGCGGCGATGGATTAGTCGCTGCTCGGCACCTCTTCCATTATGGATATCAGCCAACGATCTATTATCCGAAACAGCCCAAGAACGAGCTCTATCAGGTAGGCAAAACATTTTCGGTTCGACGAAGATCACGTGATCTTCCCTTTCACCGATATGTGCTTCAGTGATAGCCTCATCCTTTACCCCAGCCCTTCCGATAAGTCATAATATGAATAACTAATCAAATCTCACCAGCGCCTCACCACCCAACTCCACGACCTCAACATCCCCTTCACCAACGACTTCCCCACCGCCCTCACCACAACTGACCACATCATCGACGCCATCTTCGGCTTCTCCTTCACCGGCGAGGTCCGCGAGCCCTTCCCCGCCGTCATCGCCGCCCTCCGCGACACCCACCTCCCCGTCCTCGCCGTCGACGCCCCTTCGTCGTGGAACATCGAGACGGGCCCGCCGGACGAGGGTCCCGGGAAGGGGTACATGCCGAGTGCGTTGATTAGTCTGACGGCGCCGAAGCCGCTGGTGAAGTGGTTCAGGGGAAGGCATTTTCTGGGAGGGAGGTTTTTGAGCCCCAAGATGGCGGAGAAGTATGGGTTGGATTTGCCGGCGTATGAGGGCGTGGAGCAGATTGTTGAGGTGCCTGTGGAGGGGGAGGAGGGCGGGAAGCTTTGATTTTGGGGGTGTTTGGGGGTGGGTTTTCGGTGTGGATGGGAGGGGTAGGCGGAATCAGGGCTTGTATCGTAGTGGCTTGTGAGCTAGAGTTTTGGATGTATGGTTGCCCTAAGGAGGGATTACATCTTCATCCGAGCTCTGTCATATCACGCAATTGATTCACGCTAGTAATTGCAGACTTACATATTCTCGTGTTCTGTTCGCATATCTAACCATAGGGCAAAGTCATCGTAGAAGTGTTGGCTGTGTTGGCTAGTATCCTTAGTCTTCTAGTGCTAGATAATTAAGTTTCTGTGCAAGCGGTAGTTATATAAGGACGCTAAATCTACAGATGCTTCTAGCTGATTACTACGCATGTAGAAAGTATGATATTACTAACTTATTACTCTCCTTCTATGCACGAAGTAGACTACTTTAGGAACAGACATAAACATGCCAGATGTTAGGATAAATGCTGTATACTAAACTGTGTCCCGATGTTCTAGTATGCATAAGTAGTGTATAAAGTAACAGGGACTACGCTCTAGTACAGCTAGATTCTAAGCTCCTAACATAGGGCGAGATTGTTTCTGTCCCTAGACGTTAGATTCTAAACAGTTCGAAATTTAACGTTAATATTCTTCTAAATAGAAAGCACCCTATTTCACCGTCTCCGAGGCATCGCTACCAACAACGGCTAAGAATTCAGAACCCCTCCAATGCTCTAAGAATGCGTACTACTTCCTGAGGCCGCGATAATTAGAGACCCTAGCCTAGGATTGTTAACGAGACAGGCCCTAATCCAGAGGGTCAAGGAAATCAAAAAGCAAAATAAAGGGAAATCAAATCTGTTCTAAGGGTGCAACAGAAGCGGCGCTGCGATTAGGGTCTAAGATTGTTAGGGAACCCTAGGTAAAACTCGCAGTAGAAAAGGTCCGATTTGAAAGGTAGGTACATTCAAGCTAAGAGAGTCGCCTAAAACAGGGCAATTCTACGTAATAGAGGCGTGGTTCTGTTATCGAAAAACGTGTTCACTGCAAGAGAAGAAGAGTAAATAAGTAGTCAATCATATTATTTGAATCAAATTCGCTAAAGCAACCAACATGCAGTCATTCTCCCTTACCGTGAGTTGTCGTCGTGATTCATGCAATTTCGGTCGTCATGCAAACATTACCATTATCTTTCCTATTCATCAAACCCAGAAAACATCAATCTTTCCTGGCCGAACTAGGTATCCTCCTAATCGACCTAACTTACGCTGGCGGCGCCACGCAATGGTGCGACCCAATGCAGTGCGTGCAGCACACCCTCGGATCATTGGGAGCGGCGTTCCCACAAGGACCTACAAACACAGTCAGCCTCTTCTATCTCTCTCGCTCCCGAACAAGAAGGGGGAAAAGAAAAGGAAGCAGAACATACTCCACGAAGGCAAACACCTCCCCGTACAAAAACTCAACTCCAAATCCGTGCCCGCCTGACAATTCTTGACCTGGCTCCCCGCCGGCGGCTTCCCGTACGGCCAGACAATGCTCTGACAATTCGGATCCGACGGCTTCACCGTGATGGTGCGGCCGTAAAACCCATCGCCAAACACGTCGGATAGGTCGTACCAGATCTTGGCGCCGTCGAGGTTGTAGCTGAAGATGGTCTGGCTGACGTTGGGCATGAAGATGCCGTTGTCGACGGACGTGATTTTGAGTGCGATGCCGCCCGAGGCAGGGTCCCGGTGGAAGATTTCGCTGTAGGATTTGTCTTTTTCGATGAGGATGCGGGGGCCGATGGTGCCGCCGACGGACCAGAGGTAGAGGGGCGCGTCGCATTGGTTTGTTACGATGGCGCGGCCGACGGAGCCGCGGGGGATGGCATTGGCGGAGGCGGTCGTCGCGAGTAGGGCGAGGGCGGTGGTGATGGTGGTGAGGTGGAACATAGTGACGGATTTTATCGAATGAAGCTGTGCTTTTGGACGTCTGTGAGGACTTGATAAACGAGCGGTGGTGAGCGAGCGTGGGGGAGCAAGATTAGGTAGTTTTTCTCTGTACGACAATCTGGACTCTGGAAATTCTCGAGACACCTTTCGTCGGTCTCCTAATGTTGTAGGCGGAGGACCTTGATATACCCGCTTGTAACAATCCACATGACCATTCATCAGTGGCTGTCCTCTTTCAGCTACGCAGCTCCGTTTGCCACATTCGCTGTCGTCCAGACCGCCAAAGCGATAATACTACCTCAACGATCCACTGACCGAGAAACATGTCAATATCCGCACGTCTTCCAATATTTGGGGCTCGATCCTCGAACGATCCTATTGGCCACACCGTATACTCCTAAGCGACCTCCATACGAGAAAGAGTACCCTGAACCCGGCCAATATCTAGGCGTTACGCAGGATAGGTGCCGTGGATACCGCCACGTGAGATTATGACATCAGGTGAGAATAACAGAGGCTTCAGCTAAGAAAAGCACAGCCGTGTTGAGCATGGCCCTTGGGACATCCCCGAAGATTCCACGAAGAATTACGAGGTCGGCGTTGGCAGAAGTAATCGATTTGCCGGACGGGCTGGGGCGCATGATCTGGGTTTTTGAATAATGGCTAAGAATAGATGGGTGCGGGGTGGATCGACCGTTGGGTGTTGCTTGATGGGATGGTCGTATTGTCGATACGATGGATATGCGAGCTATACGGGTTGCGATGTTTGTGGGGAAGAGCAAACGAGGATATTGGTAGAAGATGATGGAATGGTTTAAGTTTTGGTTGCTTGGACTTTTCATCGCTGAACTCGTGGAAACCAAATAGTCAGGACCATTCTGAACGAGCATCCTACGAATGATTATAACGACAATATCCTGCAAAGTATATTTTAAAAAAATCATAGTGCCCGTGGGACTATCCAAGACCATCAGCTCCTACTACTGCAATAACGCTCGACCAACTACTTGACCAGGGTCCGCCTTACCATTCCCGCTAGCCAACCTCTGGCGGTACACTTCCCCTTCTCGTAATAAAAGCGCAGCTTCCTCTTCCCCAAACATCCGTTCTAAAGCAACTGGAGCAGCCACGTCATGCCCCTCGTAGAAGAATTGGATATCCAGGTCCGGCCCATGTTGGATCATTAGCTTGCATAGTTCAAATACCGCGCTTACAAGTTCGGCCAACCCCTCTTCGTCAAGAATCTTCCTGATTTTTGTTTCCCCGCCTGAACATATCCCCAACCGTAAAGTACCCCGTCAACTTCAATGGGCTCCATCCATTTGCCATGTGTTATGCTGTGATACTGTGTAGTAATAGTTCAAAGAGCATTCCCAATGCGTATGCTCGCAGGGGCGATCAAACAGTTCCCATCCATTCTCTTTGATATAAAGCTCGCTCTCTGGGTCCAGGCTGTGCTCGGGGAATCTAGGATCATTGGGGTTATTGTGCGCAGAAGATGTAGGTAGAGTTCTCTTGTCTATCTACTGAGGAGCTGATAACTCCTTAAGTATCTAAGGAGTGTGCTTGCTGCAGTGATTGTAGTCTACATTATAAGATCTTTTGTACAGTGATTGCAGTGATAATCTAGTCACGTGCTGTTTGCTAGGGTCAGGTGAATTACTCACAACAGGGGTGGCATCCGTTCCGCGACAAGCTTTTCAACAGAGTTTCTACTACCCCCAAAGTCCCGGAAGTTACATCCTCGGCCGGAAGGGTATATGTCAGAAGCGGTAAAGGGTGACGGCTTATAAGACCTGGGTCGGCTTGGAGCCTAAGGTGTAAATAATCTGGGAAGGGATACTGTTGCGAGTGTCGCAGCACCAAGTTGAAGATGGGTCCAATAGGTAGAGAAGCGCCTTGCTCATAGCACCCAGAAACCTTCATTAAGGTGTGCTCTGCTTCCGTGATGAGTTCAATATAAGAATTCGTGTCTTCTAACCACCCTTCCGGCAGGCTTTCCAAGCAGTCGAGAATGTGGTGTCCCATTAGATCCCATTCTTCGCGTATCCACCATTCGGTCACCGTACTGGCGGCTGGCCTAACTATAATTTTGCACATGAATAACCACATTTTGAGTGTGGATATCACGCAGAAAAAGTCGCTGCCCGCTGATCTTTCCAATACCGTATAGAAATTGTCGCGAAGAAAATCGCGAACTGTGCGGTGGAGGAAGACTATGTGCAGGTTCAGCGGCGACGGCGATTCCGGAGGGGCCCCAGTACATCCTTGCGGGTGGTTCTCGACAACAAGTAGATCTCGGCATCGAGAGTGTAGACGTGTTTTCCAAACGTTCACGGACATATCCATTTGCATCGAGGATACCTTGCTGGAAAAATAATTTGGATCGCTCATTTCCCTTTGCACACAGTCTACCGCAGCCAATGGTAGAGGCATCCAACTGGGAAAGGTGATCCAGGAGCCGGTATCGCTGTTGAGGGCAAGCAAAAACAACCGGGCCATCTCTTTCTTATATGCGTCCCGCATATTAACAAGCATCGACTCAAAATACTGATCAAGATTATTCGGGAAGGCTTCCACAATCTCCAGAAGCTTTGGGAGACTCTCATATCGGTTGACTGCGTGCAACAAGTCGCGCACTACCAGGTAGACCCAAAGCCAAACTCCTTCAGCGGCGCTGGATATCATTTTGACAAGTCTCCAGTAAGATGGATCGTGCTTAGAGTGTGCGTGAAACTTGGGATTCTCGGAGAATTTTTGGTGAATCCAACTTTTGATGTCCTCTTTTGTATGCTCATGAATGATTATCATATGCTCGGCGACCGCAAGTGATTCTTCAATGATGTACCTTGGCCGACTGGATGCGCATATCTTGACGTGAGACGAGAAAGATATGAATCGCAAGATGTCGACAACTTCCTCCTCATCGCCCTCGAACTCATCCAGCCCATCGATAAAGAAGCAATACTTGGCGGATAAGGACCTCCTCTCCATTACCCTGCTAAATAACTCTTTCAACTCTTTGGTGTCCCATCGTTCATGGTAGCGGCGACACAGAGAGATTTCCGAAGGAAGACTTGCCGAACCCCGAAATATCTGATACAGCAAGGACTGGAGTAGGCCGACTTGAGATTTCTCCATTGGTGCGCCTGCATTCCAGAAATAGTAGCTTGCGGTGTAAAGATGTTGTGGACTGGCCCACTTCTCCAGCAAGTCGGTGGTGGTGTCATGCTCAGCTGCGAACTTCATCAGGGTTGACTTCCCACTTCCTGCCTTACCACTGATCAAGAAGAATCCACCGCCTGTCTCCAGCCACTTCACAAAAGACGTCTTTCGGGGATCAAACAACCAGGCGTTTGTAGAAGTGCCAGCGTCGGCAATCTGGCTATGTCGATGTTTGAAGTCATGAAAGTGAAGGCTCTCGAGAATCTTGCGCTGCTTCTCATAGATTTGCTGTTCTCCCGCGAGGACCTTAAGCTTGCTTTGTAGACTGACAAGCTGAGAAACTCCAAGCGCGCGTTGCAATTTATGGTCTTCGTCTGCATTCGTTTCTGGAGGCTGGAGGAGACGAAGGATATCTTCACGGATTGACTTCAGTGTTGAGCTGCTTTCCATTCTGTGTACTTTTTGGAACGCTTCAAGTTCTCTCAGCCTGGTCAATATCTCCAAGTGGCGATCCCTGCGTCAGGTCTTAGCTCAATGGTTACTTACATGCACGAAGAGTCACTCACTGATAGAGAACCTGCTGAACACAGTCCCTAAATCTTGACCCCAGCGCTTCTAACCTCGCCTTTAGGCGATCAATCTCGTCTTTCTTAGCCAGCTCCAAACCCGCCACCTTCATGCTCTTCCACACATTCGAGGGTCCCTTGGTTACGGTCAACTTCCGCACCCATGTCTCCACCTCTTTGATTACGTCCTGGCACTCCTCCGCCAATTCCAACATCATCTTCTCGCTTGCGGAGAGTCTCTTCCCACAACTTCTCTCCATGCTGAAGACATCGTCACTTAAAGCTCTGGCCTCGCGGACGAAGGCTTCGAGATCTTGTGCTGAGCGTGATGCTCCATGGGCGGACTCTCGTATCGCTTTGGAGGCAGACACGAGACGTACACCGCAATCGATAATGGAAATGATGTTCGAAGCGAGCCCGAGAATGGTGATAGGATCCATGACCTTCTATTACATGTAGGGTGGAGCCGCTGTCAGTGCCTGGTGGGTGGCTCTCATGGAAGTGGCCGGGCAATCTCTCGATGTCTTCGATGGGGGCTGAGCTCAAAATTGCCACGGTGCGGGGAATTGTTGTACGATGAGAGGCATATGAACCTTCGTGTATTCTTCGCGTGACTATGATAGGGGCCAGAGGTTGTGCGGGCGCCTACGCCGTGAAGCTGATGGGTGACATACAGACTAAGAAAAAAGTAGTCAAGGAGCAAAAGGGGAATCGAGGAAGCAGAGAGGGGCAACGTGACTAATATGTGCAAGTTAGAAGGGAGGATACCGTAGCTCCTTCCTGATAGTAGTAGTATACCCATGCTGTTGGAATTGATACCGACCTCCGGCTCAAAACCCAAAGTCGAGTTGTGTTTCAGCATATTTGTTCTACCACGGCTTTCTACTTCCGATTGAACACACCGCTGCGATTCCTCTGTAGGTGAATTTACATCGTCGGCGCTACTTTATTTGCTATACCTAACTATGACCAAACTATGCTAGAAGTAGAGCTCCGTTCTAAAGCTTATTATACGTAAAAAGACGTATTGTAATTGCAAGGTTACCTGCAACTATCTTAGCTAATTGATTAGACGTAGACACAAGTAGTATAAGGAAGCATAAAGGTGTATAGTAGAGGGGTTGTAAGCAGGTAAACTTAGATATCGAAACGAGTAGTAAAAGGAAACAAACAGGCATGCTTAGTTTGTTTGAACAAAGGGAATACTTACTATACAACCTATTATAATTAGCTGCTTTCTTTCTCTTAACGCTTCTATCCCCTTTCTTAAACACTGTAGATTACGCTCTAACAATTTATAGCGCTAGATAACTATGCTTATTATCCTAAATGTGCAACCATCGTACAACAGACTTAGACCTCCTCTTATTACAACATACCTCCCTTACACATACACCTACCGCAACACCTACCCAGCATATCTCGTACTTTATCCTCTCCTCTTAAATCCCGCCCAAAACTATACCTCCCTCCTCCAGCCTCTCCCCACCCCCAAGTCTCTCTCTTTCCCAACAACATCCTTCATCAATCCCCTCCAACAACCACTCCCACCTCATAATCATATCCTGCAAAACCCCACCCCATTCGCACAAAAACCGCACTCACACGCAGAGATAAAACATTACAATTACCTCCCCTACCCCTACCTATAAAACGCCCTTATAAACCCCAATCTACCCATTCATTTCCCATTCCCAATCCTTCCACAAACTCCAAGCGCCACCTTTTCCAAATGGTATCAAGAAATCCCATTATCCAAAGAGAGAAAGGATCGACGGTCCAGGCGGCTCTCTTTCCCAAAAAGAGCCAAAGCAGATAAATGCCTTAGATGTACAAGCCCACTGCCAACCAGATGGTATTTCCCGGTGTGATGATCCAATGTGTTCGTTATCAGATCCTCATCCACATCCCGCAAAACACTCTTTCATCATCCAACCCCATCTCCTCCTCTTGCTAAGCCTCACCGTCACCCTCCCCTCGTCATCGATGTCGACCTCGAATCGGTCATTATACCCAAATCGCCCCACATCGCCATCGATCTCGCCGTCATCCTCACCCGCATTACTACACTCACATTAGCACCGTCCCAGCAGGATTTCATGATGCAGTCTTAATCATAAAGACCAAAAACGCGCCTCAACGCCTGAAACTTCTTCTTCTTCCCGTTCCTCCCAACAACAGCTTCCTCTCCCTTCTTTGAATCCCCCGCCAACCCCGAAGTCGCAGTCGTCGCCGTAGATGCTATTGTCTCTCTGACCGTCTGCGAAGACCACCGCCTTGATAGCGTTGCTCGCTTGAAAGCAACGTGTTTCGCTGTCTCCACGCCGTCAGACGTCGGCGGGCGCTCGCCACCAGCGACGGTGGCTGGTGAGGCGGGGAGGGGCCAAGAATCGGATGTTGAACGGGACCCTTGCGGGGTGTTGCGGCGTTGAAGTTTCGGGGTGCGGTGGGTGGGAGGGGTCGAAAACTCGATGGCGTCTTGTTCTTCACCGATGGGGGTGAGGCTGCGGTGAGCGGGCGGTGGAGGAATGTCTGAGGCTGCCGTATCGCTGGGGACTCCATTTGTTGTCGTCGTCTTCGTCGTCGACTCCTCAGATGGCGTGAGATCTTTCTTCTTTCCTAATCCGAAGAGACGTCGTTTAGCTTTTGTTTTCTTGGGGGACTCGAATGCGGGGAGAAGCGCATGCTTGCTCTTTTGGAGGCCAGTTGGATGCCCGTTCTGCACCGAATGAGGCTTCGGTGCGGAAGCCGGCTCATCGTCGCTCTCCTCATCTTCCAAATCGGTGGAGTCGCCATCTTCTTCCCCTGGCCGTTTAGGTATGCCTCTAACAGGCGCTAGGCCAGGCGGGAGCTGGAATTCTTCCTCGTCGTCCGAATCAGCGAATCGACTTTGGAATCTCCTGGAGCGGCTTTCGAAGTCGTCGTCGCTGGATTCATCGTCACGGCTGCTCACTGCGGGTTTTGTCTTTACTTTGGACCCTTTCCTAAGTGTGTTTCGAAAACTTCCTGCTGGTGGCAATGATCTGATACTGAACCTGGAAGCTTTCGTGGATGTCGTATCCGGTACGGCGCTAGTAGAACGCAGAGAGTTGCGGAATGCTGGTGGTGGAGGGAAGGTTGCCGTAGCTGGCAACATTGGGCGTATTATTGGCGCGGCCCTCATCGTTGGGTCGGGCTCTGTCCTCATCGAGAAACGGCGCATGGTATAACGTCCGCCAGCATCCACACTACGAGAGGCACGTCGTTGCTTGCGTTCACGCTGGAAGCTGCTTTCCGATGCCCCCGAATCGCTATCATGATCAAGTGGTTTTGCGTCCAGTTTGGGCCTCAGAGGGCCTTCAGTACTTTTTGACCTGGGGTTGGACGCGACCCTAGGCGCAGAAACATTCCGTTTCTGCAATGCGCCTCTGGGCGAAGTCGAGTCAACCGGGACCATACTATGTCGGGATGCGGCTAGTCCTAGAGCTGATCCTGCAGCCATAGGTCTGTTTGAAGGCAGAGACGTGCGCATCGACGGTTCAGGAGTCGACATTGTTTGAGTCCGACCAGCGGGGCCCCCAATAGACCGTCTCATTTGAGACTCCCCAGCGGCATTGGTTTGCGGGCCACCGACTGGTTTCTTCACAGAGGACTTCTGCGGCTGCCCATGTACAGGTTGCTGATCCGACTTCGATACCAGCTGTGGCGTGCGGGATGCCACTGTAGGCTTTGTCGAAGGGTCAACAGCAATCGCTGGCGGCCCCATCTTATTCTGCCGGCGCACCATGGTCGGTTGACTCGAGGAATCAGAATTCTGAGGGGTAGTCACAGCCTGGCCGATCTTACTGCCCTCTTCGGACTCTTTCTGATTGCTACTTGCAGTGTTGGTCGCCTTTTCCCTAGAACTCTCAACAATGGCTGCTTCAATACGACGAAGGGCCTGTGTTGGCGCATGTTTGGACTGCATTAAGCCGGTCCGAGGAGCGACAATTGGCGATTCAACGATCTCGTCAATGGATGCGAAGGCGCCCGTATCAGGCTCAGGGAGATCCTCGTAGGCGTCGCTGTAAATGCTGTCATCGTCGTCCGAAGAGTCAGGCTCTTGCTTTCGAGATGGAGAAGGGGGTTCTACGAAAGAGATGCGAGTCGGCGAAGCGGGTTCCACAGGTTGTTTGCCTCGCTCCAACTCCTCAGTCGGCTGGTCATCTTCCTGATTCCATCCTCCCGGAATGATTGCGCGCTGATTTTCAATCTTTCCCTGTGATGTTTCCGTGGCAGATCGCGTTGGTGGTATCATAAGAGGCTCCGCCTTCTCGACCAAATTAGGTGTGGCTGGTTGTATAGAAATCACTGGTACCTCGGCTTTCAAAGGAACGCTGCCAATACCGTTGGTTGATGTCTTTAATGTCTTGGGCTCCGCAATTGACGACTCCATCTGCGCCCCTCTTGTATTATGGGGAGGAACTCCTTCCAATGAAATGTCGCTCGAATCAGAGTCAGAGTAGTAACCACTGCCTTCCACCGAAGTGACTTCTGGCGGCAGCGGATCGTGCGTTGCGGATTGCTTCTTGGAGGCAAAGTCGTCCGCATCAACATAGCCAAGTGCATGGTCGCTTGACGCTTCGACTGGGTCATGTATTGAGCCGATAGATGCTGTCAAAGAAGACGAGACTGTTTCTGTGACCTTCTCGGGCTCATCCCGATCTACATGGCGCCGATTCTTGTCTCGAATGCTCCCGAACGAGGGCAAAGCTGGTCGAGGCTTCATATAATCGTCAAAATCGTGGTCGTGATTGACGGTGCTCCATCTAGATTGACTGAGACCTCTAGACGACGTCGGTGTTTCTCCGTACACCAAGGGGCCGGCCACAGTGGGAGGCTCCTCAAAACTGACACGCACGGATTTCTTCTTCTTCTTACCGATCCCTTCGTCGGATACGGCGTCGGAGATCTCGCTTAAGGGACCTTTGGGGATTACTTGCCCGTCATTGGCAAACGGAGAACTGTTGCGTCGCGACATAGATGGGGATGACTTCAGCGCTGACTTCGCAGGAGAGACCGAACGAGCAGGCGGTTGATGTCGAATCTCATTTGGTAATTCCAAGGCCCCCTCCACGAAATGCGCAGATCGAAGTGGGCTTAATGATGACCCTCTATCCGATCGAATGCTGCCTCTTCCCCGACCAACTTGACCAACTTTGAGATCGGGTGTGCCAACTCTGGGGCAGGGACCGTCCTGGTTCGCCGCAAGCTGTGGAGACACCGATGACTCCGATGTCATCTTCACAGGCTCAGACAATGTACTGTCAAGCTTGCGACTGATGTTGGCATGCGCAGGTGGCTTTATATCCAGCCCAAGCAAGTCCTCAGAGGTTTCTCTTGCCAGAACAGGCCCGGTCTCGCTCGTTACGGCCAGGTGAGCCTGCTCCAAGTCTGGATTGTCGTCCATCAAAGGCTTTGGGTGACTGAGCGGTCCCTCGGTATCTGCATTGACTTCCTCATTATTGATCTCAGGCGGCGGAGTAGGATATCGTTCCCTCACGTCTGCAATAGGGAGCGGAGAGGGATCCTGGGCTGGTTTCTCAAAGGGGGTGGTGCTATGCTGTAAGTCGGCGTTTGAGGAAGCTGGAGTGGAAATATACAGAGGGCGTTGAGGCGGACTAATCGCACTCTCCTTTACATCATGGAATGGGACTGGAGAGTGCTGCGGTTTCCCGTAGACGGCGGGACTTGGGTCGGGGAATGCCGGCGCGTATTGCACAAGACGAGCAGAAGGCGGCTCTTCCTCTTCATGTAGCTCACGAAACTTGGCCATGGCTTCTTGCTTCCAGATAAAAGTCCTGGTTGATGGATCGTACACGGCATCCGCGGATTTGGGATCAACCGGCCCGGCAGCGGTATGAGCTGACGCGACTGGGACGCTGGAGCCACTCGGCCTTGCTCCCATGCTTCCAGAAGCGAGTCTCGCTCCTTCCACACCCTGAGGTATCTGACTTCTTCTTGTAGACACAGGTCTGTCAGCTGCATTCTGAATCGACTGCCAGGTATTCTGCGCCTCATAACGTCGAACTCCGTCGGCTGACTTCGGTCGCCCAGGCGGCCCGGTACGAAAAGTACTGCTGGTATTCGTGACCGGAGCAGCAAACCAGCCACTGTGGCCGCCTTGTATAGGCGTCGTCTGCGTGGCAGGGGATATGGGCCTCGAGAAATTGACCGAACGTGGTCTGCCGTCATATCCGTCCTCGGGAACTTGCGCAAGTCGCGTTACATGATGGCGAGTTCCTAGTGAGATCCGGGCACTGCCGTCCACGCTATGGCCCCTTCCCCTGCCACGTCCACCATCGGATGTTGAGCGTTGTGGCGGCTCGAGGCTCGATGCCCGTCTATGGACAGCGACCGGCCCGGATAGCACTTTGGGCACTGCAGGTACAGGCGGGGCATCCTCAAGAGGACCAGTGACAGGACCGTCTTGGTTGGGCGTTGGTGACCGGAAGGAACGTAAGGTCATGGACCCAGAACTGGGAGATCTGCCCAGCAGAGGGCGCTGTTGACTTCCGCTTCCTTGGGAGGATATCGAAGCCTTGCGTACCATGCGCTTCGTCACCGTGTCGCCAACAGCGGTCGGCCCCGAGGGGTGGGTGCGGAGAGCGGCCGCGGCGGCGGCGGAGGAAATCGAGGCATTGGAATCGCGGTTCTGCAGAAAGGCCTTGGAGGCGGCGAGCGAGGCGGAAGCGTTAGGAGGACGATTCGGGGCCTGCATGTAGAAAGATTGTCAGCGTCGCGCACACGGTAATGCGGTGTCGTGGGATGGGGAAGAGGTTGGGTGAGCAGGAGAGGTGAGATGGGGAGTCTCACGGGAGTTGACGCGGCTCGACGGCGCTTGAACATGTCGAAGGAAGCTGCTGCAGGTGAATTCAGGTTCACTGCGGCCGCAACAACATGGTGGTGATGGAGAATGGAGTCGCGACTTCAGGAACCGACAGGGTGTGATGTCATTGAACCCTTGGGAAAATAGGATGCACGTGCTCCCGCGGGAGGTGGAGTCTGGCGCGACGTGGTCGGCGAAGCCAGAGACCGAGGCCAAAAGGGGAGTAGGCTGGTGGGGAGCTTGGAGGAGAGCTGGTGAATGCGGAGGAAAAAAAGCTGTTGTTCTGGGACAAGACAGGACGACGGGTGGAAGGGTGAGTGATGGACAAAAGGGTCCACGCGGCCCGTCTGACCCCAGTCTTGGCGTGCCATCTCATCTCCTACGAAACTGTATATTCACCTCTTCGCCTCAACCATCTCCTGCCGACCGTGTAGAATCGACTACCACGCCCCGCCAACTTCCTACCAACATGTCACTAAACGGCGCTTGTTCACCCATCCCCCTACCGAAGAACCAGCCAGCAGGGCCCTTGTCGTTCTGCAAGCCTCGCCCTCAGGCACACTTCGGACAATGGCAGACTGCATCTATGCTGGGAAACAGTGCCGCCTCTTCGAGCCTGCTGGCTGTGAGATGAGACGAGCCCCCGAGACTTGGGTCCTTCATGACTTGCGCGAGCAGACACCACAGCCGTCAGCACTCCGCGACTCGTTCAATGTATCTCCAACATAGCCGTTTTCCCTTTTCAGCCTCGTGCAGCAATCCCAGCATCAACCTTGCCATGCCCACCCAGCCCTGCACACCTCCAAAATAGATATCTGAAGCCGTGTTCCCTCGTGCTGCGGAATCCGTCTCTGCGCGCCTCTGTGTGTTCCGTTCTGCGACACTTGCTCGCTTGCCCAATGATAGACGCTAGGAGACGGCCTCCGCCCGAGACACCGGATATCCCCCAGCTCGTCGATACGGCAAAGTCCGCCTTGTTGCAACCCCCACTCCTATATATGAGCCCTCTACCTCCACGCCGCTTTCCTATTCCTCCTCTTCCAGGTCGGTTTTGATCCTTTCTTGGAACATGTCAGATGCATGCAAACCTCTCCCGTTGCCTCCGGGCATATCAGAGAATTATGTGTATTGCCCCGCCAATACCTTGACTTTCCATCTTCTCGAGGCTGGATATACACCCCATCGTTCACGGCCCTTGCTTCTTCTTGTCCATGGCTACCCGGAATTGGCCTTTTCGTGGAGGAAGGTGATGCCTGCGCTGGCAGACGAGGGCTACTATGTGGTCGCCTTTGATCAGCGTGGCTATGGGAGGACTACCGGATGGGATGACTCTCCATTCGCAAAGACGGATCTCACCGAGTTCACCATGACCAACCTCGTCCGTGACGTTGTTATCCTGGTCTACGCTCTGGGTTACCGGCAAGTCAGATGTATCGTCGGCCACGACTTCGGTGCCGTCACTGCCTCCTTGTGCGCACTGATGCGCCCGGACCTGTTCAAGAGCGTTGTCATTATGTCACATCCTTTCAAAGGGTCCCCGGAACTGCCATTCAACTATGCCCACGGCGGCAACGGGGAATCTCTAACTCCAGTGGATATCCAGAGGGAGCTTGCAAGGCTACCTGAGCCTAGGAAGCACTACAAGTGGTACAACTCCACCACCGTAGCGGCCCTTCACTGGTATGTCCCTCTGCAGGGCATGGAAGCCTTTCTTCGAGGATATCTGCACGTCAAGAGTGCCGACTGGGAGCATAACAATCCACATCCACTGAAGGCCTGGGAGGCAAGCGAGCTGGCAAAGATGCCATACTATTACATCATGCCTCTGCATAAGTCGATGCCCGAGACGATAGCATGTATGATGGAGAATGAGGATGCCAATAAAACAAAACGATGGATGCCCGACGAAGACCTAGCTGTCTATGTTGAAGATTGGACGCGCACCGGATTCCAAGGCGGCCTCAATTGGTATCGAACTTTAACAGACCCTTCCAAAATGGCCGACCTGGCTATTTTCGCCGGCAAGAAGATCGAATGCCCATCTATATACATTTCAGGAGCCAAGGACTGGGGCAATTATCAGGAGCCGGGAGCTTTGGAAAGACTTCCGGAGACCTGCACTCAGTTCAAAGGGGTCAAGCTCATCGAAGGGGCTGGGCACTGGCTGCCGCAGGAGCAGCCGGAAAAGACAGTAGCTGCCATTCTGGATTTCCTGAATGGCCTTTAATCATTACCTTCAGCCAACCTCCTTTCTCGTCGATTTTGCCCCTTAGATTCTATGTACTGCCCATTTATATCAATGCGGCCTTTCTCTGCCCAGATATCCGCATGGGTTTACAGCTTTTCACAACCCGTTCTTCTTTTGTCCGTGGGCATGATATGTCGTTTTCTAATAAAACAGGTTGAACTTCGCAAGCGGTCTTGCAGCGCCACATTGGCGGTTTTCATTCAATCCTCGAGCTCTTCGGTACCCTGAGGATGCTTCGTTTATTTCACTAGCTACAGGAGTGCATACTCCAGCAGAGGGTTCATCACAAAGACTTCCCTCACACAGATATATATCATTGATACTGTTTCATACCGATTCTTTCACGAGACTATCCTTTCATGAGTTCATGGGTTCGACTTCTTTATTGATACTATTGATACTTGGCTCCCTTCTAGGAGGACTGTCGCATACACGCCAAAAGTTGCAATTATCCTTTGAACAGGAGCACAGATATCTTCAGTAACTCCACTCTATATGCGAACATGCATGCGGGTGTACGCATAGCCCAGCATTTTCGGGTTTCGGGTAGCTGCGCAAGCACTGACGATATAAAAGCAAATCGTGCTTTGGCATGTTGTTCTGGCCTTGCACTCCAGCTTGCTTCTTCTTCTCGGTCGATCATTGCTGTCTCTTATATGACGTAGTCGGTCTGAGTCGATTCGCGACAATTTATGAATCTTCGCCTCCAGACTGACCGTCTTTTTACGATTCTTTCACCCCGACGTTGCCCGCTCCCGCCATATACGTCCACGGACCGCCGCAAGGAACATGAGGCTTTCATCACCCGGGGGGCAATAACTCCGAAGCTTTCACGAGCAGGAGGTCAATAATTCCAAAACTTTTACAAGCAAGAGGTCAATAAACTTCAACTCCCCTCTTTCAACACCCACAACCGACTCTTTTGTATACCGCACAATGTCCAGAACAACGCTACCCAAGGCTTCCCCTGAGAGCGAGGTATCAACATGGATTAGTTTTGAATCAGGCAGTTGCGCCGAACGCGGCAATGCCTATGCATTACAAGAACTCGCCAGCCTCCATATCCGACCGTCTCGACGACCGCAAGCTGAAGACGGACCCCTGCGACCGGCATCTGATGGCTCCCAATGCTCCCAAAACACTGAGACCCGGCGTGGTAGTAAAGCGTTGGAAACTTCAACTCTCAAGCATCCAAGCAAGCTGAGGAGGCGTTGTATCTGGTTCGACACGTACAATGTCCTCATGGTCATCGTCCTCGTCGTCAACGCGGCCGCGTTGCTGGCATTTGCCATCCGGAACAGAGACGGACCAAGCCGAGCATTGGCTCTACGAGGGACGCTGACGGCCGTGTCAGTCAACATCTTCTTCGCACTGTTAATCCGGCAAGAAATCGTCTTAAACCTCTTCTACGACATCCTCTCTCGGGTCCCGCCCACTGCGCCATTCCTCCTCCGCAAGCACTTGGCCAACTTCCACCACTTTGGAGGCATGCACGCTGCTTGTGCGGTATCAGCTCTGGTATGGTACATTGTGTACCTGTGTCTCCAAACGCAGAGCCTGCTGGCTTCAATCACGACACGGAGGACTCCCTTGCGAATCGTCGATATCAGCGCATCTTACATTGTCCTCGTCCTCCTCATCGCCACGATCCTCACCTCTCTCCCTCAAGTACGCCGAACCCACCACGACGTCTTCGAACGCGTCCACCGCTTCGCCGGCTGGGCAACCGTTCTCGCCCTCTGGCTCCACACCATCGTCGTAGCAGCGGACCCGGACTCGGACTCCCCACCCAGCGCCTCCGCCTCTGCAACCGCGAGAAACCCATCCCTCTACCTCCTCGCCCTCATCACCATCCTGCTCATCCTCCCCTGGCTCCGCATCCGCAAAGTCCCCGTGACACCGCATACCATGTCCGGCCGGGAAATCCGACTCAGCTTCCCCTACAACGACATGCCATCCACATCCACCATGCGCTTCAGCCTCTCCCCACTGACGGAATGGCACGCCTTTACCACCATTCCTGGCGATCCCACTTCCACTTCCACCACCAACAGCAACAACGACGCCAGCAAAGAATCCAGCATCCTCGTCGCCGCCCAAGGCGACTGGACTCGCTCGCTCCTCGCATCCCCACCCACGCATGTCTGGCTGCGCGACCCACCGACCAGGAATTTCCTGTCCGCCGTGTACATGTTCGACAGCGTGCTTTTGGTCGCTACGGGCGCGGGAATCGGGCCCGTGGTTTCCCTCCTCGCGACTCTGCCTTCTTCTCCACCTGCATCTGCATCTGCTGCGCACCAGAATGCAGCTGGAATTGCAAATGCACCAGCACCTCGGGCGGAAAATAGACACTGTATCACATTCGGTAGTAGCGCACGACGGCATACACCCCGGCTCGTCAAAGTCCTCTGGATCGCATCCCATCCGCACGCTACATATTACTCCTTCATCATCCATGCGATTCGGCGCGTGGATCCCGATGCGCTTATTCTAGATAGCAGGGAGGGACGTCCGGAGATAGAGGATGTGGTGGGCAGGGTGGTGAGGCGAGAGGGGATCGAGGCCGTGTTTGTGGTTTCGAATCGGGGGATTACGGAGAGGGTGGTGAGGGGTGTGAGGAAGGGGGAGTTAGGGAGGGGGAGGGGGAGGGGGGTTGGTGGGTTTGGGGCCGTGTTTGATTCGTAGGGGTGAAGAGGGGGGATGGAGTAGAGGAGATTGTGTTGGGCGTTAGAGGAGATTATGGATTTCTGGTGGGCTGGGAAATAGGGCGGTGTAGAAGGGCGCAGATGTTTACTTGGTGGTGTGTGTGTGTGACTTGGTCGTTGACTTTAGACGACATGGATAATGGTACTAGAATCCTTGGGTAATATAGAAGGCAGTCCAAGGTAAAGAGTAATAGATGGGAACCATAGAAGGGTACCTGGATATGCAACCCAATTGGACGACAGACCAGCTCCGTCACTATTTTCCCGTTGAAACAAATGCCATTCTTGCAAGTGACAAGTACAGTTTTTGCAAAAATCAGAAAAGTTACCAGCCACACACTCAACAAGACCAACTTAAAACTAAATCCATCCTATTAATATCTCTCTCCTCTCTTCTTCATCCCCCTTCTAAACCGCGCTCTCTGCGACATAAACCAAGCCCTCGAATGTAGCTATACACACATACACAACACCCACCCATTCCTCCAAACAGGCACGGTACACAAACGCATGTCTCTAGCTGACCTCTCTGCAAAGCCGCTCACCCCTCCGCTGGAGAACGGCGAAAAAAAGAGACCAAAAAACGCAGAGAGGAAAAGAAGTAAGAGCATAGGAAAAAGAAAAGAAAAAAAAAGGACAAAGAAAACCCCATGAAAAGAACGCCCCTGCCCAAAATGCGACAGACAACTACCTTATACCAAGGCACGACGACGGCCCCAAACACCATACACACATACCTTTGCCCCAAGCTTGCCAATTCCTCCATTTCCCTCCGCGCAAACACACAACAGTATGATGATATCCCCATCTCAAAAGCTCAGCAGCAAACCATGCACATACACAAAAAGAAAGGAAAAGAAAAGAAAAGAAGAAGTAAAAGCGCCGTCAATCACACCACGTCTCCCCAGCATCGATGATCCTCTTGTTCCTTCTCTTATTCTACCCATCTCTTCAACCAGGCAACTGAACATCCCCCCCACAATCCGGAACCTTGACACCAGGCTTAAGCTTCCGATTCACATCCATCAACCCCCACTTATCCTCCCACTCTTTCCCGTCCTCATTGAATTTGACCTTCCACGGCTCATCAAAAGCCGAGAACCTGCTCCATCATTAGCACTCTCACCCTCACTCACTTGAATAAGTAAGTAATCCACTTACCAAAAATACTCCGTCCCATTCTTCAGGCTCGGACAAACCCAACTCTCCATGAACGTATTCAGATTCTCCACACTGGCCACACTCCCCTGCGTCTTACTCGTACAGGGGCTACCTCCGCAATTGTTGCCGCCACCGCTCGGCCATCCCACCTCGGCGACAATCTGCTTGATGTTCGGATCGTTCTTGGTGAGTATCACGTCGTGGGTTTGCCAAAACGTCCACGTCCAACCCGCCGCTTCCTCAGCCGTCACGCCCGCGAAGAAGGGATGCACATTGGACATGACGGCGTCGACCTTCGTTGCCATGTCCGCGGTCCAGTTGTCGCCGAGGTCGGACGTCGCCACGGGCAGATTACTGCCTTTACTCTTCAGCTGATCGCGGACTTCTTCGACGATATCCAGGAGCTCGGTCTCCTTCAGGTCTTCTCTGTACAGGACTTCATTGCCGACAATGACGCCCTTGAAGCGCTCGGGCTTGTAGTTGTCAAGAATCTTGTGCATCTGGTCGACTTGGCGCGTATTGGTCGTTTTGTTGTTGCCCAGCCAGACGCCCAGCCACACCTTCATATCCGTTAGCTCCAAACGGTCGATGGCCTCGAGTACCATCTCGGTCTGGTTGCAGTCGGTACCATACAATCTCACTGCGTTTGTGAGTCTGGACATGACTGCGATATCGCGAGTAATGTTGTTCTGCGACGGCGGGACATGGAGGCACTCGGGGTACTGTGCGTTGAGGGGTGTATAGTCCATTCCTGGGAAGACTTTGTGCAGGCCAGGGGTCGCCATGAGGGCCTTGATTTCGGCGCTCTTGATGGTAAGGTCGCTCTTATTGTCTTCTTCCACGGTCTCGGGTGTAGCGGGGCCGCCGCCGCCGCCTCCTCCACCTCCACCGTCCTTCTTCTTCGTAAGTATGGCACCCAAAACACCGCCTACGATGGCGCCTATAATAACAAGCACAATGAGCGATCCTACAATCCACTTCAGCCGCTTGCTACCGGTCTTCTGTGATGCTAGCCATTCCGACTTTTCATTCAAGATAGGCGGCACGTCTCCGGGTAATCCAGGCGTTCGCGGTACAGCCTGATATTGGCCGCTCGCATCTTGCGCAGCGTACGCTGCTCCAGCACCGGCACCGGCACCGAAGGCGGCCGCAGAAGCAGTGGGCGTCCCCTCTCGACTTTGCTCCTTGGAACCGGTGAAAGGAATGAATGACCTCCGTTTCTGTTGCGTAGACGTTTGTGGACCTATACCCCAGTCATCGTCATCATCGGCCTCGTTCGGATTAATGGCGCCTAACTGTGGCGCGAGGTTCAGATTCGAGGAAGAGTATCCAGAATACGGGCCGTCTCCGAAGACGGCGACCGAGTCAGGGGGTGTTGGTCGGCAATCCAAAGGAAGGCTTCGTTCTGAACTGCTCGTCGTGCAGCTGCCTCCGCCGAAGGCACTTCCAGGTGGTATTGCTGCTGCTGCTAGAGGTACGTTCGACCCATATGACGGTTGAGGGTGTACGGGACGTCGGGGTATCGAGGGATCGTAACGATTGTGGTCTGTGAAAGGAGCAGCTGGCCCACCCGCTGCCGTTGGTGGGCTCCGTGGTCCTGGTGAAGGCCCAGCACCGTTCCGTATCATGTTATCTACATCTCTCAAAGCTTGTGCTCCACTTTCTCTTTCATGCGCGTGAGCAACTCCCATGGCGACCCCGTTGATTCCCCCTCCTGGTGCGGCCTCGCCGAGATTGTCTGCTCCAGGCGTGATGCCAACAGGCGAGAAGTCCGAATAGTTCTGCGAGCCGTAATGATGTTGCGATTGCATGTTGCTGTAGCCACTATCTGGGTGCATGCCTACGGGGATGCGGTGTGTTGGCGGCGGAGGCCCTGACTGGGGGAATTGGGAGTTGGATGAGTCGTCGTGGGATGCATGTTCGCGGTCGTCATACGGTTGAGCGAGCGAAGGGTATGGCTGATAGGCCTGGTAGTGATGTTGCGGGTCCGCCATGGAGGTTGGGTGGGTTTGGATTCCCAGTTTGCTAGCCGTCCGGTGGGTCGCAGGGCGCCCTGGGCTGCGGGACGCGATGCCACAACTTGCCTCGAGGAGAGGGCGCCAGTGTTTGCGAAGAAACGCAGCGAGGGTGCGGAGTACCAAACGATGGCAGTCTGAGCGACAGTGGGGGAGGTGTAGGAAGAAATGGGGGCTGCGTGAAGCTGAGGCACGGCGGAGAGAGGAGGGCTGACCTGAGCGTCGTTCCTTACCGCTTTAGGCAACTAGACGCAGGAGTTCCAAGGTTGACCAGGCGACCTCTTGGCCGTAGGATGACGCACCTTGAGCGGCGACTCTTCAACACCAAAGGCACCGCACTTGTTCCTGGCCCCAACAAGTGAGGAGTTTGGTTTGAAAAGAGCTATCTTGAAAAAAGGGGAAAATTGGGTCTTACGGCGATGCGCCTTCAATGAAACTTTCCCGAGTGCCCATTCCAGCCACGCGAGTGACCAACCTCCCCAGCCGGAGTAAGCAAGCGTCGGGGCTCGGCTACAATGCGAAAGGAGAAAGTTGTAACAAACATCAGAAGGATTGTCTTATCATTTTCACGCTCCAGTCGCGGTTTCCTGTCTTGTCCCGTCTCATCGAAGATGCAGGTACGTGTAATACAGAACCATTGTCGTCCTCTCTTCCGCCATGCTTCGCTGTCGCGAGGGCCTGATATCCTCTCCTTCTCGCGAATATGTGGAGATTGTACCCTGTGATGGTAGCGCCATGGCCACAGCCACGACCTCCACAAACACGAGGTTGAAAGTCTGGACTTCGGATTGATTCGTTTTCCATTTCTATTCTTGGCATACGGACATGTTCTCATCAGCAGACTGCTGAGTCCACTTTTCAGGATGTCTGACTCTCACCCCCTATGTACAAGTATTACCACTGTGCAGGTGATCATACTTAAGGTAGCGGATTGCGGGGTTTTATGGCCGCTGGCTCCTGCCACTGACATCTTTGCCATACTACGTACTGTGCGCAGCTTGTTATCCTAGTTGGGTTCCTCCGGATATTGTACACAGTATATCATACAATACTGCACCAGCCTGCTCACTTGCAGTTAGCAATTCGCGAACGTCAGAACATCTCCATGTACGGAGCAGTCAGCTCAATCATCGAGACACGACCACAAACAGTCACTGACACATTTTGCGAAACTGGCACATATTGTTCAGAACATTGATTGATTATACATTAAAGGCTGCCTCGAAGGCTGCCAGACCCGACTGGCGCAGCCTGGGTTGAGCGCCATCTGGCCATCTGATCCGTGGGTATCGAACGTAAAAAGCACTTTTGTTTCCCTTCTCTTTTCTCCCGCCTATCCAATCCTTCTTCCATCTCTTGCCATTTCCTCCATGTCTATCCGATATTTCTTCCTTCCCATTGCGTCATTGGGAGACCCAGAAAATGCCGAGTTTGAGCTTGAGATGCGATGGAGCCGTCCGGTGAATGAAAAGCCCAGCAATGAAGTGTCCACGTATCCAACAATGAAATGTCCAGCAATATGGAGTTTCCAGCATTGAAGTGTCCAGCATCGAGGGTTTATGGGCGGCTCACACCAGCACCGTAGCAGGCGGCATAAGCGTTGTTGACGCTCTTGTGGTGCTCGACGAGGGCGTGCTTGAGCGAAGACCAGAAGTGCTTCCTCTCGGCCTTGGATTCCTTCTGGTGGAAGCCCTCAGCAGGGGTGGCGGTGCCGGACATGCGAGGAGTAGCGTTGGTCGACGACATGGTTATTGTGGTTGATGTGATGGAGATGGTCGATAGGTGTGTCTGAGTGTTGGGAGCGTCGACGTGGATCGTTGGTAGAAGGGTTGATGAGGCTTGTAGAGTAGTAGGTCGTTCAGGTAACTGGTTTGCTTTCTGTTGTTCTGCTTCATTTCCCAGCGTCCCTCCCTCCCTTTATATACTCCATCGCCCTTCCTCTAAGGGAAACAACCAACAGAGAGAAAATTCTTCACTCCCCACCGAGAAAATCTTGAATTTGCATCGTGAGATTCCAGCGTCGGCGTCAGATCCACACAAACATGTCACCAGTCACCAACACCGCCGCGACCACGCGCCTCCCGTCGGAATATTCGAGATGTGGCGTGTGCAATGCGCACCTGTTGGTGCGGCTTCCGTCGGGTATTGGTCGCTGGAAGGATACGGAAATGCTTATGTCATTCTGCCGCCATCCAGAATCTTCGATGTTTGTGGCTTAGCTTTTGCAACCAGCGCCCTTTGCTTAATGACAAATCCCGTTTCATTACTAAAACAGTCAACGGAACGAACGCCCCTTCTTCCCGGCGCCAACCGCCCGCCGCTCTCGCCGCATTATTGGCTCCACTCCATCCTAGCCTCAAAGTTTTCCGATCCCTGGTTTCCTGCGTCTGGCTCGTTGTCCCAAGAGTTCCCAGGTCACCGTTTGACACATGGATTCCGTTAACGGCAGCGACGTTGCCGTTAACTGCTATAAAGCCTTTGCCGCATGTTTCTGAGGTGAAGATTTTTTTAAGGGGTGGGTTTTTGATGAGGTGCTGGCGCATGGGAATGAGGTAATTGGTTGCGGGATTTTGTTGGAATTGGAAGAGGTTGATGAGGAATGTGGAGTGAGTTGGGGGCATGTGATGTGGTGAGGCTGGTGGTGAGGACTATAACGTGATGAGGACGGTATCTACGGTGTTTCCGAGGTTGGTGGTGAGATCCGATGGTATGAGTCCTGCACAACGCCAGAGGAGCAGAGGTTTCTTGCAATTCTTGAGAATCTGCTGTGAGTTGCGTGTTATGGTTTCATGATTTTGGTAAACTTGCACACGGCACGGGACCTGCAGGAATCTCAAGCATGAAACATGCTTGAGAAGATCCAGAGCAAGAGGATGTGTCAATAGGTCTGGTCAACCTTGTGACGAGGTATTGATCATATACAATGCGTTCTACACAAGGACGGTTACTATGTAGTTTTGTTCGGCCTACACCTGAGGACCCAGAGCTCAATTCAGCGAAAATAGGATCCGCAAAATCTAGGCTTTGTTCAGGCGGCCAAGGGATTTCTGTCTGCCTGGTCGGTCTGCAAGCCGTAGAGATGCATGTCGGCATCAAGTAGGTGAGGAATACATCTACGCAACCGCAGTTGGCCGAATTCATTTCACGCGCATGTTTATCTTGGCGAATGAATTGCTTGCTTCAACCTGACGTGTCTGAGGTTAGGTATTAGTCAAGGGTAGAAGAGGCGGAGAGGAGAGATATAAAACATATTTAGAGTAGCGATGTCCTCTAAATAGATACTAAGGCCATGGACCAAGCTTCTCACATCGCGTCGCTATTGCCCACCTACACAGTAAGGAAGCCGTCATTGACCCACTCTAACCGACGAAGTTGATCATTTTGAACAGCAAGCATTGAAAAAGTGCTTCTGGTGCTAGCGAACTTGGGACCGGATAGTGAAGCTACCGTCCACGGATTGCCCCACAGATAGTGAATGCTAAGTGTACTGTGTACACAGTAAGACTAACCTTTACCAGGGTATGGTTCATTCATTGTGGAGGCTGAAATGCCCGATCTGACCACGACCGACATCGCAGCTGAAATAAAATAAACCGAAGACTACATATATAGTACTGTGTAGACGCTGCGCAATTTACATCACCGGACTCCACGGCCGCCAGAATAAAGGTGCACGAGATAACGATAATGTCGACACACTTCAAATGCTGGAAGTGTTCTTTCAGCAAGCTCGGCGGGCTGCGACGTCAGTTAGTGGCAAGAGGTGACTGTACCCGTGTGGGGAGCCAGACGGATGCCGTGTCCTCCCACAATTCGGGCATATCTGCAAGATATTACGACAGCCGCGCTGCTGAATTCAATTGGTAATAGTGGGACTTGTTATTACATAGTACACAGTACAACAGCAACAATACTGATACCTTGACAATTGGAAGATGTTCGGCGTTGGTAGGAGCAGCCACCAAAAGGTGCACGATCTGATACCATGATAAAGCACCGTGTGCTTGTAGTGATACCTGAAGAAATCAGTATTGGAAGCAGACGACAGACGCAGCCAGGCACAATAATAAAATACAGGCCGATCGCGCAGCCGGCGTCATTCGGCATGGGCTTTGCAGCCGGCCACAAGGGGCAGCAGATTGGCCCACGGCACATCTATTGACCTCATCAATCACTGTGCGGTCACTTCCTCGGATCTCGTCACCATCATTGCTATCCCACCCTTTACCACAACCTCGTACATACCAAACCACTACTGTAAAACAATCGCTTCCCCCTCGCAACCGTGTGGCCTCCATTGATCCCAGCCCGCGCGTGCTGGCTGCCCTTATTTTCTCGCTCAACGCCTCTGTCACTCCGCGGCAAAGGTGAGATTTCCACTAGTCCACCCCCACGATCTGATAATCAGATTAACGACCCAACACCATGTCACAACGTCGCTTTGCAATCATCTCAGCACCCACGCAGCTGCGTCCGCGAGCCCGTCGCCGCATCAGATGCGACCACTTCCGCCGCTGCGCGACCTGAAGCTATCTTGGACACCCGCGGCTGAGTCAGGATGCTAACCATGGCCCACTTGTCTAGGCCGATTCTTTATCGCGTCCTTTTCATCGGCCGTTTCCTCCCCGCGTCTGCCTCTCCCTCCACATCTCCTACGCACCATGGCTACCCATACGATACCTACGAGGTCCACCTCACACCCTGACGATCCTATACCCTCTGAACCGCAAAACATCCCCGTGCTGAAGCCCGAGAAGACGAGCTCCTCGAGCTCCCAGCCCGACACCGGATCGCCCAAGTCCGCGGGCGAGTCCATGCTCTGGAGCAGTCACAGCAGCGATGAAGACGCTCCAGTAACCCCCGTCACGGAGCCCCCAGAGGTCGACGACATAATAGACAAACTCGAAGCCCTCCCCGCCGCCGTCGTCGATGTCAATGGGCCGAAACCCCAGCCCGGTCGCCGCCGCGCCTCGACAACCCTTATATCAGACAGCCCATCCGACATCAGACGGATCCTGGGTGAGGGAGAGACAGCAACCAAGCTCATCAGCCAGTGCTGCGGAGGAGGATGCTGTCTGCTCAAGACATTGGCTCCGGATACCGCGTCGCCCGATTTTGTGCCTGTTGTCATACCTGACAATGTCGCCTTCAGAAGTTTAAATCTTCAATTGGGACCGCTGTCTCTGGATACGGAGCTTACCAATACATTCGAGCTACCTCCAGTCAACATGGCATTCGAGGGCCTCCCTTCGAAGGACACGAAGCACGCTACCACCGTTTACAAGGAGCCACCGCCATTTGTTCAGCCGCATCCGCCGTATTCCGTCTTTCCCGCGCCGCTGTACCATGCACGCGAATTGACCAAGCCCGGAGCCGAGAAGCGGACATTTCACTTTGATATCGACGTCACGGACTATCCCGATGAGGGTGGTGTGGATTTCAAGGTTGGCGGTGCTATTGGCGTGTGCCCACCCAACTCCCAGGAAGTCGTTAACGAACTTTTTGATATATTATGCATTCCTCAGTTTGTTCGCGACAAGCCTGTTACGCTCAAGACCAAGTCCGGACGCTGGCCGACAATATGGGGTGATGATCAGCCGCGAGAGCTCATCACCACACGCCGGGAGCTCCTGACGTGGTGTACTGATGTGCAGTCCAATCCGCCGACCAAAGCTCTCCTTCGCGTCATGGCCGAGTACGCTGATGCGCCGAATGAGAAGAAAATTCTGCTCTACCTGTGCTCCGCCGAAGGACAGGCCGCCTTCTGCGATCTGCGTACGACGTCACACATCACGGTCGCGCAACTTCTCCATGCGTTCCCTTCGTCAAAGCCGAACCTCGCTCATCTGCTTTCCGTCCTCAACCAACTCATGCCTCGCTTCTACTCGCTCTCAAACGATCCGCATATCTCGTCCGCCCGTCCTGGTCTTCCCGGCAGTCGGAGACTGATCGAAATTGCTGTCACAATCCATGAGACCCCAGATTGGCATCATAAAGGCGCCATTCGGACAGGCGTTGGCAGCGGCTTCATGGAGCGCGTGGCGACGGCGTTCATCAATTCTGAGAATGAGGGTGTTGATCGCAGCATACTGGATCTGCGGATTCCCATGTTCCGTGGTCTTATGGCGAATCCCCTGTCAAAGGAGTTCCATGGAGAAGGTCCCATGGTCCTGATCGGCGCCGGGGTCGGCATGGCGCCGTTCCGCGGCTTCATCCTCAACAGGCTCAAGAACGCGAACTGCGCGAACAAGATATGGCTCATCCAAGGTGTACGCGACTCCATGCTGGACGAACTGTATTCTGGCGAGCTGGGCGATCACGAGCGCGAAATCAAGAAGGTCGTACAGAGTCGTAAAGTCCGGTCAGGCTATAGCGAAGCCAAATATGTCCAGGACGAGGTTCGCGTCCAAGCCGATATCGTCTGGTTCGTCATCAATGCACTGGATGGCCGCGTATTCGTCTGTGGTAGTAGCAAAGGCATGGGTGAAGGCGTCCACGAGGCTCTTATTGATGTCGCCATGCGTAAGGGCCGCATCAGTGAGGAAGAGGCGCGAGAGTTCTGGGATAAGAAGAGGGAAGATGGGCAGTATATTGCTGTAAGTTGCCTCTTCGCCTTCAAGCTCGAGGATCCGTTTACTGACTTGAGGTCGTAGGAAACTTGGTAAAACACCCATGATCACAATCCTTTCCAACATCTGCTTCGACTTGATCTGTTACGGTCCCGTCCTGTACATATCCTTCATGTTCGGCGTTCCACAAAAGGGAGTTTCGTGTTATGATTACGGGTTTCTTCTCTTGGATTCCATTCTCTCCTTAAAGCATGGCGGGAGGTCATTATTGTTTTCTTGCGCCATTCTGCGTATACACCAATTGCATAGCTCTGGCGCGGAGAGTTTGCTGTTTTTCCTGGTCCCAACGAGTCTCAATGAAAAGCTAAGGGGCGGTCCGCTGCCTCAGTTCCCGCAAAAGGCCACGAGATTAGATATGGACGTAAGTCGACACTATACTTATGAGAGAGTCTGAAGTCGAACATCTACAATAAAGAGGATTCGTATTATCATTCAAGAGGACATGTAATGTGCACTGTTTACTGTGCTGCTTGCAGGATAAGAACAGTGGCGCAGAGCCAGGGATGCATTATTTGTACTCTGTACTGTGCATGCGGTTCCAGAGGTTGTTGTGTACGGGACTCGATGGTGCGCATTTTCCTCTTTTTGCGAAAATGCCGCTGAATCTGGGAGGCGTTGGACACGCTAGCACTGGGTCATGGGGGCGAAAAAGCACAGCAGCGCCAATGAGATGGGCGAATTGAAGGGTCGTCGGTACGGGATGGATGCTAGGGCAGTTCGTTGTCGGAAGCTCGCAGTTTGGGTATCTTTGTGGTTTAAGACTTGGGGATGATGGGAGTTCGTTTATTATGTGCATGAGTTTTGGGGGTTCGGGTAGGGATCATGGAGTTATGAGCTTATTTGTATGGAGTGAATTATTATAACGACAGCAAAGTCCGCAATACGCGAGGATGGACAATTGCAAATAATGCACAGCGGTGCAAGTGTTGATCCCTCGAATGCTCATAAGGCATTTTTATGATGCCGCGAGAGACATTTTCATTGGTACCTTACTCGCAGCCCCCACAGCCAGATGCATTCGTGGCTCACCCTTCATCATTTCATCACATCAGCCCTAAAAGCACCGGCTCTTGGGTTTGGAGACCCGGTTTCCTGGTACGCGCCGCGATACTGGACCGGGGACCCGGTGTGAATCCTGATATGTAAACCAAAGCGAGGGGGCCGACAATGCCTCGCGGATTTCTCTTTGTGCTCTCGACATCACCTCCAATTTCCCTTCTTCGTCGAAGAGGGCTAGGATAGACACGGTACAACGATGCCACGGCGGCCCCCCCCCCTCACGACAACAGTAGCAGCAACAGCAACATCAACTCTCACCCTCCTCCTAGCCCTCCTCCCTCTCCCCCTCCACGCCGCCATCGAAGAATTCCACTATGCGAGTAACGCCACGGGCTTCAAGTGCCCGGACATGCCCTTCGAGTGCGAGCCACCCAAGGTGTGCTCGAGGGACACGCTGCTGAACAAGTACTACTGCTGCGATCCGGGGAAGGGGGGCGTGTGCTGGACGGGCAGCGAGACGTGCAGTGGGCAGGGAGGAAAGGCGCCGGGGGGAAGCCAAACGGGATGTGAGATGAACGATGGAAACGTGTTTTGCTGTTTGGCAAAGAGGTTTGTTTTCCTTTTCCTTTTCTTTTTCAGATAGAGGGGTAGGAATAGGGAGAAGGAATACAGGCGTTCCATATTAGCGTACACACATCCCTATCTTCTACAGACTATCGTATCGTTTGGAAGGAAATACGAAGTACTGACGTTTACCCAGAGAAGAATGCACACAAGTCAGGGGCCAGATAAACATCTGCTGGGCCCCCGAAAACCCAATTTCCAACTTCTCCGCCGCCGTCATGAACGACACGTTTTCCTCTCTATCGGCCGCTGCTCCGTCCGCCACGACCTGGGAGTTTAACTTGCAGAGCCTGCTCGCACCGAGTAGCACATCGGTAGCGTCATCGGCAGCATCTCCAACGGCAGCGACAGCTACAGCTACACTTTCAACAGCGTCTACATCAGGAAATGCCCAAGGAACAGCGACCCCGTCACCACCTACCTCCGCACAATCAAACCCAGCACCCGAACCCACCACTCCTTCTTCTCCTTCTTCGAGCTCCTCCCTCTCCGCCGGTGCCATCGCCGGCATCGCCATCGGCGCCGTCGCAGCTGTTTCCATCCTTATTGCCGGCATATTCCTGCTCTGGCGGCGGGAGCGAAGCGGGAATGGGAAAGCAGTCGAGTTGGATGCGCAGAATCCGTACACGGACAACGGAGGAGGAGGAGGAGCAGAACGGACGGAGAAGTATGCGTATTATCAGGGGCAGGAAATGGAGGTTACGAGTCCGAGGGTGGAATTGGATGGGGGGAGTTCGGAGAGGGCGGAGCTGGAGGGGGATGGGGGGAAGAAGTAGTGATAGCGCTGGGGGACTGCGTGTGGGTTGATTGAGTTGTGTTTGATTTGGGATTGATGATTGCTATGAATAAATATATCACAGAAGTTTGGAAAGACGGGTACCGCATTCAAAAATTTCGCAATCCGTAAGTGGGATAAGGGTTCTATTTGCCTGTCCTGCATGATTGCTAGGCCTCGTAGGATGTGACGACCATCAGAGTGAAGTGTTCGATAAAGCTATTTCTCATTCTTGGGATGTGTTGTTCCTTGCCGTACATCACTATCGGAGCTGTGATCTCATTGGTTTGGACCGCGCTCCTTCACGTGCCAGGCACCAATCTTGGAACTTCCCTTTCCGCCCTTTTGCCCTTGCTCCATTCCCTCACAACAACGATTGCTCCCTCTAACAACCTCTGCTTTGGTTTTTCTGACTGATTATGCGTCCGAGATGCGTCTGGTAAGAATAATGGAGAAGGGCGCTTTCACAATGCGATGGTTACCTCGCAACGTGAAAAGCGGAAGGGCAGGCGCCGTTGCGGTGAAGGCCAGGAATTTTAGTTATAGGGCGACCAGTCGCCCATACTACCTAGGCACGAGTTTCCTCCAAAAACCTCTGCTTTTAGCCTCGACGACTCGCCAAACATATTGGTTTTCCTGCCATAGCTTATCCGCGCTGCGCCGCAGCTGTCAGCACCTCCAATCACACCTATTTTCGAGAAGATATCCAGAGACACTTCCACTCTCTTCACGCAAGAACAACAATGTCGACCCCAGAGCTCCCCACTCTTCGCCACGTCACGGAGCGCAAGCTCAACAAGCTTGCTGCCCACCGCGAGAAATACGAGGCCGAGAAGAGAGCCATCCTCGACAAGGTCGCATCCGCCGGGGACACACGAGCTAAGGTGCAAGCTCTCCTTGACGGTTTCGAACAATACGGTGTCACTGCCCGCCAACCAGACCTGTCTCTCCGCAACTTGGTACACTTCAACCTCCAAGCACGTTCCGATCCATCCGTCTGCGGGTCTCTTCTCCGTGAGTGGCAGATCAAGCTTGAGCGAGAGTTGAACATTGGCAGCGCAAAGTATGAATATGCCTCACTCTTTGGAAGTCTCATCATGGAATGGATAAAGTATCCGAGCCCTGGCATCGTGTCGAAGCATTTGGAGAGTCCGAGCAGTGATACAGATAGCCTCGACTTCGACCAGCTCGGACGGAAAGAGATGCATGAGCAGCAGGCTCAGTGGGAGGCGCATGTGTTCACGAAGAAGAAGGTCGATCAAGCAAGGATTGAGGCGTATCTGAACGACATCTTCGGCAATGTTCGCCAAGGGAAGAAAGTGAAGAAGTCTCCGCTGGAGGATCTCAGGGAGGCTATGAGGCATGTGATGGATTTCAAGTCGGAGCTTCACACCCCCAAGCACCCGGTTTCTCGAAGTGATGATTTGACGACGCCAGAGAGGCGGTTCACCCCCGAGATTCTGAAGTCTTGCATCAGAGGCGTACTTCAGGCTGACTTGCTTGCTGGCCAAAAGCGGGAGGCACTCGTAGGCTTGGAGACTCAATCTGCTGTTCTCGACGAGCTCGTCGATGTTCTCAACATGGATCTTGAGGGACTTGACACCTGGGAATGGGATCCGTCTCCCGTCCCTCTTCAGATGCGACGCCAGCTGAATGGTAAATATCGTGTCTTTATGGACGAGGAAACACACCAGGCCATCCTGCTACACTTCATCGGTAAGGTCTGGGCAGTGGAGATGAAGAAGGCGTTTGTCAAGTTTTACCATTCGGGTGCCTGGCTGCAGACCCCGTTTCGATCCATGGACAAGAAGGCCAGGAGGCGGCGCGAGTACTTCATCCCAGCGGGAATTGCCGATTCAACGCTCACTGTCCGTGATGAGCGGCGGACTATGTATCAGGAGGACTACTTCATGACCCAGCTTCCAGGCAAGATGTTCGACGACTACATCGACTACGCCGCCGAGGATCAAGATTCTCCTTCTAGCGGAACGTCAGGGACTCGTAGGGGTGGCGCCAGGTCACCGCTGGCTACGAAACAGGGCATGCTGCGCTTGTTGACGACGGAAATGCTACTCAACACCAAGGTGTACGGGGAGTTCACAGTCCTGCAGTCCGACTTCAGATGGTTCGGCCCGTCGCTCAGCCACGACGCCATCTTCGCCGTTCTCAAGTTCCTCGGCGTCCCTGACAAATGGCTGCGCTTCTTCAAGAAGTTCTTGGAGCCTTCTCTGGTCTTCTCCCACGATGGTGCCGATGCGGAAGGCCGCGTCCGCAAGTGCGGAGTTCCAATGAGCCATGTCCTTGCCGATGCATTGAGCGAGGCACTACTCTTCTGTCTGGACTTTGCGGTTAACAAGCGGACGGGTGGGGCCAATATCTACCGCTTCCATGATGATCTCTGGTGTTGGGGACAGGAGAGTACGTGTGTCCAAGCTTGGGAGGCGATCAAGGAGTTCGCGGAGATCATGGGTCTGGAGATGAACGAAGAGAAGACCGGTGCCGCGCTCATTGTCGCCAACGAGAATACCTCTCGTGCTATATCTGCCAAACTGCCACAGGGGAAGATCAAATGGGGTTTCCTTGTCCTCGACCCATCGGTAGGCCGCTGGGTTATCAACCAAACCGATGTTGACGCACATATCGTGGAACTCCGCCGGCAACTCGGAGCCTGTCGTTCGGTCATGGCGTGGGTGCAGGCATGGAATAGCTACGTGTCACGATTTTTCTCGACCAACTTTGGACAACCGGCAAACTGCCTCGGACGCGCGCACAACGACATGATCATCGAGGCCTTCCAGCGTATCCAACGCGGCCTGTTTGCCGATAGCGGCGTCGCCAATGCCACCGAGTACCTGCGGCGGATGCTGATGGAACGATTCGGCACCGACGACTCGGTACCGGATGGGTTCTTCTACTTCCCTTCTAACCTTGGCGGGCTGGGCTTGCGGAATCCGTTCATCGCGCTCTTCGCAACGCGCCCTGGGACGCCGCGCGATCCGGTCGAGCGCATAGAGCGGGCGTTTGAAGAGGAACAGGAGGTATATGAGCGCTTGAAGGAGAAGTGGGATACGGGAAAGGACCGACCGAAGAGACTCGGTGACGATGCGGCTGGCAGCAACAACGCCGACGATCCGTTCCTCAGCTGGCAGGAATATTCCGCCTACCGTGAAGAGACGTCGCCGTACCTGTACCAGGCGTACAGGTACCTGATGGAGTGTCCGCCGGAACACCACGTGGATGTGGTGGGTTCGGCGCAGTTCAACAGGAAGATGGAGGATACGCCGTATTGGCGGTGGATCTATGCGCTGTATGCTGGTGAGGTGAAGGAGAGGTTTGGTGGCGAGGGGTTGCAGTTAGGTGAGAGGGATTTGTTGCCTGTTGGGCTGGTGGAGGTGTTGAGGAGTGAGAAGGTGAGGTGGGAGGGTTGATGTTTGGAGATGAGCTACGTGTGTGTGCTTTGAGGAACGGGGAGAGTTATGGGTTTGGTAGGCCCCTTAGTAAAAGGAGGATTGCACACTATTATAGATGTATCGGATCTCCTCTCCATTGAATGGATCTTTTGATTCTCCGGTATCGGTTATATTTCATCTCCTCCAAGTTGGATGCCTTGTGTGGAACCGTTGTGTGGCATGGTACAAGTCCTCTACTCACCCATTCATGTACTGCGTCCTCAATTCTGGACACATGAATACCCACACGCAACTCGACCACTGCAGGTCCACAAACGGGGTTTAGCTGAAAGAAAAGTATTGAGTACTACACTCTCACGGGCACATTCTACCGCCTGCTGCAGCTAGCACTCTTGACATTCCAGGATCTGTGGCACTCAGGCTCGACCAGACCAACCAGACTAGCTTACCCCAAGTGAGTGGGTGACGTGAAACTAACCGACCGACACGAGACGCTCAACGCGTAAATCTTCGAGCCCATGAACTGTACCAAACCTGACGAGCAAGATATAACAAAGATGCACTGAACCAACACCCGTATCAGAAGTCAAAAACGGACCATATCATGACGATTCGGCAGACAGGTGTGGAAACCCGTCCGCCACAATTCGATTCTCGGGTGTTCCCTCCGTCGTTTGTCAGACGAAGGGAAGGCCCATTACTATATATCCAGCCCCTCTTGTTGTCCAACTCCTGCTCAACGCAACACACCATTGCGACGCTAGACTCCGCTCGCTTCACCCTCTCTCCCAGTGCTACTACTCTATACACCAAATCAACTAACATCACTAGCCACGGTTGAAGGGCCAGTAGGGAGGTGATATGCAAGTCCCTACACAAGAAAAACGCCTTTTGAATTAACCCAAAAACGAATCCCCATCCATCTCTTGAATAATGCTCCCGGGATATATTATGCCGTTGAAGACAAAATGAACTTTTGAATGGTGGTATCATCCCAATTCATAACATCGTGTTGAATCTCTTCATGAACAAGCGATCAGAGAAAGAAAATCTAGTAGCGGTAGATGTCGCTCTTGTAAGGACCCTCCTTGGGCAGACCCAGGTACTCGGCCTGGGCGTCGGTGAGCTTGGAGAGCTTGGCGTTGACGTGGGCGAGGTGCAGGTAGGCAACCTGCTCGTCAAGGATCTTGGGGAGGACGTAGACACCGACGTCGAGCTTGCCGGTCTTGCCGAACTCGACGTACTTCTTGCCGAACTCCTCGTCACCGGCCTTGTACAGCATGATCTGGGCAAGGACCTGGTTGGTGAAGGAGCAGGACATGACGAAGGAGGAGTGGCCGGTGGCACAGCCCAAGTTGACGAGACGGCCCTCGGCGAGGAGGATGATGTGACGGCCGTTGGGCATGAGGAAGCGATCGACCTGGGGCTTGATGTTCTGGACGGACACGGCATTGGCCTTCAGCCAGGCAACGTCGATCTCGATATCGAAGTGGCCGATGTCTGCACATGTTAGTATGGATATAGGTGAGTAGAGAGCATGCATGATACATACTGCAAACAATGGCATCGTTGGGCATAACCTCGAAGTGCTTGCCAACGAGAATGTCACGGCAGCCAGTGGTGGTGACGAAGATCTGACCCTGGGGAGCAGCCTCCTCCATGGTTGTGACCTGGTAGCCAGAAACGGCGGCCTGGAGAGCATTGATGGGATCAATCTCGGTGACGATGACGCGGGCACCCATGCTGTGAAGAGCCTGAGCGCAGCCCTTGCCAACATCACCGAAACCAGCGACGACGGCGACCTTGCCGGCAATCATGACATCGGTGGCACGCTTGATACCATCGATGAGGGACTCGCGGCAGCCGTACAGGTTGTCGAACTTGGACTTGGTGACGGAGTCGTTGACGTTGATGGCAGGGACAAGAAGCTTCTTGGTACCATCCGTCTGCTTCAACATGCGGTAGAGGTGGTGGACACCAGTGGTGGTCTCCTCGGACACACCATAGCAGCCCTTGAGCATCTCCGGGTACTTCTTGTGGACCAGGGCAGTAAGGTCACCGCCGTCGTCGAGGATCAAGTTCAACGTCTTGCCATCCTTGAAGGCGGTGAGCTGCTGCTCCAAGCACCACTCGTACTCCTCCTCGGTCTCGCCCTTCCAGGCGAAGACGGGCACACCGGCAGCGGCAATGGCGGCGGCAGCGTGGTCCTGGGTGGAGAAGATGTTGCAGCTGGTCCAGGTAAGCTCAGCACCGAGTTCTTTCAGGGTCTCGATGAGGACGGCGGTCTGAATGGCTATGCGGGGTGTCAGCATGGGAATAGGGAGGCCGTTGGAGTCGCCGGCTACTCACTCATGTGCAAGCAACCAGCAATGCGAGCACCCTTCAAGGGCTGATCCGCCTTGTATTTCGCCCGTGTGGCCATGAGACCAGGCATCTCATTCTCGGCGAGTTCAATCTCACGGCGACCGAAGGCCGCAAGAGAAATGTCGGCGACCTTGAACTTGTGGGCGGGAGCAGACATGTTGGCGGCGGTGTGTCTAGGGATATAGGAGAGGAGAAGGAATGAAAGATAAAAGGTGAGGGAAAATGAGAGAAGAAACTGTGTGGAGAGAAAGAAAGGGGTACGAGGAGGAGGAGGGGTGCTTTGTATGAGAAGTTTCAGCAGCACCATCGGCAGTTTATCACTTTCTCTGTGCCCCGCGCCGCCACTTGTTTAGCGCGCACGGGCCCTAGAGCGACGGATCTGATTGGCCAGGGCGGAGTTTCTATCCTCATGGTGTTCACCGTCTTCCTTCAGAACACAGCGCTGACACGGAACTCGGACCCCAAAGCGAAGGAATTGTTCGGAGTCGGGGTATTCTCTGCAGAACGATAGATGAGCAGAACGACAATACGGGCCAATGATCCGGAAGAATCGGTATTCATGGAGGGGGACGCATGCTGCTGAATCGCCGCTCTGAGCCGGGAGCATATACTCCGGTTCCGGGCGGTGTACAGGAAGAAAGCAATGATATGGTTTTATAGGGAGTCATGCCTGACCAAAAGCGGGAAGAGGGATGGGTATAAGTCGAACAGAAGAATCAGAATAAAGGCGCCGTTCGCTCAATTGTAGGCAACTGTGCGGCTTCATATTGGAGTTTGAGAAAACCTCTTGTTGCCTTGACGCTAAACTCAAAACGGTAGGATGCCTAACCCACCTCCAATGTTTGACGAAGCGACGACAGGTAGCCTCCACAATATAAGAGTCCAGATGTTGGGTTTGAGGCGCCCGCATATGGAATCAGTGACCGTGAAAGCGTTGTACAACTCTTCAAAGATTTGAATTCGCACAGATATGGCAGCCGCCGAGGAAGCGCGAGGTATACTCTCTCACCTCCTTGCCAAGCTCGAAGACGGCCAGTTAGGACCACACAAGAGATATGCCGATTGGATACAGAAACATGGGAGACAGGAACTAGAAGGATTCTTGTACGGCTGCTTGAGACCCGAAGTTCTCAGCCATCTCCAGCTGGGAAGCATGAATGTTACGTCGTAAGTCAAGATTAGCACGTGACAGCCCGTGTCTAGGTCTGAGAAGAACACTGATCGATACCACGCGCAGACTAAAGAATATCGGTGGCGATCTCGCATATGAAGGACGAGCTATCTATATACATGGCATCTTAGGACTCGAGAGGCGGTACGCATAGTACCCCAAATCCGTCAACCGCAAATCCAAGATAACCTCTAACGAACCCCAGAACACGCATCTACATCGGCCAATCCACCTCCCTCCGCCCCCGCCTCAAACAACACTGGAACTTCCGCTACCGCCGCGACAACCCCTCGCTGCACTACTACGCCATGCACAACTCCGTCTTCGACGTCTTCTCCGTGCTTGCTACCCTGCCGTCCCCTTTCTCCCCCTCGTCTCAGACTCTCCCGGGAATGGATCAGCCGGATTTGCTCCTTAATGTCTTGGAGGCGTGGTGCTGCCTTTTGTTCCGGTGTCTGCCGCCGAAGCTGTTGAAGGAGTGTTTGCCTCCGGGTATACGGGCGGAGAGCAAAGATTTGCAGAATGTTGCGCTTAATGTAGCGAATCCGTTGGATCAGGGCGATAAGGGTTCGATGCAGTGGGTGGACCTTAGCGGCACCCAAGATCCTCTAATTCAAGAATATCTGAAAGAGGTGGAGAGGAGGACGGCGCCGGTCGCGGACATCAAGCCGCCTGTAGTGATGCACGATGAGGACGTGAAATCAGCTGCGCTGATTGAGCGACCGCCGGGGATATTCCTCTCGTCGACGACCCTAGTCCTTGTCGGTAGTGCGGTCCTTGTGGGGTTCTTGCTGTTGAGGAGAGGGCCCGGCGGAGGTGCGAGGTGAGATGTGCCTCATAGCAACTCTCCTTTACGCCTATGTAAATACTTGCAGTGGGCGGCGTTTTGAGGTCACGTGTGTATATTATACGGAAGTCTATTTACTGTCTTTTGAACTGAGACTACAAAAGACGATTTGAGCGACGATACTCAACTCGCAACAGCAGCCTTTCCATTTCCTGGTTGCGATGTTGCTTGCTCGTCTTCATATCGCTTGATTTCCACCTCTTCCCGATCCCTCTTCGCTGTCCGTCTAAGTAGCGACCAAAGAAACAGCCCATACAACACATAGCCCTTAGTCTCTTCACTCGCCACTGTCCCATGTTGCCCCTTCCTAGGCGCCTTTCCAATCCACACATTACCCAGACAGAGAGCGGCAACGATACTGAGCCCCATGATAGGCAGTACAGCAATGAATGCCCACATGACGGCTTTAGCCGCCAAGTCTTCAACGGCGAGTCTCTGCTCAGCGGGCAGGCCGGCGAGGACCTCGAGACTGGGTGGACCGTGAATTGCACCGCTGCTATTCCCAATGATCGAGTGCAGGCCTGACTGGTACTTGTTGCTGAAGACGGAGGCCATGATGGAGATCCCTAGCGTTTCGCCGAAGGCAATCACAAAGGAGAGGAGGGATTGGATGGCGGGGATGCGGTCGGGCCAGATGCCCGCTGCATGTAGGATAACTAATGAGCGCTGTGTTAGTATCGTCGGTCGCGAAAGATGGAAGGAATTCGAGAGATGCAAACTTACCGGGCATAAAACGTAGACCCGTACCTACCCCCGACAGTGCCAACATGCCGTTAACCAGAGCCTTTTGTCGGCTCGACACCGCCCACGCCAACAAGGCAAGACCCAGGCCTTCAATAATAGAGCCCGCAAACAAGGTATAGTAGGTCTGCCTCGGCCAGATATTACACAGATACATGGCGACGTACACCCCTACTCCCAGCCCAGGCGTATAATAAAGAAGCTGCACACCGGCCTTGGACGCCGAATAACCCTCCGCGAACTGGAAATAGTACGAAATAAAGTAGAAGGCCGACACGAGCGAAACCCCAGTGGCAAAATTGATCGTCATCAACAGTGCAGTATCCTTCTTTCTGAACAAGGTAGACGGCATCATGGCAAGTTGATTCGGAAACAACTTTGCAGTGAATCTTCCTGGACCGAGAAGGTACTCGTGTAGGAAGAAGGCAGCGGACATTACGCCGCCCAAGACCAAAGGGGCGATAACGGCAGCACTATTCCACGCGTACTGCGGCCCTGCCCACATGAGAGCGAGGATGATAAGACCGATCCCGAGGATGAAGAGAATCATACCGGGCCAGTCGAATGTCCTGATCCCGGCTAGATAACCTGTACGACGAGACTCGCTGGCTGTAGGCGATAGACGACCTCTGACGAGATCCCTGCGCATGAAGAGATAGATTAAAACCATGGAGACGAAGGCGACTGGAATGGGCAAGATGAAGCAGTAGCGCCAACTTGCGCTGGTGAGGTAGCCGCCGATGACAGGACCGACGGCAAAGCTGGTTAGTTTCTGTTAGCAGGAAGGGTTGAGCCAGCTGCAGTGGATGCCCCTAATAAGCAGCCTTTACAACAAGAGGAGTGATTCGCACCTAATCCCATTGACCAACGAAAAAATTGTATTATTCTTGGAGTTATCCGCCAACGACACGTTATCCGACAGCACAATGTGGGTCAAATTCGTGATTCCCGCCGCTCCTACCCCTTGCAACGCTCGCCCAAATAGCAACATTGGCCAAGTCGCCGCCGCGGCACAGAAGACGCTCCCAATCAGGATGAAGAACATGTGGAACTGAAGCGCAGCGTGGCGACCATAGACATCGGCAATCTGGCCGCTGGATGGGACGAACGTGGTGTAAGTAAGCGTGTAGGCTGCTACGATCCAGTTGAAGGATCCACCGAGGCGGTCTTCCATGGTTCAGTTTGGGTGCTTTGCGTAGTCTTGGAAAATTGAACTCACTGAAGTGGGAGGAGATACTAGGCACCGCAGGAGCGACGATGGTGGCATCCACTGCTGCCAGGAAATTGGGTAGAAGCAGGCCCAATATCAATTTCCAGCGGTGCTTTCGTCGCTCGGATGCTTCTCGTTTGATTCGAGCTTTCTCCTCTGGACTTAGAACATCGGGTGCGGGTGTTGCCTCTTCGAGATTGGGAGGCGGGCTGACAAGTTCCTGGTTTTCTCTTTCGGGTCGTTGATCAGTAGAGATCCCGAGCAGCAGATGGCTGTCGTCAACGGTCGGAGTGTGCTTTTCTTTGTATTTCCTTCGAGCATATTTGAAGAGAGTGTATGCCATGCTGTATGGTGTGAATCAGTACTGTCGCGATTTGTAGCCGTAGGTGATCACGACGAGTTGTTGAAAACCGAATTCGATGCCTCCTCAGATTTACAGTAATTAGGCGTCAAGACTGCGCCGCAACCATATGAGTCGGATTTGCGAAATCGGTTACTAATCAAGGCATAGATCCGCACTGCCACCTTCATCCCTTCATCCTTCATCCCTACCCAGTCGAAGCGATTGGTAGTTGGCGTGTTGCCCAGTTCTCTTCCAAGCCGGACATCTCAGAGCGCGTCAATGCTGAACCCGCCTACCGCCGAGGAGTGGCAGTACAATTCGGACAGTCAAGGGGGTAGAGTCTACAGACAACTCGGTATCAAATAACTTGACTGGTAGCGTTATAACTGACCAAAATTAACCCGCAAACGGCTAAGGCTTACGAGTCCGTCATCCTTGGCTGCCAATCCGGAAGGTGAACAACTGGCATAAGCCAGTACGTGTTCTATGAATCCTACTTCATCAAGACCCTTTTAGATTGACTGGAAGACAAGGAAAAGAATTACATTGGAAGACGTTGAAATGAAATGAATCCAGCTCAATTTGAAGACGTTGAAGTAGCGCGGATGCCAAGCCATCTATCCAAAGCCACCTAGCTAAACATAGATATGCATACTGTGTAGCTCCCGAGCTCTGACGCCACCTTCAGACAACCACATCTGGATGTCCCGCTACCTCCCCTCTTATCACAATCCCACTACTGTCTTTATGGCCGGAGGTTCCATGAGCATCCTCATTAAGGGGGGAGCTACAGCCGCCCTCGTATACAGAGCCTGGAGCAGGAAATCATTAACCTCGGCGGGCATATTTGCAGCGTTCCTCACTGCCGTCGTGCATTCGGCACATCCTTGGATAGCACCCTTTGCGCTGCTGTGCGTTTTCTTCCTGACCGGTACATCTGTGACAAAGGTATGGACATACCCCTTCTGAATCAATTATGCCGGACTTCAACTGAATGTTATCAGGTCAAGCACGATGTGAAAGCCAAGCTCACGCAATCCTCAACCGGGGCGTCTGGAGGGGAGGGGCCCAGGAACCATGTCCAAGTCTTTGCCAACTCGCTGGTCGCCTCGGTCCTAATATTACTCCATACATGGCAAATAGTAAAGGATGGGACCTATCACGATGAGCGGTCGTGCTGGCATCGACCTGGGGATGTTTTGGTTGTGGGCATCGTCGCGTAGGGCAGAGCTTGGATTTAACAGAACGAAATGGAAACGCTGACCATTGCAGCAACTACGCCGCCGTTGCAGCGGATACGTTTTCCTCCGAACTGGGTATCCTGTCGAAGTCCAAACCCCGCCTTATCACCGCACTATGGCGAGTCGTACCTCCGGGAACAAATGGTGGTGTGACCTTGACTGGTCTGGGAGCTGGAATTCTTGGTGCGGCTTGCATAGCTGTGACTTCCACAGTATTACTCCCGTTCTGCAGGGAGTGGTCGCTCTCAGAGAAGGCTACTTACACCCTGGCCATGACGCTTGCTGGGCTCAGCGGAACGCTTCTTGATTCGCTCTTGGGAGCTTTGTTCCAAGCCAGCGTCATCGACATTCGAACTGGAAAAATCGTCGAGGGAGAGGGCGGACGTAAAGTCTTGGTGCACGGCTCGCACTTCAACCTCAAGGAGACGGCCAAACTGCGGAGTCAGATCATCAGCTACGAAGAAGGCAAGGATGCCGTAGCGAAGAGCTCAGCGATCGATGTAGATGATTCGATCAAAACTGCGAGGAAGTTGCAGCAAGCTGGGGCATCCGGGACTGAAGTCGCCGACAGGCAGCATGAGAGTCGTAAGGTTGCAGTGGGCAAGGACATTCTGGACAACAACGCCGTCAATCTCCTCATGGCGGCGCTGGTCAGTGTAGGTTCGATGGTCGTTGCTTGCATGATCTGGGATATACCCCTAAGCAACGTCATTGCCGGCTAGTGGTCTGCGTAGATGAGTCAATAGAGTCTATTGCATTTCGGCATTCGTAACTACAATGCGTTTATCCTCTGTGCTTCTCTGGGATAAATTATTCATGATGTGATGTCCGACGGCGCTGCCCGTGCCAAGCCGCTAGGGTGGCGCGTCACTCCGCCGCCTAGAGCTCCAGCTATCAACTACAGGAACAGCTCCACGGCTACACCACCACATTAGATACCCAACATTCCCAATTTTGCTCCGCCGCGCAGTCAGTACTGACTCTACAATCGAGACACCAGTCTGTTCGTTGCTGAACTCACCCAAACCCCGTCCGCCATCCGCACCCTCGTCCCAAGCAATCAGCAACCCATCATGGTATGTCCAACACCCCAAGAGCAGCGCTTTGCACCATCCACCCCTCTTTTCACTCCCGAACCTCCAACCTCTCTCACAATCCACTAACACCCCCATCACCCAGTCCTCCCTCCGCTTCATCCCCCCAAAACCACACCCCACGTACCTCACCCCCGAAACCTCCGCCCCGTCCGCGCCCGGCGTGCACGACACCCTCCGCTCCCGCCTCGGCCTCTCCACCACCCCCATCCCCACTTCCTCCTCCTCCTCCACTAGCAAAACCCCGGCTCCCCAACTGCAACTACAATCCACGCACCCCCTCGAAGCCCGCCTCGCGCAATGGCGCACCCAGCAAGACGCCCTCAAGATGGAGATGCTGCGCCGCCAATTCGGCATCGCGGAGCCCGTGCGCCGGGGCATGGAACTGAAGATTGCGCGCGAGGGCGAGTGGAGGCCCCAGGTGCTGGGCGGGCCGAGTAATGTGCATAGTGATATCTTGGCCGGGAGGGATGCGGAGATTGGGTGGGAGGATGTGTTTGTTGGTGAGTTCCACTTTAGTCTCTCACTTGTCTTCTTTTATCATTATCATTGGTGTTGTTGGAGGGAGCAGTAATGACTAATGAATCGTATAGGGAATGAGAATCGCGAAGTGCCGGATTTCCATACCGAGATGGAGGCTAGGAAGAGGATGAACTGGTAGATGGGCATTTTTAAAAGTTTGAGTGAGGACTAGGAGGTATTGGAGCAACGGATCCGATCAACCTGGCCGTTCAAGTGAGACAGCGAACTTTGGAATGCTCCCAGTCAAGCCATCCGGAGTATTTCGTCACGGGTGGTGTCAACCAACACTATGGTAATGTCCGACCATGTACACAGCGGTTAGACAAATCACGAAGCAAGCGAACAATGCAAGATGACCATGCAACAAATGAAATAGCGGTTCGCGGTCTCTAGATTTCTCCGCGGACGTATAAATATGTGCTTATCACCATCCCTTCGTTCCGACCCCAACTTGAACGCAACTACTTGTACAACGGTGGCTGATCAGCCACTCCTCAGCCCGCACCACTCATATGCACTCCTGGAAGAAGGAAACCGACAATGGGATCCCCATAGTATGAAAAGAATGTAACCGTGCCCATATGCGCCTTGACAAGCCCAACCGCACGACCCATAACGCCACTTATAAATCCGAAACCAAGTTCACGAAAATCCTCTATACGCTTTAATGAGATCGACGATGAGCAGTCGCAATGATAATCACCATGGTCTCCTCGACACTGGCCGACGGCTCCACGAAGATCCAATCCCGATCGCTCGCGAAGGCGATATCAGAGAACCTGCGGCCACTGGAATCGTGGCCGTCCACGACATGCCAGTACTCCGGGGACGCCATGGCGAGGGATCCATTAAGATAGGCGCCGAAGATGGCAGCTATACTAAGGGCATCGTCGTCCAAGGTGCCGTTGCATATGGGACACTCTAGCGAACAGCCGTCAGCACAAAAGCGAAGTGCCAGCGGCGTTCATAGGATAACGCAACGGCAGCCAGCATGCGTTTCTTCATCGCCTTCTCTTCTGCTGCCGACTTTGCCGGTCTTGGCGTCCTCTTCGTCGACGACTTCCTGCGGCTTGACGGTCATGTGTACCACATTAGGGGCTTCGGTTTGGAATCGGCATTCTGTGTAGACAGAAATGAAGAGTCAGCAAAGCCATTTTGAAGCAGTGGGGGCGAGGGTGGAGCCAATTGACGTAGTCTGCCGTGCTGGGACAAGCCGCGCCAAGGCATTGGGGAGCTGGCATCCTTACCTTTCAGTGGTGACTTATCATCCAACATGCGCCCAAAATGTATGAGGCGTATCGAACTTGGAGAGGTCGGCCGAGGTTCCCATTCTAGTTGCGAGGTCAGTGCCTTGAACGGAGTATTGGGAAACGCTGAGGGTAGCAGATGCGGACACGTCGTTGAGCATAGCATCCCGGGAAGAAAGTCGCACCTTCTCGCCAATCCCGCCATATCAGCTCTTTGAGGGTGTAGACACTGATATTATACGGGTCCATATCATCCACGCTGACATTGCGCTTCCTCAGATATTTCTCGTCAATCTTGTAGGGATGCCGGGCGCCAGTGGTCAGTAGTAGTGTGATGACAACAACGGGACCGTTGGAGGTGTCGGGCTTCGCAGCTGGCGTGTCGGTCGAAGGACCAATTGCCTCAGACTCGGTGCGTTCGGGTTGGACCGGAGGTGCGGGTTTGGGTGCTGTCGTAGGTTCTGTAGATGCTGGGGGTGTTGAAGTGGTCGGTGCGGCCGTCTCTTTATCTTCTGCAGTTTCCGGCGCTGTTGGGGGCAATTCTGTGACATTATCTGCGGCTTCGTCGCTGGGTTCTGTGGGAGGTGCTCTGGAAGCGGACGGTGGGAGCGTTTCCATTTCTACGGGGTTCGCAGAGACATTTGCTTGCTGGCTTGTGGGCCGCGATGAGGATGTGCTTGGGGGCTGGGGCGGCGCAGTCGGCGCGGAGGAGTCAGCCGTTGAGGAGGCCATGGCCGGGTCTAGGAACGACTTCGTCCCGGCGGCGACGGCAGCGAGCAGGTGGGTGTCGCTATGAACCGGCGAGGGAGAAAAACCAAAAGAAAGTGTCGGTATGGATGGAGAGCGCAGGCAAGCGCTGTGTGTGTGTAGATGCGTTTAAAGAATGAAGGCACTTGCACGGGTTGAAGCAGTGGGTGGGAGTTGAGTGACGATGGAGATGATGGGGGTAGTCTCCACGCTTGGACGCAGCCCGGCGGCGGTTTCTTGTCCTGGCCGTTCCCAGGGGTCCCTTCCCTTCCAAGGTTCCCTTCAAAGCGGGTGCCGCGGCCAGCAGCGACAGCTGGAGGAACGTACTCCGTAAGGCAATATTAAGGACACAGAAAGAAAAGAAAAGAACAAAACAAATAGTCTTCCGATAATCTAAGATTCTAATGATTCTACTGCGAATTGACCTCTGGAAGTCTCGTGAGTCTCATGCGTGCGATTTCAATGGCACCGGAAATAAGCCCAGCTCACATCATGTGAAGGACAAGAACGAGACAAGCACCATTTGAAGGATCCATTATCCATTATCCATTATCGCACCCCGCAGTGCACAGCCCTTCTGCAAAACTGCTGTTCGGTCAGGTATGACGGTGTTGATACCCAAAAACATGACTAGGTCACGGGGTTCGGCTTTGACCCTGCTGGGCAGGTGGGAAGACGCCAAGCTCCTCCCTGACTTCGTCATCGATTCGTGACAGCTCCCCAGAGCTCAACCTCATCTACACATCGCCGAGTACCCCACCCCTGCCAACTCTCCTCCCCACCCTTCCGCGAACCTCATTGCTCAATTACATGAAAAGAGAAGAGCCATGGTATTACAAGGCGTAGGAAACACGGCCTCGGACGGCTTCAGCGACAGTCCGGCCCCCAGCGATACCGACCCATATGCATCCTCCTCCTCCTCCCCGTCCACCTCTTCCAGCTCCGCACGACGTTTCGACGACAGCCAATTGCGGAAACCCGCACCCATAATAGGAACCCTCATGGGCTACAATGCACACTCCTCTCGCCGCGCAGCCGAGCAGCTCATCTGGTTCGTGGAACAAAAAGTCCGCCGACCTCTCACGCCCGAGGAGGCCCAGGCCTTCGCCTCGCACTCGTACGACGCCTCGATGGTCAAGTACCGATTCGCGCTGTTCGGAACCGCAGTCGGGGCGTGGAAATTCTACAAGACGACGCCGCAGAACCGATTCCCCTTCGTCACTCTAGACGAACAGCGGGTGGAACGCGTCCTGTCCAGTTTTCTCCGCGGCGTCAGCCCCCAACAGCTCCGACGTACCGCGTACGGTTTCCGCCTCATGACTTGGTTGTGCGTAGGCAACCTCATCGCCCGCGGGGTGGGCTTCGTCGTGGCTCAACCCATTGTTGCCAGGAACGCTGCGCAAGATCCACGACTGGCCCGGTTCGGCGTGGATCTGGTGGCTGCACAGGGCGGTCGTGCCCCCGGACGCCCGGTACAGAGGAACCCGGATGGAACGCCGGTATTGCCGCCTCATGCTGGTGCGCCTCGGTGGCCGGCGCCCAGGAGAGCTCCAGCCCCAACCCCAGCAGCCACATCCGATGATGGCATGTCCCCAAGTACCAGCGGGGACGATTGGTCCTCCTCCGGGTATGGGAATGATTCCACTCTGGAACAACAACAACAACCACGGCCACGGCCACCTATCCGCAGTCCTCAGCCGCTACGTCCGCAATCTAGACAACAACAAGAAGAAGACGACATGTCCCCCACAGGCGGCCTCTTCGAGGAAGAAGTCCAATCGCAAGCTCGACCCGGCGAATCTACCTGGGACCGTCTTCGCCGCGGCGAGTCCTCTGCGCCTGGCCAGCGCCCTCCCCCTTCCAGACGTCCAGAGGTACCGAGACGTGGTCCTGTGCCTCAGAGCGGAGAAGGGGGTTTAGGGGATAGTTTCACGTTTGCGGAGTCGGAGGAGGAGCGAAGGAGGGCGCAGGAGCAGGCGCAGAGGGAGTTTGATGCGAGGATCGAGAGGGAGAGGCAGGGGAGGGATTTTGGCGGCGAGGAGAGGAGGTGGTAGCGTCATTGGCGTCTTGGGGCTTGGATGGTGGGTGGGTATGCGCTTGGATAGGTTGAGCGGGTTGGGCATCGTAGCTGAGGGCTTTGTATGATATCCACGAAGACGTAACAGTAGGATTAACCGCTGCATCAGGTAAATGGTAAACATGGGCAAGCCACTTCGACATCTTGGAGAAGAAGACGGGGCCCTGGCTCGCATACCTGTTCGTTCCCTGCATAGTTCCAACGTACTACTGAACTCCCAAAGGAACAAAGAACCATCCATCCCCTTCCCATTCCCCGTACAATCAAGAAAGGCCTCATCACTACATCAACACAAGCAAATACACATATACATATTACATTTCCCTCAACTTCATCTAACTAGCCCACTCACAGCACCTATGCTAACCCCCCCAACCCTCCTCCTTCTTCCATAACGCCCAACGAGTTAGAGAGGAGATCGATCTATCCGGGTATTATTACACGAAGACAACTCGTCCAAACCATATCCGCAATCTCAAAAACGCCGAGATATGTATGATACATCCATTCACCCGGGAAAGCGAAAGGATTGCGGAACCGTATCATCCCAAGATTCAACCGCAATGGTTTGGAATGGGGCCGGGATATCCTTTCCTTCCCTCTCGTTCCTTCCATTCCTTCCATTCACCTCGCCAATTCTCGCCATTCTCGCCGGCCCGGAAAATCGAAGAGATCAAAAACAAAAAACGCCGTGGCTGTGGAAGCAAACGGATATCCAGACCCAGTGAATCCCAAGTCCCCTTATAGACGCCTCCCAACAGAAGGAAAGGTGTGCCCAGCTACGATGCCCGTAACCCATTAGTAAGAAGAAACCAATGGCGTTCCGTCCGCAGGGGCAAAATGATTCGTTTTCTTTTTCTCTTGTTTCTTTCTCGGCCGTCAACAGGGAAAACGACATAGGAAAGGAACATGCATCTCCACCAGCAAAACCTCCTTCTCAACAACTCATGAGCGCGAGAAACTACGCTCACCTTACCCCACCACAGATACACCCCTCCCACCGCCCACCAACTCCAAAATCTTGCCCGCCACCGCCGCCGGGTACCCCCTGGCCAACCCTTCGTTCACCACGCCCATGGCCCCCGCGCGATCCTCGACAGCCAAGTAGGCCCTCGTCATGGCCTCGTACGTACTCGGCTCGCGCCTCTCCTCGGGCACGGCATCGTAAATCGCTCGTGCCTTGCCAATGTCGTGCACGAGCGCCCAGCCGTGGATGAGCGAGTTGGCAATGTACGGCGTCATCTCCACGCCGCGGGATTTCATTTCGGCGAGGACGGGTTCGGTGTCGGCGATTTGGTGGTTGGCGACCATGGCTTCGAAGAGGGCTTGGTACAGGCAGGCCTGGGGGCGGATGCGCGCGTCGGACAGGACAGTGTCGAAGAGCTTCCTCGCACCCTCCATGTCGTGGAGGACGCAGCCCTTGGCGTGGATGAGGGACGAGTAGTGGACAGCTTCGGGGATGGCGCCAGCTACACGGATCTGCTCGAGAACGCCCTCCGCAGCCTCCATGTCGACCGGCTCGAGCGTGGCGTACGTATCGATGAGCAGCTTGTAGGTATGAGTCGTCGGCTCGATCCGTTTCGATCGCATGCGCTCGTAGTACGCGAGCACCTTGCTCCGATCCCGCTTGGTTGTCAGGAAGAACTGCATCATGCTATGATACGGCGCCGGCCTCGGCTTGTAGTTCGGCATACTCTCCATTTCCTCGAACAGTTCCTCGGCGAACTTCTCGTCGCTGACGCGACACAGCGCGTTGACGATGGTGCCGTAGGTGACGCTCGTGGGACGGATGCCCAGGTTGCGCATCTCGGAGAAGTAGAAAAGGCAGTCGTCGATGCGGCGGGCTTTGCCGAGTTTGCCAATGAGCGCGTTGTACAGGAAGGAGGAGGGCTCGACGCCTTCGGCTTTGGCGCGGTGGAAGATTTTGACGGCTTCGGTCGCCTCATCGAACGTCTTGGTGGATTCTTTGAGAGTGGTAATGTACAATCCGAAAGTGTTGGCAGTAGGAGCGGCGCCCATATCGAGGAGATCCTGGTGGTATCGAGCGGCGAGGTCCCGTTGACCGGTAGTAAGACAAGCTGCAACCATGGCGTCGAGGATAGTCACCCAGCCGTACCGGACAATGCGATACTGTGGCAGAAGGGGAACGTCCTGTTTGGCCAGGTTGAGAATATCATGGGCAAGGTTTAAACGGTCCTCCTTAGCAGCAGCGGTGATGAGCTTTGCATAGGTGAAGAATCGAGGGTGGCGGCCGGCTCTGCGCATATTCCTGAACTTCTGCAGAGCCTCGTTGAGATGAGAAGCTGATCGACCGTGGGTCTTCTCAAGGAGCTCAGTGATGGCTACTGAGCCCTTGTTGTCGGTTGTTGCGGCATAAGGGTCGTACGTGTCTTCGAAGGTATGCGCAGTCGGGGGAGCAACAGCGTGGACGGGGTGCGCAGGTGATGGAGGGACAGGTTGGACCGGGTAAGGGGTGAAGGGGGTGGCAGGGGAATACATCGACTCAGGAGCAGGGTGCTTGTACTTGTACCATTGGTGTTGAAGATCGCCACGGTTCAGTTTGGCAAGGACTTGCTCGACGAGGGCTGATGTTGTCTTGTTGACGGCCAGACCAGTAGAAGTGATAACTTCCAGAATATGAGCGAATCGAGCAACATGTCCGACATCTCCACTCGCGCCGTTCAGAATCATGCCTGACTGAACCTGCATGAGTAGAGAGAGATCCGGGAAGCTGAGCTGAGCAATGGCCTCAGGGCCCATGCCAACCAGGAGGTGATGCGCGACCGAAGTGACGAGACCGCCATTCTCGATCATTGACCACAAGAGCTCCATAGCAGCACGTCCAGGCAGGACGATACCGCGCTTCATCATGAACTGACCAATGACCTCGATGGCTTCATCAATGTGCTCGACAACCTCCATCTTAGCGTGGTGTGAATCACTCTGTGAATCCCTAATGCGGGCAAACATCTGACGGCCCTGACGGAGACCACGCTCAGCCTGGCCACTGCCAATGAGAGCAATGCTATGCATTGCAGTAGGTTCGATGAAGTCAGGCTTGGTCGGGGACAGCTCCAGCATCCTCCAGAAGATCTCAGCCGACTCGATATCGCCGTTGCGGATGTGCATGGCTCCCATCGCCATGGCTGGACGAGCAAGATCAGCCTCCGCAGGTATCGCCTCGAACGCCTGGGTCGCAATGTCCATGACATTATCGTCCGCAGCCTTCACGCAAATAGCAGCCATCGCATCTCCTCGCGCCTGGGGGTTGAGAATTTCGGTAGCGTGCACAAAAGCTTCCTTGAATGATCCGTTCTTCAACCATTCCGGGATGAAGGCTTTTAGGGTGACGATGTCCCGCACACGTATGACGTCCTCAGGAGCCGAGAGTGCCTGCTCGATCTTCGAAAGGAATTTCCATCCTCCCTCGAATCTGCCGCAGATGGCGTACGCCCTAATGAGGGCCGCATAGACATCGTTGTCCTTCCGTGCGAGGCTGACATCTCCATTGTCGTTGGAGATAGCAAGGGCCTTGTACTCGTCATAGCACTCGACAGCGCTCTTGAGATCTCCCGACTTCCCGAAGGCGTGGATCATTGGTACGAACATGTCGGCAGCCGGAGTAACTTTCGTCTTCTCCATATGCGCATAAATCTGTACCATATCTTCCACGCAGTCGCTCTCCGCACATGCCGTGACCAGGAGGCGATACGTGTTGTCCGAGAAGGTGGAACCGGATTGGTTAGAAATGGCAGATTTGAAGAGCTTCACAGCAATCCTGAGAGAACTGTCCTCCGACAAGATCGCCATCTCTGTCTCGTTCGAGTGAAGCATGAACTTCCCTTCCTCTTCCATGCCGCCATATCTCAACCGTTTCTCTTCAAGGCTCTGTTTCATGGAAACAACCTCCAGTGACCTCTTCGAGAGCAACTCGATCAGCGTAGCGTAAGTAGCCATGTCAGGGGCCACCCTACGCCTAAGCATATCTGAGTACACATCGAGCGCCTTCGGTACGATCTGATGCTTGGACCTTGGGAGGTTGATCGCTGCAGCCAAAAGCGCATTGTACGAGGAGACTGATGGCTGGACGCCCGATCGCAGCATCAACTCAAAGACAGCCGGGATTTCCTCGAATTGCCGCCTGTCGGCGAGTTTCCGCAGCTGAGCAGTGTACTCATCGACATGTTCAGGGACCTTGGTGACGACACTGCTGTTGCTGCGGCTCAACAAGCTCGATTCGACCAACGTATCGGAAACCGTGGCAGGTGACTCGGAACGCGCCTCTTCGACTGGTGACAAGGCCTGCGTGACTCTCTCCACGAAAGCAGCCTGGATCTTTGCCTTCTCCTGCGCGATTGCTTCCTCAACCTGGGAAAGCGCGATTGACTCGACCTGCTCGTCTGTCACAGACTTCTTCATCTCCTCCACCTGGCTCGTGCTGTAGGCGCGGTTGAAGCCGGCACGCGCCGGCACCGTGGGTTCCGCATCTCCATCAGCAATCGCACTCGTATCGTCGACTGGTACTTCGTTCTTTGCAGCCACGGGTTGAGGCTTCCACTCAATGCGCTTGCGGAACTGGAACTGCGACCAGTCCTTCTCATCGATGCGATGCTTCTGCCATGCGGCATAGTAAGCCGCAAGGCCCGAATCTTGCTGATCACTATGGGCAAGCGCCTGCTTTACGGCGCTTGAGGTCGAAGTCGAAGCAAAGGCATGTTGGTTTTGCTTAACGCCAGGCTTGCGGAAGCGGTCATGGTGAAACGAGGCGAGGGGGTTGTTCTGCGAGACACCGGCGACGACGGATTGGGCGTATCCGTGAGTAAAGCCTTTGGAGATAGTCTGGCGGGCGAGGGTGAAGCTCTTAAAGACCATTTAGGATATGGATGGACCCTTCGAATGGGAAGGGTGAGACTGGGGAATGGTCAGTCACGCGGAAGGATAATACAGAGAGGCAAGGATAATGACATACTATTATTCTCGGGTCGTGGTAAAGTTGCAGGTTCATTTGACGACAGGTGCCGCCAAAGAACGCGCCGAAGAGGGTAGAAACGTGGGAAGCGATGTAAAATATCAGGCGCGAAATGGCCAGTGTTCAACTGGAAACCGAGGACTAACGGGAACGTTTCCGTCCCGTGACGGGTGAAACAGTAAGGTGAGAGAAGCAAAAGAGACGCGCAAAGGCGAGACTACAAAGTGGCCTGAGGAATAATGAGAGAGTGTGGGAGGGAGGTGGAGAGAAAAGGGAGAGGCGTCATCCAGCACGGATACAATTGCCTACGTCAGGAATGTTCTCGCGGTAAATTACTCACCTCCGACCTTTTTTCTCGCGCCCATGCGCGCCAGTGCCGCAAAAGGGAGGCGTGTCATCTTCTGCCTGCCCAGCGACGCCAATCCGTGTCATCCCGGCGACTCGGATGTCGGGGCACCAGCGACGCCGGCGCCGTTTCCGTGGTTCCCTTATCTGATCCACGCCCTTCTCCGCCCACACGGACGAGCAAAGGGTGAATTGAGAATTGCCAGTACAAAAAACTGTCCAGATGCTCCATTGGATGACTTCAATGATGCCATCGACTACTACCATGACGTCCAGCACTCTCAAAAGCACTCACAGACTTTTGCTATTTCTTCATACGCAATCGAGTTCCCCTCGTACGAGGTGACACATCAGCTTCGTCCGACATAGCCGTCTCCAACTTTTGTCCATGACTCCAACGAAAAAGTACCGGCTTGGAAACGAATTGCTGACAAGGCGCCCCGCCGTGCTGCGCCACGCTCAAACAACTTGGCTAGTGTTGCTCGAAGGGCAGATGACAGGTCGATATTTTCTGGCCTATGTTGGTATTGGCCAATCAAAAGCGGCCGTACGGAGGCGGAAGAAATTCCCCGGTTAGAAAAACAAATGGTGTGGGGACATTGGACGCGTTTCGTATTTGCCCATCGTCGATGATGATGAACGGAGGTAGCGGTACTAACGCAGGACATAATAAACAGATGGGGGTCCTGCACGTGACATGAACTTTTGACTGCATCCTCAGTGAACATCTGCGTCCGACGAAATTCTTCGAGGGAAAGGCGAATTTGAAACAGGAATATATCCAATTCTTGAATAGAGATGGCGGGAGGAGTAGTGTAGCTCGAGACTGACAATGCAAAATCCCCAATTCCACTGATCGAAAATTTCCTCCCCGTACTCCTCCACTCACACAGGCTCTTCAGCTTCACCACTCTATCTTCTAACCCCAACCCCACAGTAACAGTCCTTACCACCTACCACAGATCCAACACCACCATCCCCATCTAAACCGACACACAAATGACCGCCTCCACGCTCCCTCCAAAAGCCGTCTCCGCACCAGGCAAAGTCCTGCTGGCAGGCGGCTACCTCGTCCTGGACCGCAACTACACAGGCCTGGTCTTCGGCCTCGACGCCCGCATCCACGTGTACATTGAGCCCATCAAGACCAAGAGCGGCGTCACGCTGTCCGAGATCATTGTAAAGAGTCCGCAGTTTCGGGAGGCGACGTGGGAGTTTGGGTATCGGTTGGTGGAGGGGGAAGGGGGCATTGGGGTCACGCAGTTGAGGGCGTGAGTATATTTCCCATTGACTTTTGAATTGTCTTTATTTTCTCTATTCGAAGCCATTTCTGTCATTTATAATTCTCTGTCCACTTTCTATTTTGATTCGCTGGATTACCGACAATCCCATCTGTCGTCGTCCTATTATCATCCCCTTTCGAAGTCTTGGCATCAATCCCATCCCATGGGATCCCACGTGCCCTCGGACAAAAACATCCCTCAAGTCTTCCCAATACCCCATTCTCGACCCTTCAACTCTTTCTTCAACAAAGCAATAGCTAACCCAACCCCAGCAACCATACCCTCCCCCTCCGCAAAAACCCCTTCATCGAAACCACCCTCACCTACACCCTAACCTACATCACCACCCTCCTCCCGCACCCGCACCTCTCCCCCTCCACAATCTCCATCCTCGCCTCCCCAGCCTACTACTCCAACCCAGGCACCTCCCCTTCCTCTTCCACCTCCTCCCCCTCCCCCTTCCTAAAATACCCCGTCTCCCTCCCCGAAGCCCACAAAACAGGCCTCGGCTCCAGCGCCGCCCTCGTCACCTCCTTCACCGCCGCCCTCCTAACCTACTACCTCCCCACCCACATCTTCGACCTCGAAACCGACGCCGGACTCCGCATCCTGCATAACCTCTCGCAGGCGGCGCATTGCGCGGCGCAGGGCAAGGTCGGTTCCGGGTTCGACATCGCGTCCGCCGTTTACGGGAGTTGTTTGTACCGGCGGTTTTCCCCTTCGCTGCTTTCGTCCCTTCCGGCCCCCGGCTCGCCGGGATTTTCTTCAAAGCTGAAGGCGTTGGTGGAGGGGAGGGATGGCGCAGAGTGGGACGTCGAGATTAGGAAGGCGGCGATCCGCATGCCGAGGGGTTTGAGGCTCGTCATGTGCGATGTGGATTGCGGGAGCGAGACGCCGGGCATGGTGAAGAAGGTGTTGGGGTGGAGGGCGGAGCATAAGGACACCGCGGATCGGATATGGGATGCGCTGCAGCAGGGTAACGAGGAGTTTGCGGCGGAGCTGACTAGACTGGCTGGGGAGGAGGAAGATGCTGGGAAGGAGAGATATGCCAAGTTGAGGGACATCATTGCGAGGAATAGGGCTCTGATTCGCGAAATGGGTCAGGCGTCGGGCGTACCTATCGAGCCGCCGCAGCAGACGGCGCTGTTGGATGCGTGCTCCAAGATCGAGGGGATCATTGGAGGTGTGGTTCCCGGTGCGGGCGGATACGATGCTGTAGTGCTGCTGGTGGAGGATCGGGAGGAGGTTATGGCTGAGTTGAAGAAGTTACTGGCGGGGTGGAAGGAGGCTGCTGATGAGGAGAATGGTGTGAAAATTGGGAAGGTTGGCATTCTGGGCGTCAGGGAGGATATGGTGGGTGTTAGGTTGGAGGATCCAACGGGATATACGGACTGGCTGGACTGATGTAACTCCATTTGGGAAGTTTTCACGATTGGCAAAATGATACGGATAATAATGCAGTTGGGTGAAAGGGTAATTCGGAAAACCAATATCAGTACGTGACGAGCCGTCCTACGCGAAGGCCATTCTCGTCTCCGCCCATAGACCTTGTTGCGAAGACATAACGTCAATCCAGCGTCCAGGTTGGTTGTGTTCACTTTTGCTTTCTCTGGAACCTGCGTTTGGGTGCTCAGTCACTGAAGGGCGCTTCCACAACACATGCCGAATCTCGATTGCCAGTGGTAAGCTTTTGATTCATGGTATTCTTGATACGGACGCCAACCCATTTCCCGAGAATATCGCCCATTCCCCAATCACCACATCATCGCCATCCGAATCCATCCAGTCCATTCCAGCGCGGAGGAGAAATTTTTGGGATGGCACGTAAGGGTACATTGGTGAGCGCTAGCTGGTAAGCCCCGGCAATGCAATGCTTCGTCAGATAAAGGAAGAGAAAAGAGACCCCCGGCACACCGTCTATGCCTTGACAGCGTACTTGCGCTGAGGGAAGTGGATCTGCTTCTTCTTCGCCTTCTCGGTGATGAGCGAAGCCTCGTGCTTGGTGAGTCTTCGGCGGATGGCGCGGGTCTGCTTGGGGCGGAGATCGAGAGGGGTGTACCTGCGATGCATTAGGTACATTCACGAGTTATAACCTGAGCCGCATCTACGCACTTCTTGCCCTTATAGAAAAGGCGAAGTTGCGCCCTCTGGTTGGCGTTTATGACGGTGAGAACGCGAGCAATGCCCTTGCGCACATCGTGGATGCGGGTGAGCTTGGTGGAGGCGCCGCCGGCAACCTTGCTAGTCCTCAGGTTGATCAATTCCCTTCCACACCCGTCAGTATTTTCTTCCGCTCCTTCTTCTAGCGAGAGACCCACGTCTTCAGCTCTTCCAGCTGAGTCTGCAACTCCTCCTTCGACTTGTTCCACAGCTGTGCGGTCTTCTACGGCGGTTGTAAGTATAGGCTCGTGCGACGGTCTCGACTTTATGCGTGGGTTTACGTACGACTTTGCCGGTCGACTAAAGAAACATAATGTTAGCATGTTGAATTTTCGAAGGAGTAATGACGACGGCAGCGATATGCAGACTCCTCGTCGTGTGCAGCGAAGGCCCCCCACACACGCTTCCCCTCCAGATGATGAATTCCGTAATTTTCAAATTTGCGCAGAGATCCAAGCGTGAAAGGGACGTACCATCTTGCCTATAATGTTAGTGGAACCGGGAGGCGTGGAATGAGGCTATCGCGTGTCGTCTTCACAAAGCGTCAAAGTTGTCTCGCTGGAAAATGGAGGCCAAGCGTGGGCTCCAAGCGAGCGGAGGGGAATTAATCCGGTACCGAATTGGAAGGGGGCCGTGCAACCCTTGCCCCAGTTACGTGTGCCTGCAACAACGGACCTTCAATGTGACGGGAGGGACAAGTGATTCCGTCGCAATAAGGACAAGTAAAGCATGTCTTCAAAGGGTGGAGGATGGGCGCAGCTGCGTCAGCAGGCGCGTGCTCTGGAAACGCAGGTATGTTGCGCAACAACTACGAAGATGCATCTTCTCATTCAAAGGTAGACTGAGACTCTATTCCATACATATTCCCAGTATGCGTCCATGAGCAACATTCCCTTGAAGCCGACAGAAGAGGAGCAGAAATGCGAGTCACAACTGCGCGAAATTCTAGAAAAGGTAGCCTCCTCATTCGCAGATCCAACCTGCTGTCGGCGGCTGTTTGCCATGAGCATGCGCCAGACAGAGCTGTTTGGAAGGGAGCTTGAGTGCTAATGGGCTTGTAGAGGGAAGCGCTCGTTTCGCAGTTAGGCCGCTTGCTCGATTCCGAGTCCGCACACTCCTCCTCAGCTGTGAAGCAGAATAACCTTGCCCGACATCGTGAAATACTCCAGGATCATCGCCGCGAGCTGAGCAGGCTGAAGTCGACGATTGAGGACGCTCGAAACAAAGCAAACCTCTTATCGAATGTCCGGTCAGACATAAACGCATACAGATCCGGGAATCCTGGCCAGGCCGAAGCGGAGTATATGCTGGATGAACGCCGCCACATAGACAACTCACACAACATGGCAGACAGCGTGTTAAGCCAGGCATACGCAGTGAACGAGAATTTCAGAACGCAGCGTGAAACGCTCGCGAACATACAAAGAAGAATGGTCGGAGCCGCAAGCCAAGTGCCGGGAATCAATAGTCTCATCGGCCGGATAGGCTCGAAGAAACGCAGAGACGGTATCATTCTGGGTTGTTTTATAGCATTCTGCTTCCTGATGCTTTTGTGGTTTCGTTGAGGCTGATAATCCATGTTTGGCGTTCAGGAAGGCGTTCCATATCCCATAATGGGTTTCATTGTCATTAGGAGGTGGAGTTGACTTCCCTTTCGCGTTTCTACATGTATGATACAGCTGCCGCTCTAGGCTAGCAGAGCGTTCGCTCGTCGAGCGATTGAGCGAGCATGAAGCCCAATATGACTCTTTCCATCGTGACCACGTTTCTTGGTGAGGTGGGTTCCAGAAAGGAACCTCAAGTTGCTGCGTAGTGATCCCATTCTCAAGATTTTCGCTCGGTGGCTGACTGTGCATCGGGGCCCTCATCGACGTGGTTTGTGAACTACCTCTGCCGTTTTAAGTCTTCCACCCTGGCCAGGAACGTCCTGTACTCCTGGATCAATCTTTGCGCTCCCCTCGTCAAGTCTTCCTTCTCCGTTCCCTCTGCATCTGCGCTTCCGGCCCACCGAATCTTACAATTCTCGTCAAGGAGATACACATAACCAACTCGGCCGTTTAACAAGCCGATTTTCTCCCTGATGACATCGCTTACACCTCTTCTGATCACAAAATATTTGTTCCAATCTTCCTCTGGTCGCTGTCGTCTGAGTTTCCATCTGAATATTGCCACTATCCATGCCTTCATCGTGTTCTCCTCGACATTGAGATCCACCATTTGCGCTATATCCTTATTCTCTTCCAATAAACGTCTTAGTTCAGGATTTTCCTTTTTCCCAGTGAAGCTCTGCGTCTGCTCCTCTCCCCAGAGGGTACCAAATATATTGACGACGCTTATCTTCCCGTTCAGTATCGGCGTGGTATCTGCTTCCCTTTCCGCCAACGTTTCGCCGTGAAAATTGGGGAAGTATAGCGCTGCCTCCTTCTTGAATATCCTTGGATTGGCCATGAACGTCTTCCCCTTCCTGTACTTCCTGACGTTCTTCAAGTCCCGGAAATAATTCTGTTGCCACTCCTTCACGAGGTCTTTCCGCTTTTCCAAGTTGCGGTCCAACATTGTTGCTCCGGTATAAGTCTTCTTTTCTCTGCCTATGGATTGGCCCGGTTTCGGGGGATTGGGGAAGCCAATCGGCCGGCCAAGTGGCTGAGGGATAAATTCTGGCTCGTCATCTTTGAGCTCTTCTGAGGAATTTGCGGGACGACGGAAGGTAGTTGTGGTTGCGAAGGGTCGAAGCGGGAGGAGGAATCCTGGAAGTGTGAGGACTCGTCGCTGGCATCGTATACATAACGAAGGCTTGGCAGTTACTACTCTTCGAATTGGAGCCGTTATTCGCGTTTGCAACATCGTGACGGTTGGAGCTTCTCGCCCAGGAACTGCAAAAGAATGTATAGTCTTCTATCCTGGGAAACTTTCTGCTGTTTCCAGAATAACCGGCGCTAACCCGATAAGGGCCGCTTACCACGTGATAGCGCGTCGTTCTCGGACCCTGCCCACCCGCGTCAACCCTTGCAGTTCTATCTGACGCGGTTGCCTTTCAATGCAGCCTGAGGCACTTTCACCTTCACATTCACCATCCCGAGGTCACCTTCACTTGTATAGAGCACGCTTGTTCTTCTTATTCAATGTCTCATTCTACTTCCTCCCACAACCACATATTAACGCGATATCATCTACAACCATGTCGAACAAGGAATTGGAGGAGAAAATAGCATATTATAAAGATCAGGAGCTACTCGATATTTCCGACGATGAGATTGGATTTCCGGACCCGCCAGTTGTCGCTGTCGAGCGCGCGCTTGCGGACTCTATGAAAATGCCTCCGCCTCCGTCGCTAGTCCACCAGAAGACCAGCTACAGCTTCCTAGGTCTCACACCGAAGGCTCAACAAGCAGAGTATGCCGCCTGGAGACAGCGCGCCGCCGCCCAAGACTCTACCCCCAACCTCACCCGCGCTGCTACAGCGCCTGAAGTGCAAGTCACTCGAAGTTTCCCATCTGTAAAACCCGGCGACAAGCGGCCGTTGGAGCAACAGACTGGTGACCGGAAGAAGCTCAAGCGCAATGCATCATCGTTGTCAGATTTGCGTACCATTACGGATCATCCGAGCGTGGAACCCTTTTACAAGCGATTCGGTGTGGTGCCTCGTGAGCTCAAGGGCGGGAAGAATGTCAAACCCGCCGAGAATATTCGGCTTGAGCCGGAGCACAAGCAGTTACTGAGGGGGAAGATTGTTTGTAAGTGCAGTATGACCAGACATGGCGACCTTGTGATTGATAAACGCAGATTTCTATCCCAACAACGATATCAGCAGCGCCCGTCGACAACGGATACATAAAGTCATTCAGCTTGGAGCTGCTTGGGTGACGACTTGGAGAGAAGATATAACCCATATTATAGTGGACGAATCAAGTACTCCTTATACTTACAGTCAGGTTTTAAGGAATATCAACAAGGCTGGACTGCCGGTGAGTTCTTTGAGACGTGTGGCACTGACCAGCAAGCTAATAATGGCACAGCGCAAAGTGGTTCTAGTCAAGTTTGAGCCATATATACCACAATGCATCCAGTTTGGTACCCTTCTGGACCCCACAGCGAGTCGATTCCAAGTTGCGGGGGCGCCCAAACCCATTCCACCGAAACAATCAGTTACCGTGCCTGAGCCGCTAGTGCCGAGTGGTCCGTCGGAGCCGATCGTGTCAGACTCGTCACAAATCTCGCTGAAGATCAAAAAGTCTCGGCGGGAACTAGCAGCCCAGAGCTCACAGAGGACTGAGTCGGTAACTGTGGAGGATAGCTTCCCTCCTCCACTACCCCCGTCCTCGGATGGGCCTGCAAGCGCGGCGGTTGAACGCGTGGAAGACAGCTTTGTGTCGTCTGCTGCAGTGCCAATGTCGCCTCATGACACACCGGATCATACGGACGCCCTCAATAAGGCTATAGACCAGATTAAGGCTGTCGCGCACCTGCCACTGGATGAAGAGGACGAGTCTGAGACTGCGCTCTCCCGCACCTCATCGATCGATGAGCAGGTCCTAGCTTCAGATACCGAAGATGAAGGCCGTCAACCGCTCCCAAAGAAAGCGAAGAAGTTTACAGAGGCTGTGAGGAGCGATGGGGCCAAGCGCAAGGGGTTCAACCAGCTTGCCTTCCAGTGCATGGATCCGAGAGCTACAAATGCTAAAACTCGCGCGAATCCGAATGCCCGAACCGTCCAGATTCTGGAAGAGATGTGCAAGTATTACGATCAAATGGGAGACAACTGGCGGACTCTGGCATATCGCCGGGCGATGGGAGTGCTGCGCAAGCAACCTGTCAAGATCTGTACGAAGGAGCAAGCGGAGGCACTTCCCTTCATTGGCACTCGGCTTGCTGAGAAGATTGAAGAAATTGTTCTCACCGACCGGCTACGGAAGCTAGACAGTACGCGTGAAGACCCGACCGACCAAATTCTACGACTCTTCATGGGTATATATGGAGTAGGACTCAGTCAGGCACATAGATGGATACAAGCTGGGCATCGGACTCTGGATGATCTGAAATCGAAGGTCAAGTTGACGGAGAATCAGAAGGTGGGCATTGAGCATTACGAGGATTTTGCTCAGCGCATTCCCCGCGCGGAGGTCGAAGCGCATGGTGCATATGTCCGCAACGCTCTTCAAAAGCTGGATCCCGGTTTCGAAGTCATAATCGGCGGATCCTACAGGCGTGGCGCTAAAGATTCGGGAGATATTGACCTTATCATCACCAAGCGAGGCGCCCCGCTGTGCGTTCTCCAGACGATTATCTTCGACAGACTGATACCCAAACTCACTGGCGCTGGATTCCTCAAGGCTAGCCTTGCCACCTCACACCGATACGGTGGAGAAAGCACGAAGTGGCATGGTGCGTCCTGCTTGCCCTCGTCGACCGTCTGGCGACGGTTGGATATGTTGCTTGTGCCCGAAGAGGAGATGGGTGCTGCCCTCATTTATTTTACTGGAAACGACATCTTCAATCGAAGTATCCGTCTTTTGGCTAGCAAAAAGGGAATGCGTCTCAACCAAAGGGGCTTGTATAAGGATTTGGCTCGAGGCAGGAACAGGGAGAAGCTGACGGAGGGCACGTTGGTGGAAGGGAGGAGCGAGAAGAGGATCTTTGAGATCTTGGGCGTGCCCTGGAGGCCGCCGACGGAAAGGATATGTTGATCTTGGATATCGACAGTTTGGGTGTTTCTGGGGATTGGCATTATTCAAGACAAGGATAATAGAGGTCGGAACCGTGTAGGGATGTCTTACAGCCTCGTAGTTGCAAATGCTCTTGGCCTTGGATAGGTCGAAAAGGTTCCCTGAGAGCTCAAACAATTACTGTCTGAGGCCTCACACAGCCCGTCTGACGTGTCTCTGGTAGGAGAATGCAAATAGCGGTGAATGCGCCTCATGGATAAACGCATTTCTGAGATGTTGATGGCTATAGTAGATGTGATATGAGGGTGACAGAAAGTGTGGAGTTTGAAATTATGCCGAGTGTGTCGTTTGTGTTTTCTTGTGTTGTCGGCGATGGGGAGACCTAGGTGATGTTCAGCTGGTGCAATGATTACCTATTTGGGAAACATGTTAAAGCGCAGGGTGAACAAAGTATACATCTCTGGGATAATAAGTGTCACAGCAAGCGAATTTGTGTAGAAACCACGACATGAGGGCGATATAGCGTCAATTATACGATCTCCACTGTGTCAAAATCCACAGTTTGTGTTCCTGTGGAGGAGGTTCTGGCACAGTACGCTAGAACGCATGAATGTCACTGAAACCAAAAGCTGGACCCTAGCGCCATCGTAGCGATATCGTGGAGGGTCGTTCGTATATGTACAACATGTTTGCAGCTCCGGGCCTGAAAAGGAGAAGCGATTGACGCAGCATGTCAAATCTTGCTGTAAGTGGTGTTCACTCCTCGACTGCGGACGTCGCGTGTGAGAACTATACAGGAAGGCTTGTTAAGGAACTCTTGCTCTATGTTGCTTCCCATATGATGGTTCCAAGAGATTCGGACAATTCAGAGCAGCTAATGACGGGCCACTCCGCGCTCCCGCCCGTCTATTAAACCTTGTTGTTATTACTTCGAGGTACCCGTTCTTCACAAGACAGACGACCATTCATTCACACACGAACTGATCACACTCATCTCACCTGACAGCAACAACCGAGCCGAACAGTCCTATTATCATGGATTGGCACGCTGGTGTTGAACTGATGCTTGATAACAATCTTGTGTTTGACTTGGGAAGTACAATATGCTCAAACATGCCCCGTACAGTCAGAGTAGCTTTGCCACAGACGCAAGGCCGTGTGCATTGCGACAGTCTAAAACTGCCGTGGTCATCGGTGGTACAGCTGCCACACAGTATCGAGGGCATCGTATACATGCAGCTAAGCGCGCTGGATATTGCAAATGTTGGTAACAATAGCCTGCTGTGTCAGCGTGCGGTGCTCGCACACCATCATCCCTCACAGCGCCTGTTGTGTTCCCTTGTGCGTCGACTGCTGCGACGGCTCTCCAAACCCAACTAATTGCGACGCGTCCCACAACCTGCCGAAACGACGTTCTCATCTTTCTCATGAGCCGCACAGCCCAACGTGCTGAAACACGCAAAAGCAACAAGACTGGCATGGCGATGGGACTGATGCCGCCCTAGGCCAGATCGGGACCTGCCAAGCCAATTTCCTCTCCTCGGCAGGCACCGGCCAATCATGACTCGCGGGCTGCTCCTGCTGTGTTGCTCCCTCGCTTCGCTCTCCCTTGCACTCCTCTCACTCCCTCTTCGCAAGCTTCCAGCTCACCCTCACCACCCTCAGGCTCCCCCCGTCGCTCTTTCACCCTCCGCTTCCCTTCTGGGCCCTCATCGTCAAGCATCAACTCGCAGGGCTTCCCTTTTGGCTGCGCCGTACTACCTTGTAATTGTACTTCTGGAGCCTGTTCCCCTCAGAGAAGCTTGCCACGGATGGGGTTGTAAAACTTCGCGTCCCTCCTCCCGGTGACCATCGCCTCCTCCACCAGACCCGTGGACAAGTCCGGACTGCGTATTCCTATTTTCGGATCTCCACCAGCTATCGTCAATGTACTCCATGGAATCTTCATTAGCACCCCCTCGCGCAAGAAGGAATCGTCGTCGCCAGTCCCCATCTCGCTTCGCGAACCCTTCGCTCGCACTACCTGTCGTCGCCCTCCTCGCCGCCTCGCTGCTCCCTTCGACCATGGCGCAGCAGTGCATCCCTCTAAAAGGATCCACGCTGTGCCCGGCTTTTAGCGATGCCTCCGTCAGTACGAGCGCGCCTTTGTACGTTACCCTCCTGGAACCCCTTCGTTTCTCCACTGGGATATTGACCAAAGCTGAACAGTCCCTTCCTAGCCTTCGTGTCAGATGTGCAGTCATTTGACAGAGGTTTACGAGAATACATCAGTACCGGCTACGCGAGAAGACAGTATGTGCGCCAATCGCGTTTCGCTACTGCCCCCGCTGACGGTTACACAGATACCAGGAACGCATGGGCTGCTCCAACGTCAAGCTTAGCAATACCACCGAACTCTACGCTCGTTACACCACGTCGGTTCTTTGCAATCTCATAGTTCAGGCCTCCGTGGGGCCCTGCAATCTGACTCCGGAAGTTTCCAGGGCTCTGTGTGCGCCCGATTGTGTAAGTGCCTCAGGCTTGCATGTCGCGAGACCCGCCTGCATGAATGCTGATCGAAGCAAAGGGCGACTACGCAATCAGTGAACAGCAAATTACCTCCAGCCCGGAACTTTGTGGTACTCCTGGAACGAATGCCCTCGACATCATCAGAGCCGACTATCAGGATTGCTCAACCCCTTCACGTGCCCTAACAGGAACCTGCGTCGCGGCATCGAGCAATGAGCCGGAAGAGTGCGGTTACCAGTCTAACCTCCCGGCTCTGTGTGCCTTCTGCGGCCAGAGTTCTGCCAATTCAACGGACTCTTGCTGCGTCAATGCCAAGGTGGAGGAGCGTTGTAAAGGTGTTCGCCTTCCCTGGACTTCGTCAATGCCGCCCCTCTCGCTACCGACTGGAACTGTTGATCCCACAGCGACTGCTACCCCTGGCGCCGGAGCTGGAGGTCGCGGCCTATCTGGAGGCGCCATTGCCGGTATAGTTGTGGGCTCCGTGGTGGGCGCGCTTCTGATTCTTGCGGGTGTGATCTTCTTCTGCATCAGTTTGAAGCGCCGCCGGGGACATGGCGTTAGTTCATTGAACATGCCCTCTCCAACACGGAAAGGGCCGCAGATGGGTTATCGTGATGTCTCTGCACCGCCCGAAGTCCTACCTGGAGCTCGTGTGGCTCGTATGTCGGCCCTCGAAGGATCAGAGTCTTCGGAAGGTCACCCTTCTCCTGGTATGCTTGGAGCTTATCATCGCGGACGCGAAGATCAATACGCCTCTCCAGCGTCACGCGGCGCCGGCCTGCCGAGACGTGACGGTTCGCTCTCGGGCAGTTCTATTCTCGGCGGAAGTGAGGAACATTCGTCGCCGCGGACAAACACTAACAGCGATCGGAACTTCTCTAGCCCTGAAGGTGTGGCATCTGGCCAGTCCGAGCAGCTCCAGTTTTTCAAGGACTACTATTCTCAAGACGACATACATCCGAATGATGCCGTTGCTGTTCTGTGGGCTTACCAGCCCCGCGCGAATGACGAGTTCCAACTTGAGCGTGGCGATATGCTCAAAGTGGTCGGCATTTGGGACGATGGCTGGGCCACAGGAGTAAAACTCACAGAGACCGCTGAGCAATGGGAAGCCCGCAAGCAAGTGCAGCGCGACTCTGGCGTGAGCGGCCAGACCTTGCAGGCACAAACCGAGAGCGACAATGAGATCAAAGCTTTCCCCTTGGTATGTGTCTGCCTGCCGCAGCACTGGCGCAAGACAATCGAAGGGGACAGCACTACCGAGGCCGCACAAGGCAGTGAGCCACCCCCAAGTCCTTAGGACATGACAACGGAAGCCATCAAGGCATTGAGGCCGAGCAGCTCATCCTCTTGCCCGCTTTCAGCCTGGGACAAGCGGTCTTTCGGTCCTCCTCCAGCGGGCTGGTGGCTGAGGCTGCGAAGCCCACCTTCTCTGCCCGGCGACATCAGCCCGCTCACCCATATTGCCGAATCTCACGCGACACGACGACTACCGCTATGCTATGTACACTTGTTTCGAAGACGGATTGCCGTTGATTTGACGCATTTTTGATACCCTTTTTGTTTCTTTCTCCCATTTTTGGATACGAGCGTAATCCAATAATACCTGTCCATCTCAGGGCAGTCTGTTTGTTCAAGCCCCACGGACTCGATCTATTCTTGATAACTCTTGGATATTTCACTCCTCATCGCCGCAACGCATTCAATTTTTCGCTGCATAACCACAATCATTCTCCTCAGGAACAAACCTGACGCAGTTCTCAATGTCACATACACATTACTCTTCCCTTACCAGGCTCGAGCCATAGCCGTATCCATATCTTCAGATGGCATTTTACTTGCGTTCTTATACCCATCGAGCGATACAGGCTGTTAGCTTCGCTCGATTTTTCTTTTTCTTGTCGCTCATTTTTGTCGTAACTTGACATATTTCGACTCTAATGTTTCCTTGGGAAGGGGGAGGGTACTTTGGTCTTTCCAGAGTGCTTTCTTCCTCGGCTGCTAATGCCTTGTACATATTGGAATTGACAGGAAAAGGGGGTTTTCGTATATTGTTGAGATTGGTGGATATTGTGTTGAGGAGCCACGGTGGAGGTGGTCAAGCTGGACATTGCAGGGGACAAGAGTATTGTATGCTGCGCGTTGGGGCTGAGTGTTGTTGTGTGTAGTTTTGGTGTGTAGTGGTGGTGAACGGGCGAGAGGGATATAGGATTGGATAGATGACATTTTGAATTTGTTGGAATGTAGAAGAAGGAAGTTCACAATGCACAAAGGCTCTTGATTTCATAAGGTTGCTTCGTGATCTGTCATTATTACGTATATTCCTTTTTTTCTGAACTGTCGCCGGCTGTGTCCATAGGGACATGGTACCTACGACGCTATGTAGCTGCCACGAAGCGGACTCCCAAGGTTCTCCGCCTTCATTCTATATGTTCCTTGCGTTTTCTGGGCAGAAAAGTCTGGTCTGTTCTGTGATACCACCTCTGCCGTCAGGGAGATATTACCACTCTCCTCGATATTCGCCTCTGTGTTTTGCCACTGTGATCGCCTCCCTCGCTGGATTCTCTCAACGCAGAAAATAGGTGTGGTGGCCGCTGAATAGGATATGCCGTCCACACCGGTCCTCCTCCCCACCATCCATCCATCTACACCTCCTCCCCGTCCACCTCCTCCTTCCCTTCAACCCTCGCACTCCTACTCCTCTTCCTAGGACCCAGCGACACACTCCGCGCGCTCCGCCCAACGGGGTTCTTTGCCAACCACTCGCTTTCCTCACGCTTGACCTGCTCCTTGTACCGCTCGAGCGCCTCGCTCTTCTCGTCGAGCAACTCGGGGCAATGGCCCGTCTTGCGCAGATGCCGCTTGAGGTTCTCCCAGCGACAATCGGGCCGGAAGACGCAGCCGGGGTGTGGGCAGCGGTAGGGACGGAGGCCCTGTAGAGTAAGTACCGTTAGTCAACCTGCATTTTATTTTGCCAGAGAATACCCAAGAAAGATTGGGGCTAGAAAAGAGAGGCCTATCCACAAGGAGGAATGAACCAAAAAAAGGAAAAGGAAAAGGAAAAAGAAAAACACACCTGATGGATCCTCTCATGCTTACTCAAATTACTACTATCCGCGCACACGAACCCACACCCCTCGTACCGACACCGGTACCTCTTGCGCCCGGAATGCATGGCCTCGACGTGCGTGACCCACTGCGTCTGCGTCGTGGTGCGGAACCCGCAATCCGGGCACACGTAGGGCCGATCCCCCGTGTGCGTCCGCTCGTGGTTCTGCCGCGCCTGGTTCGTCGCGAAGCTCTTGTCGCAGAACTTGCATGCGTGCGGCCGGTAGCCGTCGTGCACGAGGAGGTGCCGCGTCAGTTTGCTGCGCTGCTTGAAGTCCTTGGGCGGGGTTGAGCCGTTGGAGCAGCGCGACCAGCGGCAGATGCAGTCGGGCGAGGGGTCGACGTGGGCGGTTTTCAGGTGTTGGTGGAGGGCTTTGGGGGTAGGGAAGGTTTGGAGGCAGAGGATGCCCGGGGCGGTTTCCCATTCGCACGTGTGAGATGATGGCGTGGTGGTGCTGGGGTCGGTTGGAGAGTGGTCGGTGTCGAAGGTGAATTGAGAGTCTTCGGTCTTAAGGCGAAGTGGAGGCGTGCTGGTGGAAGCGGATGGGAGAGGTGAGGTCCCACTGCTGTTGTTCGGGTTCGGCTCTTCCTCTACAAGGGATACTTTGGCGACGGAGGCGAGGAAGTCGAGTCCGTGGTTGGGTTGGATGGCGTCCACGAAGGGACTCTGGCAGGGAGTCTGCGTCCAGCCGATTTGCATGGGGTCGCCGCTGATAGTGTGACATGGATCCAGGAGGGGAGTAGAAGCAGCATTCGAAAAGACGTCCCAATCCGAGAAGGCACTCATTGGTGTATAAGCCGTCGGCGAGGTCCGTCCCATTGGCACACATCCATTCGGTTGGCTCATCTTCATATTCTGCTCCTTCGACAGAGCCCACAGCGAAAAGCCATCAAGGGCCGCGGAGGAGGCAAAGCTACTGGGATCCGAAAAGGACGAATACTGGGCATGAAGCGTGCTCCCAAGCGATCCCAGACTCCCATTCGTCGATAACGGTGTCATCTGGCTTGGTGGAGGCATGCCATTGCTTCGTTCCGGCAGAAGATGATGTGTTGAATTACATTGGTACCCATCGAATGCCGGCAATCTGGGATGAGCAAACTCTTCGCCATTGAAATGACATGGAGCATCATTGAAACAGTAGATGGTCCCGTCCGGACCCGGTGCGGAATGAGCAAAGTGGCATCCATTCTCCAGATCTCCGACTGTGCATGGCGGAGCCTCGCAGCGCGAGCAAAAACACGGCTGGTCCGGGCAAATGCCTTTGGAGCACTCGGGATCAGAGCACTTATCAGCGCATTCCGGGACCGGACACTCCTGGACTTGGTCGCAGTGCGGGTCGTAGCAGACGTCGGCGGGCGAGCACTCCCCAGAATCGCAAGGCATACATTCGCGACAGGAGGCGTCGTAGTCAAGGGTCATCGAGTCGCCGTCGCACAGTGCGCCTGGATTTGCCGGACAGGCTATGGCTCTCCGTTTGGTCGGGCGTACGTCTTCACAAGACGGCTCCGGGCAGCACAGGGAACGGGTGCAACATATCTCGCGTGGGTCAATGTGTTCAGCTCGGTAATCTCGATGATCTCCGACGGCTGTGCATCGCTCGCTATTCTCGGCTACGACACTGGCCGTCCGCTTTGTGCCAGTGGATTCGGTGAGGAGGAGCGGACCGGACATGGGATCTTGGTCGCTCCAGAGCTGGAAGAAGCCTTCGTCGAAGTCGTAGACTGCGTCGACTTTAAGCATGGTTCAAGTTTGTATCCGTGAGGGTGAAGGAGTGCGGGGAAGACTCGTACATACACGTCCTGTGGGTGTGCAAAGGTTTGTGGTAGGTCTGGCCATCAGGGTACTCTTGGGAAGGACGTTTGTGCCTGACGCAATGCCACCCCACGTGAGAGTGGGACTGGTTAATGACCGGTAGAAACGAAGAAAGAAGCAATCAGAGATACAGACAGCGGGATATGTACGCCCACGCAACAGCGAAAAGTGAGCTTTTTCGCAGAGCCATCAAGTTATTTGAGGTTTTGAGTGGAGTTGGAGCGGGAGCCGGGTTGGCCGCTAGGCTGAGAATGGTGCTTGCCTATTGGCTGTGGCTTCGGCGCCAATCCGCTCAAGGACAGCTCATAGGAGCTCAAAAATTGCAGGGCAAACAGCTTCGACTTTTACACAGAATGGCTCGCGTTCAAAAGTGATATTCTGGGTTCACTAGGGATTGCAAAAGAGACTCTGTATATTTCCCACCCAACCACTCCAACGATATGACAATGGACAGGGTGCAATCCCCAAGAACTGGAGGGGTAGCAAACTTGGAATTACTGGACCCTTTCCACGTGCATTCTCTGCCAGAAACCAGAATACAGGTAAACCCTTCAATATCAGTTGTCGAACTCCATCCTACATAACAATAACAAACATCTCACATATAGTATACACACGAACAATTTCCCCAATGCCAAGACCTCTAAACCTTGGCGCCAACGCCACCCGATCGCATTCCGCCGACGCGAGGTCGACGTCGGCTACACTTGCCCACTCACATGCACCACCTTCATCCGCCATCCATCTCCAGTCCCCGGGCCTCAACTCTCCCCCAACCACCCCATACCCCCTCCCTCCCTCCCATTCACCCACGCGCGTCGCGCCCCTATAAACGTACCACATACCCGCTCCCATGGGCAACCTCTGCGGCAAACCCTCGTCCTCAAAAGACAACAACTTCGCGGGCCCCGGCCGCGTCCTCGGCTCCGCCCCCGCACAACCATCCAAAGCCTCCGTCCCCGTCACAGCGAGGAAAGTCGGCGGTCCACCGAGGACACTAGGAGGAGAAGGAGGAACGCCGCAATCAGGAGGACAAGCAAGAGGCGACTCTGATCCGAGAAGCGCGGCTGCGGCCGCTGCAGAGGTGCGTTGAGACCTTGCTGGTGTTGGTGGCTCCCCAGAATGGGATGCGGGAGATTGTCGCGGAGCATGTGAAAGGTTGCGGGGGGAAATGAGTATACACGCTCCAAGCTAACGACACGGCGACTGCTGGCAGGCCCGCGCAAAGAAAACACCAACAGGCGACCTGGCGCGCAAGCTCGATGCGCAGAAACGGCAGACACATGCGCAGACGCTGCAGTCTGCTGCGGCGGAGAACCTCGCGCATAGACAAGCCGACGAGGCGTTTGCGGCGCGGAACCATAATTGAGCGCGCCATAGGGGGTTGGGCGATAGAGAGGGTTGGGTATAGAGCACGGGATTGATTCATGAGTTCACGAATGCCCGGGGTGGTGTTCTGGCTTGCATAGAATGGCGTTCTGGGTGATATCTTTATCATGGGAACTGAGAGGTTTACCTACACCTCCACCGTAATACGTCACCCATACGTTGACATATAGAGTCCACCACTCTCGTACATATATTTGATAATTTTTTGTCTATCTGACCTCCTCGCCACGCCCAAGGACCATGCTCCCTATGCCCATGCATGCACCGACCACTTTTCCCATGAGATAACTCAATCGTAGAAGACAACCTGACCACTAACAAGCGAAGTATCTATCAGAAATGCGTCTACTGGAGGAAGACGGTAGCCTGAGGCCACTTTTGAGATGCAGCACTGCGGTACTCGTTCCTAGCTGTCGCATCGCTCTTCCACTCGTCCAGGTACTCCAATCCATTTGCGGCCTGCTCCATCGTTATCGAGGCGGACTCTAGGAGCTTCTTCAAGTCGGCTTCGCACTCTCCCTTGGTGCGGTTATCGAGGAGATACTGGACGTTGAGCGCAGATTGCTGATGCGCCGGGCTGTCTGCATGCTTTTGTCGCCACTCCGAGTTGTAGGCCTTAAGGTCGGCGTCCGCAGGCACAATGTCAAAGGTCTCCTCGATGGCTTTGGCAACCGTATCCGGTAAATCCTTGGTTTCATTCACTGCTGCATATTAGCTTCCGAGTGCAGAGAACCAGCACATGCAAACTTACTGGCTTGACGGAAGCGAATGGCTTGTTCATGGAGCTTAGGATTCTCAGGATCAATGGCCCGCGCTGCGTTGAGACACTTTAGTGCGAGTAGATACTTCTCTGTCAAGCTCGTCAGCAATGGTACTGTTACTATAGGCGGCTTACGCACTTCTCCTGAAGTGCACCTCAAACCCTATGTTCTGTGCATCGATGTTCTTGGGGCTGAACTCCAAAAGTGGCGTAAGGAACCTCAGGGCGGCTTCTAGCGGCTCTTTGGTCTCGAGCAATTTGAGACCATTAGGATCAGTGTCCTCCTTCTTTGTCTCGCCGTCGTCTTTGGGCGGATTGGCCTTTTTGGCCTTCTTCTCCGCCTCTTGCTTGGCGAGCTTCTCCAATTCCTTCTTTGCCTTCTTCTGGGCTTTCTTGCGCTCGGTTGCATCCTGCTGGCTCGCGGCCGCCTCGGTGCCGTTGGAGAGGCCTTGGTTGTCTGCTAGTTGCAGATAAATGTTGATGGCGGACAAGGCAGCCCTAGTGAAGAAAGGGTGCTCGCGTAGATGATCCTCCCATCTAATCATGTCGATGTATGCCCGGATCTGTCCTTTCCGTAGGGAGAAAGCGTGGAAGTCAAACTGGTCCTCCTGCCATATATCGAAGATGTCTGCAACCGCTGTGAATCGCTTGAGCGCAAGACCAAGGTTCCGTTGCCGCAGGTACGCCTCGCCATCTTCCGTCAAGTACCAGAGACATTGCATATCATGCAAATCGCCAAGCGGCCCTCCAGTGGCCTCATTTCGGGTGAACTTGCTCATCGTGTTCAGGGCCACATCATTCTCGTTATTGCGTAATTGATATTTGGCGCATTTCGTGTTGATGTAGCGGTCTTTGAGGTCGAGTTCTCGTGCGTGATTGATTGTCTCGGCGGCCTTCGTGATGTTTCCGTAGTGCTTGAAGATGCGCGCTTTGGTCTGATTGTAGTCCACTGATTTCGGATTCCGCTCAATCAGTTTGTCAATGTATTCCATCGCTTTTTGCAGGTCTCGGCTGAGATGATAGTTGTAGTGTTGTGCAAGGAAGTAGAGGACGGACTCTTCGAAGCGATCGGAGGTGCCATTGGTCTCGCCGTTCGCAGATCCGTTCATGCTCGTCCCAGAAGCATAACCCAGCACCAACTCCTCGATGACTGCCTTTTTCGCCGGATCCGCATAGAGTGCTTTGATGTTGTTGAAAGTAGAAGGAACCCCCTTCTTAAACATTTGCTGAAGATACCGATCAGTTGCTTGCCGGAAGTCATCACCTGAGCCCTTGTTAGTATAACCTCGAAGTACCAAGCGATCTCACCGACCGGTCAGGAAATCCAAGGGTATCCGCCTGGCAGCGTCTACCCGTTGGCTTTTCGCTGCGTAAGAATTATAGAGCTCCATCAGCTGGGAATGCGCGGACGGGTCGGACCTGTCCAAACCAAGAGCCTTCTCTAATCCCTCATAGTACGCCCTTCGCTCGTTATTTCTATCCAGCAGAGTCCTGTACGCTTTTTCGGCGTCCTCTTTCCTTCCAAGCTCTAACAAGAGCTCAGCCCTCATTTCCAACGCGCTTGCGCGGTCCAGTGTGTCCTTCAAAATCCGTTCCAATTCCTTCAAGGCTCGCTCCTTGTCCCCGGACTCAGCTATTATTGAGATTTTATATAGCCCCGCCTCGGAGTGCTCGATGTCCGATTTCGACGGCTTCTGCTTCAGAGTCTCCTCGTAGGTTGTAAGGATCTTCTCGGCGGCCTGGTAGTTGTTCAACAGGTGGTGGGCTATAGCGACACCAGTCCAATTCTGTCGTAACGCGGGACGCTGAGAGAGCATCTTTGTCCTGCTATCCAGGTACCCTTTATAGTCGCGCATCTGTATCTGAAGGAGAGCGAGGTCGCGGAGGATGTTTGCTTGTTCCGGTTCAAGTCTGAGGGCAAATTTGTACGCCTTGATAGCCTCTTCGTAATTCTTAACGGAGCGATATAGCAACCCGTAGACATGCCAGGTTATGTGCGATTTCATGTTGTTCTTGAGTGCTTCCTTGCAAAGAGTGAAAGCCTCATCACCCTTCCCGGTGGAGTTCAGGATGAGGGCTTTCATGGCCTGCGTGTCCCCATGGTTGGGATGTGCTCGAAGAATTTGATCCGCAGCTTTCAGACCTGTAAACAAGTATGTCAGCTGCTGCAATGAGTACTCCAGCATGCACGCTTGCCCTTCTTATAATGCTTGTCCTCATAGCATTTGACAACCTGACGAAAGAGGGAGTTCTCCTTGGAGCTGAGAGGTTGCATCGGATCCGAGGGCATTGCGCCAGTTTTGACGTGCTCTGGGTGTGGGAGATTGTGTGAGGCGCCTCGGCCGCGGGGACACTGGAGCTCGAATCTACTAGGCGACTCCTGTCGAACGGTCGAGAAAGGCGCGGTGGAAATCTTCTAATCGAGGTCGACGGAGCACCAAGCAGCAGGAAGCATACTAGTTTCGGTGACGGAGGTGGTGAATGCTGCGTGTAGTGTGGTTGTTTTATTAGCATGCTTTTGCGGGGCCGCACTGGGAGCTGTCAAATTCGGGGTCGGGTGTCTGTAAGTCCGAACTCGGCTTAGTGGGATTTCGTCCTACTCGGCACGTGGGTGGCCATCCATACTTCATGTACGATGATAATCTACTCAAGGTTATTGGGTATTAACGGCATTTATTTTATCCAGATCTCTCATTCTTATAAATTCTTTTCCATCCTACCCGTGAACGTACCTTGTGGATAGCCCCTCGTAGAACATTTTGAATTCAGTTCGCGGGGCACAGACACTTCAGTTCATATTCCATCTTCCCCATTACTTATAGTCACACAATTTTTAACAGCAGTGAGACAGAACCGTCCTATAAAAGCATATGCATGCAGAATTCCCTTTGCATAGGGCCCATCCAAAGGCGGGACAAGAGACGTGGCGGATATCGTATCAACGGGAGAGGAGATGCCCTCCAAGGTTATGCACCTCTGAGGCGTCCGGATCTCCGCCTACCGGGTACTTCTGATTCTTTCAGACCTTCTCCAGGACTTCCCCCCATGGCTTTAGCGCCGATGCCTGCTGATTTGGGCTTTTTACGATCCGCGGTATCCTCATTTCCCTCGTTCTTGATATCCGCCTCCTCTACCTTCCTTCGTGCCCGCTTAGTGGTAGCTGGAGGCGCAGTCTTCGCGTCGTCGTCTGTAACAACCCGTTCGTCCTCCTTGTCCACTTTTCCCTTACGCTTCCTTCCACGCTTGGGTTGAACGCCATCTTCGGACTCTTCTACACCGTTCGTATCTTCGGAGACGTCTCCAGCCACGGCCCCGGTTTTCTTTTGCACACTAGGAACGATGGCTGACATCCTACCGCCTACTTTGAGAAAGGTGATCTTTGCACCGTTTGGCAGCTTGCCTCCATTCTTCTTGCCCTTATCCCAGCGGTGTTTCATCAGCCAGTCCTCTGGGAATGCATCCGAGTCTCCAAGTGTTTCGACGGCGGTCTTACAGACGTACAGCATGGAGTCATGTAGCTGCTTGATCTGTTCGTCACTGAAAGTGTTGCTATATTGCTCAGGATGGAGCCGTGCATGATATAATATTTCGTCCCTAAAACCTAGTCAGCATTAAGCAACTAATATCAATGTCTGCAACATACCCGACCCAATTGCCGATACCCGAGATGTTTGCTTGGTCAAGTAAGAGGGCTTTAATTGGCACCTTCTTGCTGCGGAGTTTCTTTTTTAACCACTCCACCGTCAGGATATCCTCATCAATAACAGGATCTGGACCGTTCTCCTTCAGAGGTGTTGTTTTTCGCATGTCCTCCGCCTTCACGTCTACTAAACGTATTCTTCCTAGCCTCCTCGGATCGACAAACGCAACTTCACAGCTATCGTCTTTGAGCTGCAATATGAACTTCCAAAACTTTGGTGGCCATTCATTGTCCTCCTCCTTTGTGGGTCTGTAGTATGCCGTATGGTCATTGGAGAACTTCATCCAACCGGTCATGCCGAAGTGCATCAATGGATGAGGGGGACTGTCCATCTCGAGCCAGAAGTATTTCCCTTGCTGTTTGGCGTCAAGGATCTTCTTTCCGGTCATGGCCTTTTGGAAAGCAGATGCTGAAGTGCCGACCTTGCCATATATTATCTGGATAATCGTTCAGCGGGACACTTTACAGAGATAGTGACCACTCGTTTGGTGAATATTGCGGTCCTCACCTCATCTTCTTGGGTCTTGACTGCCTTGACGACTTTTCCAACGGCATGTTTCTTCAGGTAATGTACAATACGCGCGACTTCCGCTATCTATAGAACATTAGTCTGAATTATGTGCATAATCGTGACAATGCCGAGTTCGGTACGCACCTCAGGCATCGCGTTCAAAGGCGTCTCCCTGCTGCGTGACGAGGTGACGAAACAAACAAGCTATCCACAAGTCCAGTTTTGAATATGTAATCACGCGGCGACCCGCTATGAAATTCTTTGACTGTCTGATGTCGAGTGAGTCGATCTAACATCAGCTGAAGGAAGAAAGGGGTCCGACTGTGATGGGATGACGTTGGGACTGCCAAGAGTTGGAGTCGCGAAACGCCCAGTCACGTGTAATACGACGCATCTGGATCTCACCTCTCATTGGATACATTTGCAACCAACATTTTTCCACAACCAAAACTCTACGTTGGTCCTGAAGAGGTGCGGTAAGTTCAGGTTTTAGTGTGGGCATGCCGCCGAAATGGACAATCAGCTGTTGCCGATGTAAGGACACACAATTTCGCCGTTCAAAGCCGCCGTGGTTATGGGCGTGAAATAAGGCTTTGCGAATCCCTCGTCAGAGCTGGATAATGATGGAACGTTTTAGTTAACTAGGTTTAAATGTTAGGGTACCACCCACGAAGAGCAGCGAGTACCCCGAAGTTTTTGACAGTTGTTTGTTCAATCTACAATCTAAAACATGCTTTTCAGGCGAGCTCTTATACCGTTTGTTTGGTTGGGCGCGAGTCCAAAGACCTTAGAGGACATCACGGCAAGCCTCATTCCGTGGCTTCAACACCTAGGCAACGTTAAACCCGTGCGATTATAGGTCAGGATACTAGATTGCGGTGAAGTCCCCATATCATCTCTTAACAACGCTCTTGCAATGCCAACTCGATGAAGCAGACTGTATAAAGAGCTGTGGAGTGAACTGGCACCAACTAGGTCTCAACACTTCCGCTACATTGTACCTTCATAAGCAGAAGCTTTCAACATTGGGTGGCGACCGCTCCATTGCGCTGCCGCCCTGACGTGCCTTAAAACATATATACGGCCGGCTTAAGGGTTATTGCTGTTGTGCATTTCGACGCGCGAGGTACCTATGTACTTGCACCCATCGCAGTGTCCCTCTGTCTGGATTGACCCTATGAACCCTTCGCTCCGATCTTGCTTCCATCATGGAAGCATGTTCTAGGTTTCCGGCACTGAGCGCTTGATCGTCAACGGCTCCTCCGTTCATGCCGGACTTGCTACCCGATTTTCAGGCGACAGTGCCGATGATCTTTTAGAGAACTCGTAGCAAGACTGGGTGGGGACCGCCCACCCATGGCATCGACGAAATCGGCGTCAGGGGTTAATCATAAGCGCAAGTATAAATACTGCGTTGTCTTGGGAGGCATTTTGTTATTTACCTCAGCGTAGACATTGGCATACTTCCTCTTGGTCTGACTACTGGGACAGGCACACCTGCACCTGGTTGCTGGACCACTCGTGAGCTTCTTCGCATTCTTAGGGACATTGAAGGCTTGATGTGGTGAACACTGGCCTCGTGAAGCTCAGCCAGGCTTATGGTTGGCGCATGCGAAATTATCGATTTAGCTGCTGCGAGATTTCTCACGGAGTCATCATAAATATGGTACGGAAACCCGTCATTAAACAGGGACAGACACTACAGAGTGAGAGAACATAAAGTGAAGGATGAATTTTGATCCTGGATGCAGTGATTATGACAATGAGGCACGTGTCCTCATTGAATTTTCTCATTGTGATTGAAGCTATCACGGTCATAACTTCAAGGATATTGGGAACCTTCCCATTGCCCCGGCGTTGTCATCCCACAGCTTAACTCGTCCTCATTTTCGTCTTCATCTCATACCGGCGCTCTACAAATCCATCCTTGATCCGACAACCTTTCCTCCTTAGCCACCTCTTAATCCGGTTTCCAAGCGGGAGTTTCATGACGTGCTTGGGGAACACTACATAATCATGCACCTTGAGGCAACGAGGACAACGTTGTCCACATACGCGGTCAGGGGCAGAAAATACTGAAGAGGGTCGTGGAGTGCGAACATAAGGGTACGTTGCATGATTCAGGAGTTGCGGACTTTGTGTTACTAATCTTGCCTTCCTTACTTGGCCGCGAGCCGCTGTGGGGCGTAGATAGGTGCCCAAATGTGGACCAACGGGTGGCTGTGTAGAGGGAAGCGGACCGCCCCGTTGATGCCGCTGGCCGTTTTCCTCATCTGGGTTTTGGCTCAGCCGAGGAGTAGCTGGCAAGATGCGAATGGTTGGGATAGTTGTTGTTCTCCATTTTATTGTTAGAAAGCGTGTAGACGGGAAGGCGACCTGCTATTCTAATGTCTATAGCTGATACTCCACCTAAGGCCCGTGAACCAAGCAGGGTTGTTCGTAGCTAGTACGCGAAGGTGACTTGAAGGACGTCGCCTCCAAAATCTGCGGTTGTGAGGTTGTGAGCCATGGTGCTTACTGGTCTGTTTGCCCCTTTGACCAATAAATACAAAGTAGTGAAACCCTGGGAAGCGTCTTGTGAATGGAGACGAGCTAGGTGCGCCAAGCTTATAAGATTTCTTACTCAAGAGGCTACAAAGTCTTTTTAACCATGGGCTGCGTCCTAAGTTGCGTCCAATTGAAATATAATTGTAAGTGAGGACTTGACATAAGGGGGTGGATCATTAGTACTTCACCTCTGCAATTCAAACTCACCGGTGTGCTATTTTATACTTACAGCAGGTCTCTGAACTCTTTAGTATCCCTTCTACTGCTATAATAGGTCGCAAAGGATACAAATACGACATATGCCCCGAGGACATTGGCTTTGTGCATGACGTTGTTGTCAAAGACGCGTACTTCCCTTATACAGAAAAGGAAAAGTGATAAAATTTATAGCATGTGAGGGGAACAACACGCGTCAGCATTACTGTACTGGGGCCTGCGATCTGGAAGCCTTGTGAGCGGCCCGATTCTATGTATGACGTCTGGTAGAAACGCAATATATAAAACCCACTGCCCTACCCCTCAACCTTCATCTGAAATCACCTACACCAGAAGTGATTGTTGGGTGGGCGGCTTCCTAGCACTTTGGTGTGGCAAGACTTGCGGTACTTTTCGCATGGAGGCCCCGAGCAAACGACCGAAAATGGATGGATCGAGTAAAAAGACACCCTGCTTTGCAGAGTACGTATCTGCCACAGGAACTCAGATGCGCGTAACCTTTAACATGCTCCTAGTTATTTCAACTCTAGCCGCTTCTCTGACGTCAAAATCCGTTTTGGCGATGTTCCCCACAAGCAAATGTTTCCCGGTCATGCAGTCATCCTGTGTGTGCAATCTGAATGGTTCGAAAAGGCATTAAACGGCGGCTTTAAGGTAACAATCCATCTGCTTATTAAAAACCAGTTTTCTTAAAGATGACAGGAGAGCGAGACTAGGGTTATTGACGTTAAAGGCGATGATCCTCTGGCCTTTAATAACATGCTCAAATTCATCTATGGAATACGCATCCCAGAGTTGACCTCCACCTTCACATTGGGGAGTTTGATGTCCTCTGTCAGACTTTGGGGCGTCGCCGACAAGTATGATGTTCCCGCTCTTCGCAAAGAGGTCGAGAAATGGTGGTCCGAGTCCTTGCCGATATACATTCACGATCTCTATCGCAGAGCGAACCAAGGAGATGACCCTCCCCTGCAAAAGAAATTATTCACCAAAGTCGTACTAGGGATTTTCGACTCGGTCAGTGAGGGTGCTGAGCATATGAAGGACCCTCTGCTTCAAGTGTTATTCCGGACCTGCTTGCAAAGAGACACCTTCTTCAGCAAATCCATTGACTCCCAGGTTCCCACCAACGGGATATCACTACTCCAGGACGCTGTGAGAAAGAGCGCGGAGTTCTCGCAGTGTCTCCTCTTATACATCCACGATGCTAGAAATGGAGCACAGCCTATAGTGAATTCTGGGGGGAATGCTACCAGCGGCGGCCAAAGTCTTACGATTGCTGGGTCGCCGGATGAGTGGGAACCATTTGGGCCATTCCGGTCAATGTTTCCCCCCAATCTGTAGGGCGTCCTCATCTTCCCGTCAATCCCAGGGGATGTGATTCCTTTCCGTATTTACTAGACCAGAAAGGAAAGGGGGAGATGTAGTTCCTTTAACCCATAGGGCATACTTCTCATCTGAACGCAGTTTCTCATAGTTGAGCTTGAACAAAGTATACTATACTTTTTGTATCACCAAACAATTCACGGCAGTAGCTGACCGTGTTTGCATTCCTGCTTCTTACTCTTATTTGAAGGCGCTTCGTAGAGGACTTGCCCCGTAGGTATCGACTCCGTTCTCTACTGCCAAGAACTCGCTCAAACAAACCATGTTGTTAAGAGAACTCTAGTAAATGCATTTCCTACGACGGCTACCCTAGGGTACTTCGCGCCATACCTTAGGGTACAAACAGCAAGGGAAGTGGTGCGCGAACAGTCAATACCTGGGCATCTTTTCTATTATTTCAAATCTTAAAATATTCGATGAGGAAAAGAAGCATGTACCGAGATACAATGCGCTGTATGGATGCCTGCCGTGTTCGATAGCTGAAGAAAGGTCTATGACTGATTCCTTGTTCGACATTGTGGTCATAAGGAATGAAAGATTCACCACGTTGTTTTCGCTATGTTCCATTTCCAACATGTTCGAAAGATGCTGTTACCTGTGGAATGAAGAGCAGGGTTTATCAAAGGCAGAGTATCCGTCCTGCCAATATAAGCAACGGATTGACCGCTTCACGTCCGTCAGTCCTACCTGGACTGTGGCCAACAGCTTTAGAATGGCCTGTTGTAGCCTGCGGATAATGATTGCTACGTCTAAGCGCCGCCCTTCAGTCCGAAAAGGCAAAGCCCATAGCAATTTTATACGCGTAAAGGCCGTGGTCACATTCATACGCATGATTCCTCCGCCCCGAAAACAACGACACACTACTCGTCCGATCCAAATGATCGTGAGCTCAACCTGGAAGAACGCGGAGTTTCAGTACACGACAAGAAAGTTGAGCACAGCTGCAGATGTCTCCGACCCGTCGACAAACTGTTCTAAATCGCCACTTAGATATCACCGCAGCCATGCTTTCGGTCAAGCCTCCCTGCCGGGCCAATTCAACTCTCTTGACCCTGACTGTTTAACTGAGGAGTAACTCTATCAGCAAACTTCGAAGTTGGCCCGTTTCCCTGCTTTGATGTGAAAATATTTTTGCATCCTTCACACGCTAATTGTCCATGACCGTCTCGTTCCGTTTCATACCTTCACTTTCACCGCCTGCCAAGGCCCCGGGGTGGACAATTTGGGGGCACGCGAGAGGAGCTGCGGGAGTCATTCGGAACAGCTGCCCTACATAAAGTTCCCTGCCGCCATTTCGAGCGCTCTCTTCACTCGCATCCTCTCCTACAACGCAACGCCATGCCGCGTCGTTCTAAAAGCCGCGCATCTGCTCCATCGCCTCAAGCAAACGCCCAACCCGAGTATGACGGAGGAGACACATCACAACCCTTCAATGAAGACGCTCTCTCCGGCGTTATATGTACTATCTTGTACGGCCTGGCGGGAGTGTACCTGTACGAAGGCAATGCTGCCTCATTGTATCGGAAATCTCGATGGTTCCGAGAGATCATCACATACAACCTCGTCCCCAACTCCACGGCAATAACAATCACACTCGACGACAACGATGACCGGGCGGTGTACGATATGCTCCGCTTCATACACGAGCAGCCGCTCGAGGAGCTCCATGCTGAAGGTCGAAGCGGCCTAAACACCGTCATATCTGCAGTCAACCTGTTCAAGCTCGCAGACAGGTACGGCATTGCAGGACTGGAAGACGTGGCAGCGAAGGAGCGTTTCCCAGAAGCCTTGCTTCTATATCTCGCGCCCAGCGATATCACGGTGTGGAATCCGCGCAAGGACGAAGTGAAGCAGGAACTGCTCTATATCATCAAAATGGTGTATGCTATGGCGAGCACTGTAGCCGAGCGCACTGAGCATCCTTTGTGGGCGGCCCTGTGGGAGGCGGCTATTCGTCAAGATCTGGATATTGGATCGAAGCCCTCCGGAACTGTTACTGAAGTATCGCTGAACGCGGTACTGGCTGAGTTCATGGCGGGGGATCATCTTGCGAGGTCTATCATGCCGTACCTCCACATTGGCCACTCTTGACATGTTGGAGCCGTACGTACTCCTGCTTGTTTGTCTCTGGATCACATATACCTCATTTGGCGGGTTTTCTGTGAGCTTGAGTGACAAACTGGGGCAAAAGCCTGTCTGAACGGCAACAATCGGGTTCGTCAGCGCGGGTAGAGGAGGGCTTGATCGTAAACTGGATATAGCCTCCCAATGCATAAATAACGAAGAATCCTAAATGTACAGCATTTCTTTCATAAGAGCGGATAACACCAAGGGGGCTTTGTAGTTTATCTCCTGGTGCTGGTCGTGTCCAAACTTACCGTGGTCGTCTCCCGAATTGGCGAATGTGGCTGACAACCTAGATCTGAGGCTTTCGCAAGTTGCAACCCTCATACCGAGTTCGGCGTTTTCAGTCGACTATTGCTCTCTGGAGGCTTTCTGGAGTCTGGACCCACACCCGTCTTGGGGAATAGGCCAATAGTATGGTCCGCTGACATGGCAAACGGGTTCGCTGATTCTTTAAACGTGAATATGGACGTGTACCGACCCATCAAAAGAGAGCTTCAATCTCCATTCACCCATGCTTGAGTCCGGAATGCGCCTTGGGAAAGGTCCATATATATTACACACCTTCATTGTAGCTATGCTGGCCAGGGGGGACGGCCTGCAGTAAACATCCCCCTGAGCCTACCCAGTAACCCAATTCTAAAACACCTTCATACGCCATCGTCCAAGCTCCGAAACGAATCTCATCCAACGAACAGAAACGGGATGAGAACATCAAGCATTGCTGCTCGTTTCCACCTTCCGAAAATCAAGGTCCGGGATTCCCCGGCAGCTTTCCGCGTCACGGCCATAGACGGTAGATCAGCTTGTCCACGTTCGAGGATCAGGTTTCCTCAGTACCCTGCTGCCCCGGGCGCTTTCTCGTCCTTGCGCAGGCTGAGCAGCAGCTCACGGAAACGTTGCTTCTGACTGCCTGACGCGCCGCCTTTAACTCCCTTGCCGCTCAAGTCCACCAGCTTCGCAATTCTCTCCCAGCTGGTTCCTCCAGCAGTTGTGTCGTCACGGTTCGCAAGAAACTCTTCTGCCTCTTTCCGCGTCTTCGCGATCTCCTTCTCCTTCTTGTTGTTGTAGTTCTCGTAGAAGTCGTCAATGTTTTCCCGTGCCTCTTGGATGGTCCTCTCCTTCTTCTCGGCAGACACTTGATCGCGGTGCTGGATCTGGAGGTCTCGACGCTCGCGCCACTCACGGATAACCTCTGGCTCTGGGGATTCTGGTCGTGCAGGAGCGAAGGAGGGTTGGGGCTGGCCGGGGAGATATGGTAGAGTGGAACCTGTGATTGTGCCGCCGGGTGCCATGTGCTATGATGTGGCTTAATAAGAGAATACCATGGTATATTCGGTGCAGCTCACCTCGTTGGTTGTGTCGATAGCCGGGAAGGAGCTTTCGAAGCCATGCATCTCTTCTCCACCTACATGGGCCTGGAATTGGCCTCCACCCAGCAAGTCGTCATCACCGTCCTCGACCGTCGCGATCTTGTCGTTCGGGGAAGCAAACTGGTCTGCATCGTCGCCGAGCAGCGCCCTTTCTCTTGACAGGAAGTCTTCATCTGTAGCACCGCCTACCAAATCAAAGTTGGCCTCGCCGCGCGCCTCAGTCTGGCCTGTTGCATGGTCAATTGCAAGCTCCGGTTGTTGGGCGTTGAATAGCAGATTGGGCTTACCAGCGTCGATCTCGTCCAGCGAAGGGAATCTGTCAGCCATTTTGAGAATGTTGCAATGAGGTTGAAGGAGTTAGAGAGATTTTGGAAGAAATTATGCAGCGATGCGCGTTTGCCTGCTCAAGATTGCGATGTACAGCCCAAGATCATGCCGACAGATGTTCGGTCCCTGCTCCCCAGGAGCAAGCCGCCAAGGCGCTAGCTTCAATGCTGCGGATGAAAGTAAGGCCGGCTTCCGGTTGAAACCGGACTACACCTCAAGCTCCTCCGCTCAAACTACGACGGGTGCTCCATAGTCAGAACCACACATCCCCAATTTAGTCACAGCTCCGAGAGACGGGGTATTTTGCAACTTGATACTCTGTAGCATTGCTCTGGATTAGCCCATCGACACCAGCAGCAACCAAGTGTCTTTCTCAGCTTCGCTCTGAAGATTCGTAGCTATGTCGGGCTATACAGATGACGCCATCAATGCGAAGCTCGCATCCCTTAACGAGACAACGGAATCAATCGTTTCCGTTTCTCAGTGGATATTGTTCTATAGGTAAATGACCCTGTGTCGTAATATCTGGACATGCGATTCCCAAGTCGGAGTGAAGCTGCATCTCGGCGCTCCAGGCCTCGAGCTTCGTAGCCTTCATTTCTCCAGCTAACTCATGCATACAATAGGAAAAATGCCGAACGTACAGCACAAGTTTGGACGCAGAAAATCAACACATGCCATTCGAGCAAGAAGCTCCCCCTCATCTATGTTGCCAACGGTATGTCATCCTCCTCTCCATTGAACACGATTCGCTAATAATTCGACAGAGGTAGTTCAACAATCCAGGATCAAGAAGAAAGAAGAGTTCATCAGAGCTTTCGAACCACTCATCGCCGAAGCCACCGTCACCGCCTTCAAGACCGCTACCCCTTCCAGCGCACAAGAGAAGATCCGCCGCGTGGTCGATGTCTGGCGCGACCGCCAAATCTTCAGGCCCGACATTCTGCAACAAATAGATGCCGGTATGGCGTCGCGTGCGCCCAGCCGTAAGCAGGCGCTTGGTGGATCGTTGTATGCGAATGCTTCGGTACCGCCCGAGCTGGCGTCTGTTGCTCCACTCGCAACGACCCTGCAGAAAGCAGACAGCTCGACGAAACCCGCTGTCGACGAAGCGAACCGTGACTATGAGAAGCTCACGAACCCGAACAACGCGATTCCCACCCCGCCTGTCCATGCTGCTGGACTCGCTACCCTCGTCAAGAAGCTAGCTACTGCGGAAGGGGCAGTCGCTGAAAGTATCAAAGCCCGTCAAGCGCTCATATCCGGACTCGAGAAGCTCCTCGACACCAACAAGGCGAAACTGAGCGCAGAGGAAGCGCAGGTCGCCGAGCTCCGCGCAAGAAAATCGGCCATCGAAGGCCGCAAGCGGGAAGTCGAAGAGGCGATCCTGAAGGGCCTCAGTGTCGAGGACCAGCACGCCATATCGGCTGCTCCCCTCTCTGTCTCGGGGGGGTTTGGCACGAATGCCGAGTCTTCCCTTCAGCGTCCCAATATCGAGGCTCTGACCCCTCCACCAGTCGAGTCTTTTACTCCCGTTGGATCCCCTCAGCCTTTCGTCCCCAACGATGTTCTGCCCGAACCAGCCGCTGAGCCAATAGAACCAATCGCTGTCCCTGCCCCACCGGGGACAACAGCGACCTCAACGGCTCCTGTCACGGGAATTGGGTCTCCAAAGCCGCCGCAGGATGTTGACCTCTCCGCCAAGATCACCCAAGCAACGCCCGCCGGGGATGGGATGAACGGCGCTGTGGAATATCACGATCGGTCTGCGAAGAAGAGGAAGCTTAGCCGGAGCCTGGGTGAGGATGAGATGGCGGCATTTGAGGGGGATAACGAGATTCAGGGCCTGGATGAGCGCATGGGCAGTCTTATTTGAGTTGTTGCGGCGGATCTTTATACTTCGAAATTTCATTATAGGGCCAGGCCGTTGTGGTTGATGCACCTTCGAGCCCACATTTAGCTGTGCCAGTTGGGTTAACATTGGATGAATATTCATCGCGGTATCACTTTTGGCAGTGGGTGCGGTTGGAGATTTATAGCCGGCACGAAGGGAGAGATCGTTCAATGATAGGGTTGGGCAGGATGGTGCTCCGAAAATCCGACTATCTGTATTATATCAACGGTGATCCATACTATACTGCATGCCTCTGATTCCTAATGATAAGTACACATGAGTTACCCTCCACCGCTGTACGCCCAACACCTTAACTCCACCGCGGACCCTAATGCAGTTTCGCTGACACACGCTCACAGAAATGCAATCCCCTACTCGGAAGGCCCCGCCCCAGGCATCCGATGCGTCTTCTCAATCTCCTCGACCGCCTTCTTCCCCTCCTCGGTCGTCGCATCAATCACCCCTTGCTCCAGACTCAACATGCCCCCACTCCCCAACTTCTCCACAATGTCCTCTGCCTCCTCAACGCTCATCTTCGCAAGCACCTTATTCACCTCGTCCAACTTCCCGCTCTCCAGCGCTCGTTGTAGACCCGGCGGGAAGGAATCGAAGATGGCGCGCGCCGCCTCCTCGGCGGCCTTCTCCTCGGGGTTCTCTGCCTGCGACACTTTGGGCGGAACGACAATGTTGATTGTGGTATTGGGATCCACGGCATGTAATTGTATCTGCTCGACGCCTTCGGCCGCCTCGGGCCGTTCGGCGCGCTCCTTCGCGATCTCGGCCGCGCGCGTGTGAATACGCCGATACGTCGACTCGACATCATCGTGGAACAACTTGTTCGCCTGATGGTCCTTTGTCGTGATGCGCTTGAAGAAGAGCTGCACGCCCTGCGGCCCTGCGCCCTGCGCGCCGGCCAACTGCCGACAATACTGGATCAGCAGCGCGGCGTGCACGCACGCCTTTGCGTGTTTCTGCCTGCCGTCGAGTTCGCTGTTGAAGGCTTCGACGAGGAGGCCGTCGGTCTCTTTCTCGGCCAGGATGGACGGGTACTGGATGATGAATTCGAGCAGGCTGTGGTAGTCTGTTGATTTTATGCGGGCGAATTGTTTGGCTAGGGGAGAGGCTTCGACGCTGTCGTCGTCGACTTCGCCGGATTTGAGCGTGGAACCTGCTTCGTCGACGTCGGCCTCTGCGCCGGATGCGGAAGCGTCGGGGCGAGAGGGATTGAGGAGCTCGACGGTGGTTTCTTTGCCTTTGGCGGATGTTGCGGGTTTGGATGATGAGGGCGTGGGGTCCTTTCTGACGCTCGAGTAATTGAAGCCCTCGTGTATATCATCACTCGTGATATGCCTCTTCTCCTCCTTCTCCAGTTCCGCCAGCTTTTCCAGCAATTGCCGCTGCAGGTCTTCCACTCTCGCTTTATGCCCTTCCAGCCCCGAGATGAACTTCTCCAGCCTATTCTCCGACGCATCCGGCTTCGCATCCACGTCCTTCTTCACCTCGTCGATCAAGCTCGCCAGCATCTGCGGATAACTCGGCTTCTCCTTGACCTGCGTATGTACGCCCTCCGGCGGCGTCGGCGGCCTATCCTCGCCTCCGTCCCCCACCGCACTCTCCATCATCGACTGGAAAACGACGGCATCGGGATTCGCGCCCTCGTCCGCCTTGTGCGATTTCAGCGCCGTGATGAGCCGGTCTAGCCGTAGCGTCAGGCCATCGTTGATGATGCGCTCGTATTTGAGGGTTTTGATCTGGTGCCGCCGCTGTTCGCGCTGTTGGTGGATTTGGGCCTGTTTGGCGCGGATGAAGGATTTCTTGTCCACGTTGGGGTGCACCTCGATGTCGCTGTCGTCGGAGAGCTCGAGGGCGTCCTGGGGGTAATCGTTAGCTTGCGGATGTTCGCTCTGGGATGGGGATTGAACGGCGGACGTACCCACTTGCTGTAATTGATGACCATCTTGCTAATACCCCGTCCTTGAACGCTTAGAGAGTTATTTGAGTGGTCTTGAAGAGAATCACTAACATTCGGAGATTGTTGCGGGGGAGTGAAGTGGGATGAAGGGAGCTTGGGCCGGGCTTAGGCTTGGCGGTCTGGAAATTTCGAGCATCTTCAAGGACGTCTCATCACTCTCTCAACCGTGATTCTCTTGTTCTTTGTTGGTTGCCGAAAGGGATGAATTCCGTTACCATCTTGCGTTGGGTTAATCAGCAAATTGGGCGCTTTGTGCAACCTCTCTTGAACTGATGCATGATTTCATCAAGTCTACCGGGAGCCTGCATCCACCGACATTGAACATATCGCAGTTCGACTACACCTTCCCAGAAGACCGAAGCCGCAGTCATATGCGTAGTACAGTATGCCAAGGTCTCATGGGAGGGTATATTCAGGATCCATATACACAGTAGTGACTTCGTGCCAGTATGATCTAGGCATTTACCCACCACTAATCCGATTCCAAGTCGTCTGTAGTGCGCATTCCATTCAACCCCATCCAACGTCATGTATAGTCCGGAGATTGAAATCCTCGAAACAGTTCCCAAGGGTACTTCTTCTTTCCCTACTACCACCATGGCAGCCCCTCACACCTTCACACCAGCAACAGGGCAAACCGCCCCCTTATGCGCCGCCTTCACATCCGGATGCTCATGCACCTTACTCTTGTGATGCCCCACCGTCGCCTTCGTAACCGGACACACATCCCCCTCCTTCGCATCCTTGGTGCTCGGATGATCCGGCGGTAACACGGTCGTAGCGGTGCCCACGACGGGGCAAATCTCGTCGTCCATGGCCTTGCTCTTTGGCTGCTCGACCACCTGCTTCAGCACGGGACACGCGGTTGCGATGGGTCCGCCCTTTGCGCCCTCGATATGCACCGGAGGGTGCTTGTGCAGGTTGTGGTGGTGGTCGGTGGTGGCGCCCACGACGGGGCATTTCTGGCCTTGTTTGCTGAGGTCGATGTCCGGGTGGTTGGGAGGGAGGACGTCGTTTGTGGTTCCTACGATGGGGCATGCTGTAGCGGTGGCCATGGTGGATGATTTTATGTTGTGGTTTGGGTAGTAAAGATCAGGAGTTGGGAGGTTTTGCGAGTTGCGCTCTGAGAGTCCTGACGCTAGGAGTTAGCGGAGGCATGGTCGCTTTCTGAAGAGACAACTAAACAGCATAGCCGGAACAATCGCGAGGTAGATCTTGTGACGTCACGGCCCAAATTCGGTAAGCCATAAATGCACGCCAAATTATTGGTTAGCTGCGACCAACCACCTGCGAGGGGTGAATGCTGGGAACAATAGACCACCTCAATTAAATAGGAATATCCAAAGTAGATTTCGCGCTCACCGAAATCAATCAGCTTATTCTAAGCTTTATGATCCTTTAGAAGCAGGTGCAGATAGGTACTTGCACAGACGTATCCCGGGAATGACTTGACTATCCCAGAACAACCTTCGAAGCGTCCAACAAGTTATTCAACCAACCAGAACGAATGCTAAGAGATGCAACGTGCATAACCTACTACCCTAAGATACACGAAGCTTGAACAACCCCTCCGTTCGACCCAGCCAACATCCAAACAGCTAAACTAGCATGAGCCCTTCGCCATTAACCATACCACTCAGCTATCCACCTCATAAGACCAAACCCAATTCCACAACAAAACCCTCCCTTATACCAGCCCTTAATAAGTACGCATTTTGAATACAATCTCCTTACGCCTTACCGGCCGGTCAAACGAAAACAGGACTACCAGTCACACTCCTGTTAATAGGAGTCTCGTGCGCAGGACTCCCAGCCGCGCTCCTCGCACTTCGCTCTTTGATGAACCGATCCGCCATGCGCTGACCAGGTGTCGTACAACCACTGCGTGTCTCCGGGCGGTCCCCAGCACCTTCACCGAGGACAGAGTCGATACCGCGGCATTCCTTCGCAGGAGCTGGCTCTTTGTTGAGCACAAGGGAGCTCGCGGACAATCCAGGACCCAAATATGATCTCTTCGGTTTCGCACTGGACGAGTTTGGCGACGGTCGAGCAATCAGAGACCCAGAAGAAGCCCAGAATGATACAGAATCGGGAGCCGATGGGTCTTGGGGGGCGCGGGTAACCATGGGTCGACTTAGCGCGGAGTATGTACCCTGAGGGCGCGCGTTCTTTTGCGGACTACTCTGCGTCGACAATGGGTATCTTGCAAGCGAGGGTGGTTTCCCTGTGCGTAGGTCCAGTGCACTCCTTGGGCGGACGGTAAGCTTTTCTGGGGATACAGGCCGCAGGCGGACGCGTATTCGAGGCTGAGGTATTGCTGAGCTTCTGCCCTTTCCGCAGCTCACGTCTCCTGCGGAAGCAGCGTATTGGGACAGAGTCGAAGAGGCGCGTGTATTTCCCGGCGAACTTGAAGGCTGGAAGTGCCGCATGCAATCCAAAGACCGCGGAACTGGAGAGGCTGACAGGCTTGATACTTTCATAGGGGCAGATATAATGCTTCTGATATTCTCCTTGTTTCCCTCCACTATTCCACTGGTATTCGGTCGGCTATGCGGCTGGTGCGTGGGACTGTCATCATACGACGGCAATCGGCTGGCGATGTCGTGGAGACATTCATGCTGAGACGAAGAACCGGTCCGTTGGGGCGAAGAAAGTCGGGAGAGAGGTGAGTTCGTGGAGAACTCCGACGCAAACGGTGAACTCTCTCGTTCTTTGCGTGTAATAGAGTCCACCGAGATTCGCTGTAATGTCGGTGTCTCCAAACCGTCCGAATGTGCTCTTTGCGCGGATGGGGAACCGTCATCTGTGCTTTGTGCAACAACGTTTTTCTCCTCTTCATTGATTTCTGGAGACTCCCGTCGGTGTTTCGGAGGACTCTCTTCCGTGGCTTGGTAACGGTCATGGATGGCGATTTCCTCTTTCGGCAGACTGGTGAGCTCTGATATCTCGTGCGATAGCCACGCTTTCCAGTCTCGACTGTTGTGTAATGTAGCACTACCCCTACGGGCTTTTGGAGTGCCTACGACGAAGCTTTTGACCGAGTGACTCGTGATGATCATCGCAGAACCCGTGGGACTGTCCTTGAGCCCTTCTTCTTTGGCAGTATCTAATGACATTACGCTGTTATTGGGAAGAATGCTCATGCCATCAGTGTTGCGAGAGTAGACGCTCGGCGAGAAGATGCCGCTGGCTTTCGGTGTATGCTGTGCAGAATAACGTACTTGTCCCAAGACCTCTGAAGATTGATTGGTTACTGCTGTGTGTCAGTTCTCGCACTGATGAAGCTTCGATAGCGATCACTGACCGGCTTTGTCAACGGTCGCAGTCACAGCAGCCTCTGCGATGGGGGAATGGATCAACCCATGACCCTCGAGCGGAGCGTTCCACCGTCCTTGCGACTTTTGCACTCGGGCTTCAATCTGCTCAGGGGATGGGATAACCATCTCCCCTTTGGGTGGACTTATCACCCTGTCGCGGCGTGGACGTATTCTGAAACCAATCGAGCGATGACTGGAATCATGAAGGCCACCCTCTGCAGATTTCAGACTCTCGGCTATTGAGCCACCAGAATTGGATCTCGGTATCCGCAGACTGCCAGGAACACTCTGAGCACAGTCTGAAGCCGGAGAGGAAGGAGTGAGTGGCTCTGAAGGGGTCACAGGACGAATGCTAGCTACCAGTGCACGACCGAGTGACTTGAAGGAAGTCGACCCCAGTGAACCACGTTTACCCTGCATGGATATCATGTTTTGCCGCTGCGAAGAATCGAGCCTTTGGAGACGGATACTTGCACTAGATCCAATCCTGCCACTTCTGTTGGTTCGAGCCTCTTCTCTAGAACCCAACAGCGGGACCTGGGATGCACCAACAAACGACTTTCGGTTTATTTGATCAGGTGTTTCTTGCACGGTGCAATGGTCGGTCTGAACAGTTTTCGTCGAGTCGATTTCCTTCATCAAAGCTGAAAACACGCGTTTCGGGTCCACTGCCATGTCACCATCCGCCATCATGCTCAGCATTGGCATGGGATCTCGAAAGGCAGCCAATGCAGGCGGTGGCTGCGGTTCTCGCCTGGGAATTCCTTGCGCAGAGTTGACTCCTGTTTGGCTACCGACGCTATCCTTCGCTTCATGAATGACTGTCAGGCGCTTCGCCGTGCGTTGAGTGATAGTCTCTGCGATCGAAGAGTTACCCCAACTAGTAATGCGAGAGGTGGCGTGAGTCATCCCAGCATCGCTACGAAGGCTACGATTGCTGCCCCTTGAACTGGGCCTCGCCAGCGCCGGCCGACCGCTTTCAAGTGATGATGAACGGGATCTCACGCGGTGAAGTATATCCTCTTCCGGTTGAGGGACGTTTGGGCTTGCGCTGTTACCATCAGCTAGGGGCGTAGCTACACTGTGACTGTCAAAATAGTCTCTGCCCGCAGACACCTGCTGAATCGGAATTGTGCTGGACCTGTGGGAGGATCGGCGGAAGACCTTCCTCAACTTGTTCTTCAATGAGCCCGAAATAGATCTTTTTCCCTTGAGAGTTTTTGGATCCGGCTGCATGTCCAGCTGGGCAGCAACATCGACTACGGTGGATTCTTCCTCACAGACAGTCATTTTGGCTTTCTCATCTCTCTTTCTAAACGGGGCTAGGAAGAGTGACGGCCGCTGCCTCACTTGACGTTGTTGCTGAAACTCTTGTAGGTACTTGTCCCGAGCCTTATCAACCGAGTCATTTGGGAAGGCTGTCCTGTATGGTCGAAGGGACGGAGGTTCGGTGGCAGTTGATTCGCTCAGGTGCTGGACGGTTCCACTAACACTCTTGACGGACAAGTTTGCAAATTCCGCCCTTTGGACGGGCTTTGCTGAGCCACCGGGAACGGGTGAGTTGACCGAAGGTGTCGTCACGAACTTCGCGGGTGTACGGGATATAGGGGATCCGGTCTGGATGTTGCTTGCGTAGTACATAGACCGAGCCTTACAGATCTCCCCATACGTCGATGGGGTAGAGGCAGTCTGCCGTGCTTGCCTAGAGTGGGCAATGGGCGGCAGGTTCTCGTTTGTGGCTGTTGAGGGTCGCCCTTGTGGAGAGCATGTTGGGACGTTTCTGGCCGCGAGCGAAGACTGTGACTGACGATGAGGCAGCTGTTGGGGTCTCCGGTGTTTCAAGGAACGGAAACTGGACTCTCGTTCGGGGAACCGACTTCTCCGTGAATCTCTGTTACCCGTTCTCTTCGTTCCGGACAGCTCCACGCGGCGAAAATATTCCCCTTCGGCCGCATCTGCCACACGGGCTCTAACAAAAGCAGTCGTCGCGGCGGCCAAAGCATGTTGTCGAGCGACATCAGGCCCTTGCGGTCCTTGCCAGTGTGGCCTATGAGGTACTGTGGAGGCCGACTTGGAACGACGCAGACGGGCGCCGGCGTCACTGGATGCTCGAGATAGCATCGAATGGCGGAGAAGTGGCGGCAATTCTAATGGGCGCGTATAAGTAAGCTGATGCGCGAGACTCAACGTAGTGAAGCTGCTTAAAGGTCGCAGCAAGCATGAAAGCGAGGCTGGAGTGGCGAGGAGACGGCGGAGAGCCACGCTACATTGGTACGGTCAGGCCCGTCCAGCAGGAGTAGCCAACAAGTGTGGAAGGAACCGCCGGCGACTTCAAGACAGGGCGTCTACTTCCTTCACACGGCATTTTCGATGCACAAAAAGGTATCGTATCTGGCGCTGTGAGGGAGATGACGCTTCCCCGTAATCCCCATACAGACGAGAAGGGAACGCGCGTCCTGTGATGATAGCTTAAAGGGTTATGCAGCGGAAAAGGGCGCTCCCCAAACGATCTTTTCAATGGCGGTGCTCGGTACGGTCTTCAACACGCATTTGCCGGATGTCACAATCCCTGTGAGACTTAGGCTCTCAATATTTCCTTCAACGAGAGTTGAAAGGCATCTGAAGGGCATCTTTTTCGAGATTCTCTGATTGTATGAAGAAAACCGATTCGTATTGATCAACAACAGGGCTAGGCAAGCGCTGGGCAGCGAGTTCCGCGGCTTCGCCAGCATCTTAACAAACACCTGTACATGTATAGTACGATTGCGAGGGTTAATCCCCTCAGTCTTGATGTCGTCTGCCCACAGTGCCATCCTCTGGCTCCGAATCTTCATTATCGACCTGTACATACCCTGGGGCCGACATTGGCCTGTCTTTGACGGAGATGATGAATGTGACAAAGGTTACTGCTCCGTGTACGGCGGCCGTGGCAAGGAATGGTATCCCGATCCAAGGTTCTCCCAGTTCAATACCCCATTCAAATATGGCAGCCAGAGCTGGCCCAGCAATCATGACACCGATGCTTTCCACGATTGCAATAACAGCAAATAGTCTGCCAATATCGGGACTCGACTGACCTCCAACCACATGGATGGAAACACTTCGCAGGGCCGCATTGTATCCGGTGCCGAGATTGAAAACCAGAAGGCCCAAAACGAGGAGAGCCGGATGGGCGGCGATGCCCATAATAACAAAAGAAAGCGTACTGAGGATGATGCTGCTACGGGCTAGCCACAAATCAGCCCAATGCGCGGGCAGCCGAATGACTCTCAAAAGAAACATATTGACCCCAGGTACAAAGACGGTGAGAGCAACAAGGTTCGTCGCGGCACGAAAGGACAGCAGATAGGCAGCCTATACAGATCAGCTGAGGATTCCGCATCTGAGATAATCGACAAACCTTCTTAATCTTCCAGTTGTATCGCTTTGATGCATACCGGATGAGCATACTCATTGCCTGCCTCCCCAGTCGACTAACCAGAAAGGCGAATATGACGAGAGCCATGGTGGTGTCGCGACACAGAAATACAAAAGCATCTTTGAAGTTCCGTAGTTGTGTTTTGATCGCAAAGGCGCTGGGCTCTTTTACGGGTTGCAACTCTATGGTTTGGTCGAACTCCGGATCATGTGGTTCGGGTAGGTCGCGCAAATGCAAGGTTTCCGGACATGCCAAAGCCACAAAGATGCCCATCTGTTGGATGACGAGAGCAAGAATAAGCGGAAGCCACTCCCCATAATCCATCAGACGCGCTGACAGGATAGGGGCTATGAGTTCAGCAACTAGGACGCCGGCGGTGAAATACAGAAAGACACCAGTGCGCCTCTCTGGAGGAACGATATCGGACATCATTGTAAGGCCGATGGCACTGGCAACGATAGGACCTCCTCCTATGACCAAGAAGGCCGATGAGATCCACGTAAGCTCAAGAGGGAGGCTACGAAAATAACCTGAGACGAGTCAATGCTTGAAAACAATGAATTGAAAAGTCGGATACGTACAAATGAATAGAGTCCACGCCATGCTGAGTTCTAAACCCATCAAACTGGCAATGAATACCCACTTCCTTCCCCGCTTATCTGCCAACGTACCAAAGGGGACTGCTAGTAAAATGCCCGGTATCGCGTCAAAGAGATCCTGCCAACCGAAGATCATGGCCATCTTCTGTTGGATGGTGTCTTGTTTACAAAGCTCCTCCGGTATAGTCCCACCGGGTCCAATCTTGGTCGGATCGTGTTCTTCATAGTAACGAAGGCATAGATTCGCCTCATATACGCGGGTTCTGGGTGCTTCGGCCAAGAAGGCTCCAACATCGACGATAGAGACGAGGAGAAAGAGTAGCACACAGAGGATGATCCATGGCTTCTTTTCTTTCGGCGATTCGCTGACGGCTGCCTCCTCTTCTGAATTGATCCGGGACAGAAGAGGTGCGCCCTCTTCGAGGGGAGTTCGAGGCGTGTCTGCGGAGGAATGGGCCATGGTGAAGGAGAGATCGCTCGGAAGCGCGCCGGGTGAATGCAGTAGCTAGGCGCTCAAGGGACAAAGGACTCGTAAGCTAAGCGACGCGTTGGCATGACGAAGGGGGCAGGGGTGGGTGGAAGCCGCCCTTGTGAGGCGTGAATTGGTATCATGGCTTCGTCTGAGGGCTGCTGAGACCGGTGTGCTGATCGTCGGGGAACGGGGTTCGGGGTCCGGTTCTGATGCATGCCCACAGCCAATTCAATGGCGCTGTGGGTTCGAGATACGCCACAAATATGTGGCTGTGCTGCTGACTCAGCCTCCCACTTAGCACTTTGTACGACGTCCATTTCCGAGATATCTCGGCCTGGAAACATCAACAACTTTATTTACGCCCGGATATGTTACTAGGGACCCTGGATATTCGAAGAAATTCTTCCTTGCATAATTCCGTGGTTTTCCTGAGATCCTGCGGTTTACCCAGCGAGAACGTATTCCTTGAGTCTACACATCGACACCACACAATATGATGCGCCTGAACGGACGGCAACACTTACTTGGAAACTCCCCTTAGGTGTGCTAGTGTTGATCGACTATAGTCACATCTATCTCTTCGTTGAGAATGCCGTGATGGGTCTTCCATGTCAACAGTGTATCTGCGTTTGGTGTTGAGCCGTTAAGAGGGATTCTCGTTACGTACGTCGTTTGACTCCCTCAAGCAAAGTGCCCTCGCAAATGAACTTTAAGCTGAAGAACTACCGCGATTACCTTCGATTGCCGCTTCTACCAACGCATGTCCGTGGAATGCACACAATGCTCGGATCTCACCTGCCTATAACCCCATGATCTTGAGCCCGACCTTGAAGCCGCAGCATGAGCTGATCATGCGATTCGCACAATGATAGGGGCCCTGGACACCGCCTGTCAAGCATCAATCATGGAATGTCAGGTGTCATCTGCGGCTCCCGATTTTCGGTGGCCTCTAGCCGGCTGCTGTCCATCTGGCAGTTGATTCTCGGTTTTGTTAGGTGGACTTTTGGGCTATTCGTTTGTTCGAAGCGGCAGTCTCATAAGAACGGTGAGTAATGTCCTTTCGATGCATGAGGGCCCCGATGAGGGTGATTCGATAACTCATTCGCGATTCAAACGCGTGCCCTTCGCGTGATGAATGAGCTCGAAATAGGCGTACGCGCGGTGAAGATAGAAATGCCTTGTCTTTTTTATCTGTGAATAGGTTCACTCACCGTTCAATTTCCCATCGATCAATTATATTAGGCCCTATGGCCCGTCCTACTTCTCCAACGCTTCTGCTCATCCCTGAATCACGCCGTCTCTATCTCTTTGTTAATGAAGATGGCTAACGTCAGTTCAGTCCTCTCTCGATTCGAGTTCCTCAATATCCCTGGAGAGATTCGTAACCCCATATACGACTTCATCATCGACGATCTTCCGGACACCATCTCAGTGGAAAATATACGCCGTCTGCCGGCTCTGGCTCTTACGAACAAACAGATCCGTGAAGAATTCATTTCCCGGCTCTTCTGCAGGAAGTTCGTCGATATCCCCACCACGTCCTCTCTTTGGGCGCTGGAGTCCCTCATTTTCGATACACCTTTGCGCCCTCATGCGCTCGACATGATAACCCACATACGTCTACCCGATTTCTGCGAAATTGCTTCCTCACCCACACGCGCTTCCGAGGTTTTCGATGCCTGCAACTGGCTTCCCAATGTGAGGTCCCTGCAGCTAAACCTCCTTCTCGACCCCATAAAACTACCAATTCTTCGCAATCCAAGCCTGAGCCCTGGCCACATTGTTGAAAGAGTCGCAGAAGCGCTTGGTTTGGACAAGCTGGTCAAGATCCAGCAGCTTGGCTTCCTCTCCGTCCTCTGCGTGCTTGAGGATTGTGGGTTGGAGATAAGGAATAGTGAGGCGCTGCTGGAGGAGCTGGGAAGCTGGATAGGTGATCGTCTGGACCGGGCTGAAAGCGTTTCAGCAGTGGAAGGATCCGTTGCCATTCTGGGGGATGCTCGGACGGGTCTAATTGGGTTTGGGATTAGCCGCCCATAGATGGAAGATTTCGGGCTGTAAATCGTCAGTTTGGCCACTGTAGTGCCCAGTGGAACTGAATTTGGAGCTGTCTTTGGGTTCAGCGACGAGGGGCGGAGGGGGTGTATGACTGCTTTCGAATGTATTATACTTGTACCGTTTGGGGACTTTTGTGGTGTACGACATGCCAGAACACTGTATATTGCTGTATTTGTTTTGTACTGTACGTATGAGAGTAATGATCATTGGTGTTTCATTCTCCCCATCCGGTGGCTTGAGCTGGCCTCTATTTGGTGATATCTCCAAGTGCATGGATCTCATTCGAAGCCGTGGATGAGCATGGCAAATATCACACTCTGCAATCATCTCACCCTCCATTAGCTTAGTCCCAATTGCAATGTCTCCGTTCTTGTCGCTCAGTGAAGTCTCACATGCCCGACACTGGTCGGTCACGTGGCATATCTTTCACCGACCGCTCCCATATCAGTTGCTTTCACTCTCCTCTAATCTCGTCCGTGTTTATGTCAGGCGCGTCGCGTCTTTGTTTTGAGGAGTTTACACCGCGTTCGTGGTCAGGCCCGTGTCATAGTTAATCTCGGGGTCTCCCTCTTTCTACTCCCTTCCACCATCCCACAACCCACCACCGTCTTCCTTGTCTCAACTCACTGTACGGAGTTTGGGGCGCTGCATTTTGTGCCATTATTTTTGTATTGAAAAGCATTTCTCGCAATTGAAGTACGAGGTACGCAATATTATTGCTTGCTGCTGCACGCTGCACTTGAGCGGAAGCTCGTTCCATTTCACAATGCAGCTTGCCTGAGCTTACCTCTGCGACGATATAGAGCACCCCGCGTAGCTCTACAGCGTCTCCTCTCCAAGTTTGTCGAGCCATCAGATTAAAGGTCAGTTAGACGGTGTCGACCGTCTTTCCTGCTGACCGCCATATAGAGCGATCCTTTTCTCGTTTGGCTATCAGTGCGACTTAACACCGCGATCCATGGCCGGTTACAATCAGACAATCAGATTCTCCTCAGTCCCTGCCCGTGGTAGGTGTACTCACCTCTCTATACCGAGCGGACGCATTAATTAGTACCCTCAGGACCAAACAGCACCACTTCCGGAAGCTCTTCCAGCCCGACGATGGACAGGAAGGCCGCCTCCGACATCGGCCCATTCCTGCGTCGGGACTCTTCATCTCTGAGTTACTCGGGTATGAGCACACCAAGCGTTCCGCAGAGCCCTGGAGGCGTGCCTATCCAAGGCTCAAACCACAGCTCCGGACCTGGCTCCTTCCGAGGCTCAGTGCAGAGCTCGGCGCAAGTCTCCCCATCACTCGTCAACGAGCCTCTTCCGGTAGTAAAGCCCAAGAATGCCGATACAATCTTCATGACTACCGGCTTCGGTTCTACGCGGTCTAATGCTCGAGGACCTAGGTCCAACAACTGGCGTGAGAACGCTAGACCCATCCCTGGCACTGAGAACTGGAAGCCTGCATACTGTGAGTTCTCAATTCTTTCCTCGGTTGTCAAAGTGTCACTCCTAATTCTGGGTAGACGGCAACCGCGTGGTCGGCGAGACCGGAAACAACTTCAACCTCGCTGCTTTCCTGTCTCAGACTCCGACAATAGAAGAATCTCAAGCGATTCCCACAGGAAATTTCCTCGTGGACCTCGAGCGGGAACGTACCGCTCTGGGCGCTCACCCTAATCGTCCTCAGTTCCTCTCTCACTTTGGGTTGGTTGCCAGCGAGGACGACTACTACCGTCAAGTTCTGCCCTACATCGGAAGGTGCAGCTTCGTTCTGAAGAGCTCGGCTGATATCGATTACCTGCACGACATCCTCTGCTCGCCCGCCCTTCCGCAAGCCATACGTGCCATCTCGAACCTGGTGATGCCCAAGATGTACTGGTTCTCTGGCGTTCGCGAGAACCGCAAAGCGAATCCGTTCCTAGTCTTCATGTCTCGTCTTCCCGAAGTCCGCGAGGTGACGATCACCTTCCACACGGGCGGCCTCACGGGATCTGCTTTCACCGAACGAGATCGTCTTCGTATTGAGGCCGAGGATCTCGACCGCTCCAAGCAACTAAAAGTTCTTCGCCTCAACGAAATCATTCGTTTCTATGACCTTCCCCGTCTGTTTGATTGCAAGTCGCTGCGCAAGATCAACCTGCAGTGCATCACATCCGATATGGTCTCTCGCTACACCAAGGGTGGACATCCGCTCGCTCCGTTCATGGAGCTCGTCGGCTGGGTTCGTCAAGGCTTCGTCGACGTCAATGGATATCCGATCGAAGTGACAGCAACAATTGTCAACCCTCAGCGGCCGTGAAGCACGTTTGCTTCTGGTCGTTTGCTCGTCCAGCCAAAATTGTACAATGTGTACCAATAAAAGTTCAGTTTAGAGGGAGTGCTATACGGCTGAAGGGAGGGCAATCGGAGCCCGACTCAATCGAACTGGCATGGGTACAGTCCATATTTGGTCTCCGCAACACCTTACTTCTGGCGCTCTACGACAATTCTCTGAGTCCCTCACCGCGAACCGCCATACCCTGGCCATTTTCTTTGTTTAAGCCTTTTTCTCTTCTGATGTTTCCATTACCTTGATCTGTCAAGGCTTTGTATGTGACCCTATGGTCTGTAATTGTCTGTCTGACTTGTATGATTCTTGCTCTCGGCATAGGACATCGCGTGGATCGAGGCTTCCTTGTTCTGGAAAGTGGAGTTCGGAGTCACTTCTGTCGTCAAGCATGGAACTTGGGGAGGATTGTGTCAAGCTGATGTGATGTTCGATGACCGTTTTTGTAATGAGTTAGGAATTTGATGAAGCGATACAATCATCGATGAGAGAGCACAGAGGGTAAATGAGCCTGTTTTATGGAATACAAATGATGAGCCGCAGTCTCCCGGATGATATTTTTCTGCTTTCTGTAAAGTGTATTGTGATGTCTTGCTCCGACACTGCGCATATTTATTCAGCGCTCGCTGGGTGAAACTCCGAGCGGTTATCTCTGTCTCTGGTATGCGGAGCTTGTCGCAAGGCACATAATCTCCCTAGCAGCTAGAAAGTGCACAGGCAATTCTGTGAAGCGTCTACTTACGGTGCCCTGTTTTGGTTATGCCAGGGATACGGAGCCTGAATGGGCTCTGAGACGTTTTCGTGTCCAGCCCGCTTTGAACGAGTGGACCGCAGTAGATACCTGCAAAATCCGCTGCTAAAACCCTAAACTTTGCAGCATGGAGTCACTAATGTAGAGCAACTCCAAAGCCTTCACAAGGTTGCCTGTTCGTCATCATGCCAGTTTTTATCTATATGCGCCCCACGCCTATTCAGCCAGTTGTGGGATCCTGCACGACAGATGAAATGCTCTTTCTATTATTGTGACCGTCACAGTATCCAAGATCTGGATGGGTGTTTAAGGGTCTAAGGATGACTTATTACGCCCGATTCTGGCGGAGTTTGCACTCTACCTATCTACTGTCATTCCAACCCAAAGTCTCACGCAGGCCATGGCAGGACGCTGTTCGCGAGCCTTCAGGGGAAGGAGAAGCACGCATACCAATGCTCCAATAGGCGGTATATAAAAACTCTATTCATCAAACCTCGTGATTGCATGTGCTGGTATGCTCCGAAATGGTTTGATGTCATCATCTATGGGGTGTTTGCCCCCGAATTACCTCTCAGACGCCCTCGGGTACGGTGACATGCATTCCTTAGTAACCGGAAACTAATATACTTAGCGGATTATCAAGCGGCAATCAATGGAAAAATCGGAATCACGGCTTCAAAGGCGTCTGAATACCTCTTATATGAGTCTGTCCCCTAACATTTATAGCCTTCTCCCACTCCAAGTTCAACCTAGCCCTGGTTCCTTGTATCCCCGGCTCAGGAATTTTAGGTTCAGGAAAGGACTGGGAGTTTCCTTAAACATTCCTAACGCATGATGTCATGTTTGGCACAAGCCCACACTGCTTGATCCATCTCTTGGTATTGATTGCTATTCTAAAGCAAAGATCAGAAGCTTGTGGAACGCAGCAGACAGGGACGTTATTTAAAGGTGGAAATCCGGAATCTACAGTTTTGCATAGTCATCATCCTTTTGTCACGCTCTTAGTTGATCTTATAAACTGGAAAAAATGGGTGGTATTCACTTGCCCACGAACCTGGCCCTTCAGTGGGACGAAACACACAGGTTGATCGGCTTTAAGGCCGGACGTCGTACCTCACACCGCGGCGTTCCCTTCCCTATAACCCACTGTACTTCCGTGGCCACGGTGGTTCTGCTTATATAGATACATATCCGATCACCAGACTTCCCAAGAACCCCAACAATCTCTTTAGCACCGTCGACAACACCAACCCTCGCACATCGGGCGGCCGACGACTCAGTACGTCATTCAAGCTCTCCGATTCTCTACTTCCATCACCATCCATCGAAGATTCCCGTATGCCAGTTACTGTACTACCTGCTTCGCAGGATCCGCGCAAGGCGGGTTGTCTTCCAGTTGTCCACAAGAACTCTGTATTGCCGCCCCCTTTCTCTGCCCTCGAGTATCCGCGGTTGCCATCGCAGGCCTCTCCGATTGGTGTGCTGGACGTCTTCCCCCTCTAAATTCGCGAGGACATTTACGAGCAAGCCATGCGTGCTGGGGGGCACCTCAACTACCACTACGACCGCGGAGGATGAACGGAGAAATGCCGTTAGTGCGTCACGGCCGAAGTGTCTCCCAGCTATATGCCTGGCGAGTCGAACAATCTACAACGAGGCGACACCTGTCTTTCTTAGGCATACGACATGGATAGGTAGATGCCTACTGATAAGCCCGACATGTGCGGCCCTGGACCGTCTTTCACTCCAGGTTTGCTCAGATCCCGTTCTTTGGATATCCGTCATGTTTAGAAAAGGCTTAATGCATTCCGTCTTGCTCATGCTACCTTAGCAAAAAGGGAGACGTTTGGAATCAGGTTATCTATCCTTTGGGACGACGCTTACGCCACACCGTTCGTTCACAAACTGAATTGTGCGCACCAAGAACGTTCCGCCTGATGCCTTCACTGGACTCCGTCACATTGATCTCAATATCCATGAAGCCTACTGCTTTGGTAGGCCTACCAATATACTTTGGATTTGGGAGGTCCATATGAGTTCAAGAGATGTTGATCAAAGGGGCCTTTGTGTACCCTAAATCTGAGTTCAATATAAGTCTCTTACCATCACGCCCACTTATGGTCTTGAGTTCGTAGGGTGCAGATCCCAACCATTTCATCACCGGTCCACGGCTCTTACGGGTTCCTGTTGGCTGTACCGCTGGTTTCGAGTTTAAAAACACAGCATACCGCGAGCTGGCCTCCTGTGATTTTGGAAGACATGATTGAGCGTACGAAACCTGGAGCCGTTGACTGCACCGCACCTTTCACCAGCTTCAGCTGAGTTGGATTATATGTGTAAGCTAATGCCGTTCCGCAAGTTACGTCCGATTCTCAAGGGTACGGTGGGCACCAAGCTTTCATAGCGGGTTCCAGGGTTAGACCGCTGATCGGTGACTTTCACAACCCATGGGAACACCCTGCTTTCCCCCAACAGTCACTTTCACAGCCCGAGCCCCTCGCAGTCTCCTAGGCAACAGACGCCCCTCTATATAAAACCTTTGACTTGCTTCTAAATTCTTCTCAACCTACTGCACAACCTTCCTCAACAACGTTACTTGACAACCTTCCTAGCGAAACTAACTTGACAACCATCCTTTCCGATCGTCACTCCTGGAGACACCTACAACCCTAACTACGAGTTACACCATACTTCCATTATTTCTACAAGCGCATCTGGCCCCTAAGAAATCAGAATGCCAGTGTATATCCTCCCTTTTGGCCACGATCCTCGCCGCGCACGATTTGTGTCTCCTTCCCGTTACAATGCAACTTCCAGTCCTCCGGCCCTCAACAGTAGGGAGTTCCCCGGTTACCCTCACAGCGCTTCGTCTTTGTGAGTTTCCTCTTGGAAGTTCGAGAGTTGATATATGAGGCGTCAATGCGCGAAGGCGGTCACTTCGACAGGCGCCTAGATGCCGAAGCGGAGCGTCGCCGATGCGAAAACACAGCGCTGCGAGTTCCTAAGTGCCTCCCGGCACTATGTTTGGCAAGCCGGCGCTTGTTCAACGAAGCCACACCCGTTTTCCTGCGAAACACCACGTGGGTCATCCGTAGCGGACCGGCCAATCTGTTCTTGACCCAATTTCTCGAGACGATCCCGGATGACAAGGGGTTCAAGGCTGTGAAGGGACTCCGCTTCACATCTTTCCATTGGTTCCGAGGCTTGGAGGTGTATGGGCGCAACCTTGATCTTATGTTGATGCGCCGTTGCACCGGACTTCGTCACGTCGAGTTCACCTTCCATATGGAGCGCCTTGCTAAGCCTGCACCCGACGGCAGCGAAACGGAGTACCGTCTCAAGTCGATTGACGAGATCGTGGCCTTCTATGGCCTTGAGGACATCTTCAAATGCGAGGAGCTCAAGACTCTCACCATCGACGCAATTGATTACTGGGTGCACGAGCATCGTTGCGATGGCAGCCCTCGGCAGCGTCTCCAGGATCTGGTCGATTGGATCGTGGATGGATTCCTTGAACGCCATGGGAAGAAGGTCACTGCAACAATCGAATGGCGCACGTATAGGTACCGAGTTGATGGATGGACTCCTTACGATTACCTTTGAGGAGGGAAGTTATTGACGGTCGGCTGAGGTTTGAGAGCAAGACAATGGATAAGGCGGAATACAGAGCGGGATAAATGGGCAAGATGGATATGGACTACGCATGGAGGATTGGTAAGAAGTTGGACAATCGACAGGGTGGATCTGTGTGAACTTACCGCGACTGACAGTATGCGGCGGTGTGAACCGGAAACCACGCAATTTGACGGATGATTGGTGTAGTATTACGGATGGGGTACGGATTTTCTCAGCTGCCTGGGATCAGATACGACTCTGTCGTGGCTGCAATCGCTGCAATCAGTTTTGCATGAGGGAGGAAGCGTCAAACGTCAAGTATCCTCGGTTCAGATATCTCAATGTATAACTGTGGAAAATATCCTATGGGCTCTGTGACCTATGTGTCACTTTCTCCGTGCCGGATTATAAATTTGCCATTTATCTCGCGTTGTCTTTGTTGTCTAGAAACTTGCTGATTGCTTCGCCGTTGTGGAATCCTATTCTGGTCCTTGTTGTGCCCCACGCAAGAGGAAATCTCGCGCACTGAGGATGCGCCGTAAGGGATTCCCGTCTGTCTGAAAGTCAATGTCTTTGCAGTTACTATTACCATGACGGCCAATGGTTCAATACTACAGTATAATTACCATGAACGGGCAGGAAGAATGCATGTTGATATTTTTGGAGTATTTGACTAGCTAATGAGGTTTGAAATATTATGCCGTGCTAGAAAGCAATTGAATGTTACGTTATGTAGGTAGAAATTGAACTGAAGTCAGATGACCACCACAAGCAATCATCCTCAAGATGAAGGCTGGCCGCATGCCATCCTGCACGCACTAGAATCACCAAGGCTGGTGCATAAGTGCTGCCCTCAGCCCTTGCAAAGCCCTTGCAAGTCCCCACCAGTCTCACCAAAGTCAAAACCAGCGCCGAATTGATACACACTTTCGACAGTAGATGGACGTTCTTTCGGAGAAATATCTGTCGGAGGGAGTTTTGTCGGACGAAGTGTTCTTAGAGAGCTCTCCATAGGGTCTGTGAGGTAATGATCTTGGGACTCAGTTTCCTGCTCCTCAATGCGCTTATGGAGCGTAGATGTTAGCTCAGCGGAACACCTGGTTGCGGCTTGGGAATTCTCCTGTTCTTCTTCCAGTCGATTTTCGCATGCAAACACGTTTGCGCCGGACGTGTACTCAAAGTCGGGCTCACTGTCATAGTCAAGTTTGGATGGCATGGCTGTCATCTCTATGTCCTCATACGATAATGGCCCACCGCAAACTTCCTGCAGCGGCGATGTATGATGATAGAGGGAAAACGGGTCCAATGACGCTGCATGTGCATGTTCTGGCGTTTGTACCGCAACATGCAATTCATCCTGGATCACCACACCATGCCTTTTGATATCCATTTTCACGAGCCTAATATCGTGATGAACATGCTGAATGGCTTTCTTCGTTTTATGGTCTGAACGACTCGATGCTTGCACTGCCTTGCGCACAGAAGCGACAACCTTGTCTAGTGGGCGAGGGATAGTGACGAGAAGGATCGTGCCATTTCCTTGAGGTACACGTAACTGTTCCTTGCCTATTGCTACTATGCTTTGCTCAGGGCTCTGCGGTGAAGCCATTAGTTTCAAGGAAGGCAAAGCAGGAGTAGAATAGTGATAAAAGGAGAATGTCGCCGAGACAGAGTTCTTATACGGTGATGTTAGTCGGTCTCGTCAAATGCTGTGAACATTGTGCAACAACAGCTCCAGCGCTGGCATGTGTTAGGTAGGTCTGTATCGGTCTGTTCAAGGATGCTATCTCGCATTGTCCAAGGATAACCACACAATGATAAGTTGGCAGGGAAGAATATCCAGATTGGCAGGAGTAAACTTCCATGTCTTGCAAATACCCTAGGGTATCGCTGGTATACGGGCGGCCATGATGCGAGAAAGAATAACTGTCGGTCCGTGAGTGACTGTTTGGGGAAGGTAGATTCGCGTCGATATTAAATACGCATGGAAATATACACAGAGAGGAGGTATAACACTTGGCTCAGACGGGAGAAATTGCCCATCGAGAACTGTATCTATACAGCTGAAGGCCGCCGCTGCTCTTTGCACTACCAGCGCACTCTTCTATGCCAACATTATTCTTCTTCAGAGTTAGGTACGCAGCATCCTGTGATACAGTCAGACCGATCAGATTCCGGAACATGTTAACGTAAGCAGGTAGAAGCTTAGGCAATTGTATGCAATTAAATTTGTTAGCGTTCTGTATAAAGTTCGAGCTCGACCATAGAAGCTCAAGTCATTTTAATGTCCTAGTCTGCAAAGCTTTGTTGCTTCACTTTTACACCTGAGCTAATCCTTTTAAGTGTAAGTTTAATTCTATATTCAATTTTCCTAGTTTTTTCATCTGCTCTATCGTTTATTACATGGGTAAAATCCATGCGCCTCTAAGCACCTTCACTGACGCTGTGACTTTAGAAGGGAATAAAGCTCAAGATATCTGCTAGGACGGAGCAACACTTTTTCTGTCGCTCAGGGCCCATTTATTGCTACTCCTACCAGAATTCGGCTCGTTCCACTATGGGATTTTTCAATGGAGTCTTTTTAGCTCTAGAAAAAATAATTACTGCCTCTGTTTACATCTAACTGAACACCTGCCTGCACCTCCTCTGTACTGCTGTTTCCTACATTAAATTTGAACAACTAGCAGGCGCAGCAATATAGGAGGTCCTGCAATTAGCTTTGTAAGACACCTCTACGTATAGTAGTATGTTTGAAATGGAAATTCTACCTGTTGCATTATTAAGTTGTAGCTAGTTAGCTTATGCTAGGTAGGTAATTCTACCTACAGAGGAATTGCAGCTCGATGTTCAGTTAGATGTGGAAAGCCGCGGTATGAATGAACCCCACGCGAATCCAAGCAAACGCTATCACGACATCGACACTAAATCTCACAACATTCCATCAGCGATTGCGAAAAGCAACGGGTGGTTACCCGACACCTTCGCCATACGTAAAATAACATTATTCTCTTCAGTTTCATAGGCTCGCATAGCCGAAACTTGTTATGAAAGAGCCACTTTCTGAGTTTCATGCTGACTTTGTCATGAAGACAGACGGGCAACGAGCCATGGGACATGGTAGCCGCCGCACGTCATCTGCACCGCCAGTTTCAAGCATTATTACCCTCAACAACCTCAACTGGTATAGAGAGGAGAAGACAACGGTGCACCCAGCCGACTGCTTGACAGTCCTTTCCTGAGTCGCTTCTGAAGAACTTTCTCACTTCACATACTTTTTGGTACCGGCCATGTTCCGCAAGATTTCCACGTCAATATGGCCGTCGAGGAATGAGGTGCACGAAGTTGAACAGGCAGAGCCCTTGCTCACACGCCGTGTCAGTGATGCCTTCGTGCCAGGCCCTTTGACGAACGATGATGTAAAGCTCTATGAATACGGAGTCGAAGAATTGAGTGATGAAACATCAACGAACAATCCATTCCTGGACCCTAATGTTGCCGGGCACTGGACGAAGATCTATGAGAAGGCCCAGTATGAATGCAGACACATTTTTGACCCTGAAGAGCGGTGGTCCCAAGGCGAAGAACGCGCCCTGGTGAAGAAATTGGACAAACATGTATGCTTCTGGGCGGTAAGTTACTCATCATACAACACTGAGATTGATTATGTTAATCTATACACAGTGTGTCATGTTCTTCGGTCTCCAAGTCGATCGTGGAAACCTGGTCCAAGCTGTCTCAGAAGACATGCTCTCTGACCTAGAGCTCAATACCAACGACTATAATTACGGGAATATATTATTTCTTGCCGCATTTATATGTGCAGAGCTCCCATCCCAGCTTGTTTCAAGGAGAATGGGCCCCGATAGATGGATTCCTTTGCAGATCACTGTCTGGAGTATTGTGGCGATGTCGCAAGCCACTCTTACTGGAAAGATCGGATTTTACGCAACGAGGTTAGCCTTGGGAATATTGGAGGGTGGGTTCATTCCAGTGATGGTGCTGTGGTTGAGTTATTTCTACAACAGCAGGGAACTGCCAATCAGACTCAGCTTCTTTTGGACGACTTTGAGCATTACCACAATTGTTACGAGTCTGTTGGCGTACCTGTTGCTACACATGAGAGGTGTGTGGGGATGGGCAGGATGGCAGTGGCTATTCCTAGTAGGTGGGTTGCTTTCACTGGAACCCTGTGGCGCGGGGCCACTTAACTGACTGCAGCAGAGGGCTTCATTACCTTCTGTATAGGCATAGCTTCCTTTTTCATGATGCCTGCATCCGTAGCGCAAACCAAAACATGGTTTCGTCCGAAAGGTTGGTTTACGGACCGCGAGCTCAGCATAGCAGTGAATCGGATCCTGCGCGACGATCCTTCCAAAGGAGATACGCACAACCGCAAAGCATTAACATTGAAGAGCTTGTTTGAGGCATTACAAGATTATCATCTTTGGCCTCTGTACGCGATTGGGTTAGTGGTGCACATACCTCAGGCACCCCTTCACAAGTACATCACTCTCATTTTCAAGGACCTTGGCTTCAGTACAGTGAGTGTAAAGCTATGGACTGGTTAACGCTGTTCTGACGCCTCAAAGTTCACCACAAACCTTCTTGTTATACCCTCTAGTATAACGCACATCATCATGCTCCTCCTCACCACGAAACTCAGTGATGTTTTCCAGGAACGCACCTTTGTTTCCATGACGCAGAGCCTCTGGACGCTACCGTGCCTAATTGCATTACGTTTCTGGAAGAATTTCATGCGGGATGCTTGGGGAAGCTTCACTCTGGTCACGACACTGTTGAGCTATCCTTATTGCCACGCTATATTAGTTGGCTGGACGAGCAAGAATGCGAACAATGTCGGCACCAGAACAGTATCGGCCGCAATGTATAACAGTGAGTTGCTTTTGCGTCCTTCTAGCAAGCGTTTAATTTTAAGATGCTTATTGCTTCGCCAGTGATGGTCCAGCTGGGGAGTGTCATGGGCAACATGACATATCGCGAAGATGACAAGCCTCTTTATCACCGCGGAAACAGCTGGCTGATAATGGCTAACATATTCTCAATTGTTATGTTTCTCTTGACGAAGCTATATTACACGTCGGTCAACAAACGGCGAGAGAGGAAGTGGCAGCAGATGACGGTTGAGGTACGATAAACTCGGTTGGGTTTCGACAAGCACTAAGAGCAACAGGAGCACGTCGCGTATCTCAAAACCACCAAGGACGTGGGAACTGCTCGGCTGGACTTCCGGTTCACACATTGAGAGGCAGTGATTGCAATCCTTGCACGGGTTCTCGCGCCTGGGGATGTTACATGGTGCTACGTTTTGTCGAAGCGGACGCGGAATTCCCCAGCCGTCGGGCAATGCTGCCTACCATAGTACTTTACTCGTCAATAAGGAACTGTACTGCCTCTGTTCACATCTAACTAAACACACCCCTACACTTCCTTTATCCTGCTGTTTTCTACATCTAAGTAAACTGCTTGCAAGTGCAGCAATTTTATAGATTTTCTAATTAGCTTTAATGCGCCTATTTACGTATATTAAGTTTCTAAAGCAAAGTTCTACTTATTGCATTACTTAGATGTAGCTAATGGACTTGTGCTAGGTAGCTAATCTCAGCTACAGAAGAACTGCAAAGGGATGTTATCCCTCATCCATCCACCTTTTCCGGGTTGCTACCTCAGGTTATTGCGCTTCAGTGTCCTTTTTCCGTGCCGTTTATACGAAAAACGGAGAGCCATAATCTAGGGGCTGATACTCCAGGAATGGTTGCGGGCGGTTTTCAGTGTCGATTAAGGGTCGGCTAGGGTACGATCAACTCACGCTGAGATGAAGTTAGGCGGCAGAGTGAAAGTACTAATACGAATGTGGACTAGTGGCATTGTGTTGCCTACATCTCTACCCTTTATTAAACGCGAACTCTCCTAGCGTTGCTTCGTTCACACTTCATATCTACTTTTGCCTTTTTTTTCCTTTTCTTGCTTGCTTGACATTCCAAGTGTCCTGCACGTCGTAATTACCTGTCCTTTAACCTCCCACAACTCGCAATGGAGAATGAGTCCAACGACAACTATTTTGATTGCATGAGATCGTACGTCCCAGAAGCTTTCTTTAGCCATTGATTTTGCCTACCTTCTCGAATTCGAAACCGTCAGAAGGCCGGCAGAGATCTCAGATTTCAAGTGGGCGGTTCGGCTGAAGGCCACACGCATCTCGTCGCGTGTAACATGGTCCGTAGGCCCCAATCATCCTTACTAACGAAAACAGACTACTACAAACCGGACACCACTCGGATTTCACCATCAAATGCAGTGATGGCCATGAGTACAAGGTCCACAAACTCATCCTGTGCGCTCACAGCAAGTTCTTTGACGCCGCTAGCCGATTTGGAAAAGTTCTTTCTCTCCAGCAACCCTGCGCCCGTACATATGTTGACTAGGGTCCAGGAAGGCCAAAGCGAGGTTACGCTGGACGATGACCCTACGATTGTAAAATACATGCTTCAGTACATATATGGACATGACTACGAAGTACCTTCTGATTCCTCGGCCTTATGGAAACAGGTTCGCGTAGCGTACCATGGAAAAGAGGATGACGACGACTCCGGAAGTTGGTGGGATGACGGGTTTGAGGGAACGGACCGGCAGATGAGGAAGATCTGGCGCGCTTTCTTTGGGTGCCTCACGGAAAGGCAGAGGGTAGAGGCAATAGAGATGATGAAACTCGAGATTCCATTCTGGGTATGTTTGCATGCATATTGAGAATTGCTTTGCTAACTGCCAGTTCAGGAGGAAGGCGACCTTGTTAATGTGAACTCCTCACCAGTTTCCGTGGCCTTGAAGAGTATTGCTTCCCACTTCGATATGCACGATTACCAGCTGTATAATCCGCCACACTACAAGGACATATATGACCATGCGCGAGTTTACGCCCTTGGAGATAAGTATGAACTTTTTGGCTTGAAATACTGCGCTGCGCGAAAATTCCAGAAAAGCTGCGGGCACTTGGCTGGTGGCAAGGCTTTCCGGAAAATTGCACAATACGTCTTCTCGTCTACATCCGATTCGGACCGAGGGCTACGCGATGTAATCATTGCTGAGTTACATGAGGAACTGAGGGTGGCTGGCATGACGAAGTGGTCTCATGCGCTTCTTCAAGACATTCCTGAGCTTTCGTATCAGTTGCTACGTTACCAACACGACGCATCTGACTTTGACGATGGCGTTGAGGTCTCCGATGAAGACAAGAGTGTTTATGATGGTTAGAGCGGGCATTTCTCTTCCGCTGGAAGAACGGCGGTGTGGTAGAGTTCAGTTTATAAATTGGACAAGCGCGCAACAGACCACTGGATGAAGTTTCAGGACAAGATTTATTCGCAGTCCTGCAACATTTTTGCTCCATGCTGCCTATTTCTGGTCCCGCATCAGCCTGAAAGATGCCAGCCAATTTGAGCAGTGGTTCACTCAGGCTGAGGAGGACCGCGCCACAACCCTTGAACTTCTTCAAACACATTTGCAGAGAATGCCAATGAACGGGAAACTGGCAATTGTCCGCTGCTCGCCCTCCCCAAGTTCCAAGGGAGTGGGATAAGGGAGATAACCAAACGACCAATTTGTATAGAATACATAAACTCTGCAACTATCTGCTATAAAGCATAGTAGGGGCGGATAACAACGCAACTTGTGCCTTAGATTGAATACGTATCGAAACCCTTATACGCTGAACATGATACTAAAATCATGTTAAGGACTGTGCGTAGTTCTAGCATAGGCACCTAGAGGCTTGCACCGAATAGCGTCATTAGAGCCAACTAGACTGCGGCTAGGCTTCTCACCTATACATCTGACTAAACACCTCCTTGTGCTCCTGCTCCAAGTTAGATTACCTATATTAAACAAATCAATTGGAAACAGTGTAACCATAGAGCACTGCGTTTCATGGCTGATTATATCTAGACAGAGACGGAGTCAGGCTATTCAGCGTAAGCTTCGCCTGCGACCCCTGGTTGTTCAGTCGGATTTGAAGGTGTGGTAGAAAATATTCTAGCGTTATCGAACGGTTCTAGCGCCTAACTACCCATGGGCGGGACCGAACAGGTCCTAATAAGTATCTCTCACGGTAGCTGTTGCGATGGCGATTACCCAGACCCAAAAAAAAAAAAAACGAAAAAAGGAGGTAACGTGGATCGAACACGTGACCATCAGATATTTGAACTTTCTGCAATCTGCCGCTCTACCACTGAGCTATACCTCCTTAATAATAGGGTTTGTCGGTCTACGAGGGCAAATTTTTGTTTGAAAATTTTCTCGTTTTTAACATTTATATAGCGCATTTTTAAAATTACTCTATTAGTAACACTTACATGCTTAACTTGGTTAGCCTTCCCTTACTATAGTAATAGGAGGTAAGTGACATATAACCGCAATTATTATAGTGCAAAAAGGTTATTAAATGCTAGGTAAAATAAATGTATTGCGCGACAGAGCGTGATGGAAGCTACGCCCGTCGTCCTAAGCTATACATACAGCAGGGAAACAGGAGGAGACACTGAGGAACTCTGCGCTACATGCATGGAAAGATGTCTCTATAAAGAGATTTCCTACGATTGAGGCCAATCTCTGATAACTGACGGTCCTGAAATGTGGCGAGCATCACCTGATTACGTTCAGATAGATGCAGCCGGCGCGCGACGCAATTCACTTCGAATCAGAAGCAAGAGGTGCGGAGCTCGACATTGAGCTTGCTGCTTCGGCGGTCCGATAATAATTCGGAACCTTGGGCTAGCTGTGGCCTTGATGTTGCAGGTGCTGAATGCCAAGCGGAGGACGAGTAACGGTGAGTTGAAACACATGTTGACTCAAAGGTAACCGTAGGGTATGTACCACTCTGACGAGACTGGACAACGGACGCCCCCTTTTTCTGTCTGCCTGCAGCTTGCTCTGCCTTGGCTCCGAAGCAGATGTATCAGTCGTTGGGGTTGACATGTACATAGCGTCATGGCCACCGCTCAATTCAAGCCGCCTTCTGAGTGATAAGGTTTGCTGCAGGCTCCACGAGGCATCATGTGTTTGCTACGCACTGCAGCCGCGCACCAGGTAATGATTCATATCGGATCTAGGCGCCTGACCTTGATCGTCTGTAGGGCTGCGAGCCTACGAGGCTGCAAGGCTTTTCGGAGATTTCCGAGGAGGGTGAGCAAGGCAACATGACGTCGGGCATGGAATGCAGATGTATAGGTATGATCAAGATCAGAAAAGCGTGACAGATAGTATTACCCTAGGGTATCTTTTCTCCACTGCTAACGCTGTATTGATGTGGGAACGAAAGGAAGCATGTGTTTCCACTGCCCACAGGAGGTTGAGGTAAGGAAGGTTGCGGTAGAAACTAGAATTGGTGTTGGGTGGACCAATATTCTGCGACGTCTCTGAAGGTAGAGTTAACTCTACGCCACTTGAATTATTTTCCCGTTTGTTCGACGCACACGCAGAGATTATTGCAAGTAGCCTTGACCTTCGGCGGTTTCCGTCAGGCGGCGCACCTGGGCAGCCCCGCATCTTACACAGCCTCTCGCCTCCCCGTCCCCAGCCTCATCTCCGCGTTCTATATCTTTTTACCCGTCCGCGAGCGTAAGCGGAGATACCTTCGGGTCATCATCGACGCCCAAGGCGTAAAGCTTGGCTGACCTTATTTCGAGCTCAACCCACACGGGCCAAATTTTGGGCGCACACCGAGGGTTCGGGTTTTGGACAGTTGACAGTAACGTTTTTGCGCTTGCGCAGGCTTAGACACCAGGTAGGCGGAAGTCGAAGGTAAAATAGCACCGCTGAAAAGCGGGTTGTGAGGCGCAGCGCAAGTGTGAGTACTGTAGATGCGCACAGTTGTGTTGATAGAGAAGGCAGAAGGGCACTTCGCAGGGCTGATATGAAACCTCCATGAAGGCTCGACGTCACTTGGACAAGGATAAGATTTAGGAGTATTGGAGAAAAGATTTGACCCTGGGTCGGTCACAGTTTCTCGGGATTTATGACAAGGCAATCCTAGAGCATGGATGCGTTGATTAGGGGCGCAGGATGGAGTTATGCTGAAGATGCGTGGCGATGCACGAGGCTCACTGGGGCTTAAATTGAAGTTAGGGTTTAAATTCAAGTCGCAGTCGCGGTTTGCGGAATTGTGGCATTGATCTATTAGAACAAAAGCATCAAGGAAAGAAGTTGAACGAGAGCGTGCGTATCCTAAAGAGATGTGCAAGACCCAGACCACAAAGTTTGCATGAAGGTGCGGTGACAAGCAGAGGTACATGCACGCTCCTCAGTATTTGCTTTGAGAAGGTTCCCCAGGCAACATGCTACCAGAATCTTGATCATGGGAAAACGGAAAGATCGCACGAGGGTGAGAAGAAAGAAAGGCTGAAACAGTAAGACGCCACTCAGAAGCTTAGAGAAAAGCCACAACTGTGAAATTCCACCTCGTCGCTAAGAAGGTTGGCATGGAGTTGAACTTGGTCGGTTTGCTGTTGAAATTAGTGCGAAAATCTAGCTAACCAGGGGAAGGCTTACAAATCTTGAATCGAAATATGGTCCCTACTTCCTATTGGGAAGGGCCTCAATGGTACAGCAGGTGGAGCGTTGATGGCCGCAGTTGGGATCACTGCAGTGCGATTGGTAGCGGTAGCTATTCCAAGTACGCTTGCAGCCGCAACAGAGCCAGACATATTCCGTTTTCTTCTTGTCTTCTTTTCCTCCGTCCGCTGGCTCTAAGTAGGAAACGAATCCTGAAAGGTAGGAGCTTGAGAATGTAGAGTCAAATATGGAGCTCCTAAGAAACCCTGGGAAGACAGTGCTGGCGATCGGAGCGCCGGTTGAGTGTAGGGAGGGTAGATCTTTCCATATGGCGCCCAAGTTGTCGGACGGTGTGCTCCACGAGTTGGGAATTCCATTGATCTGCATTCCTTCGACGGACCGGAAAGGACCTGGGGTAAACGACAGAGAAGGATTGCTCTGGGGATTCATATTATGGAAGAAGGGTAGCGCTGAAAGAAAGGGATCAATGGCATAAAATGTTGTGAAATAACGGAGTCACAGGCCAATCTTGAGGGTCAATGTGTAGATATCCGCATGCTTTATATTCATTGATCGAAGGACTTGGAGGACCATTTTTCGGCCCTAGATCTCTGGTATGAGGGCAGTTAGGGAGGCAACCAAGCCACAAGGACTGTCCTCACCTGGGGTTTGATGGAGAGCCCGAGCTCCACATGTTGATGTGCTCAGTAGGCGGGCAGGGCGTAGTCGCCTAGGGCACCGTTCCGATCTCGGTCAAGCAATTTGATGGCCTTCTCATTTGAGCAGCAGCGGACCAAATGATTTGTAGGGCGGAGATGAAGGACAAGAGGCGGTGAGTTGTATTCAAAAGCTATGGTTAGAAAAACTTCTGAGGGCCCGATGAGCGCGGCCAATAGGGTTGCATTTTTGTGACCCATCGAGGTGTCAGGACCTCAACTAGCTGAAGGTGAAGCAGAATCATACGACCTGTGACTCCCTGAGAATTACAGAGTGATAGTCTAGGGCAGTGCTCTCTGACTTTGCGCAGGTGCACAAGCATTTAGCGCTGGAGGAGCAGCCACCACGTAGAGGATATGAAAATCCTCACCGTCATGGGCAAGCACGGCGTTAAAAGTAAGCTAATGTTGCAATCATTAACAGGTGGGCTTTACCGCATCTTTTCACGTCCGACTGAACACCAGGGCGTCGCAGTGATATAGCTGATGCTGTGATACCTAGGCCTGACAGCGCCTCCGTCCAGGTATAATAAGCCGTAAAGCACCGTGCTCTAGCGGCGTAAACTAGAGTGTGGCCAAGTGGAATGCTTGAATTAGGTAATCTAACTCAGAGAAGCAGTACAACGTGGTGTTCAGTCGGATGTGAGAGGGTGCAGTAAGCCTTGTTTTGTGAGACGGGAATTTCTTGACCAGGGGGAGCAACTACCCCTTTCCGAATGATTCCCAAGTCCCTCTCTCGTGGCACCCATCTCCATCTCATCTAAAATTACGTCATACAGCAGGGTAGAGAGAGCCTGCAAAAAACCCTGGGTTGGTGTTACACCAGTCTTCCTTTCCACTACACGGTTTTCACGAATTTGTATCAGAAGGGAGATTTGGCGAAGGAAAAGCATCGCCGATGTTCTTTTCCAAAGGTGATCTTGTTTCCCTGGGCACTAATCTGATACAGACATGATAGAGATACATCGAGTTGCGGAGTCAGAAGATGAACCTTTGGCAGCAGATTTTGAGCAGCGCGGACAACCTCACCGCTGTCGTCCTGATTCCTACAAGGTCATACCATAGCTGCATAAGGTGATAGTAAATCGCAGACATCAGATGACAAGAAAGTCTTGAAAGGAAACAGAGTTCTGAGTATCAATCACAAGCCGTGGTTACCCAGTCAGTAAAAGCAGCTCGAAGGTGATAGGGATGCCCATAATGTTCAAGGTCCATGAAAGAATGCTTTCAAATGAATAATTAGCACTGAGCACTCCATCTGTTTGATTTGCCTACCATTTGCGTGGTTTAGTGTGTCTCGTTGGGGCAGCGGCCGCACCTGATATGAGGGCACACCTGGCAAGAATCTTGCCAGTCTCCATACGGACCATCCCCGCAGACATGGCAGTACCAAGAAACTGTTTGAGGTCCGTCTAAGCATTGGCCTTCAATCTCAGCAGCTGGGAACCGCTCATAAGAATGACCTTGGCAGAGGTTTGTTATTGATGGGGCCTTGAGCAATCTGAACAGCCATTGCGTGTTGACAACGAGCTTGAATGTGGTGTGATCCATTGTTCTGCGCATGAGAGATACTGTGTCTGTAAAAGACGGCTGATATTCAAGGTGTATAGCTGCCGTGGTCGACAATAAGGAAAAGAAAAGCGTCCGATGGATTTGAAGGGAATGTTATAGGTAAGTATCGCCTTCGCCACGCAGGACTTTTAAAGTTGGATTCTGCTCAAGTGAAGATGCTCAAGGGAAGATGTAGCTTGAAACCGTTCCAAAGCACAGCCATGTGGTCTTTTATAGGACTTGGAAAGAGCGCCGTAAAGAGACAGACGTCACCACAATGGGCGGCTCACCACAAGGCATGAACACAGACCGCAGTATGAGCCAAGGTCACTTTAGGTCGCTTTCTGAGGCGAGAGAAGCCCAAACAACCCCGCCGAGGCAACACATCAACCCAGGGCGTTGTGAGAACAGCGCGGCGGAGTATAGGTAAAGCTTTGTTCAGTCTGTAGTCTGGGGAGAGAGGGCCAACATCACCGAAGGACGCGAAGCGCGATCATGGGGCCTTAGAATCCGCGGTGAGGTGTGGAATAATTGCTTTTTCGTCATCGGTCACAGTTGAAGATTTCGCTGTTATGACGGCTGAGACTGCAGTCGAGCGACGCCTGACGGAGCTTTGACCATTGAGACCGCAGAGATCGGTTAAGACCTCGCTACAGCAGAAACTAGTGGTCTGTCCAAACCATAGCGCGGATAGACCGACTGGATGACTGGATATAAGAGTGCTAACGATAAAGATGCAATGTTAGCGTGATGACAGCGATGTCGGAAGACGAGAGTGGCTGACGATGTAGTACCAACCCAATTGTAAATGATTGACGCTGGCCCTAACAAGTTGCCTTAATGCCTCTTCGCCTGTCGGAGGGCGCCATCCAACTTTTCACGGGTGAAGGAGCTCGAGGTGTCTTGGAGGAAGTTCGATGGACATGAATGGCAACGAAAAGTAAAATGATATAACGACAAGTAGGATTGATCCTTAGGTAATCACAAGATGCTAGCGTCCATTGTGTAAACTTACTTCGACGACATTGTCATCTGTTGATTCCCCATCTATCCGGGGCCCTGATGTCCGTACCAGACATTGTAACGGTCAGATAAGTCCCCAGTAGTTACTACTGAGATGAGGGTTTGACAGGAAGGACTTGCAAACTATAACCAAACGAAGGACCAAGCGTCAGTGTGCGTGAACACCGAGGTGCCCTTTGAGAAGCGAGACCTTCTCCCAGTCAGATAGAGCACGAGGCGTGACATGTTCACTCACGACAACGCGGGCATGAGCAGTCTTTCTTGCTTTCGCTCACGATGTAATCGGCCGAACTTGTCTTTCTCACCGGAGCTCATCGTCCTCTGGAAAACTTTGTTTGCAATCGGAAGTCCAGCCATGTATACGAGGCAGTCCAGTTTTGGTTCTCTGAATATTATCGAGGATCCTTCGAGGACCCTCAGGGCTTATTCCCCAAGGTCTTCAGGCCTGGTTTCGGGATTGCATGTTGACTCACTTTAGTGAAGCTATTGAAAGAAGACTCGATCCTAGGTTTTGTCAGGCCAGCCGATCATGGCAACACGGTAAGGAGGCATCAGTTGACCGGTCCTCGGTTTGCCGTCCACACCGGTCGAGGTCCCTCCGGCTTCGGGGACTGCTGACTGCGCAATGAACCTCAAAACCAAGCTCAGGGCGACCTTTTACAGCGCGATTGAGAGCTGGTCGTTATTTTGAGGCAGTGCGCGTGCAGTACCTTTGACGACGGTCAAGGAATCGTCCGATAAACCAGGCCGCACACTCATGATGAAGGCAGTGCCAAGATAAGTCGCAGATTGCGGTAGGGCGCCAAATGTTGACGATGTCGGTGAGGGACTGTCGTCGGGCAGCATCATTCAGCCTTGAGTCCGCCGATGAGAGCTGTCACTCGCCTTTGAGTCTCTAAGCCAGGAGGGCGGAGCAATTATATACCTTATGAAGACAGCCTTGAACATGACTTATTGTGTTGCATGTCTCAGCCACGGCATTAGGAAGCCATGAAGCCATTTGGCGCCATGCGAAGCAGTGCGGCCAAAGTAAGCCACGATAGTTCGACGGTGATACGGGGTGAAGGACGAGCAAGCCATTCATGATTGGTGTCATGGCGGCGGAAAAGGATCTCGGACGGGGTCTGGCCGTTCATTCCGGTCAAGGTGACGGGTAGGAAGAACAGGTAACGATGTCAAAGTGCCAAGTCCAGATGACAATAACCAATAGGAACTTCTCCGAGTAGGCCGTATGCATTAGTAAATTCTAGCAGACTGTTTGCCTACATTGGGATGACAAGGCTGAGATATTGCGATTTGGAAGAAAAAATCTTTGCCCTCAGTTCCCGAAGAATGATCCGTGGATATCCATCGAGGGCGCCATTCAATCTAGCGAGCTCCAAAGGCAACAACGTTGGCAAATGCGAGAGCAATCGATTGAGGGATTTGATATTGTTGACAACCCACAGGCTGAAGCTGGAAAGTCAGTTCAGGCGTCAGCAGCAGGCAACCAGGTGTACGTGGAATCGACGCTTATTTCTTTCATGCAGCTCATTATCGAAGGTATCAGCATAGAACAACAGCAGTGTATTATCATGGACAATCCTGTATCGGAGAGGTTTGACATTGGGGATTCCCAACTCTTTTGGATCTGGAATGAAGTTGAAGTAAGCTATCCGCGCTAGTCCCAGAAAGGCATGCACGTGGAAAGCTGGCTCGAGCGTCGCCTCGATTCGGGATTACGCGTGGCGAGGATCACAACTGCAACCTAATGGGCCACACGATTCCCATCTTCGCATCCAGACGGAACATCGCTTTGTGTGACCCCTTGCTATACGCTCTCCACGCGGCCGCGTCTGGCGCCGAACCGGCCTCGCCATGGCCATCTCAGAGGATGGAAAGAAGCGGCTGGATCGAAAAGTCAATCAGGTCAGCGCCGTTCTCCTCCCTCTTCTCGAAGTCGGCGGCATAGCCTACACTTCCTATGTCTTGGTATACCTAGTTTGTGTCCAATATCTTATGAAACCATCGCCCGGATTTGGACTTGAAGCACGAAACGCTACGGGCGTCACCCTCATCGTTATATATTGCGTTATCCTGCTTGGGTTCGCAGTGACTTTCCTACGCCTGCTTCAGGTTATATGGGTCGACCCAGGTCTGGTCTCGCGCGGCGATCCAGCGTCGGAAAAGAAAACGGCCCCGATGGATTACTTCGACCGCTTCGAAGCCTACATATGTGACCATGAGGGCTACCCGACGTGGTGCTGGGACTGTCATAATTGGAAACCGGACAGAGCACACCATTCATCTCAGTTGAACCGGTGCGTCAAAAGGATGGACCACTTCTGCCCGTATGCTGGAGGCATGATTGCCGAGAGATCGCACAAATTCTTTGTACAGTTTTGTTTTTATGGATTCCTGTATACGGGTTATGTCTTAATTGTCATGGCCGTCTTTCTCGCAGAACGGGCGGAGAAGGTGAGTCTAACTCTTATACAAGGGTTTTCAATGTACTAAAGTTTTATAGCTTGATTCCACGCCTGGCACCTGGGTCGCAGCAACTGCTCTTGGAGGTATCTTCTTCCTTTTCGCATTTGGCATGTTTTGCACCACATGTTACAATATGGCCCTTAACTACACAACCATCGAGGCTTTACAGAGGGACGGCACCTATAACATTGCCGTGTTAAAAACTGCAGCCCCTTCTGCTACCATCGCATCCGCAGGCAAGGCCAACATCGTGTACGAGTTTGAGCGGCCGCCCTTGCGCTCCTATGTCGTTCTCGAGACAGAGCGTGGCCAAAACCCTTGGGACAGGGGAGCACTGCGAAATGTGAAAGACATCATGGGAGAGAGCGTATGGCACTGGTTCTCGTGGAAAATGAGCCCCTGCACTGCACATAATGATCCAAGAGGGGAGTACATTTGGGGTCCTGCAGTATCCAGGCTGATAGAAGAGCATGGCGCTGCCTCCGCAAGAAGAAGGAGAAGACGGGGCTCTAGACGTTCGTCGGAAGCATGAAGATACTTTCACGTCGTTGATTATTTATATCACTTGATTTTGGCATAGCGGTGGCGTGCTCAGCGTTTGGGTATTTGAATGATTATTTGCACAGCTTTTTTGCGGTCCCGTGGCTATCAAGGTGTATAAGGGGGCTACTTTGTTTTAATCAAACACTCAGGGACGTTGCGTTCGTTACAGGGAGATACATGTTCCAAATGATAGGTATCGACCTACCTACATGGACCGAAAATCGAATGTTTTGCGAACCATCCGCGAGTGGGGAGTGCTATCGTTCCTGCCGACATCAATCATCAGTAGACCAATCTTTATCACAGTAATCGTACTCTTCGACACCATAGTACAGTATGTATACGACAACAGAACATGGCGCAGACCATATAAAAGCGACCGTGCTCCTACCCAGATTCAAGCTCAAACAAAGCCACGGCAAACACATCCTCCTAAAGAACGCGCATCAATAATTCCCACTTGCAGTCGCTGGGTTCCCAGCGCTGTTTCCATTATTCTTACCCAGTATCCCACTCCGCCCTAGATGTCGACGTCTCGCATTGATGAACCAGTTCGAAATCTATACAAACGAGTATGTCAATTTTCCATCCAACAAGGTTCAGAAATACAATCATGCTAACTCACTTGCTGCAACGTCAACCCCGTCTCCCTCTCAAATATCTTCTTCTGATCCTCAGTCGGATATGGTGTGTCCTTATTCTCCTCCAGCCACTTCTTCAACATCTCAGTTGCGTCCTTGGGCAGGTTGCCCCGTTTTCTGGAGGTCTGCAGTGGCGCTTGGTAATAGTGATAGTAGGAGCGCTGGAGCTCGAGCATCTCTTGTACGGTGGCTGGTGGGATACGCGGATCGTGAGGGTTGGGAAAGCCGTGGTCGGACGGATACTGAGGAACTACCTGATCTCCAGGAGAAGCGTACACAGAAGGCCCAGCATAGTGTTGGGGATATTGTGTCGCGTCATGTGGGTAATGGGCAGAGGCTCCGGAGAGCGGAACCCGTGGATAATCGGCAGAAGCGTTCGAGCGGCGCGATACTAATTCTGGAGGAGGCCCCGGCATTGGTTGACATGGAGTCTGATCAGATCCTGGATGCCGCAGGTAGTGTGGATGGCTCGAAGTCGGGGTCATGGAAGATCGGTGGTGGCACTGCAGCCCAGAGCGCTCCACTGGGTACGAGGAACACCCACCGTGTAAATGTTCGTGGCGATCTAGTGTTTGAGGATGCGAGCGAGATGCAGAATCATACGGGTTTCGAATCCGAGGCAAATAACTCTCACTCCTTGGCTGGTCAGGTTCGAAGTTTGAAACTCTTGAATCTACCAAGGTCGACGGAGAAACAAGGATAGGTGATGCCGGGGGAGATCGTGGACGGTGATTGTGGGAATTCGGTGCATGCTGCGTGGGTCCCAGAACGGTGTGCCTCCAGTCGGCGGAAGAACGTTCGCTGGGTGGAGTACGGAATAGACCATTATCATATCTACTATTCTCCCCATGCACTTTTCTGTCCCTCTGACGTTTTTCGTGCGGATACTCGGAATCAGCAGGTGTACGGGATGGAGTATCTGGTGGTGATGGATGGCCCACATTACGGGCCAACTGCTAGTCGTTAGCGAACACACGACGGGCCTTTCGTTCTGAGATTATGACTCGCCTGTCTAGACTCATCCTCCAGCGGATGATATCGTTGCGGCACACCCGGACGTGGGTTGGCCCATTGCGGAAGTTCTTGTCGCTGGAAGTGGTTCGTTTAGCATATTCCTGAGAATACACGCAGTCAAGAAGTGTGCAATAAAAATATTGACCTCGTACTAAATAACTGGAAGAGCAAACAGGTACAAAAGGTATAGAACCAGCTAAAGAGCCGCCTAAGAAGCGGAGTTTTGGCCTTGACTTACACATTTGTTGTAATGGTTATGACAAGACCTGCGACCTCCACCCTGACAATGCGGTGCGTGCTTGTTGCGTGGACTTCGACTAGTTTCCAGAGTGAGTTGCTGCATTCTTCAAGGAGCCTGTGCAGAGTCGATTTAGTCTGTGCTGTCTTTATGATATCGAGATACAAACCGTGATGGATTGGTTCTTGGGCACTAAATATACAACTTAGAGGAAAGAGCCGCAGTTGAAGCCTGAATTTTCGTTGGAAGCCCGGGAAGCGGGATGTTGCAAAGCGTACGTGAAGCCGAGGAGACAAGAAGGGTGAGCAGGCGGTGTTATAGGCGCGAATTACGCCAGTGATGGTAGCCTGTGGCGCCCCGAAGACTTGGTGATATGGTGTTCTTGGAGCCGTGCAGATCCTGTGTATCCGAAGGGTACCTGGCCTTCACAGGTTAGCCCTTCGGAATGGATGTCGTTCAAGGCTGATCCCATTGGGCAAGGGACTGATATGACAAGTAAGTTGGAGATATATGTGACTTGCTGATAGGTGTACGTCGAAGGCCTCCGACCCCCGCCCCTGCCACGCCCAACAGCCACGACCAGCATGTCTTCTGCGTCATTTACAGGTTGATCAGCCAGATTCTTTTTTCTCCGACATTGTACAAAGCCTGCTGCCAAAGTGGATGCATTCTCTAAGATCCGGGTCTGTAACGAAACCTATGTCAGACCAATGGTCGGGTAACGCGACGCCCATCAGCCGGCTTTCACCTTCGTCAGGTTGGCAAGGGGTAGCCGGACTGTGGCACGATGGCGTCTTCGACTGTCAACGTCTCTGCGGGTCATTGTGGCTTTTTCCTTTATATCGAGCATAAACCGAAATGGGAAATGCGCCCTCCACTAAGGGTTTGATGTCCGCTGCCTCAGGGGACAAGCCGCACCGGACAGCTCGTCTATGCTTCATCAACTGACCTGAAAGCATCGAATCCTAAAGGGACCAGGAAAGGGTCGTACGCAGCATCCATCAGGGCCATAGAATGTAAAATCATGGAACAACGAACCAGCAGGTGCACCGTTGTATGGATTACAATGGCCGCACGACCGCTGGTATGTAGGTTATCTGTCCATGATTGTCGAATTAGGTTCTCATGTATGTGAAGCATAGTGGTGCGGCCTGTAACAATCACATCAAGGAAAAATACCTCCAGAACTACTGCCGGATTGGAGGAAGAGGGACAATTCCGGTGCGCTTTAATCCTGCAGATGCATGTTGATTTGAGTGCCAGCTGCAGCCAGACGGACTCAAAAAGAAAAAAGAAACTACGCACTCCGCAGAAACGCTTCAACTGTATAAGGCGCACATGTCTTGATTAGGGTCTTGAAAACCCGTAACCGGCGTCCTGGGTATGTGCTGCGGAATACTGAACCGGGCTTCTGGTTGAGCAGGGGACCGCTGTACGGAATGAGCGCCGGTTGCTTGCAGGACTTGATGAGGCACTGAACATTTGGTGGTGTGAGAAAGAGAATCGAGAAGGTGAGAGTGTGTCTCGGGATGACTTCGACGTTTGTACCACCTCGGGCTCGGAAGCAGAGTAAAATGCCTCTAGGGCTCGAGACGGGCCGGACATCGCGGGCCAGTAGCAAGTCGGCGAGCTGGAGCACATATGGACTCGAAGTTGCATAAGCCGAATCTCTTTACCCCTAGTTCGCTGGTGTGGTTATTGGTCGTACATTGGAGCTAGACGTCAGCGACGGGCACCACGTAAGTCACGAGCACGAGATCCCGACATTGAAAGGCAGCTTCTCTGTCCGCCTCTACTGTGGCGAGTTGCTGGGTATTGATCGGGCGATAGAAAAGACAGAGGAGTGGAATTGGGAGAAGGAGATGATACAACATACCCTGCGTTGCCTGTAGTACGCTACTACATATATGGCTAGCTTTGAAGTTTGTCTCGACCTCCATCCATCAGCCTCCCAACACTTCACCACTGCCACAGTCACAGGGGGTTGACCCGCAGCTCATCGCTCGATATGGCGATCTCGCCGCCGCCACCCTTCTTGCCGTATCGAAAGCTGCAACTCATCTGCCACTCATCACCTTGCATATGCTCCCTCTAGATCTGCCGAAGTCCTCCTTTGGCGGCCCTGCTCCGAGCCGTCGAGGGCGCCATGCTGTCTCCGCTCCCAACTGAACCCTACTGTCCTCTGGCGCTGTCCCCGCGCCAGTCTGCTCGAATCCGAGAGCCTGGTCCCGATGTGGACCAAACTGATGGATCTTTCATTATCGCGATTTCGCGAGCTTGGACACTTCGGCGTTCTCGAGCTGCAATGCAACCGCGAGGAGCACAACGCCACATGGTTGTACGACATCGTTCGGGCAGGTGACAGTCTGCAATGGTGCCGTCTTCTCTCTCATGGTTGATGCGAAGGCCGATTGCCTTCTTCGCCCTCATCTCGCAGGAGCTGTCAGTCATTATGGCGTCGAACCTTCCGGCGCCTCTATTTTCATGGCATCACTCGATTCGTCAGAGTTAGCTATCCTTTACAGTGACTCACCGCCTGGCGATCGCCCCCACCTGGCGATCGCTGAACACCAAATGTTCGACATTTTTACACGACGACCACCACCGCAATATATATGCTATGGATGCCGCATTGGAGTTGTTGAAGTCGCTGAAGCCTGAAGAAAAGCCTAATTACGTGCAGGTCACCAAAAAGTATGGTGTTAATCGAAATACGCTGTCACGCCATCACCGCGGGGTGCAGGGCACCCGCACGGAAAAAGTCGAAAACAGTCGCCTCCTTAATGATACCCAGGAATCTACGCTTGTAGAATATATAGATGGCCTTTGTGCAAGAGGCCTGCCTCCTACAAGGCAGATGATATGAAACTTCGCAACAGAAATAGCAGAAAAAGAGCCTGGCAAAAACTGGGTTGATCACTTTATCGACCGGCATCAGATTGACCTAGTTTCACGATGGACATCTGGTCTGGATGCCCTACGCAAACGCGCTGATTCTACCTTCAAATACAGCCTATATTTTAAGCTTTTAGAGGACAAGATTGCCCAATATGCAATCGAGCCTCGAAATACATACAATATGGATGAGAAAGGCTTCCTAATTGGGGTGCTGTCAAAGATGAAGCGTATCTTCTCCCGACGTCTATATGACCAAGGAGGAATGAAGCAGATGCTCCAGGATGGCAATCGTGAATGGATTACGACAATTGCATGTATATATGCTGATGGCAGTCATCTTATGCCAGCTCTGATCTATCAGGCTACCAGCGGCAAGATCCAAGACTCATGGCTACAAGATTTTGATCCAACGGAGCATCGAGTCTTCTTCTCCTCGACATAAAAAAAAAATTCTCTCTCCTCTCCTTCCTCACCTTATCCCCCGTAACCTTAACACTGATACTGAAGTCCCACGCAGCGGCCTCGGCGAAGTCATCGCCCTCTCCTTCGCCTCCGAAGGCGCCAACGTAGCGATCAACTACTTCAACCGCATCGAGCCGGCGGAGAAGGTGGCTGCCAAGTGTGCGGAGAAGGGGGTCAAGGCTGTAACTGTCAGGGCTGTGAGTATTACTGTTTTTCTCCGTTGATATGAGGAGATACGTCTGGGGTTGGAGGGACTAACAGGATCTTATGGGAACGAGGGGGTCTGTTAGACTATAACGAGTGTGCTTGGCACCTGCAGAAAAGACTCAAAGGGGAGAAGTAATTCGGCAGGCAGGAACGCTGATGAAAACAGGATATGTGCTCCACCGCCGAGGCAAAACGCAGCATCGAGGAGACGATTGAGAAGCTAGGTGGTTTGGATATTGTGATCGCGAATGCGGTAGGTGGCATCCGTTATTCGATTGTTCCTCCCCATCTTGAATACATGTTTCACCCTCCAAACACTCTCTCCTTCTATCTGCCTTTCTTCCTTTCTCTCATACTGGCTCTGTCTTGCCTGGTAATGAACCCCAACTGACCAACTCACAGGGCTGGACACGCTTCTCCAACTTCGCCGACCTCGACGCTTTGGATGAACCAGAGTGGGATAGGGTAAGTGTGCTCTTGTCCTAATCCTTCCATTCCGAACATGCACTAACGCCCGCAGTGTTGGGCTGCCAATGTAAAAGTCCCTCACGCCCTGCTCAAAGCGGCGAAGCCTACTTTCGAAGCCAACCCCGAGGGTGGTGTGTTGATTACCACGGGTTCGATAGCGGTGAGTTACCCTTATAGAAGCCTTTGGCACTAAAAATCCATATGTTTCCGGTGCCGATCGAAAAGGGCGTGTGAACAGAGACTGACACGCCAAAGGGCAATTCGCAAGGCGGCTCCTCCATGGCATATGCCGTGACAAAAGCTGCGCAGATACAGCTGATCAAATGCCTTGCTACCACCCAAGGTCCCAAAATCCGCATCAATACCGTGCTGCCGGGGTTCTTGAGGACAGAGTGGGTGGGTGCGCCATAATCTCCTATCATTCACAATGCTCCGCCTCTTACGTCTTTCATGAGTTAATCTCGGAGACTGATGACTGGTAGGGCCTCCGATACCCACAAGAAACCATCGACTTTGTCATTGACAAGGCGGCGTTGAAGCATGAGACGTATCTCCAGGATTGCGCGGATGCGTTCATCATGCTGGCTAAGAATACCAGTATGACGGGTATGAAAGTCCAGGTTGATGCTGGATTAAATATCCAGGGGAATTGACGTCCTTTGGTGTGTATGATCCAGTTTTATGGGCTTTCGGATTCTCCCGAACATCATTTAGGATGCAATATGATGCTCCTCGTTTCGGCGATTCGTGTGCTGTGTGTCATGGTCCAAGTGTTCCAAAAAATGACATGTTTAGTGGACGACCCACAGCTCTGCTCACTCCTCCTCTTCCTGCTCAGCCGCATTCTCGGTCTCATCAAGCGCCTGCACCACCTCTTCCATCTCTTTTGGGCTTGTAATCCCCCACACCCCACCTCCTTTGACCTGCCCCTTCATTCCCACCTCCTTGCCCACAAGGTTCCTGCCAACCTTACCCGGCCCGATGCCCACATATCTTTTGACCTTCTCGTCCTCGTGCAGATATTTGACTGATTTCCACCACTGCACCGTCTCAACGCAGCCTCGAGCAACCAAATCCTTCAGCTGGTCTTTAGTCTGAAACGGCCGTCCTGTGACGTTTGACACGCAAGGGATGATACCCGGCCAAGTAACGATATCCTCTCTTGCCGGATCATACAAGATCCTCCTCATCGTCTCCTGCGCCGGCTTCATCAGAGGGCTGTGAAACGGCGCATCGCTCTTCAACCGCACATGCCGCGGATCATGGCCGCCAAACTGCCTCAGATTGATCAGGAGCATCTGTATGCGCTCAATACTCCCGCTCAGCACAATCTGGTTCTTGCTGTTGATGTTCGCAATGTGCACCTGCTGCACAGCGGGTATATCCTTTGCGCTATCGACCTTACTTCCCAACGTGCTCAGCTCGAGGAATTCGTGTATACCCGCGACGAGCGAGGCCATGTGCGCTTCGGACTCGCAGACCAAAGCCACCATGCCGAATTCCCCACCGCCAGACTCCTCGATCGCGGCCTTCGTGCATTGAGTCATGGCAATGGCGCGTTTCCTCACCATCTTCAACGCATCCTGGAACGTGATGTACCCGCCCGCGACCAGTGCGGCGAACTCTCCCAGCGAATGCCCCAGCGTGATATCGACGCGGGAGGCGGTGTCGAAGCCGAATTCCTTCTCCATGACGCGCAGGATGAGGATCGACGTGGCCATGATGGCAGGCTGGGCGTTCTCGGTCTGGGTCAATTCGGCGTTGGTGCCGCTCTCGATGATGCGGGTGAGGGGGAATTGGAGGGCGTGGTCGATCTCTTCGAGGATGGGTTTGGCGGTGCGTGGGAAGGCTGTCAGCCAGGGAGTCGCCATGCCGACTCTTTGAACGCCTTGGCCTGGTCATCGTTAGGCTCGGGTTTGGGATGGTGGAGGTGAGAATGCAAGTGCGGAGACGCATACCTGGGAAAAACAACGCTGTCTTTGGCCTCTTGCCTTGCAATGGCGTGCTGCTCATACATGGTCGTTGTATACCACTCCTCACCGGCCATCCGCATCCCCCGCATTGCGCGCCGAATGTCGAAGAGCGCCAGGACGGGACGAGCCGTCTGACGGATGCCACAGCGCAGTTGGACATTGGAGTATGGAGCGTCATACAAGTATTGGGGACATGGTGACTCTTATTATTGCGCGCTTTGCGTGACGGATTTACGGAGGAGGAACAGGTGGGGACTCCTGTGGATGACTGCAGTTGAGAGGGAGCTTAGCTCGAGCTTGGGCCAATCTGATTCACCGAGGTTCTGGGCGTGTCTTTCCGATCACTACCTTTGCGCAGTAGACGAATATTGATTGTGAAAAGGAACTGCTTCAATAATGTCTCTTTGGACTAGAATTGGTACTTGTCTTTGAATGACTGTGCTAATAAATTTCCAAGGTCCGGTTTGAGTGTGGTGGGCTAGTCCATCAGGTAAATATTGTGTCCGACACTTGACTAGGTATCGAGTACAAATAACTCTTCCAGTCAATTAGGATGATCGTGAGTATACGCGACGGCAGGGACACGATTGAAGAAGCGATATAAAGCCAGGATAACAATCGGTTCCGTGGAGTCTCTGCTTGCGATATGTGTCCAAAATGGACTCGTGCAAGCCACGCCAAGAATAGCTCTTGGCGTGAGAGATCACCTGTCTCGAAGCTCAACTGAAGTGCATCCTCACAGGAATGAAAGTATGCTTGCAAGATAAAAAGCCTACTTTAGTATCGCACTCAAGGAAAAACCTACAATAATGGCAACAGCACGCCTCCGACGAACATTTCACTACCCCGACTCGGAGGACGACGAAGCCGTAGAAGAGGGAATGGATGAGCGAGGTAACTGACATTCAACACTCCTCAAGCTTTTTCTCGCCAACTGAAAGGCCCTTAGACCAGGAGGATCTTATAGCCAAACTTTCCAGCCGAGATACCACCTCAACCACCCTCTACACCCACCTCCTCCTTATCCTTCCCTTGGCCCCTCTACTTTTCTACCTCCCACGTCTATTCCATTTCTCCACCGTAATATCGAGTATTCTCGCCATCGGGAGTCTGTTAAGTTCGGCGTATACTCTGTACTTTCTCCCTCTCCCACCCGTCAGCTCTTCCACAGCCTCCGTGTCCGACAAGAGCCGAAAAGGGAAATCCATATCCCGTGACCCAACCACTGGGGCCAGATCTGCCTCTTCATGGACTTCCCCGGAGTCGCGGCCTGTGCCTTATTTATCCACCGATACAGTGGAGCTGTTGAGGAAATACATCATCCCGCTAAACGCAAGCATCTGCGCCGTCCTTGCGCTTGTGGAACTCCTCTCAGGCCGGACATGGAGCGAAGGGATGATGATAGGTGGAGGGTATGTTCCGGGGTTCGTGTTAGCGTTTATTCTCTGGGCGAGGAGGGAGTTGCGGGTTGTAGACTTGGGCGAGTTGGAGAGGATGAGGTATCGGACGAGCAATCGATGAAGAATCAAGTATATTTCTGCGTGACCGTTCACGAGTTGTTTCCCGATCATGTGTGATGGTTGCAGGAACCAGACAAAGTTTTGGATGGTTCAGTGAAGCCTGCTGCCCCGTTCATGATAAGCAATTAGGTGGCAGCAGGATGTGGTCTGTCGTTCCAGATAATGGTACTAACTCCTTTGGGCAGCATAATAGACTCTCGCAAGAAGGTCTCGACTATTCTACGTGATGCTTCGCAAGAGTAACGTAGTTCATAGTATTGCGGCATGCGCTACAGAATAGAGTGACTGGTTTCGGAGCCAGCTTTGTAACAAGAAACCGTTCATTCTCATTCTAAGGCCGACTGCTTCCTGGCTGGTATGGAAGATTATGACGTAGAACGGCTTCTCGAGGACTGAAACCATACCCATCTACTGAACAGTTCTCGTCAGTCGATTGGTGATGCGGGACATCCCGATGGATCCAGCACTAATATTGAGCAGAATAACCGTCCATCATTGTTTCCACGACGCGCCCAAACATTTCAAGCCTTCTTTGCTCTTTATTATACAAGTGGTGTACAGCAGTGTACCAATGACAATCATGATGTGGCAGGTGGATATCGCCTTGACCTATCAGTGGACATTGTAGGATAGACCTTCCTCTTCTCCGGTATATCACCAATATATTCGTCCTTCGTAACCCGCATCTCTTCTACTGCTTTGCGCAGCTCTTCCATGCCGTTCTCTCTGAACTGCGTCACCTTTTTTACGTTCTTGGCCGTGATTTCGTTCATCTTCTTCTCCTCTGGTAATGAAGCTAGCGTTTTCGCCGTCATCGCAAACCGCATATCCTTGGGTCCGTCCACCATTTCGAGGATGGCAGACGGCGCTTGATCCTCCTTTATTGGTTCGATTCGGAGCACCCGAGTGTATCCACCCGGACGATTCGCATACCGCGCGCCGAACTTCTCGAAAACTTTGGGTACCAACTGATCCGGGGTCTGTACACGCATGGGTTAGCTGTCGTACAGTCCAAAGACCGACCCTTCATACATAGAGAATCTGATGTGCTCTCCGTCTCGAAGCGTCTGTGTTCTTCTTTGCGAGAGTCACAACCTTCTCCGCCAGTCTTTGCGCCTCCTTTGCCTTATGCCATGTTGTTTGTATCGATTCGAACTTGAAGAGAGATGTGACGAGATTGCGGAGGAGGGCTTCGCGATGCGACGACTTTCGGCTCAAGTGCCGATACTTCATATGCCCTCGAGGCATTGTGCAGGGCTTCGGATACCGGTATTATAGGGAACTGAGTCTCACCGGCCTTCCTGCGGAAGTGGAGCCCTCCTCGATGTTCAATGGAGGTCAGTCCGAAAAAGCGCGGTCTGACGGAAAAGGGTTGTTCCGAATACCAAGGCCCATGCAAGCACTTACAAAAAGAGGGCGTCACGCCAAGCGATGCACGTGCTCTGTTTTCGCGAAAGCGCGTTCGACGCGTCCACTGTCCCCGCCCGGTCTTAAATAGAGCAACCTTGTTTTCGTGTGTCCCACTTACTCTTCACCTACCACCTTCTTCACGCTTGATACCCAAAAGTGTAATACGTGTTCAGTTATCCGACAATATGTTCGTTTTCAAGCGTGGTAAGTAAACGATAACACACTTTCCATTCGATTTTCCACTTCGACGCCGGCCCTAGTTCATCGCTCTGAGCATGGTGCTAATGATTCTGTGCTAGATGGGCGCAAAGAACGCGTGCAGTTCGACAAGATCACAGCTCGAGTGTCCCGTCTGTGCTACGGGCTGGATCCGGACCATGTGGATCCCGCTGCCATCACAATGAAGGTCATTTCTGGCGTGTATCAGGGCGTGACAACCGTCGAGCTGGACAACTTGGTAGGTCTTACGCGTTTCTTGCAATCAATCAAGCACTGACTCCGAGAAGGCTGCCGAGACAGCTGCATACATGACCGTCACACATCCCGATTACGCCATTCTTGCGGCCCGTATCGCCGTGTCGAATCTTCACAAGCAGACCAAAAAGCAGTGGTCAGCCGTTGTGGCGGACCTTTACAACTACATAAATCCAAAGAACGGAAAGCATCAGCCCATGGTCTCTAAGTCAGTATACGACATCGTCCAGAAGCATGCTGATGAGCTCAACTCCGCCATCGTGTACGACCGCGATTTCAACTACCAGTTCTTTGGCTTCAAAACCCTCGAGCGCTCATATCTACTCCGGATAAACGGGAAGGTTGCTGAACGTCCACAGCACATGTTGATGCGTGTGGCTGTCGGCATCCACGGTGAGGACATTGAGAAGGCGATTGAGACGTACAACTACATGTCCAACAAGTACTTCACACATGCGTCACCCACCCTCTTCAACGCGGGGACGCCGTCGCCGCAGATGTCATCCTGCTTCCTCATCGACATGAAGGAAGACAGCATTGAGGGTATCTACGACACGCTGAAGACGTGTGCCCTCATTTCCAAGACCGCTGGCGGCATTGGTCTGAACGTTCATCGCATCCGTGCGACTGGCTCATACATCGGAGGCACCAACGGCACATCAAATGGACTTATCCCTATGCTTCGTGTGTTCAACAACACTGCCCGTTATGTGGATCAGGGAGGGAACAAGCGGCCGGGTGCATTTGCCATCTATATTGAGCCCTGGCACGCTGATGTTTTCGGCTTTCTTGACCTGCGCAAGAACCATGGTAAGGAAGAAGTCCGTGCTCGAGATCTCTTCTATGCCTTGTGGATTCCCGATCTCTTCATGAGACGTGTGCAAGAGAACGGCGAGTGGACGCTCTTCTGTCCCAATGAGGCCCCTGGTCTTGCTGATGTGTACGGTGAGGAGTTTGAGGAGTTGTACCATCGGTAAGTCTATCCTGTGTAGTATGCATGTAGACTTGGCTAACGATCACAGGTACGAAGCCGAGGGCCGTGGTCGTGAGACTGTGCGTGCTCAGAAGCTTTGGTATGCCATTCTTGAGGCCCAGACCGAGACTGGTAACCCCTACATGCTCTACAAGGATGCTTGCAATCGCAAGAGCAACCAGAAGAACCTGGGCACTATCCGCAGCTCCAACTTGTGCACGGAGATTATCGAGTACACGGCCCCTGATGAGGTGGCCGTCTGCAACCTTGCGTCACTCGCACTTCCTGCTTTCGTGGACTTCAACCGCAACGCCTATGACTTCCAGAAGCTTCATGAAGTCACTCAGGTGGTCACTCGCAACCTCAACAAGATCATCGAAGTCAACCATTACCCTGTGGAGGAGGCCCGCCGCAGCAACTTCAGGCACAGGCCGGTTGGTCTTGGAGTTCAGGGTCTTGCCGACACGTTCCTTGCCCTGCGCATGCCTTTCGACTCGCCTGAAGCCAAGCAGCTGAACATACAGATTTTCGAGACCATCTACCATGCCGCTCTCACTGCTTCGTGCGATCTCGCCAAAGAGCTCGGTCCTTATGAAACGTATGAAGGCTCTCCTGTCTCCCAGGGCATCCTCCAATACGACATGTGGAACCGGACTCCCACTGATCTTTGGGACTGGACTTCTCTCAAGGAGAAGATTGCCCAGCACGGTGTTCGCAACTCTCTCCTGGTTGCACCTATGCCTACGGCTTCCACCTCTCAAATCCTTGGTTACAACGAGTGCTTCGAGCCCTACACCTCCAACATCTACTCGCGCCGCGTCTTGGCCGGTGAGTTCCAGGTCGTCAACCCCTGGCTGCTCAAGGACCTCGTCGACATGGGTCTGTGGTCTGACAACATGAAGAACCGCATCATCGCTGAGGGCGGTTCCATTCAGCGCATCCCTAACATTCCCGACGAGATCAAAGCGCTGTACAAGACAGTTTGGGAAATCTCCCAACGCACCATCGTCGAGATGGCTGCCGACCGTGGTGCCTTCATCGACCAGTCCCAATCCCTCAACATCCACATGAAGGAGCCTACCATGGGTAAGATCACCTCGATGCACTTCGCCGGCTGGAAACTGGGCCTCAAGACTGGCATGTACTATCTCCGTACCATGGCCGCCAGCGCCCCCATCCAGTTCACCGTCGACCAGGAAGCCCTCAAGGTTGCCGATACGACCGTCGCTCGCACGCTGGCACCTAGGAAGCGCCCCGTGCAAAGCGCCGGTTACTCGAGCTCTGCAGCCGCGGTCCCTCGCCCCATGTACATGTCCAAGACTCCCAACGGCACCGGCAACCCGACGCCTTCTGCTACAGCTGGCGTTCCCACTCCGGCTGCTACTCCACCCCCAAACTCGGAGAATAAGCGCCTGTCAGCGACGAAAGAGAGCGCACTCGCGTCTAAGCCTTTCAAGGCCGACGTCGAAGAGGGTGATAGCCCTAAGCTTATTTCGTCGGAGCCGCAGGGGACACCGATCGATGACCAGGAGCTGCCCGAGGCTGCTGTGAAGCAGGAAGAAGATAAAGAGGATGAGAGCAAGGCTAGGGATGGGGATATCTATGCTGATGCGGTGTTGGCGTGCTCGATAGAGAATAAGGAGGCTTGCCTCATGTGCAGTGGTTAGATGGGTAGGTCTTGGGCTGTGAGAGGGGAGGGAGTGTAGATGAGATGGGCAGGCGACTGCTTGTACTTTGTGTATACGTTTCTGCTTCCAAGGCGTATGGGGATGGCGTTGGTGGTGTGTTTCCTTTTCGGATGGTATGATGCGGAGGAATGGGTTATGAAGGTCACTTTAGGTATTACGCGGTTTGGACTTGTGTCGCTCGTTTGAGCAGAATAATGTTATGCTCTAAGTTTCATTGGCTTGATCTCTTTGCGATACATGCACAGTTTTGTACTCATTTTCAAATGTACTATTTTTCGAGCCTTGCAGAAGTCCGCTTTGGGGACTTCGAACACTTCAGTCGTAGCAATTATATTCCGCACTCCAGAACACCCCCTCTATACACGCAACCCTAAAGCCCGTAACGTCTGCACAGCTTCACACCAACTCATAACCCCACACCCGTCCATTACCGTCATTCCAGCACACGGCCTACCTACAAAGATGACATTTATAAGTCCGAAGAAGCGGAAGCTCCCCTCATCTTCTGTAGGTACAATAGTACGGGCAACGTTTTCGCCTTTGAAATCGTTGTCTTGAACGACAAGGCATCATTCTTCTTGCATCCTACTCTAGTCGTTCATTCCTAGAATTCACAGACGCTTCCGGGCTGCCCCATCAGATCCATCAATAGCCGCGGTATCTACCATAGCTCACCCCCGCGCCCCACCTCATCCCGCGGCACTCTTCCGTCCATATCAACATGCCCTTCACGCCCTACCAACTACATTTCCATATCCACTCGTAACCGCCATCCTCTTTTGAACGTTCGCCGCATCTCTCCTCGTACGCACCTCTTCTTCCTCCAATCCTATATAAACCCGACCATCCCCCGACTCCGAGCCCCCCATCTGTGTCCGCCAGCGAAACCACCATTCGCACCCTATAGAGGTTACATACATATATATATGCCCAGGCCATTTCTCCGCCTTGCACTGCACTCACAACCCACCTCGCCGCTTCGTTCGACCCCAGCATCCTTCATCTTCCGCCGCCCTCTAGCCGCCTTTCTCCCCGGTCCTCCCCACTTCATACTCTCAGCACACGCAATGGCATCCACCAGCAGCACGAGCACCACCACTCCCCAACAGCAGCTCCAAGAATGGCTCGTCATCGCGCCTGACCACGAGGGCGCCATCGAGAAGCGCCTAGCGGTGCGGGAGCGGCATCTATCGGGGCTGAAGGAGGATCCCGAGACCTTTTGGTTGTGGGGTGGTACGCTCCCCCCTTTTGTTCCCCCATTCCCCTTTTAATATTTTTTTTCTCTTCTGTTTATAATGGCCTATCTTCCTCTTTTCTCATGTTTCTATTCTTCCCATAATCTTCACTCCACCTCCCCCCTCCCTCTCAAACACCCACAACGCCTACTGACCCAACTCTCAGGAGCCATGCTCGCCTCCCCTCTGGTTCCAGGCGAAACCCCCAAGATGACCGGTTCCGCCATGCTCATCGGCGCCAAGACCAAGGAAGAGGTCATCGAGCGGATCAAGCGAGACATCTACGTCACGAACGAGGTGTGGGACTGGAGCAAGATCCAGATTATCCCTTTCAAGAGTGCGTTGCGGAAGGCGCTGTAGGTGGGAGCGTGGGAGGTGGGAGGTTGTGGTGAGGTGATATGAGGAAGGAGGAATACGATATATCTACCTACTACTGCGACGTAAATCGCAATGAAACCTGCTGCAAATCGCCAACAATAGAACACAAATGACCTCTCCGGCATCTATAGACGATGTGTACATCTCCGTCTGCCAAAAGCACACTCTGGACTCTCCCAAACTACTATGCCATTGCCAATGCCGTAGTACGCTCTAGCAATTTGATACTTATTCTTGGCAAGTTCAAACCTTTCAGCAAACGAGAGGCTACTAGTGGAAGCTACTAGTGGAAGAAAGGGAGGAAAATGGCATGGCGTTCGATCGTAAAGTGCCAGTGTCGTTAGAGACAGCGGTCTGAAGGGTCTCTGGGGTAGGTGAAGCGATCGACGTCGCAGGCTGTGCTTGTCCACAGTTGCTAGTTCCGACGACTTGGGACTGGGTCTTGAACTCAATTCGGCGAAAACGTTCCTCCGATGCAGTCCCAAAGGCTGTCAACTCAACCTTCATCTCTGAGAGAGGCGACTTCATCTCATAGCTCGATTCTTCGACCTTCCTTGTGGGATGGGCCACTGCCTCGGACAAGATTCACACCTTGTTCATGGCATCACCCCATTCGGAATGAACGAGATGATGAGTCCGGCTGAATGTGGTCACTATTTCCGAAGTGCTTCACACCTTGAAGAGCTGCATCAGGGGGTCCCAGTCCGTCGGAAAAACGCTCGTCAGAAGTCATAGCTGGAGTTCCCTCCCTGTAGTGCGAATGGCGTTGTGTGGGCGGGAATTTGAGTGGTTCCGTGTTAGCAGCCACTATTGTCAATCCATTGTCGGGAGTGCTTGTACGAGCTTTCCGCGCAACAGGATCGTTGACATCACCAAAATTGGTCATGGACTTGAGACTTTTTCCTCCGGCTCGTGCTCCTGAGCTTCCCGACTCTTTCCCTAGGCCCCTTCCTGAAATGCTGCGAAATAGCAGGCTCGGACTGGGAAACGCTCACCATGCATCATTTTACCTTGCTTTGGCAGGCTTTTTCAGATCGCTCAATCGCTGCCTTTATCGCACCCCACTCCAACTTATAAGCCTCCAGCTCCTTGACTTTTCGTTCGGCGAACTCCCTCAGTTCCTCCTCCGCAACTGGGGTGAAATCCTCAAAATCAGGATGCAGACTGCATATCGCCTTCCAGGCCGTATTCTCGGCATCCGTGTAACAATCGTACAGTAACTCGTGGAACAAGAACGTGCCGTCCGTCATGGATTTGCGCATCTGGGCGGAAAGCTTCTTGGGGGGCTCGGCCTGCTTGAGCGCTTCATCGCTCCCAATCCCCAGGCGTTCAAGTTGTTTGGAGACATTCCCGTTCACTTTTGGGCATTCGGGCGGTTCGCAGACCTCCTCATTCTCAACCTCCAGGCGTTCAAGTTCATCGAGGAAAAGCTCCAAACATGCTTTATACCGCTCGAATTCGGCACCTGCTGGTGTACGCCATTCAGTTGGCTTCGAGATGAGAAACCAGCGCGGTGCTGAGCAGAGCATCTGATAGGGCGCTGCATACGCCCACTCCCTCCCAATCTACGACCGCGATTATCTGAAGGTCCTTCGCGTTATTAACGATCATATTCCCGTACCGAAAATCATCGCACAGCAACCTAGGCTTCATCCTGTTGTAGTCGTCATTAACAAAGCGGGGAATAAGAGCGTTGAACTGATGGCGGAACTTGTATTTGGCCCGAGCATCATCGGCGTCGTCGACTGAATTGGCTTGTTTGTACACCTGTTCCATGTCCTGGTCAGCAATGTACTCGAAGAACTCTCTCGCCGATGGAAATGTTCTCGAGCGATCGCCTTGACATATTCGTTAGTTCTTATAGAAGAAGTGGGTAGAATCTACGTACCCCCGACCCTACCCCGCCCCATGGGCTTCGATTTCTTGCATCTTCAGCGTGAGCGGCCCCAAGTCTGTATGAATACTCTAGTCGTCTCGGATGCATAGAGATCCAACGTGGGGGAACTCCAGTTTCGAAAGCTCGAGGTAGAATCCCGCTACCTGGCGATATACCGTGCGGAGGTCCCCTTCGCTGATATCAGATCTTAAAACCGCCTCATCCGTTTGTCGCCAAAGGCGATGCAGGGACTCGCCTTGGACGAAGTCCATGATGATAAAGGGGCCTAGGCCTAGCGAATTCTCGTTTGATAGTCCCCATGCGTGAACTTCGGGTACTGGGATGCTTGTATTTTCTCGCACTAGGCGCATTACTGCAACCTCTCGGCGGAGCTTTTCGTCCCCATCCATCACTTTGCCAGGCATGGCGAACCGCACAAGCCATTCTACGCCGTCTGAGAAGCGCATGTGGCAGCTCCGGTTGAAGGAGCCGGATGACTCGTCGACTATTTCGCACAATGGGCTGCTTCGGCGGAAAGAGGAGACCCAGCCGGGAATGGCGGGTCTCTGTGATATGAATGTTCTTGCCCAGTCATAGCACTGTACGAGATGTTTACGTTCTGCTATCTCGTTCCAGTCCATCCTAGAAGGAAAGTTAGAAAGGCATGTTGGTGGAATAAAATGTTTGCACGTGCCTCTCCTATAGAGAAATGGCAGCTAGGAACAATGCGCGTATTATTAGAAGTCGAGATTGAAGCTTGCATACACCGAGATTGGAATGAGTATTGAAATGAGAATAAAGTATAGGTAGGGGCAACGTCGTTTATTCTCAGAGAGTGATAGATAGGGGTGTCAGCTGGTTAGTCAGCGAATTTCAGGACACTGCAGCTGGTAACTGGTATACCAACACCTACCGGCTGCAGCCGCGCCAGTACTACGACTGGCACTGGTACATTGACACTGGAATTAGTATCCGCTTGAATATTGTTACCGGTGCCGCTAGTGTTGTTAGTGTTCGAGTTTCCATTGCCGCTAGACATGTTGGATGATAGTTTCGCCAGACATTTATTTGGTAGTATCAACGAATTAGGGAGAAGACGGATCTTGCTTTGAATACGGAGTGTATGATTTCCTTGCCTTCATCAGTCAGACATCAGGTCACCGGTGGGTACCAGCGTTCTCCCAATCAAAAGCCCCGAGGCTTACAGCTCTCAATCAAGAACACTCCCCTCACTCCCGTCCTATACAGCCCCGTGTACAACTAAACGCAAACCATCAAACACCCCTTTTTCAACCAGGAACAAAACGCCACCGTGGGCACATACATAGTACCCTAGTTGACAGCCCTCCCAGCCTTGAGAAGGCCCCAAGAGGAAGCATGAAAAAGATAAAGAATAAAAGAACTTCATAGAATAACCAAAACATTCCATTCCATTCCAACCCCTCCCCTAAAACTAATAAGGTATCCAAAAGGAGGCATGCTCAACACCTTCGGCTCCTCAAAAACTCCCGAAAATCATGCCCTCGTCAACACCGATGCTGCTAAACAAATGGTCCCCCCGCTTCCCCCACCCGCATTCTTCCCCCCCCACTGACATCGTCACTGGCTTCAAGAAGAAGAAATAACCAGGGGAGACGTCAATGCACCATCGCGCCCCCCTCCGTTTATTTCTTACCGCCGCCCGCCGCCGCGGCAGCAGCCCTCCTCGCATCGGCTGTGTTTCGAGATGATGAGTCAGCTATCGATTCTCGAGACATACTTTGCAACACCGAGCAGTACCGATGATGCTGAGATGAAAGGGGTAAATGGGATGACGACGAAGAAGAATGAAAAGAACGTACCAGCCGCTTGCTTCGCCCTCATGATAGCCGCCTGATCCTCCTTGGCGCGCTGGAACTCGGTTCCGGAGAGCTGCGAAGTTGGGACGTGATGTTAGTTACTGTGGACATTCTTTCATCACGCACGAGACGAGGTAGGGAAAGGTAAGGCAAGGAAAGGATAGGCAGAACGTGTGACGTGGTGTGTGCGTGCCGGACAGAGTGGATGGGCAGCACAGCAACAGCACGCGCATGGTGGTGGGGAATGGGGGACGTACAGTGTTCTTGGATTTCTGTTATCCGAGTTAGTATCGTTGTCTCACTCACTCGTTTCGACAGATAAAGAAGATAAGAGCAGAAAAGTAAAAGAAGAAGTAAAAGAATGAAGAGGGAATAGACAAGTCCCGCAGACCAAACCAAAACCACAACCCAGACCCCTAGAACCCAACGACGAACCCCAACCGACGAAACCGAACCGCAGATTGAAAAACCAACGAGAAACGGAAACCGAAAAGAGGAAAAGCGAAAAACGACAACGCACCTGCGAAGCCTGCGCCTTGAGATTCTTCTCGCGCGCCTTCTCCCGCTGGTTGCCTCGCGCCATGGCTAGATAACTCGTGTGCGCACACCTGGTCTCCCGTCTAATGGAAAAATCTCCGGCTTTCAGCGGCCCTGCGGAGGCTTGTTGGTTCGCTGCTGCTGGTGGTAGTGGTGGTGGTTGTGGTGGCGCGTAGTTGGCGGAGAGACGGTGCGAGAAGTTTTGTGGTTGGGGGTTTGAAGGATCGTGAGGTGTTGGGAAATGAAGATGTTGAGAGCGACCCCTGCGCGGGACGCGGCGGGGCGCCAAAAATAGCGTGGTTTTTTCGGTCGGCAATCGGCGATTGCCCATGTGGCAGTGCGGGCTAGATTCACAGAAACTCGTGATTGATGAGCGTTCCGTTGGAGCACTTCATGAGTAACAATACAGAGTACACTCAATACAATCAAAAATAATTCAAACCTACTGTTAATGTTTCCCACTGTGTAATGGCGTCTACCCTTTCTAGTATATAGTCACGTGACACAATAGCCCATCCATGTCCCTCAGTGCTCAGGGCGTTCATCCCGTTCTGTGGAAATGGAGCTTCATTCGCTGTCAGTCCATATGATATGACGGCTGAGCCCTTGAATCCAACGAGGCAGAATGTAGTTGCCCCCTCCCTTGATTTCAGTTCCGCCCCGCCAGCATCCGCCCAGGTTTGCACTCATGTCCGATGCTCACATCCACGTCTATCCACCACTCATCCAAGCCAAAAAGCGCATAGGTATATTACCACCACCCAGCCAGGTGGCACAGCCATCAATACAACCAAAAATGTCTATACACGATACTTGCTTCGCTTCGCTTCACCTTCGCATCGCATCTCAACCAATCCGTCAGTCATCAACTCTATTTCCCTTCCGTCCCATTCACATGCAATATCAGCCAGACAAATAGAAAAAGCCCAACGCGCCCAACGCACCGACTCAGAGATCAGAGAAATATACAAACATCCCCTCCCCGTCCACAGACTACAAGATCAGTATATTGGAAAAGCAGGGAAAAAGACGAAAAAAAGCAGCCCATGCAATGCAATACCGAAAAGCACAAAGCGGGTGTGGTTCGGTCGTCCCGTGCTCCCGGAAACCATCCAACCCCCAGAAATCATCATCAAAGTCGACGCCGTGTTCTCATGTGCCCACATGGGGCACACAGCCAGACTCGCAAGAGATTCATCCCTTCCTCTAGATAGAAAAACGCACCAGCTGTGCTCTTCAACCCTTTTGCGTATGTGGAACTGCTACTGCCAATCTCAGTATGTGTACATGGTGTAAAACCCCAGATATGCGGAAGAGCGGAATTTGCGAGCTGTGGCCCTGAACCCAACGCCTTTTCTATGTATATGTGAACATCGATCGTGACCATGGCATATCGTACAAAGATACGAGACTATATCGAAAGACCACTCCGACGCGGAAAATGCAGGTGGGCTCGTTTCATGCGGCATCAGCCGTGTCCTCCGGCTCGTGGGTGCCAGGAATCTCGACCTTCTTTACTGTGCCATTGCTTCCGCTGCGCGCGGACCGGCGACGCCCGGATATGTGGCTCCTCCGAGCTTCTGCGACGTCGGACCTTGCGAGCTGTGCATTGGAGATGGACGCACTCGATCTTTGCGCAGGCTTTTTCTTCCCCATGACGAGGAAGTCGTCATCCGAGTTGTCGAAGTCGCTTTCCAAAGGCAAATCGCTCTCAGCTGTGTGGTCGGTATCGGCCTCGTAGTCGGGCTGCTCTTCCCACCCAAAGTCGCGAGTGGCTGTACCCTTTGGTGGTTGGTGACCCGGATCGCGATGTGCCATGCGCATCTGGAGACACTCGTCAGGTCCCACGGAGGAACTCGCAGACACGGACGGAATAGAAGGATCCGACGTCGACTTCGAGAAGTGGTCTTCAGAGGAGCTGGAGCCCAACTCCCTGGACTGGGCAGCAAGGGCACCGAAACTGCCGTCTCCAGAGGTATGCTGGCCGTGGTTCAAGTAGTCTTCCACCTTCCGCCGTTGGAACATGGCAAGATCATCAGGACTGGGTGGGCACGGCGCCGGGCTGGACGAGCTTTCTTCTTGTTGTTGTGCTTGCAAAGACAGTGATCTTTCCCGTTTCCGGTTCTCATTTTCTTCCGCCACCCGCTTTCGAATGTGTTCCTCTTGGGCACGTCTGACCATCTCGGCATGCGTTTCGGTTGGATGAGGCTGGAGCACGGAGCCCTCCTCATGGCTCGGAACAGGACCCAGCTCGGAGTGCGTCTTGCGGCCTAGTCGTCTTTGCAGGTAGGAGGAAGCATTGGACGAGACGGAAGACTGCCGCGAGACGGACCGTTCAAGACGGTCGCTATGATCCGCCGCATCCGCATGTTTTGACAACGTACCACGTCTCGCACGAGGAGATACATCGGGAATTTCAGGCGTATCCACGTGTCCGGCAGCTGAAGCGATGCTCAAGGCTAGGCTGGGCTCGCTATGCGGGTCATCAACAGTCTCTCCTCGCCATTCCGTCTTGGCCCTCGTCGGATCTGCCGGACGTTTGGATTTCAGTAGCTTCTCCCGGCTCCGCATGTTGCTGACCAGACGAGGCACACCGCCCAGCAGATTACCAAACGTGGAGCTGCTTCCGGGTTCCAATGTGGTGGGTGTACCGGGAAGGCCAGGCGGTGGGTAAACAGAGGGTTTCGGAGACGATGTGGGGCCGAAGGATACATCTGACGGGCGCACTGTTCTTAGCGAAGAGTTGGAGGACGTGGCCGAATGTGCTCGCTCAGGAACTATTGGCCTCGTCAGAGCAGCAAGAGGTGCAGGATGTTCCCGGCTTTCCGCCATATGTGATGGCGACGCCGTCCGCGAACTGGGCTCAAAGAACTTGACTTGCTCTTTGGCTTCAGGACTTGCAGAGACGCTTTGCGAAAGCGGATGCTCCGACTCGGCACGAGATCGTGTCAAGGCTTCGAGAATCGAAGTGGTCATGGCAAGGCTCGGACGTCGGCCTTCCTGGCTGATGGTGCTGCTGGAGGAACGCGTGCTCATGGGCTGAAGGGTATCGGGGCTCGTGACGTTACTTTGTGCCCGTTTTCTGGAACCACCGCGTCGTCCAATTCCCAGTACGGTGTCAATGGTCTTGCGCATCCCTGACCGCACGCGATCACTCCATGAGATGGGGACGACGGCCCTTTCCACGTCCTCGTGTGACACCTCGATCCGCTTGCCTTGTGACTTTCTCTCGGGGTCAGTCTCCTCAACCCAGGCGCCGTAGTTGTCGAGCCCCTGTAGGACCCAGGGGTGTCGCTTGATCTCCCGGATGGAGATGCGTTGCTTCGGATCCTTGGTAAGCAGCTTTTCGAGGAGATCTCGTAGGTCGTGCCCAACCTCTTCATACTCGAGAGCATGAGGATCTCTCCGGTCAGTGGTCATTGTATGATACATCCTCCCATGCGAGCTGGGCCTGGAGCCCGATTGTTCGATGGTCGCCTTCAACCGGAAACGGGGGATGACGACGTCATCCGAGAAGATGTTCTCAAGGAGCTGATGTTGGTTTGGGTTGAAGAACGGTACTCTGCCATAAACGAGGCAGTACAGAGTGACGCCCAAGGCCCAGATATCGAGCTGCTTGGACACCTGGAACCCTTCGCGACAAAGCTCAGGCGCGTAGAACGCCGGCGTCCCTACCGTCTTTGCCAGCTCTTCTTCGGGCTCTTCCGGCCCTAGGGGATCCGACTCGGAGAGATCGTCGTCATCCGACGGCGATTTGGCGCGGCCGAGATAGGAGACCCCAAAGTCGGATATCTTGATACGGTGCTCTCTGGTCTGAAGCAGATTCGCGGGCTTTATGTCGCGGTGTATGACGCCCTGAAAGTGTAGGTACTCCAAGCCCAATACGGTGTCTCTGAAGATCTCTAGCGCCGTCTGAAGCGTGAGTAAAGGGACGTAGCGAAAGTGCTCCGGCACGTCTTCCGCCTCCTCGGTTAAGCCGGAGGAGCTACTGCCCGCTATGCTTGGAGTCCGGCCACGGTCATCGTAGGGGCCGTACTGAGTTCCCTCTAGGCCACTCCATGCATCGGCGTCGAACGGCTGGCACGCTGGAGCGGCTGTTTCGGCCCGAACGGCAGTCTCCATGTTGGGTTCGTCATGCCCAGTCCTCGCCCAAGGCTCGGCAAGCGTGCTTCTGCTAGGTGCTCTTTCGCGGCTGATTGTGGAAGCTCGAGAAGTACGGTTACTGCCAATCGACTCCTGGTCAGACTCGCCTCCATGCTCCAAGCTCCATCCATGGCTGTCGTCTGTTCCATCGCCGGTGCGCCTATCTCTGCGCATCAGTCTTGCCCGCTCACGCAGCTCTGCCACCCGCTCTTGCCGAATCTTCTCATGTGCGCGCTCCAGGATTCTCAAGTCTTCCTTGATGGCAGCCTCGTCCTGCGCCATGCCTTGGGCCTCTCTTTGGTAACGGCGCCATTCAATCAAGCAGATCTCCCTGGCACCCTCTGTCCTCCACCTCACCTCACCCAGCTCAACGTGCTCTAGGATGATGTACACCCTTTTGAGTGCGGGATCGTCAATGACTTCGAGGAGGCCGACGATGTTGGGGTGTCTTGCCTTCTTCAGGATGGCGATCTCTTTCTTGATCTTTTCCTCGCGGCTACCATCATCTCTGTTCAGCCGCTTGGGCTTCACGTAGCGCTTGACAATCTTGATGGCTACGGTCTGACCGGTTTCCAGGTTCCTTCCGAGCTTCACTTTTCCATGCACGCCCCGGCCCAGCTCATCGATGATCTCGTACTGATTGATGATCTTCCGGCCCGAGACGGGGTCGACGTCCAGGTCGGCTTTGTGTGTCTCCTTCGGTGCTTGTCTGTGCATATGATGCAGATAGGGGCTGGAGTAGAGTCCATCCTCGGACTGCTGAGGGACGCCCAGGGGAGGGGTGCGGGGGCTGAACAGGCCAGGGCTGCTAGCGGGTGAGTTACCAGCGGTTCTGGACCCCGAGTCCATGAAGCTTCGGCGATGGTCCGAAAGGCCAGATGTCGTGATGCTAGTCCCCGAGAAGGACTGGAAGTGCGAGTGGCGGGCGCCACTCATCCGGCTCCCACGAGCTGGTTTGTGTTCCGATCCGGGAAAATAGCGTGGGTACTGGAGGGCGGCGTACGACTGGTTAGGGTAGTAAGGCCCCTCTAGCTTGCTCCTCGTCGGGGGTGGGTATGCAGTGCCCGGCTCGGCCGAGTGGGCACGTATTGTAGCAACAGTCGTCGTCGATGCGCTCGAGTCATCTCTGTGTATACTGGGCCGACGTTCTTGTGGAAGGGCGGGTGTTGAACAGACTGACACGGACGACGCATCAAGGCTCGCTGTGGGCGACGGGCGCGCAGAGGCTGGGGTGGAGGCAGGGAGCCTGGAGACGTAGGGCCGGATGGGACGAGGCGAGAAGTAATTCGACTCGGAGGCATCAGGCAGCTGCGACGCCCCGGCGGCGGCGGCAGCGGGCGGCATGTCGGAACGCGGCGTCTTGTCCGACTCGTCGGCCGTGGCCGTCGCAGAATCGCACGGGACGGATTGTGGAGGTGTATGGCATTGCCGGGATGCCTCCAAGGCCTCATGAAGCGCCTCGCTCTCTAGGTCCAGATAACATACGGCCGATGCTGGAGACGCGCGCCCCTGCTCGAAAACGTCGTCAGTCGCAGGGGCGGGCATCGCATTGTCCGACCTTTGGCCAGCCATAGCCTCGAGGGGTGTTGGAGCGGTCGTATCCATGTGTGAATGGCCAGCTCCTGCTTGCACCAGCATCGCATTTGCAATCTAGGCAAGAGGAGCAACCATGTTGAGGATTGGGGTTTTGAGGGATGGCCGGAGGGCCTTGGAGAAGGGCAGAGACGCAAAGTGTGTGGTTACAAGGACGATTGCACTCGAAGGGAGCGATGGCGAGACGGCGAGACGGCGGGTGCGGGTTGCAAAAGAACTCGAATAGGCGGCGGTGCGGGGCGAGGGTGCGTGTGTCGTCTGCAGCCGGTGCAGTGGGATCGTAAGGGACAGGTTGGGATTGCGTACAGGCAAATGGTGAAGGCTGCGCGTGCGTGCGTGAGGAGGAGGAAAAGCAGTTGGAGCTGGAGGTTGACTTTGTTCCAAGGTTGGGTGCCACAAGGTGGGCGAAGAAGGGAAGGCGCGGAGGGGGTGGATGCCCGGGTGCCCAGGTGGTGCGCAGGGTGCAGGTGGACGAGTGATCGACGGGGCGCCGAGGGCCGACTAGCAGGGAGCAGGGAGGGAGGGAATTGCGGCGTCTGTAGGCTTTGCGACGATGGAGAGTTAATAGTGGTGGTGTGGTGTGGTGTGTTATAACTTTTGAAGAATCGGGGGCCGAGGGTGGCCAAGGGCAATGACGAGGTGTTAGTGGGTCGCCGTCTTGCCCATTGGTGATGACGGTGACGATGCAAGGGCCAGACAACGGCGATGGCTAGCCATGGAAAAACAAAGACGACAGCGGAGTACAGTAGAAAGTAGGGAGTAACAACAGTTAGACGACACGATAGGTCTCTGAGCTGAGTTGCTGGTGTGGGAATTTGCGAGTGCAGTCTAGCCAGGACAGAATCGTGATGAAGGAGGGCAGTACTGAGTAGTTTTATTCTGGCTTTATCATGGGATTTACTGGTACAAAGAGGACACGAGGAATTGACAGGGCCCCTCGTCCCATCTGATGTTCCTATCTTCGGCCAGCCAGCCGTCCCATCAACGCTCGTCCGGCTTCCACTCTGCACTCTGCGTCTGCATCTCTCAGAGACGTGCTGCTGGGACCTCTGCACCCCTCCATTATTCAATGTTCTCTCCCACCGGCGATCCGTGCCCCAAAGTGCAACTCAGCTGCATGTGGACCTCTTCAATAATGTTGCTTGGGCTCTGGGCGTGCAGCGGATGGCCCGAGCCATGCCAGTCCACCCGCATCTGATTCGTCGAGGGAACCGTCTCAAGCTGCACGCAACCGGCTGCAGGCTTGGCGGCTTTGTGGCTGTTAGACTTCCGAGTGACGATTGATTATACCGCAGGAGGGCCCTCGGGTTGGGAACGGTTGGATGGACGGCGAGAGCAAGACAAGAGCAAGACGAGGCGCGGGAGCTCCACCTTTGACCTAGCACTCCAGTGATACAGTGCTCAGGAACGGGCAGCAGGCTCGAGGTGCTTTTCATCCGAACACTATCCATCCAGCCCATGTAGACCACTTTGGACAACCCGTCGACGGGATTCTCCTCTGACTGCAGCCAATTTTCTGGCAGCCGCGCATGCCGCAGAGCCAATCCAGCAACCCTGGCCGCTTCCGTGATGCTGCATCTGCATCCTCATCCTCAGGAAACAAACCGCGCCGCATTTCCCCAGATTCCCTTCCCCTCTCACCCTGTTTCCAACTGCTCGCACGCCAAGGCTGGGCGGGTGGGCGACGCACCCGAGGAGATGGTGGTCAAGGTTTGCCCTTTACGAGAGAGCAACCGATCATCATGACTGTCCAACGCCGACGCCGTCGCCGTCACGACGATTCCCAACGAGACTCGAAATGCGAACCGGCGGAAACGGCACGCTGACAGCAATAATCAACAACCGACTCCTCGTCGTGTGCGATGGATGGAGCCGGCCAGAACAGCCAAAAGGGGGCCAGCCGAGCAGGACCACCTCAGCAAACTAAACCCCTCACCGTTCGCGCAGACGAGCTAATAACAATATCGAAGAAGCCTGAGGACTCAGGACGGTGAGGAGGAGTGCAGGACGCAGCAGGCAGTGGAGCACGAGCCCTCAACACCTGCACCGGCTGCAAAATCTGCTTCGTGCAATACCCCTCTGAGCCTAGCGCGGCGGCGCCAGCGGTTGCTGGCAGCTGCCAGCGAGGGGCGAGACGGTTACAGGCTAGCCGGATGAGGACTTTCACGATGATTCTGGCACGGTGTTGAGTCTTTGGTCCCTTATCGCTGCTGGGGTGCTGGCTCTGTCGTGCATGGACCCGTCGGTAAGCTGCGGGCGGTTGCGGTCCAGCCAGCAGCCAGCCAGCATCAGCATTCAACCAAAGCAGACCTTCCAGAGATTCGTCACCCCTCAGCGGGAACGATCTCCTTGGGAACCCTTATCACCACGCCGAACTTGACCCGTCCGTTTTGCACATTGACCCGTTCCTTGTAAAGGGCTGCCCCAATGATTACCCTCTAGACTACCGGTATTGATTGATTGATTGATTGATTGTTGTTCCTTGAGAAGCATGCCCGCGCCTCGCAGCGACGACTCTCGAGGGGCCACGACGACGACAGCCTCCCACTCTAGCCTGACGCTGTCGCTATTCGGGCTGCTGCTGGCACTCCGCATCATCAATGCCCTGACGCTGCGCACCTTTTTCCAGCCCGACGAGTTCTTCCAGTCGCTCGAGCCTGCATGGCAGCTAGCCTTTGGCGCCGAGACCAAGGCCTGGATCACTTGGGTACGCCGTCTACACCATCTCTCTCGATGCTCGCGTCTCACCACAGTTGCAGGAGTGGAAAAGCCAATTGCGGTCCTCGCTGCATCCAACCCTGTTTGCCCTCGTCTATCTGCTGGCCGCAAAGCTGTCTTCCTTCTGTGGCTTGAGCCTGCCCTCCCAGGCCCAAGTGCTGATTGCAGCCCCGAAAGTGACCCAGGCCGTCTTCGCAGCATTGCTCGATCTGTACACCTTCAAGCTTGCTGAGAAGGTCCATGGCCGAGGCAGCCGCACGGCCTTGACTGCTGTACGTCGTCGTTATCTCTCCCTTCCGACTTCGGCCCCATGGCATTTCCAGGCAATTTCGCTGATATCTCGACTTTGCCGGCCCTCTAGCTTGCTTTGTCCATCGCCAGCCCGTGGAACTGGTTCTGTTCCACCCGCACCCTGTCCAATTGTCTTGAAACCACCCTATCGTCCATTGCCCTCTACCATTGGCCTTGGCACTGGCCTCCCGCTGCACACATCCTCAGCCCACTGTACCAGTGAGTCGCCCCTAATAATACCAGAGATTTGGCTTGTTACTGACTCTGCTCTCCTCTGCAGGCTGCGGCTGTCGTTGCTGCTGGCAGCTTTCGCATGCATCCTCCGACCCACCAATGCCCTCGTCTGGCTGGCTGTATCTGTCCCAACCCTCTGGCAATCCTCCACCCGGCTGCGCTATGTGTTGGCCCGCGAGGCTTTTATTTGCGGGTAAGTAGACCCAGCACGGCAACAAACAGAGAAAGAAAAAAGACGCTTCCCTTCTTCTTCTTCATGTCCGTCCAATTACCTCGTCGTTGACTTTTATGCGCCAGATCCGCCGTCCTCGCCCTCTCGCTATGCTGCGATAGGCTCTACTACGGGGCATGGACGTTCCCACCCCTCCGGTTCCTTTACTTCAACATCGTCCAATCCCTCGCCGTCTTCTACGGCAGGAACAGGCCAGATTACTACCTGACCGAGGGGCTGCCTCTGTTGCTTACCACTGCCCTCCCATTCGCCCTCGTCGGATTGCGCCAAGCCCTGCAAGGACCATTGCAGCCGACGACGACAACGAGTGCTGGCGAAGAGTCCTCCTCCTCATCAAAAGCCACAGCTGGGAATGCTGTGCCACGGAGCCCAAATGCCCAACTTGAAGTCGAGGACCCGCTTGGACGTCGTATCCTGCGTCGTCTCGCCTGGACCAGCATCCTGGTGACGCTGGCCATGAGCCTGATTGCCCACAAGGAGGTCCGATTCTTGTATCCCATACTGCCTCTGCTGCACGTGCTGGCCGCGAAGCCAGCAGCGCACTTTTTCCTCTCCCCTCCCGATGCAAAGTCAGACTCTACGCAAGACGTCTCCGCTTTCCCTCCTTCCAAGCTCACACTCTTCCCTTCGCTCCCCCGCCGCATCCTCCTCCTTACCCTACTAACTCTCAACACCTCCCTCTCCCTCTTCCTCACCACCACACACAACCATGCCCCCCTCTCCGTCCTCGACTTCCTCCGCCACCAACACGAATCCCGCCTCCTCTCCTCCCCATCCTCGGCAAACCTCACCACCCCCTTCTCCCCCTCCCCCGTCCGCTCCACAGTCGCTTTCTTAATGCCCTGCCACTCGACGCCCTGGAGAAGCCATCTCGTCCACCCCACCCTCGACGCCTGGGCCCTCACCTGCGAACCTCCCCTGCATTTATCTCCCTCTGAGAGGGAGACGTATGTCGATGAAGCGGATCAGTTCTACGCCGATCCCAAAGCGTGGATGCAGCGCAATATGGAGCACCCCGTCATGGTGAGCGCGAGTGGGAGTAGGAGTGGTCGGCATTGGAGCAATTTGGAGCCTGCGAAGAGGGATATTGGGGGGAAGAGGAGGAAGTGGCCCCTCATTTTGGTCTTCTTTGGGCAGTTGGAGGGGGAGGTGAGGGAGGTGTTGGGGGGAAGTCGGTATAGGGAGTGTTGGAGGAGTGGGGCCGGGGTATGGGAGGGGGGTTGGAGCGAGGATTGGAGGCGGAGGGGCGGTGTGGTTGTGTGGTGTTTGGAGTAGATACAGTAATCGATCTAGTACGAGGGAGTGTATCTGTACGATACTAAGGGGGAAAGAAAGGGAGGTGGTATAAATAGCGATGTATGCATGCGATTACAAGTTGTATGTATAGAATGCCGATACCGTGGACACCCGGATGACACTGCCTCCCAACTCCTCCAGTTCGTTTCTTTGCTTTCTCGCTTTGATTGATGATGGTTACAGGATCACCTTGGTCGCGACGCTAAACAACCACGCTGCATCCCTCCACCCACCACCCTCCTCATTCTCGATCTCATTTCCATTCCCCTCGACCACTCCTCCATGCCTCTTCATCTGCTCGTCCGTATTCGCCTCGACGGCCTTTGCAACCGCCTCCCTCTCCATCTTCCGCCTCTTGGCCTCGACCTCGCGCTTCAGCCTCGCCTCCTCGATGCTCAACGCTCCGTCCTCACTGCCGTTCCCATTCCCATTGGACTCGTCATTCTCATCCCCATCCTCCTCTGTACTCTCCTCGCCATCCTCATCGACCGAGAACAGCGTCCACCCAATCAACCGATCCATCCACCCGCCCAGCCCGAACCCCCGCTGCCTCGCCAACCGCGCCACCTCTTCCTCGTCGTCGTCGACATCGCCGACGCTCGCCTCGTCGTCCGAATGCACGAAATCCGGTTCCGTGAAGCCGCGCTGCGTCGAGCTGTTGAGGGCAGCTGCGTCGTCGTCGTCTGCTTCTTCCTCTTCCTCTTCTTCTTCCTTGCCGACTTCAAAACCCCGGTTGCTGCGACTGCCAGTATACGGAGTGAGTAAATCGACTCTGCTCCCCCTCCGACTCTGCACAGCGCTGGGCACACGACTCCCCACACGACTCCCCACACGGCTCCCCATCCTCGAATTCGCATACTGCGCCGACTCATCCGCCCCGACAACAACAACATCCGACGCCGTCTGCACACCACCCAGACTCACACTCAGACTCGTCGAGCTCTCCCGACTCACCAACCACCCCTGCCCCTTGGAATCCCGCGTCTCGCCCGCAATCGCCAGCCCCGCCCGATGGAACCAGTCCGACGCCGATTCGCCGCCGCCGCCCGAGTGATGTCGGCGCAGCGGGATACGTGCAGCGGCGGCCGGCGCCGTACGCTTGCGCACGTGATGGTGGTGATTACTCTTCCTCGCCGCGCCGTCGACGTTGGCGAAACTGACGCCGTGGCCGTGATGGCGGAATGCCACGCCATCGGCGCTCTTGGCCTTGGGGATGTCGCCAATGTCCCTGCGCGGCCGGTCCAGCCCCGAGAAGTAGCTGCCCGTGTCGTAGGCGTACGTGACGTGGTTGTTGTTGTGGCGGCGGGGGACGCCGCCGACGGAGGGGTCGCGGGTGAGGATGCCCGGCGTCGTCGGCGCAGATTTCTGCGCTATGTACGAGGTATGTGGTGGTGTTTGGGATGGGGAGGTGGGCGAGTAGGGAGACGAAGAGGAGGCCGAAGGGTCGTCCGGGAGGGTGTGTCTGCTGCTGAGCGGGGCGAGGGAGAGGGAGTGCAGGTTGGGGTAGGAGCGGCGGGAGGTGCGGGAGGTGGAGCGAGGGGTCGGCGAGGGGTCTGGTGCGGTGGCCATTTCAATTTTTGGAGCCAATTGGTGAGGGAATGATGGAGACTGCGTGGGGGGAGTCTCAAAATAAGCAGTGTTGAGCAGCGCTGTGAAGAGAGCGAGGAAGGAGGATGGAGAGAGAGGGAGGGGAAGAGGTGAGGTTGATAGCAATTTAGCTTCCGAGGTAAGTCCTGGAAGCTGTGTGGAGGAGTAAAGGTTGCTCACGGGCCCAGTGCCAAGGGATCTTGCGTCGATCCAGATTTTGAGGGCTCTCTGCGCCAGTTTTGAAAATGACGAGCGATGCGAGGGTTGAAAAAGCAAAAGATTTGTCTATCGACTTCGTATGTAATTATAAAACGCATGGCAATTGCTAACCCTGGCGTTTCTGTCACCCCACAGTGAATCGAGCGGTGGGGTGATGATGGTTGCCAAGCGAAAAGGGGAGAACTACAGTGTAACCGGGGGTTTTCCTCCCCGTGAGAAAAAGACATTTCGACATTATTCCGCTTTTTCGCATCTACACAACTCGAGTACAACGAGTCGGCCATAACTAAGCTCGATCTGTGCCTATGAGGCTGTCTATCCCACAACATGAACAAAAGCTGCCCGCACGTTGCCAAGTGACGTCGCGCGTTGCCTAAGCGAGAGGACCCTGGACGTGCTCCCGCTAGCGCGCCGGAAGACGCGGGCGTCGAAGTTCCGCACACGATTCATCAGACGCCTTTCCATCAAATGTAATCCATCCCTTCCATCTCTTCGTCCTGAACATCACAAATCGCTTCTTCACCACGAACACAGCATCTCCATACTCGCAGCTCTCCGCATCGTTCATCTGGGCGAGCGTTTACCGATATTTCCACCGCACAACATCATCCCCCATGTATATACGTCGCAGTATCCGAGACCGTTTCAAAGGGTCGGAAACCTGATCTCGACGTTGACATCAAGGTATCTCCAGTCTCCTTTTCTAGGCAACTTCACCATCCTTCCATTCACGCCCTCCATGCACGTGTGGGTGCCTCTCATATCCCCCTGTTTCACAACCTCCGCACCATATCCTCTGCCTGCTTATACCGACATCTCCATCCAGTTCTTCGCAGTCAACGTCACTCTATCCTGAGGGCACCTAGCCACACAGGCTCTTTCGACACGGCCTTACCGCCGGTCGAAATAGCCAACACACGACCACTCTGCCTGTTCACCCTGGTCGGCAAACCCCACTCACGTGCCTCCCCCCAATCCCCTCCAATACGAAGCAATGTCCGACTCCAACTCGACGACTGGGACTGCCAGCGACAGCCCGACGAATCATCACATGACTCCCATCAACAACACGAGCTGGTTCGCCAACGCCTATGAGACTATCAAAGGATACCTGCCCTCCCCCACCAGCCGAACGCTCGTAGACCATGCTTCGAATGTCTCACACGAGGACCTCTCTCGAACTGGCCTCCAAGATGAGGTCACCGATCTAGAAGGTACGAGATATTCGTCTCTTGTGGCTTTCGTCCTGTGTGTTGCTCTCGTGTTCTTTGCCGCCGTGTAGCCGAAATCAATACTCTAGTGTGCAGTCCGTTCTGTTTTCATAGCACCTCCTTGCTCTGCTATCCTACTGCGAACCGAGTACGGGAACCGAATACTGACCACCCGCCTACAGACTCTGCATTTATCCGCTTCAGAAACTCTTTAGGTTCCTACCCTGTCAGTGATGGCGAAGAGGGCGACGATGCATTCAAGTTAACGTCCGATATCGACGTCATTGAACTCGATTCTGCCACGGTCGACAAGGTTCCTGACCGCGCCCCCATCCCGCCAATCACCGGCATCCCATTCCACAAGGTGCCCGAGAATTTTGGCACCGTCGTCGAGGGATCCATCTACCGCAGCAATTATCCACAGGAGGACAACTTCCCCTATCTGCAGTCTCTGGGCCTGAGATCCATCCTGTAAGTACCGCCGTCCTCGTTTGCAGAAATACGATTCTAACAACCCACAGCACGCTGGTGACAACGGAGAGTCCTGCATACGATCAATTCATAGCAGAGAATGGCATCCAGCAATTCCGAGTCCATCTTCCCGCCAACAAGGACAAGATCAAGGTGACCGACGAGGATATGGCCCGCGCCCTCGAGTTCGTCCTCGACCGCGAGAACCACCCTATCTTAATCCACTGCAACAAGGGCAAACACCGCACTGGCTGCGTTGTGGGCTGTTTCCGACGCGTCGTGGGAGCGACAACCAAGGAAGACATCTTCCGGGAATACCACAAGTACGCCGGTCGGAAGGCCCGGATCTGGGACGAAGCCTTCATTGAGAAGTACGACACGGCCTACTCCTTCTTCGCCGCCGTCGCCAACAAATGGATCGCTCCCCCGCGGCCCCCTTCGCCCGAGTCCATGAAGACGATTGAACCCAGCGTTGATGGGGAATCTGATGGCCCGCTTCTTCTCTAATCAATCGCTGGACCGGATATGCCTCTGATGAATTGTACGATCTCTGATGGGCTACGGTAATGTATACTTCGTATGCCAATTCGTTTCCGGAATCCGCCGTCTTCTGGCCTCGAGATTCATCTTTCATCTGCTTCTCGCACTCTTAGCGCACCGTTCGGGAGGAAAAGACCATCGCGGCAAAGTGCCCCAAGGGTAACAAATAGAAGGTCTCCTTGTAAAATGGTTTGGGGAGGGGGGGTACATGGTCTCCGCGTGGCGTTTGCGTACAGGATATATAAAGGATGTGGTGGGGTGGATTGGGATTACTTTGAAATAGATTTGGGACAAGCTTGGGAAGGGCATTTGGGCGGCGTGTTGCATATTCAATGTTTGCATGATGGGTCTTTGGTTTCGGGCTTGGATTGGCATGGAAGGGCATCGGGCGGCGGCATTCGGGTTGGCTACTGTATCGTATATTCCCTGGGTTCGGAGAGTGTTGCGGTTTTCATGGTCTTGTTGCGGGTTCTTTAGACCGCGATTTTGCCGTGTTCGCCGTTTTCTTCCCAATCTTCCGCATCACGCGGGATGATGGACTGCATGTGTGTAGGGTTTACATGTCGGCGCTTTGAACAAGTGTTGGGTTGTTGAGTTGGTGCTGCTCCAGCATCACTGACTGATACATACATATCTACTATGATATGTACATACTGCACATCCCCATGGACTCGAATTGATCCTCCTGACCAGCGCATTCAGGTAAGCACTATGTATGCATTTACACATCTGCACCTTCGCTCTCTCGATTTTTCTCTCTCTGCACACGAGCTGCAAAGATTACGAATAGGTAAACTTCTTGCTTCATTGTAAATGTCCTCCTGTGCTGGCCTGCGGAACAAAGCTAGCTCCTCTTCTTCCTCGTGAGGTACGGTGTTTCTTCACCTTGATGGTGGATGCCTGACTTTGAATGGAGCGGCTAGAGACACCAGTGGCTAGCGCGGTCTGACGTCTCGATTCTCTCATTCTGAAGTCCCATCCGTCAAGTTGCAGGACGACTATCACAATCCATGGGACCCGGATCCAGCGATTGGATAGCCTGCTCGTTTTCCCAGCAGCGTAGGCTCTCTAAAAGCTGCGGGAATTCAGGTCCTGCGACTTGCTCGGGAGGTGATGTCCGCGAGACGAGGGTATCTGGATAATCTTGCGTTGGCTGGAGGAGTAGAGGAAGTGGGTTGTTCTTCCTTTACGACGGCGTTAAGGGGTCCTCAGGGGGTGACGAGTACTCCACACCATCGGTTCACCCTGCACCGCCCTTCCCCTTTCTTGCTCCCCTGGACCTCCTCCCCTTCATCACTTCACCCACTGGGTCGCTTCCTTCTTGATCTCCTCCTTCTCTTCCTCCTCCCTCGCTTTTCTTCACATCCTTCTTTGCTTTCTTTTTCTTCTCTTTTGCCTCCCCATCTCCCTTCCCTCTTCTCCCATGCTCACCATCCAGAATCCCCTTAACAAGTTCGTCCCTCCCCTCTAAGATCCTCACCCGGTTCGCCTCCCAAGCAACCCAAGCCGCAGCCTGGAGAAAACAGTCCGTCACATCGTCCAATTTTCCCTCGATCCCGAGGCCCGATGCATCTTTCACCTCCTCCTCTCCCTCCTCTTTCATCATCGTCTTCTTCTTCCCCTTACGTCTCCCCTTTCCGCCATTCTCGACGCTAGGACCGCCGACCAAAGCATCCCTGATATCTTGCGCGGAGCGCGACGGGAAGACGAAGCTTAACCTCGGATGCCCTAGCGAGAGACCTCGTCCCTGACGTGCATGTGACGACTCTGTCGCTGTTTCTTCATCGCGGGTGGTTTCTGACCCTGTGCCGCTGGAAGATTGGTCGAGCCAGGTGCGGAGGAGCTGGATCTTGAATTTCTTTTCGGCTTTTCCGCGCGGTAGGGGCGTTTTGGTGGGCGGAGGGTCAATGGTGGGGAGGTTGTGGGATTCTTCTTCGGGCGAGGGGGTGGGGGGTTGCTTCTTCTTGTCCTTTTTGCGCGAGGGGCTGGGAATCTTGGTGGTGAGGGGACCGAGCCAGAAGTTGGCGACGCGTTTGGGGTCGACGGGGTAGACGGTGTAATCATAATTGAGCCTCGACGCGGACGCTGACAAGGCTGCGGATTGATTGGAATCCTCGCCCGTGGTCGACGAAGGTATTTGCATCCCTTGTGCAGACACAGCCGCGGCTTCTCCCTTTAGCGCCGTCAACATTGCCCACAGCATCGCCTCCAGCGTATTCACCCTCAGCGTCCACTGCTGGATGGCGGGACTGGAGTTTGTGCGCCAGCGTTGGCGCTCGATGAGGATGATGTCTGGGTTGTAAGGGAGGAGGGTGTGTTTGAGGAGGGAGTAGGCCGTCTGGGAGAGGGTGGAGGGGTTGTATGAGTTTTTTGGGTGGTTGTCGGGTTCCAAGTCTGTGTTTGGGAGAGGTGAAGACGGAAGAGGAGAAGGAGATGGAATAAGGCGCTCTACTTCATCCAGGACGTCGAGACGTCGCCATGCCACTATCTCCATCTGGACTTCCCTCTCTTCAGCCCCATCTAGCTCCCCCTTTTCCTCCGCCCTTGCTCCTTCGCTCCCATGCCCCTCATCATCCTCGGCTCCCCCACTCGCAGGAGCTTCCACGTCGACAACGCAAAACGCAAGATTCCGGATCCCCATGTCGATGCTCAGGATCCGGACCAACTCCCCCTTCGTCTTCGTACCCTGGCTTCGCCTTTCCCTTGGTACAGAAGGATATCGACTAACTCTGACATCGCGATCGAGTCTCGCAACGAGCTCTGTCTTCAGACCAGTGGTTGATGAGCCGATGCGGGTGAGGAGGCGGTGCAGGGTGGATTTTACGAGGGGCATGGTGAGCCGGGAGAAATGTATCATTACTGGTGATGGCTGGGGAGTGGGATTTGGAGTTACTAGGCTTCGCTACGAATCCATGAAGTTCGTATGAGGAATTCTCTTGAGGGGATTCCAGGAATTCAATGATGGGACGTCGTGGTGCAGGGATTCTGGACGCGTCGCGAGTTGAGGAGAATCGGAACGACGAACGACCAAGCAAAGGAGTTCAAAGCGAAAACATCGGTGGCAGATTCACGGAAACATGCTGAAGCGAAGACGAAAAAGGTGGTGATGAAGAAGAGACCCTGATGGTGATGAAAGTTAGGGTAAGTCTTGCACGTTTCGCGCGTAATCGAACGTTGATTGAACTTTGGAACCTGCAGGTGGGAAGGCAGGACGAAGATGCGTGAGCACGTGACTGTACCGTCTTTTCGCATGTCGCGCCATAATGCTTCTGAGCAGTTGCATCAATTGAACAATATCGGAATGGATGTGGTCGTCCTGGGAAATACATTTTGAGATGGACTATCTCCTATTGCAAGCTTGGCGATTGGGATTGGCAGCATCACGACCATGCCGGACCTGACAACTCACATCCCCGTCATTTCCAGTGTTTCCAGTTGTTCAGGAAATTCAACTGATTATTGGGAATGCATCATTACCATATGGAAGATGGCTGGAAAAGATTGCTCGAAAAGCCAGGCTCTCGAAGAGCGTCATTCGATTTCTATCATATTCTACATCCACAAGCCCCATTCAAAATCGCAACACATCCGCCAGAATGTGTATTACGGTATAATGCAAACGCCAGGAAAGTTATCGATAAAAAAGAAGTGGGTATTGCAGCCTTCCCTCCCTGGGGACAGGCATGAACAAAATCCACCCCCGTCATGAGAAAGCACAAATCGTCTAGAGCGGATGCTATTAACTATGTCCTCCCCCGGTTCCGCTATAACTTTACGGCCGCACCTGCCTCTCATGCCCTGCCGTTCGTGATGGAGCCAGCGAAGCCGCCGAAGTTGTTGATGGCGGCCTGTGCCGGGAAGGCGTTCACGCCGCACAGGCAGTGGCATGTGCAAGCGCCGCCGTTCTGATCGGTACCCATACCGGGAACGACGCTGGCGGCCGGGGCGGGAGCCAGACCGGTGTTGTGGGCGGGCGGTGTGGGGTTGCCGCCACTGGCTACGATTGTCACGGTGCTAGGGGCAGCTTGGACACCGTTGCCGACGGACTGGATGGGTGCTTTGGAAAGGGGGGCGGCTTCCGTTCCGTTCGTCTTGATGGCGAGCTGTTTGAACTGGGCCATGGTCTTGTCACCAGTGGTTTTGGCGTTGATGGAGAAGACCATTCCTTTGCCGCAGTGGACGCCAGTACGCTGTTTGCAGTAGAACCCTTCCAAGAGTCAGACTCAAATCCGTAAGCTGCTGAGAAGACGATGCTTACACAGTGGATCAGTGCTCGGTACGGTCATCTCCCACTCGAACTCAGGCCCCGACTTGCCTTCGGGGTTGGGCTTGAATCCGGAATCCAGACCTCCTGGCATCGCCTTGCAGGGGTTTTCGAACGTTGATTGCGTGACGGTATGATTCTTCTGCATGAAAATGAACTTGACAACATCGCCTTGGGCGGCCGTGATGGACTCCGGGAAATAGCCAAGGTACGGAGCCATGCCAGTCTCGACAGGTCTTAGACCTCCCACAACCACCTGTACCGGTTAGACTCCTAGTCACCATGTAGATGGTCATCAACGTACAGTATGGGTGGCTGCGCCAGATGCTGCTGCTGGTTGTAGGCTCATGACCTGCATCTCGGCGGCTGCCAGACTGGCGCCCAGTGCTACAGTGTAAAAGTGCCTCATTATGAATAAAGTTCCGGTGTTCTAAAGGTGTCGAAAAGAGCGTGTCCGCTTGCGCTGCAAGCTACTAAAGAGGTATAGAGAAGGGAAAGATTGGAAGGCTCGCGACGAGGGCCGGCTCGGTTTTGGTAGGAGTAAGGCGAACAACCAGAATTAAAGAGAACGAAATGGTTTGGCAGGGAACCGGCACTGATATGGCAGACGATGTGTAAGGCAAAGCAAAGGTCAAGCGGGTATCTTTCTGCTTAAATCCACGCATGAAATTGATATCCCAAGAGCGTTCAACCCCGGCAACCACATGGCGAAACACATTGCCCCCTCGGCTTGGCGACCATCCGTAAAATCAAGGGTATGCATCTGCGAATATGGGTCGATTTTGCGCACCGAGCTGTGACGGGGCTGAAGATGTGCAGCGATGAGGGGGCTGTAGTTTGAGGTGTGTTCAGGGACGTCGCAGCTTCGTCGCAGATCTGTCTCGCTTCACGCCGCGAGTCCCAAAACGGAAATCCAAGATCTCCCAAAGCTCCGGAAGCCAGCACCCACCGGACTGAAATCCACTGGCGAGTCCGAAGAGAATACAAGAGCATTAACAGAGGTCATTTCGCCGCTGCGCCATCCGGGAAAGTCCTCGACTTTCAAACTTCAAGAAGAAGGCTTGTGTGGCGGCCATCCCTTAGAAACATGCCTCGACAGGGACCCTCTCCCCATGATTGGGCGGCGCCTGTTCGCGGCTGAGCAGTAGTCCATGGGTTCTTGATTTCCAGAACTGTTCGCGCTACGCTTCACTCCTGCGACTTCTTCTGCTGTCCGGTGTAAAGTCCGGTGTAGTAGCCAGCGTAGTACCAGGACATCATAAGATTCTTCAGGTTCTCATCTTGAACTGCGACCAAGTCAGTGCACTGATACTGGCAAAAGCGGTTCTTAGATGGCCGCAAGGGATTTGACAAGCCGGATCCGCACCTTGTCCGAGCATAGCCTGTGGAGGGGCTGGAATATCTGTATCACTTGGCTGCCATTGATGCCCGGAAGCTGCTGGCTCCTAGCAAAGTGAGCACTGGTTTGGACCGATCCTACGAGTCACGGCACATACCTCTGCCTGAGCTCCCTCCTGCGTAGCAGAGGCCCCATTCTCTGTTTCGGGAGGCACTTGATCCGCGTGGTTGTTTCCATCGGCAACGTTTGGCCTGGTTTCTGCTTCAACCAGATCCCCATGCTCCCTGCCCAAGTCAGCCCCATGTCGAAGGAAAGTCCAAATCAGCATTACTTTCTCAGCTCCCTCAACTCCTCTTCTGTCAGTACATCTTCAAGACGCTTGCCTTGCGCTCGAATGCTGTGGTATTTCTAAATCAACTAAGCATGGGCGAAACAGTTTTAAGTTAGCTGGGACACCCAATGGACTGACCTTGTACTCAGCTAAAGCCTCTTCCCATGAATCGATCAGTGCAGCGTCGTCCCACGTATGGCGGTCGTGCAGATCAATACTAGTTGACATTTTCACACATATTATGGCGCTGAATCTGAAGAGAATGCGTTAAATGGTTGCATGTCTGTAGCCCTCGATGGATAGATAGGTCAGGGCGGCAGATCTTCGGGTTACACCCGTCGCTAGTGCCGGAAAAGTTGCTGGGTCCGAGCTCCTCCCCAACTTTTTCGCATCTCAATATCATCGAGTCGATCTCCCGCACAGCAAAAGTATCGCTCCACCGGAATGGCACCAGAAGACGTGAAGGGCAAGAAGCGCAAAGGTAACGTCTCACACCAGGTTTATTTATTTCGGCGGTAATACTTATCCAATTGGCAGGCGCTGTCGAAGCCGCCCCGAAGCCCAAAAAGCAGAAGAAGTCAGACGACATCAACGCTGGGGCCGTCGAGGCTCCAGTCAAGACCAAGGCTTCTCGCAAGAAGGCCGAAGATTTCTTCGACGAGGACAAGCCTGTACAGGACAAGGGTGTGAAGGAAAAGAAGGGCAAGAGGAAGAGTGAAGCTACTACTGAGGTCAATGGAGGATTGGAGTCGGTCGCGAAGAAGCCCAAGAAAGCAAGTAGAACTAAGGAATCTGCCGACGTGGAAGACAAGGATGCAGTCGCAGAGGAGCAGTCCGCCGTGAAGGCAAGTAAAGTCTCGAAAAAGGGGAAGAAGGCCAAAGCACAGGAGAAACCCAAAGAGCCGACACCAGAGGCCGCACCGGAAGAACAACATGGCGAGTCTGACGAGGAAGAGGATGACCAAACCGCTGCTCTTCTTGCTGGCTTCGAGAGCGACCGTGACGAAAGTGACGCTGAGAAGGAGGACGAGGGCCTGGATGCTGAATCTCTCAAGGAGAAGGTACCCAAAGGTCTTATGAAGAAGCTGAAGGATGTGAATGAGGAAGACAGTAAACCTGGGGTCATATTCGTTGGGTATGTATCTCCACCTTGTGTCGCCGGTCCCTCCCACTAACCTTTACAGACGCATTCCGCATGGTTTCTTCGAATCTCAGATGAAGGCCTACTTCTCCCAGTTCGGCACTGTCACTCGACTCCGCCTTTCCCGTAACAAGAAGACTGGCGCTCCCAAGCATTATGCGTTCGTAGAATTTGCCTCCTCCGAAGTCGCTGAGATCGTCGCGAAGACCATGGACAAGTACCTGATGTTCAACCATATCCTCCAGTGCAAGTTCATCCCACCTGAGCAGGTCCACCCCAACCTCTTCGAGGGCGCCAACAGGCGATACAAGAAGATTCCCCGGAATAAGATGGCAGGCCTGCAAATGGTCCGCGGAGCAGAGCGAGCTGTTTGGGAGAAGAGAATCGACAATGAGAACAAGCGCAGAACGAAGAAGAACAAGGATCTAAAGGAGAAGCTTGGCTATGAGTATGAGCTGCCTGCCTTGAAGCCTGTCGATGCTGTTCCAAAGAAATCAGATGCTCTTGAGGACGGTTCGGGCCAAAAGTTGATCGAGGCTCCCGCAAAGACCGACGCTGATGGGGAAAAGAGCGCCGTCTCTGAGAAGGCGGCCCCCAAGAGCAAGGATGCCAAGACAGAGGAACCACAGACCTCGGCAGTCGGGCCCAAGAAGACTAAAAAGTCAAAGAAACAGGGCGAGGAGCCGGAGCCTGTCAAGCAAGGCGTGAAGGAAAAGAAGCGGAAGTCTCTTACTACATCCGAGGTAGACGGAGGCAAGCCTAAGAAGGCGAAGAAGAGCAAGGCTTAAGTCGTCTCGTCTATGGTCTCTTAAAGCGTTGGCTGTAGCCCAAGTGAGGAGGCTTGCGTTTCTCTGGCCGACGGGACTTTCTGCGGCTACTCTGGCGAAAACGATGGCATTATCTGTTTCCCTGATGACTCTGGGCTATGTATACCCAAACTCTCAATAGGAATAGAGAAGGTATGCGATACTTTTAGTTCCATTCATGCTTAATGCTACTCCATATGCTTTAGCACGATGAGGATGATATAAGATTGAACTGCTGAGATTCTAATCTCAAACTAAGTGCAGTGTAAATGGCTATTCACATACGCCTAATCACCAACTTTTTCCACAACACAGAGTGACCGATTTTGTGATGAAAGGTGAAGGTTACGGTTTCTTCCCAGAGTGCGAATATTCACTCAACAACCGATACTGTACAGCACCTATTCTTTGAGGTGAACCCCTTCTTTAAGGGAGTTAAGCCTAATTAGTTCACCGCCCTATCTCCGCCAACTAAAGGGCGGCAGAATCCTGTTACAGCCTGTCGCGGTGCAAGAGTAAAGAGATTCTCCTAGGATATCTCCCCTCCTACGCTATAATAAACTAAGAAATAAAAACTATACAGGGATATAGTCTTTGCAGCCCTTTCTATCTAATTTGCACAAGCTTCCTCTGTACAGGAATCTTGCAGAAACGGTAGTGTTTAAAACTGCAAAGAAGGGGTTTACCTTAAAAAATAGGTGCTGTACGGTACACCCTTTGCATCTTTATTTCCTTCTCGCCCAGGTCCTCTGATGGAGGCCTTGGCGTCATGGCAGACCACGTGCCACCGTGTCTTCGCGTTTTCAAGATGGTAGCGACGCGTTATTAGTCGCTCCTTCACCGGGATCGTAACCACACCAATACCTGCCACTCCCCTTTAAAGTCAAGGCAGAACATGATATTCTGTTCACCGACCAGTACTGCCCACCGTGTGCGATTACGCGCGATAAGAAGGAGAATTCTTGATCAGGACGAGAAATCACTAACATGATCGGGTTTGCAACGCCCGGCAGGCGTAAACGATACCATAGTGCTCAGCTTGAGTTTACACTCCGTAAAGTGTTTGGAAAGCCTTCATTTAGGTACGATGGGCCCGAGAATTGGAGATTATGCGTTGTTCTAATATGGTTTGCCAGACCCCTTCAGCGGGAAGTCATTACCGCGACATTGGAGGGAGAAGATGTCTTCCTTCAAGCTGCAACATCATTCGGGAAAAGCTTATGCTACCAGCTTCCAGCGGTGGTTGATTATGGCCGTGTGTGCTGCCCTCTGTAGGACTGACATAAATAGGCTGACCCGAACAGTCACCATCGTGATATCTCCTCTCCTTGCACTCATGGTAGCTTCCCATCACTCGCCATATTGAAGTCTGAAACTCACGCCCCTCAGAACAATCAAGTCGCCGCAATGCGCAAAGCCAATATTCGCGTCGAAACTATCAACAGCACAACCACTCCTACCGACAAATCCCGCATCATCGAAGACCTCCAATGCGGCCACCCTCTTACCCGACTCCTCTACATCACGCCCGAATACTGCGAACTGGACTCCTTCCGTCGCATCCTCCGCATCATCCACAGCCAAGGCGAGCTCGCCCGCATCGCCATTGACGAAGCCCACTGCATCAGCGAATGGGGTCACGACTTCCGCCCAGCGTTCAAATCCCTCTCCTTCTTCAAAACGGAGTTCCCAAACGTCCCCATGATCTGCCTCACCGCGACCGCAACCTCTCGCGTCAGAGACGACATCACTCGGACCCTGAATCTAGACACTTCGAAGCTGAAAATGTTCCGCATGACCACCAGCCGGCCCAACCTGCATTACGAAGTCCGCTTCAAATCCGACGAAGAAGACCACTATCCCAACTTCCTCTCCTGGCTCAAAGCCGTGCATTCAAGGCGTGCATCCAACCCAGCCCGCGCTACCCAACTCGCCTCGCAGAATGCCCGCACCGATAACGTCCCAGGTATCATTTACACGCTCTTCCGCAAAGACTGCGAGAGCCTAGCCGCAAGACTCCGTGCAGACGGCATAGGAGCGAAACCGTACCATGCGGGATTGCCGCATAGTGAGCGCGCAGACGCGCTGGCGGGATGGGTTGCCAATAAACCAGGTTACGATGTCATAGTCGCTACGACGGCGTTTGGCATGGGCATCGACAAGGAAAACGTGCGATTTGTAGTACACTGGCAGATTCCGAAATCATTCGAGGGCTTCTACCAAGAAGCCGGACGCGCTGGCCGGGACGGAAAAGCCAGCATGTGCATCTTGTACTACGGGAGGGAAGATCGGGATCGGGCTGCTCAGATGATGAGTCTGGACCAGCAGCGGGTGCCAAAGAAAGGGGGGAATGTGGAGAGTCAGCAGCAGCAGATGGTGAATCGGGCGAAGAGTTTGCAGGCGCTGATTGACTACTGTGAGGGCACGGATAGGTGTCGACATAAGGCGATTGCGCAGTATTTTGCGGATGAGGGAGAGGTGGAGTGCGATTTTGCCTGTGATTGGTGTAAAGATAAGGAGGGGTTGGTTAGGAGGAAGGAGAGGGGGTTGTTGAGTGAGGAGATTTATTCAACGCAGAGGGAAATGGGGAGGTATAGCGTCGATGAGTATGAGTGAGGGTGCGATGAAGGCAGGGGGATTGTCTGTCTTTTGCAAGGCGTTACGAAACCAAGATGTATGAAGGGATTTCATGAAGGGCATATGACATAAACGGTCGTCAATGAATATATGGTTCCTCTTCCGTCGAGGTTATATGGGCTAGACAGGCATGATGCATCCAGAAGGGATCTATTTGACATTTCCCTCTATGCAAATCAAGCCTCCCAAACAGTGCCCAGTCATTGCAGCACGTAGAGATGACATAGCGTAGTTCAAGTTCCGTCAAACCGTTGACTTCAACCATGGGACGCCATGGATATCCCTTTATCCTACGATGAGTGCAGCACTGGGGACCAAGCCAGCCTCCTTGAGAGTCAACCCAAAGTCGGTAGTATTCCATGTCTTCTTGGGGAAGTTCTGAGTAAATGACTGCACCGCATGGCCCTCCGCCTGCAACGCGTGGGCGACCTCGAACAACGTGGTCTCCACAGGAAACGTCTTCATAATCCTCCCCTTCGGAGTCTGCAGCGCTAGCCGGGCCTCGGTGTATGCAGACGAAGGTTTCGGGGCCGCAGGCTTCGTTGCGGGTTCCGCTTGCGCTGGGGCAGCAATCCCCGCCCTCGCAGCCTTCTCCTCCTCCGCCTTCCTTTTCCGCTCGGCCTTGTCTGCTTCCAGCTTTGCCAGAACGCGCTTCCTCGCCTCGGCCTCCTCAAGCTTATCACGCTTCTTCTGCTGTGCCTCCTTGATACGCTCCTTCTTCTCCAGCTCCTCCTTCGCAGTCTGGTTCTCCTTTGTGTTCTTCATGCGGATCTGCTCGTTCTTGCGGCGCTCGAGTTTCTCCTGTTCGGCTTGAGCGGCTTTGCGTTCTGCGGCCTTTTGGCGGAGTTCGGCGAGCTTGGCCTTCTTTTCTTCTTCGGTGAGTGGCTTGATTTCTTCGGTGGACTCCTTGAAGTCGGTGTGGCCGCTGCGATTGTTAGTGAGGATCCTGGGTGGACCAAAAGTCATGTCAATCGGGCTTCGACGTACGATTTGCTCGCATGGAACTCCGCCTGTGCATGAGATCTGAACTTCTTCCCGCACTCTTCACATTCCAAGCTCTTTGCTTCCTCGCCTGGCTTCAACTCGGGTGGCTGTTCGGATGCCGCGCTTTGCTCCTCCTTGATCTGTTCGATGGTCTTGTCCTGGTTGTTCTCCAGCCAGTCTATGGCGCCTTGGAGGCCGCCGGATTGCTTGGCGGCAATTTCGGCACGCTCCTTGTCAAAGCCCATGTCGACGAGCTGTTCGAGATCTGAAGGCATGTTGGATAGTGGGGTTGCGCTCTGCTGGTGGGGTGGAGGGTTGTAATCGGGTTGACTTGGGGTTGGCGGAGGAAGACACGTAGGTGGACTCAAGAAGTAGGCTGCAGGTTAGCTTGCAGAATTGAAAGGTTGTTGTTTTAGGTAAATTCTACGCTTGGTCTAAGGTACAGGTAGCTTCATAACACGTGCTAGCGCCGTACCGAACCGGTGACGAAATGTCCCCCAGAACCCTACCCCTGTCTGTCGCTCCAAGCAAGCGAAACCAGCCCAGATCTGGCCTGCGACTCGGACCCTCCAGAGTCCAACACCACACTCGACTTGCTTCCCTCTCTCTTCACTGCGCTCTCACCCGCGCATATCACTACACTCGTCTCGTTCGCCCCGTATCTCGCAAGTGATTGTTTACTGCTCTAAATACCTGCCTGTTCCACGTCACGCTTTGTCCGCGCTCGCCTGGCCCTCTCCACCCTGATTACCAACCCTCCACAGTCGCACACCAAACACCCGTCTACCTCATATCTTCCACCATGTCTGTCGAGCTCGAGCCGCCGGAGCTTGGCTTTAAGCGTGCGGAAGGCCAGCCAGCTGTTGGGAGGACATTGTTTGGCTAAGGGTTGAATAGGACCGTTCCAGCAGGAAGTCTCCCAAATCCTGAGACTGAGAAACCCGCACTCTGATCCCGTGGCCTTTAAGGTGAGTAGCATCCATAGCTCTGTCATGGAAACCACTTCCCACCACTGTGCTGCACCATTTCTTCTGTACGGCCATTAACAACAACAGGTCAAAACCACCGCGCCGAAGCAGTACGCTACCCACGCTCGCTCCTAGCCCCCTCCCCGCTGATATATCATGATGTAGATACTGCGTGAGACCTAATTCCGGCCGCATTGAGCCTGGTCAAGATGTTGAAGTCAAAAGTATGGAAATGCCTCAATACGGGCCCCGCGGGGTTCCTGCAGATGGCTGACGAATGACCCTAGTTCTGCTGCAGGCGATGAAGGAGGATCCACCGCCGGATGCGAAGTGTCGCGACAAGTTCCTCGTGCAATCTGTTCTCATCACGGCTGATAAGGAGTTCACCAATGTTGCGTCCCTCGTATGTTTGCCTGCTCGAGTAACGTGGGGCGTGGGCTAACAGTGGTTGGAGTGGTCACACATAGAACAAACCAACAAACAGTCTATCCAGGAGAAGAAGATCAGGGTCAACTTCCTGCCCGCCGACGCGTCCACAGCAACGCCCATCAAGCACCATGGCGTGTCCCAAGACGAACGTTCGCTTATGTCGTCAGCTTCCCCGGAAGCGTACACGCCTCAGCCTGGAACTAGTGCAACTCCAGCTTCGCGCGTCGAGTCAACACCCTCTGAAGATAAGCTCTCGAGAGGGGCGCTGGACTCTAGGGCTGGTCAATCCGCAGCTGGAAGTCTTAAGTCGACAATCACCTCTGCAGCTGCGGGGGTAGCAAACGCTATCCCCACGTCTACCGCTGAACTCCAGGCGCAGCTCGCGGAATCCAAAGCCACCATCGACAGACTCCGCCAACAGATCGAGCAGTCGACAGGACTCCGCCAACGCAAGACGGAAGCCACTGAACCTACGCGCGAGGCCAATGAACAGCTACTGACTGCAGAGCGCGTGCAGCCCCCCGCGGGAGGAGTTCCGGTTCAGATTGTGGCGGTATTGTGTCTGCTGAGTTTCCTTCTGGCTTACTTCCTTTTCTGATGATCCGGCCTGCCACATGGACTACGGATAAGCGAGTGACGGCCCCGGATTTTCGGCCATGAAGGGAGGATGTGGGGGTGCTGAGGACGATGGATCGGGTCACACAGAGCGCAACCGATCTGGATGGGACGGAGCAGCAAAGAGGTGGTTGCTTTTCTTCTTCTTCGGCTTGATTGATCTCCGTGGTTGAGCGAGCAGTTGATTGTCTTTAGGGTGGGGTGGATCGTGCTGGACTGGCATCTATTGTGGTGGAGAGGTAGACTGCGTGCATTCACAAGAGCAGCGTCGTCCTGTATCAACAGTCCACGGATTCACAGTCTGTTCCAACTGTGTGAATTGATAAGTGACAGCGATGCATGGTCCTGGAATACGCAGCCAATAGAAAAGGATCCTTTTCTTGCAGTGTGGGGGAATAATCAGTCGCAGCAGTTGATTGGGAGTCTGTGCATCTGATGGATGTAGCTACAACGGTTCCCGTTCCTGTCTACCCCTCACGAGCACCTCCTCGCATCCCACATTGCCGCTCGCCATTACAAGTCTTCATCTGTCTATATCTTTTTGCCTCCGTGCCTGAAGATGCGCACACGACCTATGGGCCTGGGCTCGGGGGCTGACCCTGGAGCTGGAGCGGGTAACGTGGGGCTTCCCCGATTTCGCCGACGCTGATTGACTCAACCACGCCTCTACACCAATTTCTCAAACCAAAATAAATCTGGACGCTTGAGTCGTACTTATTCACCTTCCTTTCCCCCTCCGACTCCAATAGTCACTCACTTCCACCTCTCCACTGCCTCCTTCGTTCATTAGAAAACATGTGTGGCATTTTCGCCTGCTACCGGTATGCGCCCTTACATTATTTTTCTGCCATCCTCTGTCCCTCATTTGCCCCCCGCCATTAGGAAGATGAGTGACTAACACCGCGACAGACACCCCGATGTGCAAACCTTCAAGCCCACGGCCTTGAAGATGGGCAAGGCGTGAGTCCGACCTCTCAATTGTGCAGTCCTCCGTTGCTAACCGTCACACCAGCGTCCGACATCGGGGTCCTGATTGGAGTGAGCAAGCCCTTTACTATGCGCCAGTATGCGATAACTGAGACTGGACAGGTGGCAATTGGATCGCAAACGACACAAGTATGGGTTCATACAGTTATACGCTTATCGGACTATGCTAACACGGTGTAGTTTTGGTCCACGAGCGACTAAGCATCGTCGGTGTTGGTATGCGATCACTGGAACCAAGTTTCTTAGGATCAGGCGAGGACTTACAATTGGGCAGACTCTGGCGCTCAACCGCTTGTCAACGAGGAGGGAACCATTTCCCTGGCCGTCAATGGCGAGATTTACAACCATCGCATTCTGCGCAAGACGTTGAAGAAGACGTATAACTTCAAGACGCACTCAGATTGCGAGGTCATCATTCCGTTGGTCAGTACACAGACAGATACGAAATACTTGGGACGGAAGCTTATACGGACTAGTACCTCGAGCATGACATTGATACCCCTCGCCATCTCGATGGCATGTTCTCCTGGGTCCTCCACGACAAGACCCAAGACAGAGTTCTCGCAGCAAGAGATCCTATCGGCATCACGACCTTCTACATGGGCAGGTCGAGCCAGACTCCTGGCGCAGTTTTCTTCGCCTCCGAGCTGAAGTGCTTGCACCCCGTGTGTGATGATATCATCTCCTTCCCTCCTGGCCACATCTACGACTCCAAGACCGACAAGCTCACTCGGTACTATGACCCCAAGTGGTTGGTTGAGCCGGACAACATCCCGACCGCGCCAGTCAACTACAAGGAGCTCAGGGAAACGTTGGAGAAGTCAGTGCGGAAGCGATTGATGGCCGAGGTGCCTTATGGTGTGCTTCTATCCGGTGGTCTGGATTCCAGCTTGGTAGCCTCGATCGCTCAGCGCGAGACTCTGCGTTTGAACGAGCAGGCGAAGCAACGGGCTCGGGGCGCCAACGGACATGAGCATGACGGCGATCTCGTCGGTATCGACGACAACAACGAGTTAGCCACCGTTCAATTGCTTCCCCAGTTGAACTCCTTCTCGATCGGTCTACCCAACGCCCCGGACGCCGTCGCCGCGAAGAAGGTCGCCGATTTCCTTGGGACCCGGCATCACACCTTCACCTTTACCATTGAGGAGGGCCTCGACGCCCTCTCGGACGTCATCTACCACCTCGAAACCTACGACGTGACCACCATCCGCGCCTCCACCCCCATGTTCCTCCTGTCCCGCAAAATCAAAGCCATGGGCGTGAAGATGGTGCTCTCCGGCGAAGGCAGCGACGAGATTTTCGGCGGCTACCTGTACTTCCACAACGCGCCCGACAAAGCCGCACTCCACAAGGAAACCATCCGCCGCGTCAAAAACCTGCACTTAGCAGACTGCCTACGCGCCAACAAGTCGACGTCGGCATGGGGCGTTGAGGCCCGCGTGCCCTTCTTGGACAAGCAATTCCTCGAAGTCGCCATGAACATCGACCCCGCAGAGAAGATGATCACAAAGGAGCGCATCGAGAAGTACATCCTGCGCAAAGCCTTCGACACCTCCGACGAGCCCGACACGGCGCCCTACCTGCCCGACGAGATTCTCTGGCGCCAGAAGGAGCAGTTCAGCGACGGTGTCGGGTACGGCTGGATCGACGCGCTCAAGGACACCGCCGAGCTGCGTGTCACGGACGAGATGATGAAGAACCCCAAGCCCGAGTGGGGCGACGACATTCCCGATTCCAAGGAGGCGTATTGGTATAGGACCATGTTTGATGAGCATTTCCCAGCCTATTGTGCAAAGACGGTCATGCGGTGGACGCCGACTTGGAGTAACCAGACGGATCCTTCGGGACGGTATGTGAACGTTTTAGATCCGTGATAAAGCATGAGCATGTTGAACTGACGACGTCTTTTAGTGCTATTGCGATCCATCAGCAGAAATACGACGACGTGAAATAAGACGATTGTCGCTTCCAGCGATTCAGACCACTGGATATAGATAGGCCATTGGAAGTGTCGCGGTCATGATATCCCCTGAGCGATTCACTGCGATGGATAAGACCACGGGTGGCCCGTCGGCTTCCCCATCCATGTTTTGCAGTGTCGTGATATAGACTGTTTCCGTCCTTTATTGGGGGCAACAAGGGAGAGGCGGGAGAAGGTTTCTGTCACTCACTCGTTTGTACGTCTTGCTGTCTCGTTCTTGGTCGCACCACCTTTTTGAGCTTTTCTGATCGACGCGGGCAATGTACATAGAGCAATGATAAATTCAAGTAACGATGAAGATGGATTTTTAATCGATTTTGCGGAATATGCGTGACATGCTTCATTCCGCGTCGTTTGATTCCCATCATGATTATTCTAGTATGTGAAACGATGCCTGCCTGAATACATGTGGGATAGATATATAGAGATAGGAAGAGGCATGTATGGAGTAATACGCCAGAGTCGCCGAGGCATGCAAATCGCAAATAGAACAAAATATGTGACAAAGGATTGGCGAGTTGACCGACCACACCCGCAGATACAATATAGGTCGTAGTATGACCGATGAAAAAGTATACGTAATATAGCGAACCGGCAAAAGCCGAATCGACATGCAAAGGGGAAAGAATGAGAAACCGCCGAACTTGGGGTATCTAAAGACAGCATGTCGAAAAAACCAAAACATGCGAAGATAGTGAAAACGAGTAACCTTTTCCCATGACGAAACACGAAACCCAAAGAAGAACTCAAAGAAACTCAAAAGGGACAATGAACTTTTGTGCCAGCGAGCCAACATAACCGGGCCCGGCTTTTCTTGTTTCTTGCATGACGTCGTACATATTACACGTAAATTTCAGAAATGATTCGGTAGCGTTCTGCGGATTTTGCTGTTCCTGAGAGTGCAGGATTTGGGATGTTCGGTTCCCAATTGATCTGGGTTCGTGCACCTACGGATACGCTGAAGCAGATGTGGGATATGCGGCTTAATTTTCGCTCTGTAAGATCTGGAGAAGTGATGAGGTGTGATTACTGGATCGCTGCGGTCTGCTCAGCGTCGCCGAAGATGCGGAATTGGATGAAAATGGTGATGTCCTCCGCGATGGTGCCCAGGGAGCCGATGAGCCAGGGGAGGTTGGTGAGGAAGTATTCTTTTTCGATGGAGTGGAAGAGAATCTGCGCTCGCCGTCAGTATTTGCTTGCTACCACACCCGCAAGATCTAGGAGTTGGATAATGGAAGAGAAGTCACATACCCCTGCCCCGTACGTAGCATTGCCCAACAAGCTGAGCATGAAAAACAACAAACTCAAGCCCTCGCAACTCCGATCCCGCTGATTCTTAATAATCTGCGGTATCCTCGCGCCCAAATAACACAGCGCGCTCGCATACCCCAACACCTCCGCCCCAAGCGGCGTATCCCTCGCGTCTTCGCCTCCGGGCACGGCTTCTGGTGTAGGCCTCCACACCCCCGTCCGCCATGCAATGGCCCAGCCTGCAGCGCCGACCACGCAGACCCCCATTATGCTGAGAGTGTTCTTGACCCACTCGCTGGAGGTCTCGACATCCTCGCCTATGCTGGGGAGGGAGCTTGCTCGCCGGCGCATGCGCGATGCGGTAGAGGACTTGCGACGATGTGATCCCGGGAGGCCTAAATTGCTGCTATCTCTCCTGGCGAGAAGGGGTTGCTGTTCGGCATCTACGGCTACTCCACCATGGCCACCCGCCGCGCCAACAGCAGCCGAGCTATTTCGTTTCCTGTGTCCGCCGCGGCCAGAAGCTTTCCTCGCATTGATCCAGTTGTAGTAGAGACATTGGGTTATGAGGACAAGATCGGCGAAGCAGAAGTAGACGGCTAGGGCGATGACGGTGGGGACCAGGCCGGCCCAGATGGCGCCGAGGAGGTTGGTGATGTCGCCGATAAACCAGACGGTGAGGAAGGCGAGGGAGATGCCGTCGGCGGAGTGTTGTTTGTAGTTTTCGATTACTTGGGGGACCTGGGGGAGGCGTTAGATCGAGGTGGGAGATTAGGTCAATGATCCAGAGGAGGTTTTAGAAATGGGAACAAAAGAGTTGGTCCTGCATGTGTCCGCATGCATATGGGGAAGTGTACAACTCACCAGGAGAAATATCCATGCTGCCAACGATATTGATCCAAAGACACCGGATAGCGCCTCGTGTGTCGCCAGTGGCGGGGTCTGGCCAAAGACAGCTAGCAGAGGCGCTGCCATTTTCTCGATGTTCACGCAGTATACGCAGTGGTATTGCAGTACTGGGCGCGGAGCGCAGATTGTCAAAGGGGTGTTGATATCAAAAGATTCATCAAGAGCGGGGAGGTGACGGGGAAGTCCGGGGTGGTGGTATGACGCAGTGGAGACTTTTGCACGCTACTTGTGCACCAGAGCGGCGCTACATGGAACCGCGAAAGGATAACACAATGCGTGTACATAGAAGTAGCGATATTACTATAAGAATCGTATCATCAACCGGTACTCGGTCGGCGAAGAGAAGTCTCCAACGGGCTTGGACGGCAACAAATCTTTTTGTTCAGGCCGAGAATAGATAGTCACGTGGGCCTTGCCAAGTGCTTATATTTCTCTTTGCGACCGGGCTGCGCCTCGTCATCCGACCGCCATTGCCAGTCCCTTTTGGGCTCCGCTCGCTCGTCTGCCACTCTTTCGATCATCTTCTTCCTCTTCACTCGTTGTTCCACTCGCTCCCACGCGCTCTGTACCACCAACCGGTGCAGTACTACCGTTTACCATCGTACCGCATCAATCTCAAAGACACCTTCTGTGAAACAGCCGCCTGCAAACCGAGAACCCCGTTATATTCGCGCCGCCCTCTCCGCCGAAACCCGGTGCACAGGAAAACCTTTCTTCCACATCCACCATGCTCAGTACAATGCGGCGATCATGGCTTGTGTTCGCGCTCTTCGCGCTTATCGCCGTCACGCACGCTCTTAACCTCGACAGCCTTCACGTCGACGGCATCGAGGAGTATCTACATCATGGGAAGAGGCAACGGCCAACTGGCACTGGAAACGAGAGTGTACCCCCGGAGACCTCAACTCCTCCCCCGCCTCCGTCCTCGACTCCTACTCCGCCTCCTTCCAGCGACGAGCCCTCGACTACTCAGGACCCGCCGCCATCGTCCACACCCGCTCCTCCTCCTCCCACGTCCCCGACGCCAAACACAACGCCTACTACCACTCCTCCCTCCTCGAAAACAAGGGTCACGACTCCCATCGTCAGGAGCACGCCCCTTGTATCAACTGATGTCCAGGAGTACATAACCATTTACACCACCGTCAGCGATGGCCGCACCTTCCAAACGAGCGCGACCACAAGATCGACCAACATAATCACCACAGGCCAAGCCTTGTCCACGGAAATGCCCCTTCCACAGAACGGTGACGGCAACAGCGGCGGCGGTGGCCTCAGCGAGAGCAACAAGAAGATCATCGGCGGTGTTGTTGGTGGCGTCGGCGGCGCAATTCTCCTCGGTGGCATCGCCATCGTCCTCTTGCGCGTCTATGGCCGCAAGAATCGCGTCAGCGAAGACGACGATGATCTCGCGGCTGGCACCGGCGCCGCCCTGGGTGACAAGCCGCACTCGTCAAGCACGGGGAATTCGCCGTTCCAGTCAAACCTTGAGCAATATCACAATCCCGGAGGACGCCCTAATGCGGCAGCAAACTTCTAAACTCGCCTTGATTGGATCTGTATATACGAAGCAGGTCTACATAGGCGGCTTCATGCACGACATTAACGACTTTCCGCTGCGGGCACTTTCCTGAGGGACTGTGATTCTGCTTTTCTGAAAAATTGTTTCCCTTTGTTTCTTGGATTGTGGAATATTCCCACCAGAGTTGCACAGTCTATGCGGGGACACCAACAGTCTGGTTGCATTGCTTGCTGAGCTTGAGTCACGGATTCTTCTCTAGCACTATGCTTTCGTGCTGTTTGAGCGATATACTCCCTCTGCGTCATCTTTACGGTATTTCTCTTCCCAGTCAACCCCACACAAAAGGTCCAGGGGAAGGGAGATGTATAAAGAAGGAGGAGAAGTAATAATGCGGTTTTCACCAAGGGAGCTTGAAGAGATACGATCAGGGAAGGATGCTGGATAGGCTTGGCTGGAGGACGAGTAGGATTTCTCCTTTCATTTCTCTCCTTTATATGCCCGGGTTTGTAGAGGCCGACCAGACCAGAGTCACTGTCGGACATCATATACACTTTGTAATCACACAGAATCCATCAAGATATCAGAGTAGCTCGACCGCATGCATTAGCGCATAAGTGCATTACCCTCCCCGCGTCCCCTATCCTTGACGCATCACACTCAATTTCCACCGTCGCAAGTCGAGCTTAGTAAAGGTGTCCTTCACGTGGTGAGTCCTAATGTCTTGGGTTGAGTCCCGCTGATTGGAGAGGCCAGCACCACATAAGGCGCAACGGGTTTCAGAGCTGTTGCATAGCCGCCGCCGCTCGCAGAAGGGAAAATAGGTCTGACCGGGTGGTATAGACGCCGGTTTATGCGGGGGATAGCATTCTGAGGGACCATATCTCTGGGATGAAGGGATGGGAGGGCAAGATGTTGGATTTGTGAGTCTTTCTTTGCTTCACCCTTAACGTCTTCACCAGTCATCACTGTTTTTATCGCTGTGAACGTCTGCCTCTCTCGTTTACCATTGATTCTATACTTTAATTTGCCATCAATTCTGCGTTGAAGTTATAGTACTACACGTCTAGCGCGGGTTTCGCACATCCACACATCTATCCGGAATTTCTCATCCATCGCTCTGGCTCTCTTGACTCCACTCCTCAAGTCCCATTATCTGGGTCGCAGAGATCCAACACTCAAACGAATAGTCCACCGTCTCCCACAGGATCAGGACCCTAGAATCAACCCATCTCCTCATTCTTCTTCGCTCCCGGTCTTCTCCCTCTCTTCCCTTACAATTCGGACACCCAATCCATCCCAATCCAACGGGTAAAGGAAAAAAGAACCTCCAAAAGACAGAAAAAAAATGAAAGCCCATTTCACCACCCTCCCACACCCCCTCCTCACCCTCCTCACCCTCCTCACCACCCCCCTCCAAGCCCTAACCTTCGCCTCCGCCTCCCCGGCGCCCCTCCCCCTCGTCCCAGACGCCTACGTCCACCTCATCCCGCGCCACACCCTCTTCCTGCGCCAACTCCCGGCCTCTTCCTCAAGTAATCTCCAAACCTTCACATCCAACGTCGGCGGCTTCGGCCTCGCGCCGCCCATCACCGACAGCGGGGATCCCGAGAGGCCGTTCGAGGTCGAGGGCGACACGTTTACGACTTTCGAGGCTGCGGCGCAGAGGAGTTGCGATAGGCAGTTTGGGGTTTGTGCGGAAGGGGCGAATGCGGATGGGGGTGGGGGCGTGAGTGTCGGGGAGTGTGATGGGCAGAAAGGTGTGTATATGAGATTTTTTTCTTCGTCTTCTGTTTCTTTCGGTTCCTCGTGTTCGATCTGTATGTTTGACTTTCTTCAGTCTCTTGGTTGTTTGTTTGTTTGTTTGGTGGAGTGATGTGTTGTTCCTATGGAGATGGAGTTGTAATGGGAACGTCGTTATTACTCCTCTGCTCTTCAAATGCTGAAATCAACTGTACAATACACTAACTCCTCTCAGACGAGTGCAACCGCGCCCAAGACGCCGCACCAATCAAGGACTTCCAATCCGCCGGCGGTGGTGGCCAGCAGCAGCAACAACAAGCCGTCGTGAGCGAGAACATAGGACCGGATCCAGAGTTCCCGGACTTTGACCTCATTTGCGAGGCGTGAGGGGGCTTAGCCTTTGCTTGAGTATGCGCGGAGGAGGACGAAGAGGAGGGAGGGGAGGACTTCGTTTCGTACGGGTAGGAGTGGAGCGTTGTGGTGTAATCCACGGATAGGAAGGATACTTAAAGTTCGAAAACTGCTAGGAGAAGAGTTGCGTACTTAGCTAGGATTTCGGAAAGCGTTCTCCTCAAGAGGGGAGTCAATCGGGAATTTCATTCATCTTAAATGGCATTGTGTGTTATTCCACCGGTCCAACATCGTCCCCGTCCGCTCAGTAGAGGAATACAGGAAAAGCATCGACCCATATACAAGCCCAAATTATCACAAACAGTCCGAATCCAAGACCCGACTCCACTGATCCAATGCCGCCTGTATGCCATATTGCTAGGATAACTGCAGGGAGTAAAAGGGAGACGGGCTTCACATCATGTATTTCCTTGTCTTCGTATTCCATTCGTCTGGAGGGAAACAGAGACGCTGTACAGTACCCTGTAAATAAGTAAAATTCGCTCCACGACTGACTTGATTCCATGGGATCTTCATCATCGTACAGACTCCATCACTGAATTCGACAAACTGTTCCATTCACGAGACCCTGTATACAACCCTTCTCAAAGTGAACACGCGGACTTGAACCAATCAATCAATGGATCCCCGACGCCGAATTGAACAAAAGAGAAATATAGCATTTCAAATTCGCAGCGGGCAACCGCGCATCGATACCAGAAGCCCATCTATCCAATCCTCCCATTCCCTCATCCCAAAAGCCATACGCTCGCTCTAATCCAAACTCCAACTTTCAAAAAGGCAGAAGGGAAAAAAAGACAAAACCCTGGTATCTGATCCCATGACACGAAACCCTTCATGTACTTCCCAAGCCAGACAATCCCAGCTCAAACCATCAGATAAAGACCCTGACAATGAAGATGACAACGTCAACACTCCACAACGAAGAACACGTGGTATATCCCCGCCAAACCTAGCAAAACTGCAAATCCAAGCAAAATGAAATCGGCCGTTAACATCACCCAACCATATCCACTGATTCACCACCTCATCTCACCCCTCAAAACCCCCCTGCATAAACACCCTGCTGTCCCTGCCCAGCTCCCACACTATACCTCCCCTCCTCACCCTCCTCCTCAAACATCTCCCCTCCCGAACTCGCATCAAAACTACTCCTGCCACTGATATCCCCCACCTCCTCCTCCGGCGGTCCAGGCGGCAAACTATCCCACTGTATCCCCGCAAGGGCGGGATACTGCGCCAACAACGCAGCCGGCAAACCATACTGCGGTTGCCCCTGCACGGTTCCGTCCATGCCGCCAGCCCCGAAATTTTGGAACCCTTGCTGAGGCGGGCCCATCATGCCCTGGAAATGCTGCTGTTGCTGCTGCATTCCGCCTCCGAACATGCCGTTATCCATCTGCTGTTGCCGCGCTGGATCGCCCCAGCCACCCTTTTCGGCGGCTTCCTCCTCCAGTAGCGGTCGTATACACACGCGGCCGGCTTCGGAGCGGAAATGTCGTCCCAGGGCGTCGGCGCGCGCGAACCGGCGTCCACAGCCCCAGTTGTTGTTGTCCTTGAGTACGCCACGGCAGACAAACTTCTTCTCGCCGGAGTGGAGACCCTCGTGCCGCTTTCGGTCGTGTTGGCGAGCGAACGCTTTGCCGCAGACGCTACATACGAACGGCCGTTCGTCTGTGTGAGTACGAAGATGGGAGCGCAAATTGTAGGCGCGAGTGAAGCGCTTGGGACACAGCGAGCATTGGAAGGTAGCGGGGTGCTTTTGAGTGCGCTTGGGGCCGGAGCCATCACCACCTTGACCGGCAGGTCTGTCTGGGTTCGCGAGGTCGAGGATGTAGTCGCGGTGGGGAATGCTAGATGTCGAGGAACGACGAGAGGACTTGGAGGAAGGTGATGGGGATCTTGAAGTCTTGGCTGCACTGGGGGATAAGGACCTTTGCACTTCGGAGCCTGGAGTCGAGGCACGGGAACTGGCACTGCTGAACGGATCTGACTTGGCACGTATGCGATTGCGACTCCGAGCTGGCACTTATTAGACGATTAGAACTGGCACACCGAGCGGACTACTCACATCTGTCCGGAGGGCTCAAGGCGTCCGCTGAGTTTGTTGGTTTTGCAGGCTCAAAGCTGGCTTGCCTCGACGGCGGCGCAAAGTCAATGTTGATCTCAGGCGGCGACATCGTGTCGGCTTGGCCGAATTCTGCAACCCCTTGGTTGATGTTAGGGAACGGCTCCTGGCCCTGATACATATTCAGACCTTGGTCTCCGAACTGATTGTTCAGGCCAGGGCCTAGTCCAAAGCTGCTTGGTGAGAACTGTGGTAGGGGGTGTTGCTGCGGTGTCAACCGCGGAGAGATGTGGGGGCTGTGGCCGGGGCTGATATGATTATCGTTGAGATTGAACCGGCCAAATGACATGACTTCGGGGAAAAGAGCCTGGTCCTGTTGTGGGTGAAGCAAAGGCGAAGGGTTGTCGTGGTCGAAACTGTCGTGGTTGCCTAGGAATGGAGAGGCGTGTGCGGAAGATACCTCAGAATATGTGTCTGAGGGTGCCCTCCGGTGTCCGCGGAATTGTGCCATGCTACTCCATTCACTGCCCTGCCCTTGTCCGTATGCAGCGCTTGGATCTAGTGACGCGTTACGCGAGTGTGAAGGGGAACGGAAAGCGCCTTGAGGCAGGTTCGGTGACGCGTGCGGGCTCGGACTTGCTTGGTGCATGCCGGACTGGAGGAGATGTGGTGGAGTAGGTGAATGTGCTTGTGTAGTCGCCATTTGGTTCATGAGATCACTGTGGTTGATCAATTGGTTTTGCGGCTGAGGATCCAGCAGTTCGGGATTAAGGCTACTCGTCAAGAAGAGAGGGTCGAGGTTCTGGTCGATGTTATTGTCAGTGAATAGGGTGTTGAAGTCGGCGTTGCTGTTGTTGTTCAGGGCGAGGGCGTCGGGCGCTAGCTGATTGCCTTGGGGTCCGAAATGCGGACTCGACGAGTGTTGCGGTGTTCCTGTGCCCGACTGTAGAAAGGCTGCGTCGGAGATGGTAGATTGGAGAGTGAATTGTTGTGATTGAGTGGTACTCAGGAATTGCGGATCGAAGGTCTGCCCCGCTGTGGTTGGTGGTGGGCTGAGATGGGCGGAGTAAGCCTCGTTCACAGGCAACGTCTGGTCGAGGCTCTGTGGGTTGAGACTATTGTGATGGTAGGGCGCATGAGGAGATGGAGAGGGCGAATGCCTTATATGGGGGCTCCGGCTCGCAGAGGGCGAGCGGCCGCGTTGTTGGGTGTCCATGATGTCGTGTTGCGCCTGTTGCTATCCTTGGAGCAACCGTTGGGAGGAGGGGCGAGCTTAGGCCCGCGGATCGCGTGGGCGGGCGGAGTAGGTGAGGCGGAACAAGCTTGTGGCACGGCCGTGGCTCTCTTTCCAAGGTTCCTGATCGCGCACGCGGGAACGGGTGGCTACAAGGAGAATGTTTCGCTGATGCTGGACGAGGGCTGTGGAGTGAAGGTCAGCCCTGGAGTGGGAGGGGCGGTGCTCTTCGAATCGGGACTAGCGCGACAGCTATTTTGAGAAACCAAGTCCAACAACAACTGGGCACAGAAAGGGTGGACCACGAGGCTCCATTTCAAGGCATTTCCCTCCACTTCTCCTTGCGGCAAACGGCTCGAGCCTCGAGAGCAGCGCGCCAGAGGGCCGTGTTTCAGAAGGCCAAACATGAAACACGGCGCCGAAATTACTTGATTGGCGGGTTCGCTGGTGCCATCAGTCTGCCTTGAGCCGCGAACTTACAACGAGTTTCAATGGGGAATGGGATGAGCCGAGTCCAGCTCCCAGAGAAATACATCATCAATGGTGAGCAGAAGAATCACTACAGAGTATATCCTCGTCGAAACAATTGAAGGCACAACATCGTTGGTCTCGGAGCATGCAGGCGCCAAAAAGCTCACATCTTGGCGGGTCTTCCGCGCTAAACTCACGTGATATTGTGTACTTTACCCGACTCGTACATCTATAGTACCAAACTAGGTACATACACAGATACAGAGCTCAGCCACAATATTGACGACGATAGATCAATGCTAATAAGAGGTAGAGCAGCAAATCCTAGACTACGTCATGCAAACTCCAACTGCACGCATGGTACCGCAAGGCATAACAGCAGCAGATTCGCTCTTGGAGCGAGCGAGCAACCAATGTAGTTGATATCCAATCCCCCAAAGTTTCAGAAATAAGATCGACCTCATCCTTTGGTAGAAGGCCGACGGAGTAATACTCGTCGCCCTCGGGATCACCTTACACAAGAGAGAAGCTTCATGTTAGATCAGACCAGACGGTCGGAGCGGGAGCGGGAGCGGATGAGGCTGTGCAAAACGGCGGACCTTTGCGGGACAGACAAAGCCAGGCAGACATGCCAACAGTTCTGGTCGATGTCGCACGAGAAATCGCACTTCATGATTATGGTACTGCGCCTTCTTCACATCCGACTGAACAACCAGGGTCGCAGGGGCTGATTGGCTTGACATCGCTCCCCGTCGAGGTATAATCAGCCTTATATTTAACGCACTACTCCAGTGGCGTAATCAGACTGACCAATTGAACTGCTCGACATACTGTGGTATCCGGCCGAAGTAGTGTAGCTGGTCCGCGCACGACAAGGGTACTCGGACCATGTAATCAAATGTTATTACAGACAAAAATACGAGTAGCGCCCCTATCTTGTATAGAACTCCACGTACCTCTGTCGCATCGTGCATCTACCTACCATCAACACAATGCCTGAAGCCCCATCTACGCCTCCTCACCACCACCACCGATACCTCACTCGCGATGAGATTGTTGAGGCCCATGCCCTACATCAAGCAGGCCATAGCTACATGTCTATTGCGAACCAGCTTAATTGCACTAAACGACAAGTTGGTTATGCAGTAACCAAGAACTTTGTCACACCTAAAAAGCGCTCCGGTCATCTGCCTCATCTTACTGATGCCCAAGTTGATGAGCTTGAGGCGTACATCTGATCGTCCCGCAACACCTGACAAATGAGCTATCTCCAACTTGTTCAGGGCCCCTTTGAGCACTGGGACATTGGTGAATACACAATCAGGAGTGCTCTACGAAGAAGAGGGTACAGACACTGTATAGCTCGAGCTAAGCCACCCCTTACTGAGGCTAATTGGCAGATTCGTCTTGAGTGGGCACAAGCTCACATCAACTGGTAGCCGTGGGAGTGGTAGAGGATCTTATGGAGCGACGAGACCTGGATAACTGGTGGGTGGCATCGAAAACAATGGGTTACAAGAAAGCTAGGAGAGGAGCTTGATGATATGTGCTTGGTGGATAAAATTCATAAGAAGCATGGATGGATGTTTTGGGCATGCTTCTCAGGCATATCAAAAGGCTCTCATCTCTTCTGGGAGAAAGAATGGAAGTCGATCAACAAAGAGAGCTACTGTGATCGAATT